TAGTAGTCGCTACTTCTTGCTTCTTCTGCTATCCTCTCAAGCATGACACTTGCTACTATTTCCAGTAGTTCATTTTGAATAGCAGGGGATGTCCACTGAGCATGTGTCTGCAGCTGGCTTTGAAGTTTAGATTTCAGCCAAGGCAAATCGTTGCATCTTATGCAAAGTAACTCGAGAAAGTTTCCTCTATTTATATCAGATATCTCCCATATATCACCCCGAATCTCTTCATGACCTCTAATTGCAACATTTTGTTGTGCAGTGTACATCAAAGATTGTATGATTACTTTTAAGTATTGTCTGTTAATAGCAACCTGGTCCTGGTGTGCACTATTCAGCTGTTGTAGTACGGAGGTTTTCTTTCTTTCCATTGCTTTAAACTGGAGCCATCTTGTCATGGATCTGACGTGGTTCTCACTCTTGCCATGTTTTGCCAGCTTTGACGACTTCTTCCAATTTGTAAGCACAAATGAAGTATTCTTCCCAAATTCTTTACAGGCAAAACAAACGCATGCATCTTTATCCACTTCGTAACTAATCCATGGATATTTCTTGTACCATTCAGGCTGAAATCGTCGCACAAATGTTTCACTGCCGAATTTTCGTGCAGGATATTCACCTAATATAGGCTGTTTTGGGGCGTGCAAGGTGGAAATCTCTTCTTCATTCATACTGTTAAGGAAACCTTTCTAGTCTGTTCATTTAGAACAGATGCTGTTGAATCTAAATCTTGTATTGCTGTTGTGTCTAGAGTGTTAGACGTCGTCGTTGATTCTGGTGTTGCAACGCGTTGTATATTTTGATTTAAGTTAAATTCTTCGATGAACAGTGCGTCACTGGAAGTAAGATTTTCATTATCCGTGACCGTATTCAATTCTTTATTTTCTCTGAACTGCGTCAGTGGATTTAATTCATCAACATCAATAAACGTTCTCATTGGTTCCGTTTGGTCTTCGCTTATGGGCTCCTTCAAATTAATCTCAGGTAGATTTTCCTCAAAAGACCCAGTGGCTGCTAAATCTTTACTAGCACTCGATTCTGTTTCCTGTAAGGTTAGGTTATCATCCTTGGTTGTCATGTTACTTTTTACAAAGAAACCACTGATCTTTGACTGCGATAAATCCGATGAATCCATCACTCGATGACACTTAACTTTTTCATTATTGTGAACTCGTCGAAAGTGGACCTCCTTATAATCACTGTCAATTTCCTTGCTGCATTCCTCGCACCAAACGCGATGTCGATACGGTCGTTTACGAGACGCCATATGTACGCTTTATTAGAGCTTGGCTACTAAATGTTTTCCCCTTGTGGATAATAGTTTCCTTGAACAACAATCATAGAGTGAATGGCACTAATCTAATCAATGGAATGGACAGTGCCTCTCCATACGAAGCCTAATTTTCATGCAAAAATTAAAATCACTTTTGGGGATCGCAGCGATTGTTAATCTATATATTAATGTATAACGGATAGCGTGTGGGAGACGATTTTTCGCAATTTCAAGACATTTCAAGACTTTTACTGACCTCAGCCCTTTTTTATAAATGGAGAACGTTATGTGGATAAATTTAATACCAAAAGCTTTGCTCTGATTGAAAATATCGGCGTTCGTGTTCGTTTAAAAGTTGTAAACACCGAATATATTCGTCGCAATATCGCTAGTAAATAGACCGATTTCTCGTGACGTAATTTGTTTATATTATAATGGGGCGGATGTAAAATTCTCCTATTATGTCTCAAGAAAAATTTTGCACCCAATCACTTTACGCGATTTTTATTTTACCTCCTGAAATTTAAGTAATTTAAACAATTTAAAACCATCCATTAAAGACCGTTCACGCTCAAGAACCGAAGCAGTTTATGATCTAGAAATGATGTAGATTAATATTGAAAATTTAAAAACTGTAGTAAGTATCTTGCCAGAATATCATGTAAATGCTTGCCCGAATACACAAATTCTCGAGAAATTGGGGGGGCTGCAGCCCCCCCAGCCCACCCACCCCGTACGCCTATGATGATTTACCGTAACTCCCTTGGTGATGCGGACTTTTCCTTAAACTTCACCTGGCGACGGCCACTTGCTGAATGATATGTGACTAGTTTGTGCATTACCTATAAGGCTAACACCTGTGCACGTGAAACACACGATGTGCATGTGAACAAAATGCAAATAATTGTAGCAAACAGCCTTTTTGCTTTTCCAGCGTCCGCAATAAACCTTGAACTTCATGACCTTAGCACGCGGACTGCTTTGAGTAAATAAACTAAATAGTAACAAACTTTCCCAGTACTTTGTGTATGTTAAGAGTGTGTCTTGATTAACATATCTCCTATTTACAATTTAAACTACAAAATAACCCGCGGAAGCATTAAAGTTATTATTCGCTTATGCAAATAACTCCTATATAGCTTTTAGTTCAATATAGCTACAATATAATCAATAAAATGAATACATCCTTTGTTCGCTCCTTTATAGATGGTCGCATTTTGCCAAGATAAGGACGACAGACCAAAACCGCAATACAACAAACACATTCCTAATCGAAAACAAGATTGCATTCGGCAAAGACGAGGAGGATTCAAACACAAAACAAGCTGAAAAAGCAATAAATATGTTGGATTTAGTGAAAACAAAAACACAATGTTAGATGGTGTGTCGCTTGTTTAAAGGAGCTTCTTTAACGAATAAATATTTTTTAAAAACGCAGAAATTTTATTGGGTAATATCGTGTCTTTGATTCTTTCCATAATTTGTGAGGTGGGAATTGGTTTTTCCCGTGATGCAATTCGCCAATTCGTTAAGCAAATTTATAGGCAGTGTTGGGGAAAGTGCAGTGGGAGTTTAACTTTGACCAAAATATTTGGATAAATAAACAAATTAATGGATAGATAATTAAGTCACACGTAAACAAATATAAGTTAAGCCGAGTTAAGCCTTCTAAAGGCGAATCAAGTGAAACATTTATGACGAGTAAAGTAATTTGCTGTCCTAAACTACAACGATAGCTGGTGTGTAGATGATGCAAGCGTGTAGAAATATGGAAGGATAAAAATAGTTTGACGGCAATTACCAGATTGTAGTTTCATCAAATAAATAATATTTATAAACTTTTTGACTGTTCTACTAATCATAAATCGTATACAATTAAATTGGCATCAGTTTTTTTACATCGAGAAATTCCGAACAATTCAAAACTTCAAAACTTCGCATTTGGTCACCAACTAGCGTTTATCCACTGCAAAGCCACACAATACAATACACCATACTTAATACATAACACACAATACATAATACACCATACTTAATACATAATACACAATACATAATACACAACGCACAATACATAATACATAATACATAATACATATTACACAATATATAATACACAATACATAACACATAAAACATAATACATAATACATAATACACCATACATAATACATAATACATCACAATAATTTAAGCTCAACAAAAACCCAAATACTGAACATGATGTTTATGGAATGATAATTATAGATGAGTATTTTGTGAACCATTTCATATTTCACTAAAATTTCAAAATCGTTGACAAAGAAAAAGCTTAACATTTTATCAATCACAAGTAGATACAAAAGGAACCATGTAAACATTAAAAAATAAAATATCCCCATTACATTAACTTTAAATGGTTTACACCAATGATTTCTTTTCAAAAGAAACCAGTAGGACAGAGCTGAATATATAAATGTCTTCCCCTCTCGCCCATTTAGCGTGCTGACTTCGCCATGTGCCCTTCCGTTAAAAACAAAAGAAAATTTGCAATGATAAAGGAGGTGACTATAAAACGAAGCAACATATGACAGACACACGAGTTTTCTAAGCTTAAAAACTGTTTGTAAAAAATACAGAATGTATCATATAACATCGTGATTATTTTTTTTTCATCTGGTGATTCAACGAAAGGTTTATCATATGCTTTTTATTCGAAAACGTCTTAAACCTAAAAATGAAGTTGGGAATCGTAATATTCACATTTTTCGCAATCACCACAAGTATATTGTCGTCGGTAAGTAAGTGAGATGTAAAAACAATGTAGAACATATAGCAGTATCGCTCTTCGGTCTTGTATGAGTTATGCTACCTATATTTTGCGGAAGTTTCATTGCGTCAAGAAAATGTCGCTCCATGTTAGAAAAATGATAACGACTAATACATTTGGCACTTTTTAATATGAAATATGCCTAAGCTACTGTAAGAAAAAGTTACGTTAATTCTCAGAGATCATCGAGTCGGATTTGTCCTCTGAAAGCTTCTCAATGAAGCAAGGACAAATACATGACCACAATATTTTGTAGTCATGTATTAGACAAAGACTACAAAATATTGCGGTCATGTATTTGTCTGTAGATTAGACAAAAACCAATTATATATATTGTGTTTAAACGTATAGCGTATATCGGTTTCGTTATAAGAACTGTACTAATGAAAACGTTATCCATATTTTTATCATTTAGAAACCATACCGAAACACTGGATTGTTATTTACAGAGTGGACACGAACGGAGCCCAATGCAACATGCGATGCAAACATGAACAATTGCAAATACTACATAGAAATATGTTGGAGTTGGCGTGACCATAACCAGAGCAGATGCTTTTTAGCTTGGTTAAAAAGATCATATACGTACACAATGAAGCCAACCCAAACAAGGAGGTTTTCGTTATTTCACTACTTTTCTAGAAATGATTATAACCCTTTGTGGAAACTCGTCGATATATGGAGTGATGTAAGTATGTTAAAATGCAAAGTTGTTTACGTCTGCGTGAGGCTTGGAGCGAGTAATGTTAAAGACAGTGTTTGTGAAATAAAAGTTGAAATTATTCTAAGTTCGCAATATCGTGTAGTCAAGGAATAGCAACTAACAACATAGGACTTGAAACAATCTACTAAACATGAAACAATCTTCAATACCGATGAAATCAAACACAATGCACTAGATTAAGTATTTTTTTGCAGCGAATGACCATAGTGGAAATCAACATATATCAAGAAGGCAAAGGTCCAAATCCTGTTGAAAGATTGAACATCAGTAAACGATTACCATATCCAATCAGAGATATGAATAAACTACATGATGATACATACAACATCACTGGCTCAAAGTTCCGCGTCTACGGAGCCATATACATGTGGTGTGATGATAACTGTGTACCACAACCCAGTTTACCAACTACCAAATTACCCACCACATTACCCACCACATTTACCACCACATTACCCACCATAGCACCCTCCACACCTCCTTCCAAACCATACTCCAAACCAACGTCACCGGTAAGAAAGATTTAAAAATAACGTAAAACATTTATCGCTTCCGCTTAAGCATAACAAATCGAAATTCAAGGAGGTTCTTGGGCTGATGAGCTCTGTTTTCAGTGCGCATGACATTAAAGAGTACTCTCTTTTGGGTAAAAATTGGCAATGTGTGAAAGCACATGCCGATTTATTAAAATAGAAATAACAAGTATAACATAATATAAATTAATTATTTTACACAATTTAAACAAGAATCTTTACGAATAAAGTTTTTCTGTATAGCACAGAAAAGGTGGGGTGATAAAAACGCCACCTCGGAAACAAGTCTAAATAGTACATGCAAAATCACAGAGAGAAAGGGAGGGAGGGAAGGGTGGATTTTACGATAAATTTCACCTGGCGACGGCCACCTGCTGAATGATATGTGATTTGTTTGTGCATAACCTATAAGGCTAATACCTGTGCACGTGAATCATACTACGTGCATGTGAACAAAATGCAAATAACTGTAGAAAACATCCTGTTTGCTCCAGTGAACTCGACATTTGAATAACTGGAATGATAACCGAAGCCAAAAAAATATTTGTCGTCATCATTCGTCATTACACGTCAGGCTCTAGTCTCTCGCGTGTTCATGTTAATTTTTTTTAATCATTTGTCCCTTGGTAATGGTAGAGTTCGGATCTTGATCAGAGCGTAATTACACTGTATGCTAAAAAAACAATACAATACCATACAACGAACTGTAGTAAAGTCTTTACGGTAAATGGTTTGAACCCGGGAGTATCGTTACATGTTTGTAAATGTAGATCGTCCAGGTTGGTATAGTCCTGAGAAGGACTGTTTTTGTTGTTGTTGACTGACGTTTCGACAATCTTAGCGATGACTACTTAGAGTAATTTTTTTGACTCTGAAGACGACTACCGCTAAGATTGTCGAAACGTCAGTCAACAACAACAAAAACAGTCCTTCTCAGGACTATACCAACCTGGACGATCTACATTTACAAACATGTAAAGTCTTTAAGGATATTCAATTATTGATATCGAGATGACAACCATTTAGTATTTCAAGCACTATCAAAATCGATGAAAAATACAATCGCTCTGTAAAAAGTAAAAATGCGAGTTATAGACTCAATATTTTTTATGAAACTGGATATTCAAGTTTCTTTTTTCTTCGGAAAAACAGATCTTTAAATCCACTGAAATGACAAAAAAAGACAAACACTGTCTGACACCGTTTGAAAATTTACCTTCCGACGAAAGAAAAATTTATGCTTGAATATTTTTTCGTCATATTTTCTATTGTATTGTTTTTTTAGCATACAGTGTAATTTTCAGTTGGCTTTTCCTCGTTACAAGTTGTAAGTTACAACGAACTGTAGTAAAGTTTCAGCTGTAAAAAATAACCTTTTGCGAGGAGTTGGCCTCGTGTGTTGTTTGTCGTGATGTTGTTTATATGTTTATGCTTTCGCAATTTGTATTCAAATTTATAATGGTCGTGTATGTTTGGCACTCAGGGGAATGAAACTGACGTACAAACCGCGTGAATATTCGACTTTGAAGGACTGGAACTGACGTACAAACCGCGCAAGAGACTAGGACTTTGGCTTCAATTTTATACCTATAAAATGTATTGTCGTTATCATTCCAGATATATATATATATGGAGTTCACTGGTTTGCTCTTGTAGCGTCCGCAATGAACCTTGGACTCCATGACCTTAGCACGCGGAATTCTTTGAGTAAAAGTAACAAACTTTCCCAGTACTTTTTATATGTTAAGAGTGTGTCCCACCCTCTCTTTGTTTCCCCTTGATTAACATAACTCTTATTTACAATTTAAACTACAAAATAACCCGCGGAAGCAATAAAATTATTATTCGCTTATGCAAATAACTCCTTTACTAACATCGCGCGTCTGTCTTGTATGAGTTATGCGCCACCTACATTTCGTAGAAGTTTCATTGCGTCAAGAAAATGTCGCTCCATGCATCTCATAAAAATGATAACGATTAATATGCTTGCACTTTTTAAGTGAAATATGTCTAATTTTTTTTCTACATTTTTTTTCATTCCTCATTTTTTTTCTTCACTCTGAAGATGACTACCGCTAAGGTTGTTAAAACGTCAGTCAACAACAACAAAAACAGTCCTTCTCAGGACTATACTAACCTGGACGATCTACATCTACAAACATGTAACTATACTACCGGGTTCAAACCATTTACTTAATGAAATATGCCTAAGCTACTGTAAGAAAAAGTTACGTTAATTCTCAGAAATCATCCAGTCGGATTTGTCCTCTGAAAGCTTCTCAATGAAGCAAGGACAAATACATGACCAGAATATTTTCCTGCAGTCTTTTCATGTGATCAAAGCCAATTAATCTCAACGAACTCCTTTTTAAATGAAAGTGTTCAAACTCTGTTAACTTAAGTAAAAATTTTATACATATTTTTATAACCAAGTACATAGTAATTTTACGTAGTGTGTATCGGTTTCGTTATAAGAACTGTACAAATGAAAACGTTATCTATATTTTATCATTTAGAAACCAGTCCGAAACACTGGATTGATATTTACACAGTGGACACGAACGGAGCCCAATGAAACATGCGATGCAAACATGAACAATTGCAAATACTACATAGAAATATGTTGGAGTTGGCGTGACCATAACCAGAGCAAATGCTCATTAGGTTGGTTAAAAAGATCATATACGTACACAATGAAGCCAACCCAAACAAGGAGGTTTTCGTTATTTCACTACTTTTCTAGAAATGATTTTAACCCTTTGTGGAAACTCGTCGATATATGGAGTGATGTAAGTATGTTAAAGTGCAAAGTTGTTTACGTCTGCGTGAGGCTTGGAGCGAGTAATGTTAAAGACAGTGTTTGTGAAATAAAAGTTGAAATTATTCTAAGTTCGCAATATCGTGTAGTCAAGGAATAGCAACTAACAACATAGGACTTGAAACAATCTACTTAACATGAAGCAATCTTCAATACTGATGAAATCAAACGCAATGCACTAATTTAAGTATTTTTTTACAGCGAATGACCATAGTGGAAATTAACATATATCAAGAAGGCAAAGGTCCAAATCCTGTTGAAAGATTGAACATCAGTAAACGATTACCATATCCAATCAGAGATATGAATAAACTACATGATAATACATACAATATCACTGGCTCAAAGTTTCGCGTCTACGGAGCCATATACATGTGGTGTGATGATAACTGTGTACCACAACCCAGTTTACCAACTACCAAATTACCCACCACATTACCCACCACATTACCCACCATAGCACCCCCCACACCTCCTTCCAAACCATACTCCAAACCAACGTCACCGGTAAGAAAGATTTAAAAATAACGTAAAACATTTACTAACGTCGCGCGTCTGTCTTGTATGAGTTATGTGCCACCTATATTTCGTAGAAGTTGCCTTGCGTCAAGAAAATGTCACTACATGCATCTCATAGAAATGATAACGATAAATATGTTTGAAACTTTTAATATGAAGGGCTTTAGAAACCAAGAAAAATTAAGTTAATTTAAACAAATTAGCGAGTCCTTTTTGTCGTCTCAAAGCTTCTCAATGAAGCAAGGACAAATAAATGACCAGAATACTTTCCTGCAGTCTTTTCATGTGATCAAAGCCAATAAATACAAGGGTTTATAATGAGAAAAAGGTGGTAAATGTATGATTGTATCTGTAAGCAAAAAGTCAAAGCTCATTTGACTTGAACACTGTCAACTTCATTAATTATATTATACAAAACATCACAATGTCGTTCATTAACATGGACAATAAGAAGACTTTCTTCATACTGTACGTCATAGGGAGAAAAGCTGTTGTGTTTTAACAACATGAAGTCTCGTTTCAATACAATCGTTTTAGTTGTCCTAACATTTCTATCACATTCCCAGTCATGCAATGAAAAGTAGACAAAAACGCTACTGCAAGCAACGATTTGAGTAGAACATATAGCAAAACCAAGTTTATAGTGTATTTATACGTGGTGTACATAGGTTTCGTTAAAAGAAATGTACCAATAAACAAACTATCTGTGAGCCACTTTTTTATGCTTTAGAAAGCTTTGGTAAAAGCCATGTATCACGTTGGGTTGATCATTAATGAGTGGACACGATCGGAGCCCAATGAAACATGCAATGCAAACATGAACAATTGCAAATACTACATAGAAATATGTTGGAGTTGGCGTGACCATAACCAGAGCAGATGCTCATTAGGTTGGTTAAAAAGATCATATACGTACACAATGAAGCCAACCCGGAGAAGGACGTTTAAGTTTTTTGACTACCTATCGCCCGAATACGAAATAAATCCTGTGTTGACACTCCTCAATATGTGGAGTGATGTAAGTATGTTAAAATGCAGAGTTCTTGAATTCTTAAAATAATCTCTAATAATAATGAAATTAAAGGTAATTTATCAATTTAAGTAGTACAATATTTTTACAGCGAATGACCGTAGTGGAGTTCAACATATATCAAGAAGGCAAAGGTCCAAACCCTGTTGAAAGATTGAACATCAGTAAACGATTACCATACCCCATCAACGATATTTGCTCAGTGCAAGATGATACATACAATATCACTGGCTCAAAGTTTCGTGTCCTTGGAGCTATATACATGTGGTGTGATGACAAATGTGTACCGCGCACCAAAATATCCACCACAAAACCTTTCACTCCACCCTCAACATCATCTACCCCACCACTTTCCAAACGAACAACAAACAAAAACAGACCTTCCTTCTGGCCTTTGCGCGTTGGAGGACAAAAAGGTACAACATTGTTTACTTCCATGTACAACAAAAAACAATAAAAAGGTTTTTTTCTCGGTCGATGTAGTTTCGTGCACATTGTCAGAAATGATACAACCTAAATCAGGGGTGGGCAACATACGGCCCGCGGGCCGGCAACTGAAGAGATTTTGACTGCCCCGCCGACTGTATCCGACCATTGAATATTGAATATTATTCATGTAATAATTCGGCCAACCAATAACTTCATCTTCCTAAATCTGGCCCGCCGACTGGAGAAGTTGCCCACTCCTGTCCTAAATAATTTCATCGATCCATTTGAATATTTTGAAAGGTTTTTCCTCTCTCTTTATCATTCACATCATTTCAAAATGGTCAATCAAGTATTTAGACCATTCGAATTACTTTAATTAAGATTCTCAATTAAGTAATAAGCATTGAACTAAAATATGTGGAACGCTAAGTGTAAAACAAAACCCTAATAATTTTTAAAAGGCACGATTTTTTCTCCGACACGCGAGATCCTACCCCGGACACGCGTGTGTAGTCAATCAATTGTCACTCCGCGAGAGAATCTCTCGAAACACTACACACGCGTGTCTGGGGTGGGATGTCGCGTGTCTGTTGTAAGATTTGGCTTCAATTATTTCCTTAAGGTAGCGTTCCATGTATTTTAGTTCAATGGTAATATAAGAGCTCTTCCATATAACATAACATTTTCTCAATAATTTGGAAATTATCTTCACTTTGCTCTTTTGTAGGTGGTGAAATTCCAGCAAAATAATGATGAACGAATACTGCGATGCAACCAACACATTTATATATTCGGCAAAGACGCGGTTAATTCAAACTCGAAACAATTGATGAATATTTTTGATTTATAACAAAATTTTAGAGCTTGGGACACTTGTTTAAAGAAAACTTGTTTAAGGAATTAAAATACTTCCGGGGAAAAGCAAAAGTTTTTTCAACAATATCCTGTGGTCAATTGCTTTCATATTTTAAGTAGTGGAAAGATGTTTTTCTCAGGAAAGTAATGTTCGAACTCGTTAAACAAGTTTTGATGTATTTGGGTAGTATTGCATAGAGTTAAGAGCATTGTCCAGGAACTACAACTTTAATCAAAATTTGGGGATAAATCAACAAATGGATAAATAAACAAGTAAAACTAAAGATAAGTTTAACCTTCTATATACAGGCAAACCAAGAGAAACGTTTGCATGAGAAAACTTATTTGTTTGCCAATAAAGAACAAGAACTATTAAATGTTAGCTGTGTGGATGTAATTAAAAAATTGCAACAGGCTTTAAATAAATAATGTATGAAGAAAAAAAAAACAACGACAATTTACAGATAGTTGCTTGGTCCTATAAATCATTTAAGACATTTCCAAAAAGTTCAACAAAACAGCTTTTTTGAGGTGGAAAATGACAAGACATACAACACTGACAAAATACTATTTCTCCATGGAAATATTATCACCTATTCATAACCTCTTATTCCGTCCCCTTCATACAGTTGTTCGACTTTTAAAAGCAACATGCAGCGAGGGGGAACATTTATATACATTATTTGTAACCTATTAGTAATTTTTTAATTCGGCATCATGATTGAAGTATTTTATACGTTGCATGTCCCTCCAACAACTTTTTGTCGCTTTTTGCAACACGCCGAGGTTACATAGAGTCCATTCTAAGCTGAGTGAACTCACAAGGCAAAGGGAAGGAGAGGGCAACAGTTGAAGAGATGGAAAGATGGTTCAAGATAGAGTTTAAATAAACGGGAACTTAAAGAACAAGATGCCGAGGATCAACTAAAGCGGAGAAGAGGGTTGGGGTTAGGGTTAGGGTTAGATGCCGAGGATTGACTAAAGCGGAGATTTAGTCAATCCTCTTTAACGAATAAGGTGTATAGGCAAGAAGAAGCATAAGTTTTTTAATTTAACGTTGCGCTGTAAAGAAAATAAAATGAAATTGTCTTTGGCCGATAAAAACATTAAAATATCGTGATAGTTTAAGTAATCGTAAATATTGTATAAACTTTCATTTTGAAAAAAAAGACAGCACAAAAACACGAAATTTTTTTCTTCTATTTTCAGCAAAGAAAATCTTTCACAAAAGTTAACTATTTTTCAAAAAAATTTTTCATTCGCTGATTCCGCAAAGATGACGTGTAAGACCAGGTTCAAAAGCCAGACAACATGTAATTGAGACAATTGAGACAATTATGCATTCTATGACGCAATAAACGTTTATTCTTGATTATATACGTCATTGATAGATAAGCTTCATGAAAATCGTCATTGAAATAAAATGAAGTTAGGAGTCACATTTTTAGTATTTTTCGTCGTCATCACAAGCAATTTGCCAGGGGTATGATAAGCAATAATTCAATTGGGTTATGCAGTGAATTATATTTCGTAGAAATATCCGAACGTCGTCAAAATGAAATTTCCAAGAAGTGGCTTCTTCAATATCGGGGAAAGAAGCAATGGGACAGCCAGACGGCAAGTTCGCGCGTGCTATGTAAATACTTCTGCGTCCACTCACTGTAAAAACAATAGATTTCTAAGGAAATAAAAGATGCTTACGATGAAATACTTACATAGCACGCCTAAATTTGCGGGCTGGCCACGTCACTGAAATGAAGGTGGTTCAACTAGTTTGAGGTTTTTACACATAATACACGTGCTGTCAAACCATGAATGATTACATTTTGATGAAAAATCGAGGTTTTTCATCTCATATATAAATTAGTTTTGAATCAGACTAACGTTCTGCACGACACTTCCCAATTCTTTTTCAGTCCAGGTAATTGCTGTAGTAAAATCAGGTTTCCCATACGCATGTCTGGCAGTCACGCACTTGAGCCTGCTGTCTATATTGTTGTTGACTAAACTTTGTCACGATTACTATATGAAAAGAAAGGGACTTGAAAAACAGCCAGGACGTCTTCAAATGAGGTCAAAACAGCGTGTATGATCGGTGTCACAAGAAATATTTTGTAAAAAAAATCCCCTCCCCCCTTGAAAAAATTTTTGGGACAGATTTTCAAGGAAAATATTTCCCGGGTCACCTGAAATGACAAGGCCACGCCGTCATCCCGCATGATTGATTTTTAGCAGATTTTAGCAGATTCCAGATTTTTATTTCTTTAGAAATCTGGGTTTTTTCACAGTTAATGAACATCAAATATTTACATAGCAAAACCTAACTTGCTGTCTGGCTGGTCTATTGCGCAAAGTAAATGAGATTATGATCGAACTTATTTTTCATCGTTTAGAAAACGTACGAATATCCCTACCGAAACACTGGATTGTTATTTACACAGTGGACACGAACGGAGCCCAATGCAACATGCGATGCAAACATGAACAATTGCAAATACTACATAGAAATATGTTGGAGTTGGCGTGACAACAACCAGAGCAGATGCTTTTTAGCTTGGTTAAAAAGATCATATACGTACACAATGAAGCCAACCCAAACAAGGAGGTTTCCGTTATTTCACTACTTTTCTAGAAATATTCATAATCCTTTGTGGAAACTCGTCGATATATGGAGTGATGTAAGTATGTTAAAGTGCAAAGTTCTTTGCGTCTGGGCAAGGCTTGGAACGAGTTATGTTAATGAGCAGTGTTAGTGAAATAAAAGTTGAAATTATTCCAAGTTTGGAGGGTCACGCATAAATTTTATTGCATAAACATCCACGAAGTCCAGAAATAACAACCAGTGTAGCATAACACTAAAGATAAAATGACACTAAACCAGACACAATCCAATTTTATTGCATCAACATCCACAAAGTCCAGAAATAACAACCAGAGTAGCATAACACTTAAGACAAAACGTCACTAAACCTGACACAATCCAATTTTATTGCATCAACATCCACGAAGTCCAGAAATAACAGCCAGAGTAGCATAACACTTAAGACAAAACGTCACTAAACCTGACACAATCCAATTTTATTGCATCAACATCCACTAAGTCCAGAAATAACAACCAGTGTAGCATAACACTTAAGATAAAATGTCACTAAACCTGACATAATCCTTAATAACGATGAAATCAAAAGTAATATATCAATTAAAGTACCAAAATATATTTACAGCGAATGACCGTAGTGGAAATTAACATATATCAAGAAGGCAAAGGTCCAAATCCTGTTGAAAGATTGAATATCAGTAAACGATTACAACTTCCAGTCAGAGATTGGAATAAACTACATGATAATACATATAATATCACTGGCTCAAAGTTTCGCGTCTATGGAGCCATATACATGTGGTGCGATGATAACTGTGTACCATCCACCACTGTGCCTACCACATCTTCTTCTCAACCAACTTCCGAATCAATCCCCGAGTCAACATCGGAATCAACTTCCGAACCAACCTCCGAATCAACCTCTGAACCAACCTCTGAATCAACCTTTGAATCAATATCCGAATCAACATCGGAATCAACCCCCGAATCAACATCGGAATCAACTTCCGAACCAACCTCCGAATCAACATCAGAATCAACCTCCGAACCAACCTCTGAAACAAACTCCGAATCAACTTCCGAACCAACCTCCAAATCAACATCAGAATCAACCTCCGAACCAACCTCTGAAACAAACTCCGAATCAACTTTCGAACCAACCTCCAAATCAACATCAGAATCAACCTCCGAACCAACCTCCGAATCAACTTCCGAACCAACCTCCGAATCAACATCGAAATCAACCTCCGAATCAACATCAGAATCAACCTCCGAACCAACCTCCGAATCAACTTCCGAACCAACCTCCGAATCAATATCAGAATCAACCTCCGAACCAACCTCCGAATCAACTTCGAAACCAACCTCCGAATCAACATCGAAATCAACCTCTGAATCAACATCGGAATCAACCTCCGTACCAACATCGGAATCAACATCCGAATCAAAATCGGAATCAACCTCCGTAACAACATCGAAATCAACCTCTGAATCAACCTCCGTACCAACATCGGAATCAACCTCCGAACCAACCTCCGAATCAACCTCCGTACCAACATCGGAATCAACCTCCGAATCAACATCGCAATCAACCTCCGTACCAACATCGGAATCAACCTCCGTACCAACATCGGAATCATTATCCGAATCAACATCCGAATCAACATCCGAATCAACGTCCCAACCAACCTCCACTCCAAAGTCCAAACCAAGGTCCAAACCAAGGTCCAAACTAACTTTCAAACAAACGTTCAAGCCAACCTCCCAACCAACGTCCAAATTAACATCCACAGACATAACGCAAGCCTCAATAGCTTCTGTTGAAAGTTCGTCACCATCACAGCTATTTCCATGGAAACTAACAATGATCATAGTAGTTTCAATATGTGGTGCGACATTCGTCCTGGGTTTTATTTTCGCCCTTATGATTTATGTTAGTTTGCCCTTTTGTAAAAAGTTTTTTGTATTTTGATACTCGTTCTACAGTCTTTCTACTGCTCAGGTATTGTCCATTAAGAATGCAAAGGTATTTCAAATATAACTAAAAACTGAAATTTTCGTGAATATTTGGAAATGAAATGGAGAGTATAGTAATTATTGTATTCACGTTTGCAGCAAACGAATCATTAGTTCAGGTGCTCAAATTATGAACATAACTATCTCCCTTCTCTCTTTTATTGGTGAAGTATATACATTCTACTCCACTGTTATTGATGAACATAACTATCTCCCTTTTCTCTTTTATTGGTGAAGTATATCCATTCTACCCCACTGTTATTGATGAACATAACTATCTCCCTTTTCTCTTTTATTGGTGAAGTATATCCATTCTACCCCACTGTTATTGATGAACATAACTATCTCCCTTTTCTCTTTTATTGGTGAAGTATGTCCACTCTACCCCACTGTTAGTAATGAACATAACTATCTCCCTTCTCTCTTTTATTGGTGAAGTATATCCATTCTACCCCAGTGTTATTGATGAACATAACTATCTTCCTTTTCTCTTTTATTGGTGAAGTATGTCCACTCTACCCCACTGTTATTGATGAACATAACTAACTCCCTTTTCTCTTTTATTGGTGAAGTATATCCACTCTACCCCACTGTTATTGATGAACATAACTATCTCCCTTTTCTCTTTTATTGGTGAAGTATATACACTCTACCCCACTGTTATTGATGAACATAACTATCTCCCTTTTCTCTTTTATTGGTGAAGTATATCCACTCCACCCCACTGTTATTGATGAACATAACTATCTCCTTTTTCTCTTTTATTGGTGAAGTATATCCCTTCTACCCCACTGTTATTGATGAACATAACTATCTCCTCTTCATTTTATTGGAAAGTATCCCTTCTAATGCACTGTTATTGATAAACATAACTATCTCCCCTTCGCCCTTTTATTTTTGAACTATCCCCCCTATTCAATAATTCATTTAAGACTTTTCCAAAAAGTTCGATGAAACAGTTTTTTAACGTCAGAAACGACATGAAATGCAAAACTGACAAGACTTTTTCTCCATGGAAATGTTATCACCTATTCATAACCTCCTTATTCCGTCCCCTTCATACAGTTATTCGACTTTTAAAAACAGCATGCAGCAAGGCCATGTTAACATTATTCAAAACTTGTAAGTGAAGTTTTCATTACTTTTCAATTTGCGATCCTAGGATATAATTTAAGCACAATTTTTTATGGTCCGTTGTACTTCCAGACACCAACCACTTCAAGCCGCCTTTTATGTCAAGCTGAGGTTACATCGATCCTAGGATATAATTTAAGCACAATTTTTTATGGTCCGTTGTATTTCCAGACACTAACCACTTCAAGCCGCCTTTTATGTCAAGCTGACGTTACATCGATCCTAGGATATAATTTAAGAACAATTTTTTATGGTCTGTTGTACTTCCAGACACCAACCACTTCAAGCCGCCTTTTATGTCAAGCTGAGGTTACATCGATCCTCGGATATAATTTAAGCACAATTTATTATGGTCTGTTGCACTTCCAGACACCAACCACTTCAAGCCGCCTTTTATGTCAAGCTGAGGTTACATCGATCCTAGGATATAATTTAAGACCAATTTTTTATGGTCTGTTGTACTTCCAGACACCAACCACTTCAAGCCGCCTTTTTGTCAAGCTGAGGTTACATCGATCCTAGGATATAATTTAAGCACAATTTTTTATGGTCCGTTGTACTTCCAGACACCAACCACTTCAAGCCGCCTTTTATGTCAAGGTGAGGTTACATCGAGCCATTCTTAGCTGAGGGGACTCACAAGGCGTAAGGGGAGGAGAGGCTTAGGAAAGATGAGGGAGTGCTTAAATAAATGGAAACTTAAAGAACAAGATGCCGAGGATCAACTAAAGCGGAGAAGAGGGTTAGGGTTAGGGTTAGATGCCGAGGATCAACTAAAGCGGAGAAGATAATTTATGACCACGAACCCTATAAAGGATAAGGTGCATAGGCAAAAAAGAAGTATTTACTTAGCTTAATCTTGTCCCGTGAAAAGAATAAAATAAAATTGTTTTGGCCGATACCACTGTTAACATTTCAGTATAGTTTAGGTAATAGTCAAGATTTTCAAGCTACACAAACTTTCAAATAAAAAAAAATTACTTGAAGAAAAAAACAAAAAACATGAAATTATTATATTTCGCGTTTTCAGCAAAGAAAATCTTTCACAAAGTTAACTATTTTTAAAATTTTTTTCATTCGCTGATCCCGCGAAGATGACGGGTAAGACCAGGTCGAAAAGCCAGACAATATGTAATTGAGACTAATTATGCATTTTATGACGTAACTAATTTATGCAATTTATGACGTAACAAACGTTCATTTATTATACGACATTGATAGATAAGCTTCACAAAAATCGTCATTGAAATAAAATGAAGTTAGAGTCGCATTTTAGCATTTTTCGTCGTCATTACAAGCAATTTGTCACGGGTAGGATAAACAATAATTTAATACATTTTATTGGGACATGCATTGAATTAGATTTTCATAGAAATCTCCGAACGTCGTCAAAACGAAATTTCGAAGAAGTGGGTTCTTTGATATCGGGAAAGAAGCATAGGCATAGCCAAGCAACAAGTTTGCTCGTACTATGTAAATACTTCTGTGTTCACTCACTGTAAAAACAATATACTTCTAAAGCAATAAACAATGCTCACGATGAAAAATTTGCATAGCACGACATAAACAATCAACTCGAACCCAGTCTACTAGATATCTGACTCCGTCAAAATTCTAGAGTTGAGAGTGAGGCAAGTCGCCATCTTGAAAGCTGGCAAAACTGATGATATTTATGATTAAAATCTTCTTTTCCTGAGTTGATATACAGTTGGAAAGTTGATAGTCTATGTTAAAATTTTAAAATGCTTGATAGGATTTGGTTTTTAAACCTCTTTTAGCTTATTTTCCATTTTGAGTTTTGCCTATTGTCACCTTTGAAGATGGTGTCCTTTGCTCACCTTGACAAGGCAGTTAGACATATGGTTAGACATCAAGGGGATTGGGTTCTAAATCCTTGGACATAAATCGCTAGCTGGCTACGTCGCTCGAATGAAGATGCTTCAGAGAAAACTTAAATATTTGTCTGTAGTTAAATGTTCTTTTGTGTAAAGCCATTGTGGCTTTATATGTGGACCTTCCGGTCCAATTCGTGCAAGAAATCGATCTTTGAATCATGAATTCAAAATATTACACCCGCAAAGAGCATGGGGAAATCAGGCTTGTTGCTACATACATGCAATGCAAGCGCAAATGATCATTTTACGTCAGACTACGATCTCATCGTGTTCAAGCGTTTTTGCACGGACCATTGAACTAAAATACGTTGAACGCGACCTGAAGCAAATAATTGAAGCTAAATTTTACACCCAGACACGCGAGATTACACCCAGACACGCGTGTGTAGTGTTTCGAGATTTTCTCGCGGAGTGTAAATTGATTGAACTACACACGGCAGGTGCAACCCTCGACCTTCGGTCTCCAGCTTGCACTGATCTGCTCTCGAGTTCTCCCTAAGGTCTTCTCGGTTTGCATAAGCCTGTGCAAACACAGTAAACATCTTTTATTTCTAAAGTAAAACTCGCGTTTTAACACACACTCCCTAATTCTTTTATTTTCCAAGTAATAAACATACAGATCAGTATTCCCATGCGCATGTCCAGCAGCCACGCACTTGAGCTTATTGATCAAAACAACGTGTATAATCGGTGTCACAGGAAATTTTCCACACAGCCCTCCACCCCCACGGGAAAATTTTTGGGATAGACTTCTTCGGAAATATGGCTCGGGCAAGGGACAAAGTGTTGTCATGGTGAGATCGCCTGACGGCATGGTTGATCGTACAATGTAAATTCCAGGTCACTAGCTGTACTCATTTTTAGAAATTTATTGTTTTCACAGTTAATGAACATCAAATATTTACATAGCACAACCTAACTTGCTGTCTGGCTGGTCTACTGCGCAGAGTAAAAGACATTAAGATGGACTTTATTCTTCATCCTTTAGAAACCTTTTGCAAGTGCTGTCCGAAACACTGGATTGTTATTTACACAGTGGACACAAACGGAGCCCAATGAAACATGCGATGCAAACATGAACAATTGCAAATACTACATAGAAATATGTTGGAATTGGCGTGACCATAACCAGAGCAGATGCTCCTTAGGTTGGTTAAAAGATCATATACGTACACAATGAAGCCAACCCAAACAAGGACGTTTAGGTTGTTTAACTACCTTTCCAAGGGTATATTTAATCCTGTTTGGACATTCCTCGATAAGTGGAGTGATGTAAGTATGTTAAAATGCAAAGTTCTTTGCGAGGCTCTAAGGTGTGCGCGAGGCTTGCAGCGAGTTTGGAGAATGTATGACCGATATAATTGCCGATATACAACAATGAATCTTTAATATCATGACTGCCGTGAAGGGCAGAAAATAAACCCATCCGTTGTAAAGCAACACAGCTTAAAATACTCGAAATACCGTTATGGAAAAGTGCGTCGTTTTTTTCAAAACAAACTTCCCACTTGCATTTTAGTTTACGATTTTGTTTAGTCCGTCATTATATATTTATTTGAAATATTTTATTTTTTTAACTTTTTATACATCTCTAAACCTATCTTTTACTTCTATATCGTTATTTTATTGCTTTGTGATTTATCTAACTGCATATGTTAAACAAAAAACACGCCACGCGTTGAAATCAACTTCAGTTGACGAGGAGAACGTGTGTTGAAACAAAGATTTTCCTTCATTCACCGTTGATATCTAAAATATTTTTACAGCGAATGACCGTATTGCAGTTCAACATATACCGAGAAGACAAAGGTCCAAATCTTGTTGAAAGATTGAACATCAGTAAACGATTACCATATCCCATAAAAGATTCTAATAAACTACATGATAATACATACAACATCACTGGCTCTAAGTTTCGCGTCTACGGAGCAATATACATGTGGTGTGATGATAACTGTGCACCACCCACCACTTTACCACCCACCACATTGCCTACCACACCTTCTCAACCAACTTCCGACGAATCAACCTCTAAATCAACTTCCAAATCAACCACCGAATCAACCTCAGAATCAACTTCCGAATCAACCAGAATTCCCAAAGAATCAACCTCAGAATCAACTTCCGAATCAACCTCCAAATCAACTTCCAAATCAACCACCGAATCAACCTCCGAATCAAATTCCGAATCAACCATTGAATCAACATCAGAGTCAACCTCCGAATCAACCTCCGAATCAACTTCCGAATCAACTTCCGAATCAACCTCAGAATCAACATCAGAATCAACTTCGGAATCAACCTTAGAATCAATATCAGAATCAACCTCCGAATCAACATCCGAATCAACCTCCGAATCAACGTCCGAACCAACCTACACAGACACAACACCTTTTTTTTATAAGATTCCATCATCATCAAATCTATTCATATGGAAACTACTAACAATCGTAATAGTTGTAATGTGTTTTGTGACAATAGTCCTGGGTTTTATTTTCGCCAGCTTGATTTATGTTAGTTTGTCCGTTTGTAAAAAGTTTTGTGTATTTTGATACTCGTTCTGCAGTCTTTCTACTGCTCAGGTATTGTCCATTAAGAATGCATAGGTCTGTCAAATACAATTACAAATTCAACTTTTCTTGATTATTTGGAAATCAAATGGAGAGTATCGTAATTATTGTATTCACGTTTGCAGCAAACGCATCATTAGTTAAGGTGCTTAAGTTATGAAGAGTTCGATGAATATAACCAACTCGCATCTCTCTCTCTTATTGGTTAAGTGTCCCCTCTACCCCATCATAGTTGATAAATATAACCGTCTCCCTCTCTCTCACTTATAGGTGAACTATCTCCCACCTCTCTCACTTACTGGTGAACTACCTCTTACCTCTCCCTCTTATTGGTGAACTACCTCTCACCTCTCCCTCTTATTGGTGAAGTATCTCCCACCTCTCTCACTTACTGGTGAAGTATCTCCCACTTCTCCCTTTTATTGGTGAAGTATCTCCCACCTCTCTCACTTACTGGTGAACTATCTCTAACCTCTCCCTCTTATTGTTGGAGTATCTCTCTCACTTACTGGTGAACTATCTCTCCCCTTTCCCTCTTATTGGTGAAGTATCTACCACCTCTCTCACTTACTGGTGAACTATCTCTCACCTCTCCCTCTTATTGTTGAAGTATCTCCCACCTCTCTCACTTACTGGTGAACTATCTCTCCCCTCTCCCTCTTATTGGTAAAGTATCTCCCACCATTGTTAATGAATATAAGTACGTTACATTTCCCCATCTTTTAAAAGCGTACTTGGACATACGCGAAAAATAATTGCACGAAGTTTTGGTATGATAACGTAAATGGAAGGTGGGAAAACAATCGTGCATCCCGGGCGACTCTCAAAGCGTGCAACTCTTGGTAGGTTATGGAGCCACAGCGTGCAACTCTTGGTAGGTATTGACCCAAAGCGTGCAACTCTTGGTAGGTTATGGAGCCAAAGCGTGCATTGCTTGGAAGGTTATGGAGCCAAAGCGTGCAGCTCTTGATAGGTTATGGAGCCAAAACGTGCAGCGCTTGGTAGGTTATGGAGCCAAAGCGTGCAACGCTTGAAAGGTTATGGAGCCAAAGCGTGCAACTCTTCGTGGGTTATGGAGCCAAAGCGTGCAACGCTTGGTAGGTTATGGAGCCAAAGCGTGCAACGCTTGGTAGGTTATGGAGCCAAAGCGTGCAACTCTTGGTGGGTTATGGAGCCAAAGCGTGCAACGCTTGGTAGGTTATGGAGCCAAAGCGTGCAACGCTTGGTAGGTTATGGAGCCAAAGCGTGCAACGCTTGGTAGGTTATGGAGCCAAAGCGTGCAGCTCTTGATAGGTTATGGAGCCAAAGCGTGCAACGCTTGGTAGATTATGGAGCGGGAACTTCGCACAGATTTTTCATTAATGGAGATTCATTGGTGCAAACAATCAATATGAAAGATTTTGAAAAATGCTGACATATTCGTCCATTTACCCCTCTAAATGATTATTTTTATGAATGTAGGTATCGCCCACTTCCTACCAGTTGATGAAAGTAAGTATCGCTCACTATTCCTTTAATGTGTCTACTGCATTATTCATGATGGATGCTGTAAATGTTTAACTTTAGACCCCCTTATTGATAAAGATCCCATCCCCTTTGTTTTGATCTAAAGTGTACAATGAATCATTCATCATGGATGCTATTTAAAAATAATTTTACATCCCATCCCTTATTGATAAATAAGAGGACCGCACCAGCCCTCCCTCCCCATCCCCAGTTTATCTGTGTCGACAAACAGATTGATGAAACGTCATAGCTGCTGTTTAAAAATAAAGTTCCGATCAGAACATACTAATATTTCTATTTCCTTCATTTTCAATAAATCAAAAACAAAAAAAGGTCACTCGGTATTGTAAAAAGCAATATTTGCAAAATCAGAACAAAATATATCAAACATCTGTTTTTAAAAAACATCGAAACATGTGCTTCTCATTGATATTTTTCATTGATGAAAAATAAGATCACGAGAACTCGACGCGACTAAACAGTTTAACGGAGAAAACAGATGACAAAACGACGACGTAGTTAGATGACTGAATGGAAACATGAAACTCACTGACCCAAGCACTTCCACACAGCACTTGCATATGGGGGTATTAATATAATAACATTACCAAATCAATGACACAGCAAGTCGCATTGAGTGTAAATACCTCCATTGTCGTCCGAAAAATAAGTAAAAGGGAAATACTGTTGACTTTTGATAATGAGATCTAGTCTAGACTGCATGAAGAAATATTCTTCATTATGTTTACGATGTCGGTGTAACGTCAACATATAATGCAATTGTATTTACTCGGTTTAACGTATCAAAGTGGAAACCGAAACATAAACTATCTTGGTATGTAATCCAATGATGCTTTAATACAAAACACTGCAAATGTGTTTACCATATGGATTTCTCGCGTCAATAATGCGAGACGAGCATTTAATTTCGAAACAAATCGATGACAAGACACGGAAAGAGAAAACGCGAGGTAAAGAGCCCATTTGACATCCGTGCGTTGGTTGCCGCGCGAAAACAAGAATTGAAGAAGTGCATCGGTCGGCTTGAAATAGCACGTGAGAAAGATGGGAATCGTGAAAACTATCGAAGTTTGGATCATGCTGTTCACAACCTTGGTATGTGTAATGTAAACGTCAAAAATCAAACACAAAATGTTCATTGACGCTTTCCAGCACTTTCATATGATTTTTGTAAAACTGAACCATTTCATAATCGTATAATAAGACACTTATGACGTTGCGATCATCCAATTTAGAAGTTTTCCGTTAGATTAAATCATATGTCACGAGCGACGGATTTCATGCAACTATTTTAAATCATCACACCAGCTGAACTCGCGTAAATCGTTCTGCGGTAAGCAAAACCCAGAACGAGCATCAATCACAAGACAATATATCGGAAACTGAACGTACAACGAAGTACAAGAACGACTAGAGGTGTGCTGGCCGTTGGGACATAAAGTCTTAGGCATGTCATTTGTGTAAAAATTAAGCCCCTGGCCAGCAACTGCACCTTTTCGTTGATATTTTTTGACGTCTCTCAACAGTGCATACCGAACTCACCGAGAGATACGTCATATACCCAACAGTAAGATGATTTAATGACATTGACGAATAAATTTTGAAGGCGACGCTTTGAAACTTTTGAAACCCCTTAGAAATTTCTCCTTGTTTGCTGCACTCTGCCTCGAGGCAAGCTCGAGTTTTGCCACATCGCAAAGGTTATATACATATGGAGGTAAAACTTCGCTGATCAATCAGTCAAGGATGTTTATGCTTTATTTCTTAGTTGTATTACACGAGAGCAGAAACACTTCCCTGATCAATCAGTCAAGGATGTTTATGTTTTATTTCTTAGTTGTATTACACGAGAGCAGAAACACTTCCTGATCAATCAGTCAAGGATGTTTATGTTTTATTTCTTAGTTGTATTACACGAGAGCAGAAACACTTCCCTGATCAATCAGTCAAGGATGTTTATGCTTTATTTCTTAGTTGTATAACACGAGAGCAGAAAAACTTCCCTGATCAATCAGTCAAGGATGTTTATGTTTTATTTCTTAGTTGTATTACACGAGAGCAGAAACACTTCCCTGATCAATCAATCAAGGATGTTTATGCTTTGTATCTTAGATGTATAACACGAGAGCAGAAACGGGTGGGACGATCATGGTTAGATTGATCGAAATCAGTAATCTCAAAGTTCGACATGGTTTCGGTTGCCAGCTGGCCATCTGGGTCACGTGTGATGGTATTCAGTCGAGCAGTAGATGTTTGTACGGCAAAGGTAAAACGGGAATTTTTCACACAGAAACACGCACAACTTTCGGCAACGATTTAGGAAATGGGACGAGGAATCCGTTCGTGTTCAACTTCAGAACATTTCAAGTAAGATCTTACAATATGTGTTAGCGTGTGTCTAATGTCACGTGTTTATATCACGATTGTGTCTTCCACTGATGCAATGCATGCCATAATCAGCCTTCAGATGTATGTTGGTATAGTGATGTCATTGAAGTCTTTAGTTTATGTCATGAATATCGGACTTTCATGTTAGCGTCGTGCATATCCTTACTTTTCTCATGTTTATGTCATGCATATCTTTACTTGTCTCATGTTAGTGTCGTGCATATCTTTCTCATGTTTATGTCATGCATATCCTAACTTATCTCATGTTAGTGTCGTGCATATCTTTACTTTTCTCATGTTAGTGTCGTGCATATCTTTACTTTTCTCATGTTAGTGTCATGCATATCCTAACTTATCTCATGTTAGTGTCGTGCATATCTTTACTTGTCTCATGTTAGTGTCATGCATATTTTACTTTTCTCATGTTAGTGTCATGCATATCTTTACTTTTCTCATGTTAGTGTCATGCATATCTTTACTTTTCTCATGTTAGTGTCATGCATATCTTTACTTTTCTCATGTTAGTGTCATGCATATCTAACTTTTCTCATGTTAGTGTCGTGCATATCTTTACTTTTCTCATGTTAGTGTCATGCATATCTTTACTTTTCTCATGTTTATGTCATGCATATCTTTACTTTTCTCATGTTAGTGTCATGCATATCCTAACTTATCTCATGTTAGTGTCGTGCATATCTTTACTTTTCTCATGTTAGTGTCATGCATATCTTTACTTTTCTCATGTTAGTGTCATGCATATCCTAACTTTTCTCATGTTAGTGTCGTGCATATTTTTACTTTTCTCATGTTAGTGTCATGCATATCTTTACTTTTCTCATGTTAGTGTCATGCATATCTTTACTTTTCTCATGTTAGTGTCATGCATATCTTTACTTTTCTCATGTTAGTGTCATGCATATCCTAACTTTTCTCATGTTAGTGTCGTGCATATCTTTACTTTTCTCATGTTAGTGTCATGCATATCTTTACTTTTCTCATGTTAGTGTCATGCATATCCTAACTTTTCTCATGTTAGTGTCGTGCATATCTTTACTTTTCTCATGTTAGTGTCATGCATATCTTTACTTTTCTCATGTTTATGTCATGCATATCTTTACTTTTCTCATGTTAGTGTCATGCATATCTTTGCTTTTCTCATGTTAGAGTCATGCATATCCTAACTTATCTCATGTTAGTGTCGTGCATATCCTTACTTTTCTCATGTTAATGTCGTGCATATCCTTATTCGTCACGTGTTTATGTCTCAAATGTCCTCGCATGTCCTGTGATATCCAGAAACACCAGATTAGTTCTAACTATGAGTAACGATGCTCATGTTGCAACAAAATTCCTTTCATCAACTAGGGAAATCTGGGAATCAACATTCGAGCAATAGGCAAGAATGGAATAACCATGAACACATTCCGATTGCACAAACCAACCTATCCAGCACCGTACGCAAATAAAAAATGGACGACTGAAACACTCAAAGCTGCTGGAGCGGGTCAATCAAAACCTGAGATCAAACTGAAATATCAAGTGTTTTGTAAACAACATTTTTATGGACCTTCCTGCACGGTTGGCTGTCTTCCCGGAGAGAATTACGTCTGCGACAAAAGCAGCGGACGAAAGATATGTACCAATGGTTACCTAGGGCCCAACTGCACGTGTAAACCAAATTCGCTGTACAACTGCGACAGCATGGGCACAAAAATTTTCTACAGGCCGTACAGAGAGAACTGCGACGTTAAATGCCGTGCAAGAATTTCAAGTAGTGTCAGGGTGAAAGCGTCATTTTCTCAAACAGAGTCACGTGTGCCGGGGATGGCTTTAGAGACGTCGAATGCTTTCAATGCTACAACTGAGATGGTAAAATCTACCTCAGTGAACGATGTTGAGTTGAAAACAAAGATGATAATGACATCATTTCCTGTCACTAAGTCACGTGTACCGTCGTCGCTGACCCAAAGACCAGGTATGACGACACCACATCTAACATTTGAATCACTGAAGTCAGTGCTAACCACGTCATCATCAACTACCAATCCCACTGGATCATTGGTAAAGACGTCATCGATGACGTCATCACAAATTAAGCCACTTGATATTTCCATTTACTTAACAAAGCAAGAGGAAATGCGTTTCGAAAGTGAATATCTCTCCCAGGCCACAACATCAACATTAAAGAGTAGAAGCGATGAAACACACACGACCATGGTCAAATTACAGTCTTCGCCTGCGTCAATTAATAATTTTTCTGGAATCTTAACGACAAACAGCTTGCATTCAAATTGGAGGACTCCCAAGATGACCACGTGTACCGTAGAAAGCATAAGCGATCAAATGTATACAACAGAAGATAAATTGGGACATTTTTCCGTGTTGAGTCAGAATGTTAATTCGACCGTCGTCAAGGCAGAAGCAGGAATTTCAAATACAAACAGCTCAGTAGCAAAATGGAAAAAGGGCCGAAACAAGACAATGCACGCAATAGGGGACAAAAGGAAACAAACATATACAAAAGAGGATATTTTAGAGTATTCTTCAGGGTTGAGTCAAATCACTAATATGACCGTGGTCAAGACAGGAGAAGCAACTGCTTACAATTTACAAAAAAAATTTACAAAAAATGGCGCATTCCTTTCCTCTTACTACCGCAGTATGACGTCACAATCAACGTCATCATCGTTTACACAGACGGAAGGGGAATGCTGTGAACCGGAAATCAAACCGACCACACGTGACACGACATTCAGGGCCGGATTGGTCAATGAGAGAACAGGAATAATTACAAAGTGGATGGTATTAACACCTTTGATCGCCGTTGTTCTGCTATGTATCTTCATAATCGTTGTTTTTAGGAAGAAAAAAAGAAGGTAGCTACGAAATAATATTTGATATGAAAGAACACCAATAAATTATGAGGTTCTTGTGCATAATTTTGCACAATATCATTTGATGTACCAAGTTTAAATGTTAATCCAAAGCTTTGTTTAGTTCAGCCGAGACTTTCAGTTTATTTATCTTGGGTTTGCCTTGAGGTACTCACTACACCTTATAATTTGACTTGTATTACAAGGTACCTTACTTGTATTAAAATTCGCGCAGTACTAGAATTCACGCAGCGCTGAGTGCGCGAATTTTAGTACTGCGCGAAATATAATCCGCGCGAAAAGCTTTGTAGTGTAATATGAGACATTCATTGTTGGTTATGCAAATCAGTTGTTTTATTAACGCATATACATATTGACATATGCTTATAGTTGTCCTGGTAACATTAAAAATCAAAAATGTCTTCATTTTCATCCTGTACAATTTCAGTGGGGATATTCTCAGGTTCTACGTAGTATTCCGTCACGAATGCCTGCATTTTGCTGTATATCCTAAAACTTGCATTGTTCTGCATGACTGTTAGGGTAATAGGAATCTCCAAGCCTCCTTGTGGTAATGGGGATCGACGAAGTTTGATGTCACACACACATGCTTCTATATTGCCCCCATATTCAAAAAAGAACTTGCAAAATCGGGAAATCTCTCGAGGCAAATGTCCGACCAGTGACAATGGTTCAATCTTGCCTCTGATTATGGTAAACAGACCAATAGCATATTTGATTTTGGTAAACAGACCAATAGCACATTTGAACTGTAGCTAAACTTTTGTTTGACATATAAAGTATATTGTTAGGCAATATCATTTATTACATTTTTTAGTTCTTGTTGGGACAGTGAACTCACGCTTTATTTTGAAGCCATTTTTGAGGCCACCCAATCGCTTTTTTGATGAATATTTAGGTATTTCTTAATAAAGAAAGCTCAATATAAATGCGTTAATTATTAATAGTTCTTTTGAACAAACCAAAAAGAACGAGCACATAAAACTACTTGCGCGAATTTAAAGCTGCGCGAATAATTGTCAACAAAGTGCGCGAAATTAAATCGCGCGAATTTAAAGCTTAGCGAAAATGAGTACGACTCGAATTTTAATACAAGTAAGGTAATACAAGGTATACTTTGAGGTACTACAATGTATACTTTGAGGTACTACAAGGTATACTTTGAGGTAATACAATGTATACTTTGAGGTAATACAATGTATACTTTTAGGTAATACAATGTATACTTTGAGGAACTACATTGTATACTTTGAGGTAATACAAGGTATACTTTGAGGTACTACAATGTATACTTTGAGGAACTACATTGTACACTTTGAGGTACTACAATGTATACTTTGAAGAAAGACAATAAATACTTTGAGGTAATACAATGTATACTTTGAGGTAATACAAGGTATACTTTGAGGTACTACAATGTATACTTTTAGGTACTACAATGTATACTTTGAGGTACTACAATGTATACTTTGAGGTACTACAATGTATACTTTGAGGTACTACAATGTATACTTTGAGGTACTACAATGTATACTTTGAGGTACTACAATGTATACATCAAGGTACTACAATGTACAAGAAGGCAATAGACTTTAATATTTGAGGTTTGTGGATTTTGCAAAGTTTTCAATGTCTCACAAAAATAATCATTTGTAATGAGAATACATGCAAACTTATATGCTAAAGACTCTTGGTCAAAATTCTGCAAATACAGGTTTCGACAGATTTGAAGTGAATTTTATTCTGTTCGTGCATTTCTAGAAAAAGCAACCAAATTTCTCCTGAATGCAATACCAAAGGACAAGAGTTGAAGCAAACAATTGAAAACAGCAAAGACTGGTGCCAAGAACGGAAACAACCGTTTAAAGTTGAATATTCAAAACAAAATAACAATCGCTACGGAGATGATGACTTCAATAAAGTTTGGAAAAACATTCAGTCGCAACATGAGTGAACTGGCCCTTAACTCTATGGTCATTTGTTGGCGATGCTTTATATCCTAATGTACTCAACTATAATGTAATGTACTCAATCATAATGTAATGTACTTAACCATAATGTAATGTACTCAACCATAATGTAATGTACTCAACCATAATGTAATATACTCAACCATAATGTAATGTACTCAACCATAATGTAATGTACTCAACCATAATGTAATGTACTCAACCATAATGTAATGTACTTAACCATAATGTAATGTACTTAACCATAATGTAATGTACTCAACCATAATGTAATGTACTTAACCATAATGTAATGTACTCAACCATAATGTAATGTACTCAACCATAATGTAATGTACTCAACCATAATGTAATGTACTCAACCATAATGTAATGTACTTAACCATGGAATACCCTCAAGTACCAGACTGGGGTGTGCAATTTTTTGCTAAGAGCATGAAATTTTGAAAAAGTATGATATGTTATAGAAAATATAGTGAAAATTTGCATTTCTGGCACACAAAAACCAACAAAAATGAAAGGCAGGCGTGCAAAAATTTCTATAAAATTTGATCTCAGGTGCGCAGGTTTTCAAACCTTCCAGTCTGGCTCAAGTGTAATGTAATGTACCCAACTATAATGTAATGTACTATAACTAACTTACATACTAAGAATCCATTCCATTTTGATTTAAGATGCGCCATCATTCACTTTGTATCATCTTTCTTGTATTCACTTGTCTTCTCGAAAAGTTTATTTGCTAACCCACGTACATCCGGAATCTAGAATAGAAAAATTATATCATGTTAATGACTACACTCCATCTTCTATATTGTTGATAAACATGTAGAAATGTAAATGACATCTGTATATGACTACATAAAGACAACTCTTATAGTATAGTGTATAATACAAGATGATTAAAATATATTCGCCACCTTATGTTGTTTACATTTATGATTTGAAATTCGACAGCCATAATAGGTGGGATGATACAAAATGTCATTTCTTGACGACACTTTGTAGGGAGTAGGCAATCACTTTGAAATTATTAGGTAAATCCCAAATAAAGACCAACTTTCTTATTTTTAATGATTTATAATAAAATCAATAACTGGGAGCAAAGCTTTGGCAAATGAATAATAACGAACCACTTAGTACTTACATTATAATTCTGTGCCAAATATAATCCAAGAACCCCACCACAACCAAGGCCAACCTATAAAAGGGGACAACAAAAGAGACAGTAAATTTACATTTCCGTCATGTCATTGAGCTTTATTGGAAAATGTGGGAAAAGTTTGATTACCAGTAATGAACTCAATCTCGATAAGTTCGACATTATCAAGCAGTGTGATTTTAATGTCAACCCAATTTCTAGTGTTAAAATAAGAGAAGTGAACTCAACAATACGACTAGATCAACGCTCGTTTCGAAATGGCGCCATCTTTTTTTACTTTGATGCAATAACTTTTGACATGATTCCATCCATCAAGTTAATGCGTTTTTCAAATTTTTGAAAAACCATATTTCCATGTACATATAAATCAAGAAATAAATTACGAAGTACAAGACCCCGTTAAGTTTTTTATCAAGTTTCGAGGAATCGTTAGTGGTAATATACATCAGAGAGCCAGTGCACATGATGAATGATCATCTGCCTAGAATAATCCTACATATGGACCGTTTTTTATAGCAAAATTTATTTAGGAACATCTTTAACGGTTGATCACATTATGTAAAAATAACAGAGTTTTCGATAGTGGGTAGAACATCTTCAGTAAGCCATTTAGTTATTTTTGAATTTTTAATGAAGGCACTGCGAAGAGTAGAAAAGCGCAAATCTTATTTTAGTGAATCCAAATAAGTTTTGAGTTTTGAGATTCAATTCAAGATGGCCGCCAATATACGAAAGTTTTTGTGTCGTTGTATTATAAGTAAATGTTTCGAAAGGACTGTCAGTGATAACTTTTGTGGACGTTGGTTACGTTTTAATAGCACATCAGTATCGAGTAAGTGAGACAGAAGTGTTTTGTCCACCACTTTTTCTTCTAGTATTTGTGACCTCTACATCATTCACCGACCATAAATTCATCTAATCATCTTTTTGTTCATAATACACTTCTTTCGTAATTTTGTCCGTTGTATTTAGGATATAATGGAGAAAAGAAAATTAGGATAGACCGCAGAAGAGAAAAATTTTACGCCAAATGAAAGCAGAGATATTAGAAAAGAACATTTCAAATCCTGAAATGGAAAAGTCGGCAAGATCTAGAAAATGTAAGAAAGCAAGATGGCAAACGTGAATTTACATTATTGCGTTGTCAATGTTCGTCCTATTCATTTAAGTGTATTTCCGTAGCCTTGCTTGTGATTCAAGCTTCGTGAATCGTATGTCAGCCGGAGTGTATAACAGTGTGCGAATTAATTCAGAAATAACGATGTGCAATTTTTGACAAAAGTGTTTCTTTAGAGGCATTATCAAATCGATATTACGTTAATTATTATATAGCGCTAATTGCTAATATAATATTTTTAAACGTGAACAAATTCATATGATTTACGACAGTGTTTCTCGTTAAAACCGCTGAGTTTTGCACATCGTTTGAAAAAGTGATGTGCAATTGTTTTCATTTTAGCTAAAACGACGTGCAAATTGCACATTGCACACCGTTAATTCGCACACTGGTGTACAACGTGCAGTCAAAACAGAGTATATGAAGAGTTATGAAAATCTTGGCGCATGCGTAATTGGCGCACGATCGTCCATGTTAACATACTCTAAATTCTTTGCTGACGGTACAAAGTTGTGCACAAGTAAAACAAATTAGCAATACATCATCGTAAGGGGGAACTGTATGATGCAAAATAGTGCATACCGATGTAAAAGTAAAATTTTCCATGCAATTTTTCATCAAATGTTTACAATGCGAGGAACGAAAAGTTCAAAATTGCTTACATGCATAAAATACTCTAATGACCCAAAGTAGGGAAATCTGCCATGACCAGGTAATGCAATGGATATTCTGTGGGAAAGTTATTTCCTTGGCACACATCAGCCCGGTATGCCAAATGACAAAACTCCAGCAATAACGATTCGTGAGATGCCGTTGCTATTCAAGTCAGCAGAGCCGTTACTCTATCATCCAACTGATTTGTCCCAAACTATTAATAATCAACATATATTTCAGTGTGAAAGATTGTTACATGCAGTGCGGTGTTTTGAAATTAAATGAAGATATGATCTTCGCACTTTGCTGGACAATTTGCTGATCATATCTTCATTTAATATATTTTAGTGTTGATACCATTAAACGATGTAAGAAAAGAATGGATGTCAAAACATTACCCTGATCAAGTGCAAACCATGGCATCCTATTATGGAGTCTTCGATCACATGCTCGAGGGAAAGTGCTTTAGACCTTCGGTTGTCATGGATGTGAACTACAACAAAGATGAAGTACATTATGGAAATTTTCTACAACCTGAGAAGGTTCCACTGTTTAAGTTGAAAGTCATCAAATCGAAAATACAACTACATACTTCAATTACATTTCTATGCAGGCAACGTGCGAACCAGATGTGTCTTTTCAACCAGTTGACGACTCTTTAACAACCTTGTTGATGTTAAATTTAGGTGGGTTTCCTTGAACATTAGACACTGCTGTAGAAACTTCGTTGATTTGATTCCTATTCAAGAACATGTAATTTTTACATTTGAACAGATGGTAATATTTTCTCAAAGGATATTGAAGTACTTCATTGGATGGTGTAAGTTCAATAAGTGCCCTTTTCTTGTGTAACCCTAACACACCCACTTATGCCCGCTTTCTCAATTTCCACTGCATTTTCAGGGCAATATTCCCAATGGAGAAATCAAGCAAGGCGAAGTTGTTAGTCAGTACACCCCTGTCCAATGAAAGGCACTGGATACCATAGGTTCGTGTTCTGTTTACTCAGCCAAAATGACTACCTTAATTATGAAACCATGTCCGCGGAATTGTTTTCCAGGTAAAATTGGTGTTGCTAACGTGTTTCAAATATTATCTGATTTCGACAAGAGGTGACCATTTCTTGCTAATTCATTCATCCAGATGTTTGAGTCGGAGGTCGTTTAAAACATCCTCCTTCGTCGAAGATTACGATTTGGATCCAATTGGGTTGTCGTTCTTTCAGGCGTCATGGGACGAGTCCGTTTCAAATACATTCACGGAAATTTTAGGTGATCTTCATGAATAAACTAATTTTCAAGTGGTCCAATTGCATTTCCTAATTAGTATCTTGGGCTTTTCTAGGCATGCGCGAACCTTTGTATGAAAGCGACGTTCTTAACTCCGAATCAGAAGAAACGTGTGGGTCGCCGAACGCTTTGTCGTGGTTTCATCATGGTGGTGGTCGGTGGTGACGTCATGTGTGACGTCACGACCGTGCTCTTCCCTAAGATATGTGGATACATTTGTGTCCTATATGATTTACAATTAACGTAACATTTATCCTTATTTCTAGTAAAATTTGAAATTATTTGAAATATCTTTCATTTAAACATGTAAAATATAAACAGCGGATATTTAGAAGCTATTTCTATCGCCGTAAGCGAACTCTTCTTTATAATTTGTTCTTCGCGAAAAATAATCTTTACATAATTATTCCCTCGCATATATAAACGACATTTAAAATATTTTTCCGTAACGCACAGTGGAGAAAACTAACAACGTCACTTACATACCAACAAAACACCATGAATAACAGATAGCTGACTAGTTCTCATATTTTTAAAAAGTACATTATACATAACTTTATGTGTTGACCTAAACTAAGTTAGGTGACAGGCAACCACTGTGCTATTTACTAAATACGTTAAAGGAACGCGATTGGCCAATTTGCTCCAATCTTAATGATTGTGGTGAGCTCGCATTTAACGTTATGGCTACGGGCAACACCTCTCACACAGTGCTCTCACATATGCAAAAATGTTGAATCGGATGCTTTATCAAGCTCCATAATTTTAAACACCTAAGCTCCGGTGAAAGCTATCTATTTGCTATATACTACATAACAGAACAACACGAATCCTTTTCTAACTGAACGTCGACACCATGAAGCTCAATCAGCTGTTCAAGAAAGGTTAGATCATTTTTAGGGTGCATTCCCATCTTGCGAATGGCGTCAAAGGCCAAACGTTTGTCCCTTGTCGATGCGGCGTCTATTATAGCTTGGAAAATACTGTTGTTTAAGTCTGAAAAAAATTTTGCATACATTTTTTCATCATCGATGCATTCGCCATCACTGATTAACTGATTGGATCTATAAAAACAAATGACAAATTTATTGATGAACAATGAAATTCCATCATATTCTTAGGATAACAGGTGTATAGCCTGCAAAAACACGTTTCTCGATAGTGATAGGCAAAGTTTTAAAGAATATTTGCTGCCAAACCAAAAACCTAAAAGAGTCCTATTGAACCGGCTTGATTTTGAAAAGCAAGTGGGATTCAACAAGTTCATTGTCAAAAAGCGCCGTTTGCTTGGTGTTTTTGAGGAGTTTGAAAAAACCTCTCCGTTCAGATATAAGCATATATTTCACTTTGCTGTGTAAGATTGTGAACTTGTGGAGTGTATACCTAGGTGAAAGCAAGAAAAATCATACCGATACTCAAGCAATCGCTTATATCTGTCTTTATCACAGCTGTTAACGTGTTGTATTGACGATAGATACGATTTCGATTTGATATTTTGATTATTCACGTAGACATCGTACAACTCTTCTTTAGTTTCGAATATCTTTTCGGTCGTACCTGCATAAAACATTACAGTGACATTCAGCAAAGGATGGAACTCGTCTTCAAAAAAACGCTTATACAAAAGCATTGTCCCAGAATGCAACCTGCTCATGCATTACGTCACCGTTCATTCACCTTGCTTTTATTAAAGTGACATTATAACATTAAAGTGACATTTATTACATTAAAGTGACATTTATTACATTAAAGTGACATTCAGCAAAGGATGGAGCTCGTCTTCAAAAAACGCTTATACAAAAGCATTGTCCCAGAATGCAACCTGCTCATGCATTACGTCACCGTTCATTCACCTTGCTTTTATAGTTTATAAATTATCACTATCAAGTAAGGCTCTGAAAATGCATTATTGCATCAGTACACTTTGACTTATTCTTGGGAAACGAAATCTCATCGAAAACATGAAGTAAAAACAACCATCAATTTATAACAAGAAACCAAAGCCGTTTTGATTTCATTACAAGAAGACTAACATTAGATGATATAAAAGAAAACAGTGCTTACTACAAAACATAAATGTAGTCGAGTGTATTGAACAATTCACACGCAGAATGACTAGAATTGAAAAGAACTTACAAGCGATGTATTTGTGTTCGCTTTCCAATTGAGGAATATCGAAGATGTTTGTAAAGAACAATGGATTCGTCCCAGTCTCTAACGAAGGGGAGACGGAATGGTTTCCGAGTAGGCAAGCACAGTAAACTACAAACGGTAGAGGAACAAAAATTTCACTTAAAAAAACTTGGTTGAACCTCCACATTACTACATCTTCTACACGCATGACTTGTGGGCAATGACGTAAATTCAAACGCGAATAGGAGAAGTTGAGTCTCGGCACTTTTCTTCCACGATAAAGAGCCATTGATTGAAGTGCACCCTACTTCTCCAGTCGGTCCAATTACGTTCGACTTTAGTCAACGCTCGGCCAATCAACGCTCGTGTTATATTTACCTCTATAACAGGAGATTCCGACTGGCGGTGGTGAAAAGAATAATATGCGACGGTGAAGCAAGATAAATTTCCATATAACGAATATCTTTTCACCAAACAAATTCAAGAATTGTGAAAAACAACCGGCAGGATGCGTTATCTATGACAAAACAAAACGAACCAATCAACATATGTCTTTCCATAGCATTAATGACTGCATGAAAAGTGTTGACATTACTGCTTGGATAGCATAATCTATGTTAGAAAAAAAATTTTAAATTTCGAAGAACATAAAACTAATAAGTATTGTAGCAGAAATTTAGTCACGAAAAATATTTTTCAGTTTGATATCCACGTAGTAACTTTTCTGTCTCACTGACCTGCAAGAATGGAAGATCTTCTACACCGAATATCTTTTCAGGAGAATGCAACCAATTGTTCTTCACTTTGCAAATTCGAAACTTATGAAAGTATTTGACGAGATTGTCATATGATCCAGGATTATCAAGTTGATGGCTAACGAGACAAAGCAAGAAATTTCATTTGCCTGTACATATATGCACCTCTGGCAAATATCAACACGACAGAGTGCTCAATAAAGATTTGATAAATTGTATAAATATATTGCTATCATTGTTATTAAGCTTCGTCTTTAAAGATATTCAGTACTTACTTTTTCTGATAATGTTATCATACATAGGAACATTTATCTATAGCCTACATATTTCTTTACCTTACTTCATCCTCGAGGAACTCCATATGTGAGTGGAGTGATGTGTAATTTGAACAGATAATGCCAACAGATTTCATTCTTGCACCACGTTCATCCTCATTATCAACATTTATCCGTTGATAACAGCTTAGGCCAAACTCATTGGACTCATGCCTGAAGTAACTGCAACACAGAGAAACACAATCGAAGAGAAAAATCAGGAACAGGCTTCAGGCATCAAGTACGATAAAGATCAAAATTAGAGAACCTATTGAGTCTATTGTGTGGAAATTAAAGAAATTGTAGAATTGAGGAAAGAAATAGTTGGGATGTTGTGTGCTGTAAGTAGATTAGTTATGTGCTGACTTTGTCTTTAGTCTATGGCTGACAATCTATACAAAAGTGGTTAATTATTCAAATGTAATTATAAATATAATTCAGCTAGTTTATTCTCACACAAAATCTTTGAATATCGTATGCGATCCGCTTGCCAGAGCTTTGAATTCCACTCCAATAAGTGTGGCTGATTCAGGATACTTCCACTCGATTGTGTTGCCTAGGATGAAGAATCACAATGCACCTTCAAATATGGAAACTTGAGCTTGGGAACGTCGTCAGCACAATATAACAACATACGTAAGCTAAAACACTTAAAGGCAGTAGTCTTCGGTACATTATAAAGTTTTTCTAAAGTGTTGCTTTTAAGATCAAATCCAATGGTGCGGCTGAAATTGTCAAATAACTAACCTTTTCTAGTGTCAAAAGTCACAACAAAAACAGCCAAGATAAATTGTTGGTGATCACGTTCTTTTTGTGTGACTGCGCCATAATTAAACAGCTCTTGTCCAGCAGATTCACGTTGACAATTCTCTTCTGCGTGAAAATATGTCGATTCGGGTATTTCTTCGTTGGAAACTAGACCCTTTAAATCATCATCCTCCGTAGCCATATTGCATTACAATGATTTAAATGACCTAACGTCAACACGCCCCGGAAATAATATTTCTGTCAATGAAAATTGAAAGAAGCCATAAAAACCTCTTCAAGAATTATTATTTGAAATGAATTGTTTTTAGGAAATAAGCAAACGTCCATTCATGAATAGGGAAGATCGATGACTTATGTTCTTTTCATGTTTTTCTTCATAGTTTTTTGCTCCAGACGTTGAGTCATTGAGGTAAAATCCTTTATCATTAATACATTATTTTATATCTAACTTTCTTCAATGACCGCAAAGCCGATTTCAATATGAGTAGTCGAGACAAAGTTATATCTTCAGAAAATAATGAAAGAATGAACAATATGGTAAATTCCAACGGTAAATTCCCAGAAATTCTTGAGTTGCCAAGCGACAATTGGTGAATGAAACTATTTCAGTTAGAAAACCCACAATGCATTGCAACATTGCTCCTGAAAATGGCGTCAGGCTTTAGAAATAAAAGAATTATGTAAGTTGGCATGTCATGTTCGAGTAATAATCTCCGTTACGTTTGAAATGGCCGCTGCTTCTAATATAGAGAAGACCGTCTATTTAGACTACAACGCAACAACTCCTCTAGCTCCTAGCGTTTTGCAAATTATACACGAAACGTTACGCGATGCATGGGGCAATCCAAGCAGTTCCCATTTTGCTGGAAAGCAAGCAAAAGAAATCATAAATGTGGCGAGAAATAGAGTGGCGACAATGATTGGTGCGTCGAACCACAATATCGTATTCACATCGGGCGGTACTGAAGCAAATAATATGGTATTTTTTAGTGCAATGAAACATTATAACAACTGCTGCGACAAAAAAGGCGGCGAAAAGGCGCTACCGCATTTCATCACGTCGAATATCGAACACGATTCTGTGATCCTTGCCATCGAAAATATGGTAAAGGAAGGTTTGTGTGAGAGAAGCATTGTGGGAATGTCACCATCTACGGGAATGGTGGATGTTGAGCAGATCTTTAATGAAATTCGACCAAACACGTGTCTCATATCTGTCATGATGGCCAATAACGAATCGGGTGTTATACAGGTTATTCTTATATAATTGGTCATTCTTCTTAAAAAGATTCACTTAGTGTTTTCTGTCCAGTTATGGCTTAGCAAACTATATATAAACTATGTATACTTAGGACTGCAGGTATTTTACATGTTTTGTTCTCAAGGCAAGCAAACCTCTAGCTTGGCTTCTGAAGAATAGTGACTAGGGATGCATGGGGCAGAAAGCAAATTCTCGTAATAAATGTTAAAGCCCTGCACCTGCAGAATGCTTTCAAAAGAGCCATCAAATACAAGAATTATGTATGAAAAAGGAATATTTATTAAAAAATATTTATTTACAACGTTTGATCTTGATTCTCAAGACATCGTCAGACACTATTATACGGGCTTTAAAATGAATTCCAAGAAAGATATCATTATGATTTCAGCCAATAAAGGAGATCGTTTCCCGAATCAGAAGTTTGAAACATTCCCAAGATCTTGCTGACTGCAATGCAACGAAGATATTCATTCATACAGACGCAGCGCAGGCCATTGGGAAAATTAAAGTGGACGTTTCTGAACTTGGAGTTGATTACCTTACAATTGTAGGGCACAAATTTTACGCCCCTCGAATAGGTAAAAAAGCATGGCGCGATGCATGGTTTGAAGCGCTGATTGATTTGATATTTACCACTGTCTTTAAAGGCTAGTTTTATGACCATACGATCATAAGGGTACTTTGTTCTCACTGTCCACGAGCTAAAAGTATATTTCACCATTTAAGCTATCGTTTCCAACTCGTCAATTGTTGTTGCTAGGTGCATTGTTCGTGAAGGCACCGTCCGAAGACACGCCACTTTTTCCAATGTTATTTGGCGGAGGCCAGGAGCGTAATTTTCGTCCTGGCACGGAGAACACCGGAATGATAGCTGGTCTCGGTGAAGCTGCCCAACTTGTCATAGATAACCTCGAAGCTTACCATAAACACATGAAAGAGGTATGAAAAAATTTTAGGCAAATCTCTCTTGTACAGTGTGTAAAAATTACGTGGCCGTTATCCTAAACCAGAGGTGGGCAACATACGGCCCGCGGGCCGGGTCCGGCCCCTGAAGGGATTTTGACTGGCCCGCCGACTGTATCCGACCATTGAATATTGAATATTATTCATGTAATAATCCGGCCCACCAATAACTTCATGTTCCTAAATCTGGCCCGCCGACTGGAGAAGTTGCCCACCCCCCTCCTAAACTGTGCTCATATGTACGGTGTGATATTATGATGATGATAGTTAAGAGCTTTCAGCAATCGTTTGAAACAAAGTATAAGAGGTTTTTACTGTCTACTCTTCTTTAAGAGGTTGGTACAGGGGCGGATTACTCACTAGGCTAAAATACAGGCACGGCTTTCGAAGGGCCCGTTGCATCTGCACATAATTAGTTTTTAGTTTTTGCCATTCTGGACAAGTTAAATGCTCTTAATTTAGACTATTTATGCTGTTAAGAACCGTACTATAGTACTGTTCAAATGCACGATGCTCAGAACTCGTGAAGTTGTGGGTTTTCCCAGCGACAACTGTAAATTTATTCCTTATTGTTGATACTATGAGTTACAAAAACAACCTGGGAAATGTAAAGGCAACGCAGCGTAAGGACCGCAAATGTCATCAAAAAATTGAACATAGTTGGAGGAATACATATCCGACTTAAAGTCCAACAAGTTTGTCTCAGATGTTTGTAAATGTAGATCGTCCAGGTTGGTATAGTCCTGAGATGGACTGTTTTTGTTGTTGTTGACTGACGTTTCGACAACCTTAGCGGTAGTTATCTTCAGAGTCAAAAAGTTTGTCTTAGCCTATAGGCTCCGTAACTCGTAATCGGCCACTTGGTTTGTTGTCATCGACGGAGAACCCACTAGATATTATCTCTTCTCCTTAGGTTCGTGAATATCTGGAGAAACGGCTTTTACAAGTGTTTCCGAATCAGATTCATTTTAATGGAAAATTCAACGACGTCGATGGAAGAATTCCGAACACATGCAACTTTTCCATTCTCGGCTCCCAACTTCACGGTCATCGCATTTTATCGCGGCTAAAAAAGACGCAGATCAGCTTAGGCGCCGCATGTCACTCTGATAAGGTGTTTGCCCCTTCTAAAATCCTTCTCGCTATGGGCATCAGTTACGACATTGCCAGTAATGCTTTGCGCGCTAGCGTTGGCAGAGAGACAACTTTCAGTGATGTTGATTGTGTAGTTGATGATCTTTTTCAGGCCGTAGTTGAACTCAAAAAATGCTGGAGAAGAATAGTGGTAATAATCCGAGATTGATCCCAATCTAATCTGTAATTAATAAGTCGCCCATTTTCTTGTGCTATAAGATTAAGGGTTAGGATTTGGGCTAAGCGTATTTGTAGAACTCGGAAATAGATGCGACTTAATCCCTTATGTAAATTTAGGATTGTACCGCCGTATAATTTACCAATGTAAAACGGTTTTATAATAAAATTTATAACTGCTAATTGATTCCGGGGGGAGTGAAAAACTGACGTAGTTCTTCCGAATACTTATAAACAACATGGCTACTCGAAAGGAGAATACGGAGAGTGTTGCTGGTGATACGATATCTCGGCTATATCCAAAGGTTGACGAAACCGAAACGCCTTTGCCCAGATCATGGAGCCCCAAAGATAAATGTTCTTTTATTGGTTTGTCTCAGACAAACTTAAGAGTCCATTATAAAGGCAAGTTTGTTGTCAAATGTGACATCTTTCTAAGTGTTATTCGATTGTTTTCGCTCAAGTTCTTAAACAGTGGACGAAATTTAGTTAAATGTATATATATCTTTGGATGACTTCGCTCATGTACGCTTTTGTGAAAAATAACCTCATTGTAACCATTGACGTGGGCGTCTGTTAAAAATATATGTGTTTTAAATTTTGGCGTGTTGTTCAATATTGGGAAAAGTGTTTGTAAACTGCTTGTCTTATTAGGATAACTGGAAAAAAGCCCTTCGTCATGGATTTTAATTGCCTCAATAGTAATGTTGATTTGTATTATCATAATGGCAGTCAGCTTTTTAGTTCTTTGTTGACTGACCCAACGATAGATGTGTCGGATATGACACAACTAGTATAACATTTCAAAGACTATTGTTTTTTTGTTTTTATGGTTTAGAATTTAATGGCTACACAAAGTACGCAGTTTTCTGTATCTCCTTGCTTGTCTTAAATTATTCTCATGTAATTAATAAAAGTGATAGACAACATGTGCATGTTTTATGTAGTACTAGGAGCAGCTAGCCTAAAAGAAAACAGCTGTCTTTTTTTTAATTGCAAGTGAAGCCTCTATATCAAGAGAGCTATTATGGCTAAATAGCCTTCAATCTAAGCTTTCAGGATTCATGATTTTAAAATTCATCTATATTGTTGCCAATGAGGTGCCAGGCGGGAAACGGATTCTCAATATAAATATTAGAGCCCAACAAATAATTTTAAACATAGTCATATGCAATTTGATTTTATGAAATTTATTAAAAGAATGACATAAAGAGTGAGAAAATTTATCATTAAGGCCTTTGAAAGGTCTTGTGATTTATGTAGTATCGTGTAGGCAATGCAATTGAGTAAAAGTATAGAGCAGAAACTCAGCTGAAGTCATTTGTACATTACATTTTTAGGTAATGGTAGGAATCATAAAGATGCTGCTGCTGTAAGGGCTACGCATCCGATACCGGCATCCTGTGGGCTCTACTACTTTGAGATAAAAATCATTAGCAAGGGTCGAGACGGGTAGATTGAGATTGACTTGCTATGGATGTCATTTTTTTTCCATTGTTTGCTCAAATTATGATTAAAAATCTGTTCCAGGTACATGGGAATCGGCCTCTCTTCGCAGGGTGTTCATTTAAGTAGGCTACCAGGTAAATATGATATAAATGGTTTGCTGTTCACACACCCCCCGGCATTCCAAAGACGTCAAAAAAAAATGTGTGGTAGGCTGCCTAATTTTGCACTAATGTTCTTGTCTTTTCTTTCCAACTAATTTGTGTATGTCAATATCAGCAAGTGTGTCAACAATGTAATCAATAAATGTTACTCAGGTTGGGAGAAGCAGTCTTATGGTTACCATGGGGATGATGGGAATTCTTTCTCTTCTTCTGGTTCGGGTACGCCATACGGCCCCACGTTCACTACTGGTGATGTTATTGGATGTGGTGTGAACATGATTGACAACACAGCTTTTTATACAAAGAATGGTCTTAAATTAGGTAAAAGATTTGTTTACAGTGTATGATAGGTCATTTCTCATATGGGAAAGTATTTGAATTAATCCTGAGTGACAAGACCAAGTTACAACCCTTGATTGATCCTTATATCTAAAAAGTATTTTTTTTCAGGAATTGCTTTCACAGATTTGCCAGTAAGTTGTACAAAAAACAATTATCTTTCATTAGAATGTAGATCATCTAGATAAATTATCATCATCTTCAAAATTCCAATGAGTTTTCTTCCTATCAGTTGAAGTTGTACCCCACGGTTGGTCTTCAAACTCCAGGTGAAATAGTTGATGCTAATTTTGGGCAGACCCCTTTTGTCTATGATATTTATGAAGAGTTTAAGGTCAGTAGATAAACAGACTCTCTATTTGTTGTATGTTGCAATTTAATGTTGAAAACTTTTGTTTTCTTGAAGGAATTGCAAGCGCAAGTGAATCGTAGCATAGAAACATTTTCAATTAGTGATAAACATTTGTGTTGGCAATCTACCATGCAAAAGTGAGTTTGAAATCAAGATAGTTACGCGTTGATACTTGCAAAATAGCATTTTAAGGCTCTGCTCTATTCATTAGATTAGTATCAACATATCTGATCCATCATGGCTACTCGGCCACAGCCGAGGTGTTTGCCAAAACCACCGGTCAACCTATTTTAGAAGACCTATTATCGATCAAGAACAGACAAAGTATGAAGTGTTTGTATCTTCATGATACTGTCCTAATTAGCATTCTTAGATTCTCACATGATTATTTCACATTTCTGCCAGGAATCCAGAAGCTGGTACTTGCCGGACGAATCGGGGATGCAATTGAAACAACGCAAAAACTTTATCCCGGATTGCTTGAAAGGAATCCAAACTTATTATTCTTGCTTAAATGTCGGCAGTTTGTCGAAATGGTCAGTGGTAACGACAGTGATGTTAGGGGACCTGGTATCCACAGTCCAACACGTAGCAATAAAGCCACCCCCTGTTCCAGTCCAACACATCCTCATAGTGGTAACAGTGGGAGTGGAAGTAGTTTAAATTCTCCTTCGCATTCAAGTAACGGCTTCATGTCAAATGGGATTCAAAATGGAATCAACTGTGATGAAGAGACATTGATGGAAATTGAAGAGGAAAATGAGACTCGAATTGTAAGAAATGGTTCCCATAATGGAGACGCCTTGCAGGAAGAAGTATCTATCAGTCCTAGACAAGGTAATGTTGATTGTCGTAGCTAATTACCAATAACCATAACAACATGCTGTCCTTTTTGTGCATCTATTTCAATGTGTTTGGTTTATTTCACAGAAACTTTTCAGAAGCGTATGCCTAGTCTCCTTGGAAATAGCGAATTTATTGAAAAGTTATTAGCATTTGGTAAAGAGTTAAAATTGTTGAGTGTTGAACTTAAGCAAGAATATGGGACAAGTGCTTCCAATAAAAGAGCTATAGAGGTGATTAAAATGGAAGTTCAACCTTACAATGAAATATTTTTGACCATTGATTCTCTCTGACTTCAAAATTTTTTTATCAAGGATGCATTCAGTCTACTAGCATATAATGATCCCCACAACAGTCCAATTTCTTACCTTCTTGATGCAGCACAAAGAGAACCCGTATGCGCTGCCTTGAACAGTGCCATTCTTGGTGAGTTACCTGTGATAGCCATTGAATGTAGTCCACATCAATGAAAATCTAGAATTTTCTTGACATACATTGACCAAAAATCAATGAAGCATTCACACTCCACATCTGCTCAATATTTAATTGTCTGCCACTGGACTTGATATGAATCTGTTTGTCATTGCATCCCTACTTATACACAACACTTCGAAAGTCAAACTTTGTTTAACCAAGCATAAAATGTATTGATTTTTATTTAGAATCTCAAGATCAGCCACGGCAACCACAACTAGAACTTTGTCTTGGGCAAACTCTCGAGTGTTTAAAATTAATGGCAAGGTCGGGACTTGGTGCATGCGCATTTGTCAGTTTAGATGGTGTGCTTAAGGGGTGATTACATATTTTTGAAAGTTTTTTGTAAATATTCATATTACATATTCTAATTATTTTAAACATAAATTGTAATAAATGGCATATGTTGTGGGCTCATACGTTACAATCTTGCTCCATTGCTTGTGTTCTGCATGTTTTCCTTCATAATTTACACTGTATATTGAAGAAATTGGTATTTCTTCATCTGATATTAATATTTACACCCAATGGTGAACAGAGCCACATAAACACATGTACAATTTATTCAAATTTGCCAACTTGCTCTCTGTACTTTTTTTCAACCATTTCACCGAATTCTTAAATTGAAAAAAAATGTAATCATGGAAAATGGATAAAGCTTTTGTACACTGCAAACTATTACAAGAAGATCGCCTCTACCTGTTTTATTTTCCCACAGCTTTGCTGCTTCAGGGTTTAGTGGATCTTTGTTATTTGGTTCTAAAATAACATTTTCAATTATTACAATTTACATGCAGTGATGAAGCAATTTTTAAAAGCATTGATCTCTAAAGATTTATAGCTACCTGAAAGCAATAGTTGGATTGATAGTAGAACTGTTCTGACATCCATAAGCGCAGACCACTTATCCTAAACAAAAAGATCAAGATGGAACCAACTGAACAAGGGAAAATGACATGAAGCTGTCGATGGCGGCTGACCTTCAGTATATCAAGACATATTGCTCCTTGGTTATCAACATTTGGATGGTAGCATGGGGTAATGAACTTTACTTTTGGTGGAACAAAAGGATACCGATCCGGAAATTCTATTTCCAGTTTGTAGTCAAGGCCTGCATAAGCCTGCAATTAAATTTTAAGTTAGCAAACAAAGAAGCTAAATAATGAAGTCACACTTAAGTCATGAAAGGAAAGTTGGTGAGTCCTTAAAAGAGGAAAAATCTCAACTTAATAATAAATTGAATCATGATTGTGGTTGTAGCTTCCTCGAACCTTACCGTGTCTTCTGCACCGCTAATTGTTGCCTTCCATCGAAACAGGTTGTCACCATCAGGAAAAGCGGACACAAATTTCTCTCCACTACTCTAATAATTTGCAACATAAAATAATACATTCAGGTGAAACTGGTGTTGAAGTCTGAAATTGAAGAACAGTTCAGCAATCAAATCCCCAAAGGCTATTTTAATAGTTGAATTGTTTCATAGAAAGGAAAGATAAGATAAGTAAAATCCACACATGAGGCATAAATTGTCAGAAAACGACCATACAAAAGCAGTATAAGTTTGAAACAATATCTTAACAACTAAATCAGACACATATCGCCGCTACTACCATTAGAGTCATCAAATCTTGCTGTAATCTAGACAAAAGAGCATGATCATATCAGATTAATTTCATTGAGGATCCAACGGTCGTTGATAACAGTAATTTCTTCCTCAAAGTGAGCAGAGCTCAGTTGGTCAGTGTCAACTACCTTTGTGTAACAGAATGTAATCCACCAGGCAAAACATTGCTTTTCCCGCGTTGTTTGCTTGTGCTACTGTTAGTAGACGAAGGGTCTATATTTTGAGAAGCCATGAAACTCGAAAAACTTAAATTTTTGTGATAAACAAAGCAAGTTAAAATTATTTCTCAAATCTACAATGAAAGGAAATTCGAACGACGTTTTAAATTTAAATGAATTAAATCTTTATTACAACTGACCAATCATTTATCACGCCAGTAAAATTCAACCAATCATTGAAAAGTATCGTTATAAAATTGGAGGACAACCTTTCGTTCTCATTCTCCTCTGTATATATTCGCTTTACGCATGCGCACGGTCACATGGCCTTTTATGTTTGTATTTTGAAATTGTAGAGGGAAGTATTGTCGCCGTAAAAATGCCTTATGCTAACCAACCGATCATCAGAATTAGTGAACTGAATGAAGAAAATATAAAGTTTATTTTAGAGAATACAGATCTAAGGTAAACACCGACTATTTTTGAATACTTAAGATTCGTTTTATGTGACATTGGCAACTGACAAGCGAAAGTAGTTACAATCTCCCCCCCGTAAGACTTTCCTTATGTGAGTGCCATAGCAAAAATTGCCTTATCCTTGCTATTTACGTGTGTTTAAAGCACTGAAATTTCCTGTTAAAAGTAAGATATTCTCTCATGTCTGCAAGCATGCATTAAGAACAAATTCACCTCTGCATTAAATTGAAATGTAATTTTTTCCAGGGGGGATCAGAAGCATTTTAATCAAAATTAAATGTAATCTTAATTTTCCAATGTCCATATTTTATATAGCATGGCAAATGCCCTACGAAGGATATTTATTGCTGAAACCCCAACAATAGGTAAATACATTATAGATTATACTTTGTTTCCCTCTTTGATTTTTTATTGAGTCAAATTATTTGATTTTCATAGCCATCGACTGGGTTCAAATTGAAAATAATACCTCTGTACTTCATGATGAATTCATTGCCCATCGACTTGGTGAGTTTCCCAATCTCATTTAATTGACAAGAGCAATGTTGAATTTTATTGATAATTAGCATTCTAGGCTTGTGTGAGCTATCTTTAAGAGTGATAAATCTTGATTAGCTAAAACTAAAAGTAGCTACTTTAATGCAAGTTTACAGTTTAACACGCAGTTAGTTTTATTGCGTTGTGAACATCAGGATTTTTTGTTTTGCTCGTTAAATGAAAGATTGTAATAATGCAAAACACATGGTTGACGTTAGGTTAAGGGTTTGGAGAGTAAATCTGGGTACTTTTTAAAATTTTTTTGTGAGCCTGCAGTATTTTACTTTATTAAACAGCAGTGCTTGGGTGTCTTGCAAAATGAACTTGTTCATCTTTCTTTTAGGTTTGATACCTTTAAAAAGTGATGATTTTGTGGATGGAATGAGTTATTGTCGAGTTAGTCTATTTCTTTCTTTTCCCTTACCAATATGTCATTTTTACATTTTACCATATATTTATTAATTCTTTTGCTGCCAATTTTGTACTTCAAACATGTAGCAGCAATATCTTATTACATTTGCTAATCTTTTGATTTGTGAAAAAAATGTAAAATTTTTATGGCTAAAGCTGGAAGTCGACTAAAGTCCTTGATGGCAGTGAAAGAGTAGCTACTTAATAGCTTACTAAAAAGATCAATCACTCTTTTTTTGTGCATTTTTAGGACTGCATGTGTGAGGAGTTTTGTAATGAATGTTCAGTGGAGCTGACCTTGGATGTTAAATGCATTGATGAGCAAACCCGCCATGTGACCACACGGGACCTTATTTCATCAAATCCTCAGGTCATGCCGGTAAGTCTTGTCTTGTTGATTCATACCGCTTCTCTTTTATTCAGTCTTATTGTAAAAATTTTTCGGCTTTCAATGATATTATTATAATAATAGATTACAGTACCATGTCATTTTCTTTTTGAGTTTTCCCTTAGCTTGATAATGACTTGGAAATATTGTCGAAATGTTGCTTTTGAAACTCTTATCTCTTGTCAGTATGAGTTTACGTAATGATGCTCTTTGGAGTATGGTTTGTAAATTTTATTCACCCCCTGTGCATCGTACTGAATCCACTTGTTAAAAATGTCATGATCATGAGGAACTTTTTTGTTGGACTTTTCAGGCAACATCAAGTGACCATGACAACGATGGTGAAGACAAAGGTATGTGCTTCCACTCTGTACCATTATTTCATTTTCTACATCTATCTTGACTATATTGTTCAAGGAAAGGCCATTGGCATAGAAAGATAGTTAATAGTGGGCTCATATGCATGGTAAAATCTGTTAAGAACAACAAATTTCAGAGGAGCTTAACACTGCAGCTCTTGCATTATCAATATTTAACCACCACCACTCCTTTACTTAGCGATCTTCCTATGCCAATGGAAAAGGCAACATCGTGCTTTATGATTTTTATCCAATCAAAGCTATTTACAAAGCTAGGGTTAAATTATTCCACTTCAACATTGTTGACTTCTTTTAACATTCAAATAGTTTTCCAATGTCAACTGTTTTCTTGTTTTATTAGATATTCTTATTGTGAAACTACGGAAAGGACAGGTTGGTGTACAATGCAGAACCCATTTGTTTGTTGAAAATGGGCATTTGAGACAAAATTTTTGCTACAAATTAAATTTGAGAAAAAAAATTGTATGTTTTTGCTGTCGCTGTCTTCATGTCTTTATACGAATATTGGCTGTGAACACTCAACTTGTGTTCGAGTTTTGTGAAATCCTATCCCCTTAACATTTTTGCAGTCCTTTAAATGATATTTTTTCTTGAACAGGAACTAAAGTTACATGCCTTTGCCAAGAAGGTATGCTATATTATGTTCATCTGCTTCTGTCTTCTTCAAACATATCATGAGTTTGAGAGCCATATTTTATCGATCTTTAGGGGTTTGCAAAAGAGCATGCAAAATGGAATCCTACGGCTGGTGTTGCATTTGAGTATGATCCTGACAATGCTCTCAGACACACAACTTATCCCAAAGTCGAGGAATGGTACGTAATATTATTGTATTTTTGTAGGTTTTATACATTATTGTTTTCATTTGCACTTTTTTCATTTCCATGTAATCAAATAAATGTTTGTGCGGTATGGGATCTTGTAATGTTGCTTTAACTATCACTGATTATGTCAATATTAGTTCTGAAATGATGGAAACCATTAAATTTGCAGGCCGAAAAGTGAATATTCGCTGTTGGAAGAGGATGAATGTATGTAAAAGGAACAATTACAATCTTTTAAAACCATACCAGCATTGAAAATTTACGAATGCATGTTTCAAAAGTTAATAAAATGTTTTATTTTCCAGACCAAGCGCCGTTTGATCCAACAGGAAGGCCGGACAAATTCTTCTTTAACGTTGAGGTAAATTTTCAATAATCAATCGATTCTTTAAGCCAGCCATTCAGGTTATAGTGAAGCATGAGTTTTGAGGCTTGTAAATGAATCAGTTTGTTTGTCAGGTATTTTTATTTATAAAGCAAGTACATAGTGAAATTTTGGTCAAGTGGCTTTGTCATGTTACTCTATGGATAGCTACAGTGTGCGAATTAGTTCAGAAAAAACGATGTGCAATTTTTGGACAAAAGTGTTTCTTTAGAGGCATAATCAAATCGATATTACGTTAATTATTATATAGCGCTAATTCCGAAATTAATATTTTTAAACGTGAACAAATTCATATGATTTACGACAGTGTTTTTCGTTAAAACCGCTAATTTTTGCATATCGTTTGAAAAAGTGATGTGCAATTGTTTTCATTTTAGCTAAAACGATGTGCAAATTGCACATTGCACACCGTTAATTCGCACACTGAATAGCTATCATTGCCGGACAGCAAAGTCACTTGTCCAAGATGTTTGTATTTGTATTCAGAGTTGTGGTTCCTTACGTCCAGAAAACATTGTTTTGTCTGGTTTGTCCATCTTAAAGAAGAAACTAAGTGATCTTCAGACTCAACACAGCCAAGAAATAGCTGCAGACGCCCTCACGATTACACATTAAATCTTTGAGTAGGCCTTCTGTGTACTGGCAATACCTTAAGTGACCAAAAGATCTTAAATCACATCCACTGCATCACACTTCTTCAACTGTTCACCACTAAAAGCAGGATATACAACTTTTGCCTGGCAAAAAATAAAGGGTTGGCAATCTTTCCTACAAAGTAAGATGTCTTCACTTTCTTAAAACCCAAATGAATGTGAAGTTTCACTGAATAATGACAATAACTCGAGCATCATAATAATTTATAACCACTTTAATGTTAAATAAAAAGTATGTAAGAATATGTTTTATATGGGATGGAGTTCCTTGGTTGTTGCATGCAATTTTGTAGACTTTTCTTCTGGAAAAATCTGAAGAAAAATTATTTCATGTTTCTCAATTTTTCTTCAAGTTAAATTCATATGAAGTGCTTTTGCCTGGCGAACTTCATCTTTCAATCTAACAAATATGTTTAAATTGGATTAAAATGAGGGAAAGAAATGCACAGGTCAAAAACCAAATTTTATCTTGAAAGGCCAATGGGCAATAATTACATACTTGCTAATGATTCCTTCATAAAATTGTCTCACTTCTTCTTTACTTTGTTCATATATATCGGAATGCTTGTACTAATCAAAGCAAGATGGTCAATTAATGAAAGTTCACCAAGTTTTATGTTTAAGCAGAGGTTGTTTTGCATGTTACAAATGGGTGAATGATGATTTCTAAAACTACTTTTGTGCATAGTTTCTTGTAAGCATTTTAAGGATGTGCACCTGTACGAGACTTGCTTGCCTACGAAAATAGCAATTGCCTTCTTCATCTTGATGAACAGGGTGTATGTCTAGATGGTACGCATTGTCCCAAATCTCAACAAGTTTACTTGGGTAGGGATGGACTGTAACCTCAATGACATAGAGAGGTTGCTCAATGCCCTAAAATTGTTAAATGTTGTATTTAGAAAAACATGTGCCTGACACTCTTGTTATTTATGCAATTATACACTTCCACTCTACTCCACTATGCATAATCTGCAATAAAGTCTTAATAATAATGGTATTTGTTTGTAGATGTAGATCATCCAGGTTAGTATAGTCCTAAGAGGATTGTTTTTGTTGTTGTTGACTGACATTTCAACAACCTTAGCGGTAGTCATCTTCAGAGTCAAATGAGGAGTTCAAACCATTTACTTTAATAACGGTATTGTCATTATGACATATCCCTAATGATGTACTTGCATAATACACAAGTTCAAACATTTCTGGATCACTTGGACTTTGTATGCTGTTCATAAAAGATTCACTTAAGTTTCCTAACAACCTACCAGAGAATATTGTGCCATAGCATCTTTATCACACCAGCAGTATTCAGGTGTTCGTAGCAAATGGGGCCTCAATCTAGAATTGTCTGTTCTGAAATTTGGAATATGATTGACATCTGAGTTATTGTAAGTTCTTTCCCACTAATTTTCAAGGGTTCTATATGTACTTGTTGCTGTAGGAATCTTGTTTTACTTGAATGTCTGCTTTCCTTTTACCTATTACAGGCACAAACTCCACCTGCAATAATTGTGTGTAAATATCATTTGACCTTACATTACAAGCAACAACAAGGACACAAAGAGGCAAAAAGAAAAATTGCATTCATCCCTGTATTGTTGTCCAGTCAAAAACTCACATTATATCTTCCTGAGTCAACCTTTGGTTCATATCTGCTCATAAGATCATTCATTGAAACCAAAATGTGATCTTTCTAGATAGAATTTACATGTGTTCACATTTGCGTTGATGAGATGTTGGTGTAATCACTGAAGAGTTGTGTACCTGATATTGAGAAAGTCTTATTCCCTTCACTACACCATCATCAGCTATACCCAGGTACACAGTACCACCATTTCCAGTATTCAGAAATGCATTTATGGCCCTATACGAAATCACGACTATTGTTTAATCAAACCTCAAACAAACAATGTCAGGGCTGCCTGACATTGAGAATTTTATTGAATAATCGGTAATTTATATTGAAATGGAATTGAACCTAGAAACAGCTCTCCTAGATCGCTTGCCTGTGCCAAGAAAATAGCACCAAGGCGGTAATTCTTCTACAGCTAAATTCCTGTGTCCTTTGAATTCGTGTGTCGAATCTTCTTCATATGGAACGGTACTATTCAGTATGTAAAAGCCTGACATTTTTGGAGCCTTTATTGTCATCCAGTTTTAACGAAAATTTTTATGTACTTACTATCCACGTGATTACGTCGAAAATTCTGACCGAGTTTTTGTAGAGTGTATACTGAGACAGAGCCTCAGTATTTCATGCAAATAACTTAAATCGACTGTTTTCGCGGCATGTAATTTATGGAGGACCCCAAACTCTTTTTGATATTAATATCGGGTCATTTAATATTATTTAAAAGGAAATATATGACTAGTCGTTGTTCGTCTTTATATTTGATGTATCAATGTTAGTGTTTTTACATTGCCTTCAACATGAAGAAACTAATAAATTATAAAAGTAATGATACTCAAGATGTCTTATCAAACATTTTTAACGATTGAGAACAGTATAGAAAGCGTTACTTCTTTTGCGAATATGTTGGCTCTTAAAAGAGCCGGGTTTTTGTGTTACTTTCTTGCTCTGCACAGTAAAATTTAACCGCCAAAACCGTATAGAGTACGTCCTTGTCGTTTCAACGCGTAGACAACGTCCATAGCAGTGACTGTCTTTCTCTTGGCGTGCTCTGTATAGGTAACTGCATCGCGAATGACATTCTCGAGGAAAACTTTCAAAACGCCACGAGTTTCTTCGTAAATCAAACCAGAGATACGTTTTACACCGCCACGACGAGCTAGACGACGAATGGCGGGTTTTGTGATACCCTGGATGTTATCACGTAAAATTTTACGATGACGCTTTGCACCTCCTTTTCCAAGACCTTTTCCTCCTTTACCACGTCCAGACATATTCTCTAGAAATTAACTTCTTCCAAATGACTAGAAATACTCGCAAAGTAGATATCAACAATTTTGATTAGTAATCATTTAGCGTTCGTTTAGTGTTTATATATGAAGTTGCGACGCGGACGTCAAAGAAGACAGCGACTGGAGACACGGTCCCATTGGTTTAAAATATTTTCAAGGCGCATTCTAATTGGTCACATTTTTAGCTTTCTTATTGGTTTGATAAATATTGTCGCTTTCGTGATTGGCTAAGATTCCAGAGAATATGATTGGCTAAGACCTTCTTAAGTTTGATCCTCTTCGGTGTGAATTAAACCAGAAGCTTCAAAAACCATTAAAAAATGTTGTTTAGAGCGCAAAAGATCCTCATTTCCAAAGAATATTATGAATCTGCCCATTAAATTGCAGTACTATCGAATAATTTTATCAGACGTCTCTTAAAATAATACCCGGCGACTAAATGCAACGCTTTATTTATGATAAAAATTCCCAATTCCCACTTCATATAACATAGGAAGTTTAAGAATGTGATGCTTGAATACTGAATTTGATAAAGCGGTCTAGCAATACTTTGATAATAACGATGTTTATTTCATTTTTGCTCCTGCTCTAGATACTGAACGCCATACAGCAACCTCGGTAACGTCCAGATGAAGATTAATTTTGAAGAAAGGTAAAACAACAAGATATTAGATAAGAGGAATTGAATCACTCCACTCCCCTCTCTCTCTCCACAACCCAATACACGTATAAAAATAAAAGATTCTCCAGATTATATAAAATATTTTTTTATTGAGCTTTCGACTCGTTGCTTCGAGCCTTCATCAGAATGAGGAAATTATCTATTTACACTTGTTTTTATACATTAAATAGGCCTGGATTACAAATCTTTAAACTTATAAATATATACATTGATAAGAAGAAGAAAATACACAAAAACTACAATTTTATCCCTATTCAATATTTACGCTCTGCCCTTAAGCATCGAGCACTGTACTTACGGAGATTCAAATAAACAAAACTTCCTACATATATATATATTATAGACGTTATAAGATTATGAGACGTTCACCGTGTTCGCGATATGCAAAGCTCACCTTTATAGGTTTGAGCACTGTGGTGACTCTACAATACAATCCATACAATGTGTAACCGTACAGCCTGTGTCCCAAGTGCAGGAGTCACCATTTTACTGTGGTGATAGCCGGGAGGGCACATTGTAATACACTTTGTATATATTATATATATATATAGATAAACTTATTATATATATATAGATAATGCAAAGGGAGCAATGAAGTAAGACAACTTCGAAGGCAGAAATGGTCAGTTCAAGTAACCATGTATGCAAATGCAAACCAGCAAAATGATTGATACTCAAACATTTTGTGGTGCGTGTTTTATTTGTTGTAAACTACATGTTTTTACTTTAAAGTAAATGGTTGAATCCAAGAGTATCGTTGCATGTTTGGAGATGTAGATCGTCCAGGTTAGTATAGTCCCGAGAAGGAAGTATAGAAACGCGTTTGATATTTTACTCATCTGTCGCGAATGACAAACATTGTTCAAAACTTCCGCGCACACTAGGAAATTTTGTCGATGACACTTGTCACGAACAACAAGTACGCGCTGCAAATTCACCAGTGTGCGGCGGGCTTAATTCCTCATTTGGCTCTGAAGATGACTACCGCTAAGGTTGTCGAAACGTCAATCAAAAACAACAAAAACAGTCCTTCTCAGGACTATACCAACCTGGACGATCTACATTTACAAACATGCAATGTTCTTACTTTATTACTTCTCTCTGACGTCAACCTATGACGCATTAAACTGACCCCCCCCCCTAACACACACACACACTTACTATTCTTTTAATATTATTATCCTCGTTCCGATAATTTCAATTAACAAATGTTTCCGTTTCGTATTATTAAATTACGTGGTAATTTTAGCCAGGTGAACGTTCACCGCTTTAAACATACCTCGCCGATGAGGCCCTCAAGTTTATTTGCTAAAATAAACTTGATATCTCCAATATATATTTGAAATAACTACTTTTGGTCTAATTCTACATATAAAAACACCCCTATACAGCTGTGCTGCCCAAGCTGTTTTTAAGTATTATGCTGAATTCTAAATAACGAAGTCCCCCCCTAGGGTGTTAGCAATTTATTCTATAGAATTTAGATTGTATTGTTGGGAATAAGTTATGTTAATTGAATGTTCTACTGACAGAGAGACAAATTCTCCTTAGTTGTTTTGATTTCGTTAACCAATAGGCTTAAAGGAATTTTGATTGATGTTTTGTTGTAAATGAGTTGAAGAGAGAGTCTGAGTGCGTGAGCAATATATGTATTAGATAAACATTGCCAGGGAATAAAATATCGTTATTAAAAAGCTTGAGTTGCTAGATCTATTCGACATATTCAAAGGGAATATTGCCTGGGCGACGGGCAAGATTCACAAAACGTGGCACCTCCGACGGGATAAGTGAAAATAGTTCGATCAAGAACAAGAATTCGTATTGAAGCATGTCGAAGCAGGAAGCTGCGGAGCTAGCACTTGAAGCAAAACTCAAGCATATTACGATCACTTGCGGGAAAACTGAGAGAATTCTTGCGTCAGATAATCATGGGAGAATCGAAAGACATCGTGATGCGTTAAATGAATTAGTAAAAGAAGCAGATACCGCCAAACGTACAGTCGAAGGGTTGAAAATAGCTAGCGGCGAAAACGTCGAAAGCATTTCCGAGTGGGAGGAATCGATAGAAAATACCATCGGTCAAGCTGACAATGCAATAGAAAAATTACGCAAGTGGCTTATGGAAGTGGATGAAAGTAAGAAAGCACATTTAAGAAAGGATCAGTTGAATTTCGAGAAAGAGTTGTATGAAACCAAACTGCACTACAAGACTCAATTGGAAGAGTCCAAGAGGGACAAACCAGAAGAGACAGGAGAAACGAATTCTACAATTAGTGGCAATCTGGAAGCTAAACTACCAAAGCTAGTGATTTCAAAATTTAACGGAAGCTACAAAGATTGGCCAAGATTCTGGAACCAGTTCAGCGAGACTATTGACAAATCAAATATTTCCAATGTAACAAAATTTTCATACTTGAGAGAGTTGCTTGAAAAACATGTCAAGTATTCCATAGAAGCACTACCTTTCACTAGTGAAGGGTATAACCGAGCAAAAAGTATACTTCAGTCAAAGTATGGAAAGGAGTCAGAAGTGATTAAAGCCTACACCAAAGAAATTCTTGACTTACCCAACATACCAGATGCCAATGTACAGAAGGTGCATAAATTCTGCGAAAGACTCACCTATTGCGTACAGTCTTTAGAAACTATGGGAAAACTGGAGCAGATCAATGGAAGTGTTGCAATGACATTGGACAAATTGTCTGGTATAAGAAGCGACTTGGTTCGTACCGATCCCAACTGGGATGAATGGGATTACATTAAGCTAATAGAAGCCTTAACATTGTGGACTAGGCGAAACCCTAGAAACCCTATATGTGAAGGAGAAAGGAAGGAAAATAGAAACCGTCTCCGTGAAAGAGTATTCAACACCAAATTGGGTCAACGAAAATGTGTATATTGCGATGCAAACGATCATAAATCAGCTGACTGCTCAAAGGTGACGGATATCAACGAAAGGAAACAAATATTGGCAAAAAAGCGACGCTGCTTCAACTGTACCGGAGAAGGGCATAGAGCAGCCGATTGTACAAGTAAAATAACCTGTCAGCATTGCGAGAGAAGGCATCATACTTCTTTGTGCGAACAAGCAATGGGGAAGAAAACCCTGATGACCGCAACAAAAACCAACGAAGGAGTCTTCCCAATCTTGACTGTAAAGGTTAATGGGATCATGTGCAGAGCGTTAGTTGATTCTGGGGCTGGCAGCTCGTATGCATCTGCAAAGTTGGTAAGTGTCCTTGGCATGAAACCTGCTGACATAACAACCAAACAAGTGGACATGCTCCTGAGTAGTAGTGTAGAACGTCTGGAGACCTATGCAACTAAAGTGGAGTCCCTCGATGGAGAGTTTGGTATGGAAGTAGATTTAATTAAAGTGGAAAAAAGTGAACTTTTATCAGTAAAAAACCCCCAATACAGCCATATGATTTCCAAATACTCACACTTAAAAGGGGTTGATATCCAAGATGGTGACACAAGGCTCAGCTTCCAGTACATGTAGTTCTTGGGGAGGAGTATGCCAGAATAAAACAAAGAATCGCCCCGAATAGGTAAAGATGGCGAACCTATCGGAGTTGACCAAGCTGGGATGGTTCGTGATGTCCCCTGGAAAAGAATTTGATCACAATCATATGTTACTAACACAAACCACTCAAAAGGATTATGAGAAGTTGTGCCGGTTGGATGTTTTAGGACTTGCCGACACCTCAGAACACGATCAAACCTCAGTGTATGGAGAGTTTAAGGAACAATTGGTCAGGAGTTCAGAAGGTTGGTACGAGTCTGGTCTACTGTGGCGGTAACCATCCTCCCTTACCATCTTACAAAGAAGGAAGTTTGCGACGCCTCAACAGTCTTGTAAAGAGATTAGACAGGGAAGGAATGGCCAGTGAGTATAACAGGATTATTGAGGAACAAGTCAGCAAAGGGTAGTTGAACTTGTAACCGAGCCCCAGTGGGTAGGGAGTTCTACTTACCTCATAAACCCGTGATACGTGAAGCTGCACAAACAACGAAAATCCGTGTAGTTTACGATGCATCCGCTCGAGCGACTCCAAGTGCTCCATCCTTGAATGATTGCCTTTACCCAGGCCCGCCGTTACAGAATAAGCTTTGGAGCGTATTGGTTCATCATCGTTCATTTCCAGTTGCACTTTGTGGCGATATAGAAAAGGCATTCCTCCAGATCCGAATAAAAGAACAAGAAAGAGATGCCTTACGGTTTCACTGGAAGAGTGACAGTCAACCTGAACCCTTGACATATAGATTCACAAGAGTCGTCTTCGGCCTAACTTGCTCCCCATTTCTGCTTGGGGGAGTGCTAGAGCATCACCTAGAAACTTGGAAAACAAAGATGCCAGATATCGTTGAGGAACTGAAGAAATCTATGTATGTCGACGATCTGCTTAGTGGGGGACAAACAGTAGACGAAGCCAAGGAAAGGAAAAGGAAATCAATCGATGTATTCAACGACGCCAATTTCAATTTGCATAAGTGGAACTCAAATGCCCATGAGCTTGAAGCAGATGAAGAAGAAAAGGATGATGAAGAAGAAACTTTAGCAAAACAACAACTTGGAACAAAATCTGGAGAATCTAAAGTGCTGGGACTGTTATGGAAAAAGAAAAGTGACGAGATTTCCATAGTGATCCCATCAGAGAAATCGGCAAAACGAAACGTGAAGTACTGAGTAGATTGGCTCAGGTTTATGACCCTTTGGGAATTACATCACCCTTAATTCTAGAGGAAAGATAATTTATCGTGATATCTGTAAGGAGAAGCTCTTGTGGGATGTACGGCTAAGCCATTCTTTGAAGTATCGATGGGACTGCTGGGAGAGCAATCTTCCGTGTGAAGTAAGTGTTCCGCGATCATTAGCTGGGTTCCGAGAACCAATCAAGTCTTTAGAGCTGCACGCATTCGGGGATGCTAGCACACAAGGTGTAGGAGCTGCAGTGTACTCAGTTATTCATCAAGAATCGGGAACTACTCAAATTCTAGTTGCTGGTAAAAGTCGTCTGGCAAAAGAGGACCTAACTGTTCCACGGCTAGAACTTGTGTCAGCCCACATGGCAGCGAACCTTCTTGTGAATGTGCGAAACGCTTTGGATCATTTGTCGCGGCCGCAAAGTTTTGCATGGCTAGACAGCACTGTCGCCTTGCATTGGATACTTGGACGGGGCCAGTATAAGCAGTTTGTCTCAAACCGTGTCCGTAAGATACACCAACATCCTGAAATAAAATGGCGATATGTGCCCACATCCGAAAATCCTGCAGATTTGGCCAGCAGGGGTGGGAAATTAAATCAGACGTGGCTGTACGGTCCAGAATGGTTATCTGATATGAGCAGATGGCCAACTAATATAACCACAACTCCAACTACTGCAACAGAAGCAGAAGCGACAGTCTCCCAAAAAGGTATTGCAATGACAACAAAACAGTACAGTGGTGATGTTCTGGAACAGTTATTAAGAAAATGCTCACTTAAACGAGCTCTAAGAGTGTCGTCATGGCTCTTCAGGTTCGTAAACAATTGTACACAAAGGGAAAAGAGAACAGGACCATTATCCTTTACCGAGATTGAAGAGGCTAAGATGAAATTTGTCAAACAAGCCCAAAAGCAAGGTCAATTACAACCAAAGTACGAGCAACAATGCAAAGAACTTAATCTTACGCGCAATACAGAAGGGATTTTAGAATGTCGTGGCCGAATTGTGGGTCAGTATCCTATCTACCTTCCCACAGATTCCTTGCTAGCTCAAAGAGTAGTGGAAAAGTTGCATCGTGAAACGTTACATGGAGGTGTTGGATTGACAATGGCTGCTGTAAGAGAGACGTATTGGATACCGAAGTTAAGAAGCCTTGTAAAGAAAGTTAGAAAGGAGTGTTTTGGTTGTAAAAGATATCGAGCGACATCAGTTCCCACACCCTCCTGGAAAGTTACCCGAGGACCGGACTTGTGGCGAAACAGCGTTCGAGGTGATTGGCGTAGATTTCGCGGGACCAATACGTTACAAAGGGAAGTCAAGCAAGGATTGCAAAGCGTATCTGGCGCTGTTTTCATGTAGTCTAACTCGAGCAGTGTACTTGGACATGATGCCGGACCTATCTGCTTCCACGTTCATACCAAGTTTGAAACGGTTCATTGCTCGAGGGGAAGACCCAGGAAGATCTATTCAGACAATGGGGGCACCTTCATAAAAACTGCGAAGTGGATTGATACTTTACGAAAGGAGGAACGTCTTCAAGGTTATTTGGAGGAATTCGACATTAAATGGCAGTTTAACTTGTCCCGAGCACCATGGTGGGGAGGACAGTTCGAGCGGCTGATAGGAATTGTCAAACAAGCGATGTATAAGACAATTGGAGGCGCAAATCTGAAGTGGGAAGAACTGTGTGAAGTGATACTTGACGTTGAAGTGCAAATCAATAGAAGACCGCTCAGTTATGTTGAAGACGATGTTCAACTGCCGGTGTTGACACCCGAGCTCTTTTTATTCCAGAGATCCAATCATCTGCCAGAACAGAAATTATGGGTCGAAAGTGATCCGGACTTACGTAAGAGGGCAAGATACTTGAAATCTTGCAAACAAGCCTTGTGGAAAAGATGGTCGAAAGAATACCTCACTGCACTGCGAGAACGACATAACATGAGTCATGGGACTAAAAGTTCATTGTAAACGTAGGAGACGTCGTGCTGATCAAATCCAATGAAAAGAATAGAGGAAATGGCCTCTTGGGATCGTTATAGAGACATATCCAGGAAGAGATGGAGTGATACGTGGGGTAATGTTGAAAACGCCAAATGGAAACCTAGAACGACCAGTTCAATTGCTTTACCCAATGGAATTAGCTTGTGATCGACAGAGCCATGAAGAGAGACCTGATCTTAATCCAGACGCTCAACCATTCAAGCCAAAGCGTAAGGCAGCTGAAAATGCAGCGGGGATCATCAAATCGATTGCTGACGAAGAAAACGAAGAGATTTGAAACACTAACTAGATAATTAATCCATTTAGATATACATCTTATCTTCAGATGTATAGGGGGAGTGTGTTGGGAATAAGTTATGTTAATTGAATGTTCTACTGACAGAGAGACAAATTCTCCTTAGTTGTTTTAATTTCGTTAACCAATAGGCTTAAAGGAATTTTGATTGATGTTTTGTTGTAAATGAGTTGAAGAGAGAGTCTGAGTGCGTGAGCAATATATGTATTAGATAAACATTGCCAGGGAATAAAATATCGTTATTAAAAAGCTTGAGTTGCTAGATCTATTCGACATATTCAAAGGGAATATTGCCTGGGCGACGGGCAAGATTCACAAAAGTATAGACTATACATAATATAAATCCTTAGATTGTATAGAATCCTTAGACTGTATAGAACTTTATTGTATTTGACTTCGCTCACGTCAAATATACTTCAACCAGCAAATTGTCACTTCAGTCTGAACTCCTTGTATCAGCAGAATTAACTTGAATCATACACAATCTTCTGGTTGGTTGGAAAATCGCCGTCTGTTTTAAATGTCACAGGTTAGTTGGTCAATCATGAATGACTCAGCTTGCAATGACTTCTATGTGTTAGTTACGTACAGTTTTGATGTAAATCATTCAATATACACATCGCTAAATATACCCACAATGGGGAGTTCTATAAAGTTGCTTTGTCGATTCAAAACTTCATTTTTAAATATCCCTTTAACAATTTTCCATTTCCTTGCTTAGACAGTATCTTATGCGAGATCTTATGTCTTCAACTGTACAATAGTAACGCGCTTCTTATATTTTCCTTTTCCTTCAAAACCAACGAAAATTTCATTTCGTCACGAACCTGTAAATACTGACTAGTTTTCTGACATCCGAAGAACTCTAGGAATGTTTTTGAATTCCACCGTCAGATAACATTATGAAAACTTATTTAATTTTTTTAATCAGATATCCTAAATATCCGAAATCATACCTATTTGTCTTATACAGGAATTTCTTTATTTATAAAGGCTAGATAGTTATTCTGAAATGCTTCATCATTACTCATGGAAAATCTTAGAGTTAATACCTGGAAATAGTCAAAAATAAAATATTGAAAATATTGCGATTGTAGTTTTACCAGGAGTGGTGGGATAATGGCGTTTGATCCCTTAGAACATTCATTGTCGTCGAGTGTGAAAGAACGCTGATAGATATATTTTTCATCAATTTTTGTCTCATGAAGTCAAAGTCATAATAATATTCATAAATTGATAAACCTTTTGCATTGGTGATAAAAATTATCAGACGAACGTCATTTTACAATATAAATTCATTAGATTAATTTATATATTATCAGTTTGACTTTCTATTCAGGGTCCGTGGGCGTTTCGTTCATTCAAAATTTAAATTCACAAATACAAATATTTAATTAACTTCACATCCTGAATTCAATTTTCCAAAATTGAATTCACATTTTTTTGCGAATTCAATTTTCATTTGATTAATATAAAAGTAAAATCCACTTTAAAAATTTGATTTTGAGTTGTTGAAATATACCTATGAATTACCAATTTACGCATTCTGAAATCCATCAAATTTTGCTATAAGTTTAATGCGACATTGCTTTGTGCATAGACTTCCTATGGCCGAACGGGGGTGGGGAGTCAAAGTCTACAGCGTTCGGTCATTTGAGAACTTTATTTTATGACGATATTATGATCGATATAAAATATCTGAGCACATTTTGGCTGTCGTCTACGTCGTTCGGTGCTACATTTTTCGCGAAAGTCATGGATGAGATAGTAAGTGTCGAGGCAGTCAGAGATCTAGTCGTGAGAAAAAGCTGACGCACAAGCAAATAAGCGAGGAACTGCGACGAGCAAATCCTGGCGTTCGAGGTCTAAGCGAAATGAGTGTGCGACGCTTTGTTCTGCACATGACATTCACCGCATGTCGAAAGTTACAGACCAAGAGCTAGATTGTGCTGTGTCTGTAGCCGTTTCACAGGTAATTTTATTCAATAAAACAATATGGCTTTATCATGCTTTTATAATCATTATTCAAGGCTTTTTTGAAACACCTACGCAGGTTGGCCCAACTTATGGTCGCAAAATGATGAAAGGAAAGCTTGAAGCTGCAATTGTTAAAGTTAATGAAAAGCGCCTTTCAAGGTCACTTCATAGAGTTGCACCAGATTATTGTCAACAAAGAGAACAAAACACAGCAAAGCTATTGAATCCAGTGCCATACAGTGCAGATTACTTTGGTCACAAACTTCACATGGATCAAAATGAAAAGTTGGTCATGTATGGGTGCACGACAGTCTTGGCAGTTGATGGATACAGCAGCATGATTATGGCAGCTGCTTCGATGCCTGTGAAAAATAATGTGAAAATTTATCGCTCTGTATTCAGGTGTCAAATGAACTTTTTTTGCCATGTTCATAGCATTATTGAGATCTATATGTTTCATGAACATGTTTCTATAGGCCTATTATTGAACAATATGGTGTATGGGACCAAGTTCGTGTTGACTGTGGAAAGGAGTTTTATCTCACTTTGTTTGTGCAACAAAGTTTGTCTGCACATAGAAGAAACACGCTTCGAGTACCATACAAACAGACACCATCCACCAAGGTTGCATAAATATTCACTGTTTTATTATGAACTCGAAATATTATGAAGTAGTATTCTATAGCCCTTTGTTTATCAGAGTCCTACTCGCTTTTAGCATTAATTGTCTGCAGTAACAATTTAGTAATGTTTGTTTTTATATTTAAGAACCACATGGTTGAACGGCTTTGGGTTGAAGTGAACGGCAGGATTAATTACTCAATCAAAACCCAGTTGAACAGGATGGCTCAAGAAGAGCTAATTGATATGGTCAACGTTGTTCATCAGTTCTGCGTATCTACCATAGTAATCCAGGTTGTTCAGGCTGGAATACAAGAGCTCCTCCCAGCATGGAATTGTCATACCATTCCAGGTAAATTATTAATGACAAATTGATAATCATAACAAAAAGGTAGCAGAAATTTAACAAGAAAGAGTCTGACATGCTACGGCAACAAGTGACCACCCAAATCTAATTCAAGCACCTCTCCCCCCTTAAAAAAGGACCCATCGTGAATAATCCCCGACTTCATCAGGATGCCCTATATCTTTCATTTTACCATGTTATCAGTAACAAAAATTTTCATTCTTTTGTTGTTTAGGAAAAGGTAAGCCAGTAGAGCTGAGGAACAACACTTACAGGGAGTATGTGTACTTCACGGTACTGAAATTCCCTTCCTGAGATTGCTGTTCAACAGTATGAAAGAAGTGGGGTCAAATAAAAGTTTTGGTAATTTTGGAACTGATCCCTTACTGGAATTTCAACATCTTCAAATAATCAGAGACAAAGAATTCAAAAGCCGAAACCCTAGTTTTGCTACGATATTTAATGAGATTGTAAATAGTAAGCCAAATTCCTTTTTTAATGCTGTAATTAGTTTTATTAACATTACAACACACCTTTCCCTTCAACATAAAAATAAATATGAAAGAAATATACATAATCAACTGTTACTTTTATTTTATGGCATTAGTGCATGGCTATATCAGACAACATGGTTTTGAGTTTGTTCCGAATACATAATTTACTCATTATTGTCTCCTGCGAGTTCTCGAAGACTGGTAAGGAATTCATCTATGCCAACCAATCGAAATGTGTGTGAGTAACCCCGGTCAGCTCTGCAGTTTGGACAGCATTTGTCAAAGACATTACTACCAGTCCCATACTACAGTTGCACACAGGATTCGCATCCTATTATTGAACCACAACATGTTGATGCCAATATTGGTACATCCATAGGTGCCTTGTGACATATCTTGCATGAGAAATAGTCTTTCACTAAGTTCTTTAAAGCCATAGGAACTGTGTTCTCTTTGCTAAATTTCAGAACTTTTGAAAGTTCTGCGTTGTTTTCCTTGAGCACTTTTTGTATTTCATTCAATTTATTCGAAATTTGAAGCGCACCAATGGATTTTCGTTTCTTTTTCATACACTGCTGATAATCTTCACTGTCCTGCTCCTCTGAATCAGAACTGTGAATAATTTCTGCTTTGCTTCTCCGTTTTCTTTCTGGTTTCTTCACAGCATGTATTTTTCTTGAACCAGTCTTCCAAAAGGCAGTGCCTTAAACAAAAATTTGTCATAATCTATTGACTATGTGACTACTTTGTAAAGTTGATAATCTTCATGAATTTGGCATTCATGATGAACATTTCAGTATGTATCATATCGTTTTTGCAAACTACAAGTAACATGACAATACTTGAGAATTTTACCTCTTGTTCCTGGTTCATCAATATATTGAAAGCCACCATTCGATACCAACATCAAGTTGTTCTCGTTGAAGTTAGTTTCGGCCATTGCCAGCAAGTGTGCAACATTCGCATCCTCTTCTCGATGTATTGGTATAAACGTTTGCTTGGGGCTGGAAGAATTGATGACGGGCTTTCCAGTCGGTGAGAGATCGGCGAAAAGCACTTTCACCGTTGCTTTCGGTTTTACGCTGTTGCTCTGGCTTGCATTGCTGCAGAATCCAGAGCTTCCTCCCGTTTTCGATGCGTTTAAAGCCCATGGCCTACTAGCGATAGTCGAGAAAGAGTTGGTCGCGAAGGGGAAGCACCAAGGATAGCACGCGAACCTGGACCGTTTCTTCACCCGCAACTTCGAAGCTTGTTCCATTATCGAATCCAACAAAGTTAAATTTTCCGCTGTCGTTTGAAACTCCAGACGCGTCCCAAACTCTTCCTTGATGGAAATTGTGCTTGGGATGAACTGCAAATATAAGTTGAAAGTTCTTGACTTACATGATATTACATCAAGTTATTTTGTTACATTTGTAATACATACGTTGAAATATCGTCCTAATCGTTCTGCTGTTACAGTGGACTTTCTCATATTCACTTCTTTCTCGTTACAAATGAAATTGTACGATGGATCCATTGCGTAAATTGCGCTATCTGCCATTAAGGTTTCCCAGTTGACACACGTTGACGAACTTGGAGCAATGTCAATGCAGAGCAGTGGGTGAATGAAATGTGCCGGTTGTGGAAAGGGAATGCCTTTACTGACGTGACAGGGAGACATACGGTAGCAAAGTACTTCCCGTTGCACCACTCACACATACTAATCAAAACGAACAATGGAGTCAACTTCCTACAATCAGCATAAGTAGGAAATGATAATTTAATTAAGTGAAATCAAGGAACTTTTGCAAAGAAGTAGGAAGCTAACACGTTGTTGCTCTTGATCAAGGCGTTTGGGAGGTCAAGGTTCACGTCCTTTGCTATATGTCTTTGTTACTTAATTCTTATTGTTACTCTGGCTGGTAGAAAAATGAAATATTTGGTATTTTACTTTAGAAAAAGTGTTGTATCATTAGTGTATTATAATTTTTCATTGCAATTCTCTAAACATATGATATTCATTTGGTTATTTTCGACATGCGGTGAATGTCATGTGCAGAACAAAAGCGTCGCACACTCATTTCGCTTAGACCTCGAACGCCAGGATTTGCTCGTCGCAGTTCCTCGCTTATTTGCTTGTGCGTCAGCTTTTTTCTCACGACTAGATCTCTGACTGCCTCGACACTTACTATCTCATCCATGACTTTCGCGAAAAAATGTAGCACCGAACGACGTAGACGACAGCCAAAATGTGCTCAGATATTTTATATCGATCATAATATCGTCATAAAATAAAGTTCTCAAATGACCGAACGCTGTAGACTTTGACTCCCCGTTCGGCCATAGGAAGTCTATGCACAAAGCAATGTCGCATTAAACTTATAGCAAAATTTGATGGATTTCAGAATGCGTAAATTGGTAATTCATAGGTATATTTCAACAACTTAAAATCAAATTTTTAAAGTGGATTTTACTTTTATATTAATCAAATGAAAATTGAATTTAAAATGTGAATTCAATTTTTGAAAATTGAATTCAGGATATGAAGTTAATTAAATATTTGTATTTGTGAATTTAAATTTTGAATGAACGAAACGCCCACGGACCAGCCGACGTGGGCGTGTAGCATTGTTTGATAAATCTCAAAAAAATGGCTTCGAGTCAGCAATATTATTTGTTTTATTCGAAGTCTTCTTTTTTCCTCTTTTTGTTTGTATTAAGAATTGTTTGGTCTCGTGAGTCAATGCACGAATTGACAAATTATCAAAATTACTGGAATAATCATTGTTTCCTATAATTGTGTCTATATCAATTTTCAATTTTCAGTATCTTATCGTTGAAACCTAGAAAGTATCAGGGAGGTGGTTGTCTTCTGAGAATCGATAGCAATTTACAAATGGCTTGTATGTTTAATTAGGGTAATCCTCTGATATTCTCCAGTGTTTTCGGGAAAAATTTTTTAGGAGGGGGGTGATAAGGAGGAAAATCCACCAATTCCACTTGTACTTATGTTTTATAGTTGTGAAAATAAAAATTACAATCTTTAAAAATCCTCTCGTCCATCATTCATTTTCCTTCTGCATTACCATGCGATAGTATGCATGATGATGATGTATAGATGGGGTAATCAAAGAGTGAAAAAAATCTTAAATATCAGCTAAATATCATATGTAAAGGAGCCTCTTTTCAGTGAAAACGTATGGAATATATACTGTACTATGTTGCATCAGCGTAATCAATCTATAACAGACGCTATTAAGTTCCCTGTGGGTGCAATCTTCTGTTGATCAAAGCAGCTGTAAGAGGCAGATTAGCTTTGATCAGAATTGTTATTGACAAATTTTATTATTTAGTGTTTGTGTATGTGTCTTTCAAACGTCCTTTCGGGTTTTTCCGATGTCACGTATTTGTGATATTAAAATCTACTTTGATACACTGTTTTTCAATGTTTTTATTTGAGAATTTCACTGTTTGCTTTTAAGATTAAAGCTTAGACTTAAACTCGTCAATCCTGTATGTACGAAAGATGACGCTTTTTTTGGTTGCAATATTCTCTGTCGTGTCGATGAACATGTTCGTTTTCTCGTTGACTCCACCAAATTCAAGCAGGTAAGATTTAACTTGACTTTCTGCGTGATCACCTTGCAGCGAGGTGTAAAAGTCATTTGTTCCTATCCTAGATCAGAGCTAATCAAGTATATAAGTGCTGATACTGAAATTGCTGACAGTATCTTGCGTGACTACGATAAACGTTTTATACCAACTATATCAGGTATGTTTTATAACATAAAGAGTCTTTCACCAAAAATATTACAAATTGATGCAAATTGTTCAAATTGAATGCGTTGCTAGACGAACATTATAGCTATAGGGTATTGATTATTCAATATTCCAAGTAATGAGAAGCGATCTTTCATGAAAACACAATAACGTGTTATTTTTGTCAGCAAAACAAGCTACCACTTTTTTGACTCTATAGATCCTTTGCAAGTGCAAATCGAAGTTGTTATTGAAGACATTATTAAAGTAGGAGATATGGTTTGTATCAATGTATATGCAATTTTAATGTAATGTGTTTGTTAGAAAGCTAAACATGTAGCCTTTGACATTTTTTCGTTGCCTTTGCCATCATGTTGATAATTGCCAGTGGGCTTTGAATGCACTTAAACATTATGGGTGTTCCATGTGCTCATTATGTAGTGATGCCCATTTTCAAACGTGTGTCTCAATTTCATGGAACCCGCACTTGATGTTAGTTATTTTATGTAGTTTTCTTCCTGTACCTGTGTAATGTTTATTAATTTAAAAATTTTGTACACATAATAACCTACCACGCTTTTAATGAGAAGAGCTTAAGCAAGCAGCCAAATTTGGGGGTGTCCATCAAGTGCTGTAGAAGTGGGGGGCGCTTGAGGGAGGAGCCCCCCTTCTACCTTTGAAATGGGTAATTTTAAAAGGGCACTGTTGACAAAAACATCAAGAGAGCCCCCCATCTGATAAATTTAGTTCTACATCACTGTGTCCATCTCGTGAGGAACACCAACACTCAAAAACTGTACGGACGAACAAACAACCATGGCTCCTAACCCCTAATACATGCTGTTATTATATTATATAACAACTGTCTGGGATATTGCTACACTTACAACCCATTTGTTGCTGAGCTGTTACAGAATATTTTCATAGACGTTTGCTTTTGTTGGATTTTTAAGTTGAATCAGCTCCGTAACAGTTATTTTCTAATGGTTCACTAGCTGCCGTGTATGATGTGTGCAAATTAAGGAACTATATCAAACAATGGACTGGATGATTTTTTAATTAACTTTCAGGAGGCCGAAATGACTATCTTTATAAGACAAACATGGTATGATTATCGACTCTCGTGGAATGGGACGAAGAGAATAAAAGTCAGAGAACACTTTTTAGATAAAATATGGATTCCAGATGTTCGCATCACGAATTTGAAAGAAATTAAACGATTTTCAGGACTCGGTGGAGTAAACATGAACATTCATCCAGACGGAAGAGTGTATTTAAGTCAATTGTGAGTATTCACACGCGGCCACAACAGAATATTGAAAAATTTTTAAAACTAATGCCTTTCGCTTTCACTTTAAATTCGCAGAGTCCACATCGAAACAAGTTGTCCAATGGATCTACATAGATTTCCTTTGGATAAGCAAACTTGTTTTCTAAACTTCTCATCCTGTAAGTTTTTCAATTTTTCATTTTGCGTAATTAGCTAGTTATAATCAAAGCATACATAGCTAGTACATATTGCAATAAGGGATTTATCTATTTGTGTTTTTAGTCGCCTATGCAAAATCACAGTTAAATTTCACAACATCTTCAAGGAAGGTTGAAGTTCGTCAACGTCAACTTTCACAGTTTGAGTTTGTTGGTGCCGATGAGTTCCTGGACGACAGTAGCAGTATGTATCAATAATTTGCGGTCTGTTTGCTATTGCCACCATTTTTATTCATTTGTCCACGACCCTATAGATATATAACCCCTGTATTTCATTTCAAAGATACTTTAGACAAATATGTTACAAATACAAATAAATTCAAACAAAAATAGTGGCCAATGACGTTGATTTGAAATAATCTTTACAAACCGAATTAATAACTAATAATAGTGCATAATATATAAACGTTTTCAAATATTCATTATTTTCAACGTACACAATTTCTTTTGATTTGAGATTTGCCTAGGCTTACAGTTTCTGTCAAATTTGAAAGACGTGCAGGTTATTATATACTTCAAGTGTATATACCGGCTTCATTTCTTGTCGTACTTTCATGGCTTGCATTTCTCATGGAATCGTCAAATATCACGGATCGTCTTACATTGGAGATCACCATGATTTTATCGACTGTTTTTCTCCTCGACAGTATCAATAATGGTGTTGCTCAGGTGTCCTACACAAAGGCTTCTGATCTGTTTGTCATTGTAAGCTTTGCTTTTATTTTTTTTGCATTATTGGAAACAATGTTGGTCTATCGCATTTGTCGGCTGTCCGAGAAAGAATCAACGAAAACTAGTGACGTCGTTACAGTGAGTTGAGAATTTTTATGTTCAGTGGTCAATGTTTAAGTCCGAGAATTTTGAATGTTATCATCTTTCAGTTGTTTATTTGTATATTTTCAGAGGTCACTTGATAAGCAACTAAAATCTTTCAACGAAAACCTCGCCTATGATCATAATAAAGAAACTTCTTTGAACAACTCTGTTGATCAACTTCAAATCTCATCTTATCAGGAGAACAATGGTACCATAAACACCAAAACAACAGAGGGAAAGAAATCCACAGACATATCATGTTTGATCGATAAAATCAGCTTGGTTTTATTCCCCTGCATACATTGGATTCAACATTGGATACTGGTATTATTATCTAAATTAAGTGTTACTAATATAGAGAGATGTTCGCTCAGTATCCTCATTCTTAGATTAGTAGAAAATATACTGTACAAAGACACAAATTACTCATCGTTTTTGTTTGATAGATATTGTATCTGTTGGAGAAAGCATCTCAATAAAACTTGCTGGCAAAACAGCTACGACCAACCACTTTTTGATAAATTTCTCTCCTTTTTCGCGAGTCATCACTCTTCAAACATCGTCAGAATTTCAGAAAGCATTTGCTTTGTTTTGTTGAATTGTACGAATGAAAAATTGATGAAACAAATCAGTCGTGTAGATCTGAATATGAGTATTATTCATATATTAAGACCTACCCGACCGATTTGTTTCATTAATTTTTAGTAAGGGATTGAGGGAAATTCTCCTAAAATAACCTATTCATGTTCTACATATACTTATATTTTATAATCATGCAATTAAATACTACAGTGTTAAGTACTACAGAAAATATTATTGAGAGGCTATTCCTTCCCCCCTGTCCATCCTTCCATTCCCTTTGTCTGCATCACCAATCTTATGTATGATGATGATGTATGCATGACGTTATATCAAATAATGAGAAAAACCTTGAATATCAGCTAAATATCAAGTGTAAAGGAACCTCTTTCCAGATGAAGGCACTTCGAAGACAACGGGTTTGAACACATACCGAGGTATATTGCATCAATTCGAGATCTTATAAGTTTTCTTAGGTGCACTCTTTGCAGATGGAAACAGCTGTTAGAAGCGGATATTAGCTTTGATCAGTATTGTTGTTGACAAATTTCATTATTTTGTGTATATGTTCTTCAAGCGACCATTCGGATTCTTAGAATTTCACACAATATCAATTACCAAGTACAAGTGTACAGGATTGAGACGAGTCAAATCTCTTTAAAACCACGTATAGTCGAAACACGGTGCCAACCAGTTACCGCTATTGTGGCGAGAATCTCGTCCATACGTAGTTTTAAAGAGATTTGACTCGTCTCTATCCTCTGGGCTTGATAGCTCAACAGGTAGAGCGGCGGACTAGTATACCGAAGGTACGAGTTCAAATCTCGTCCAAGTCACATGTTTTCGTGTGCATATAAAAACCGTGTTGAGATTTATATTATGTATAATCTCTGATGATGGCTTTGGAATAAATTACAAGTGTGATGTCACAATTTTCTTTGATACAGTGTTTCTGGATATTTTCCTCAGAGAATTTGAATGTTTGATGTTAGGATTAACAAATAATTAAAAACTCGTCGATCTTATGTGTGAAAGATGAAGTTTTTTGTGATAGCAATATTCTCTTTCGTGTTAATGAACAAGTTATTTGTCTCGTTGACTACCCAAGAATTAAGCAGGCAAGATTTTAACTTGACTCTCTGTATGATAAACCAAATTATCAATGGAGGTGGAAAAGTCAGATGTCCTTTTATAGATAGGTTCGCTCAGTATCCTCATGAATAAAATAATACACTGCAAAAATACATATCACTTATAGATTTTGTGTTCTCTGTGATTCTCCCCCCTGTCAAGTTTTGTCTGGATCACTGATATTGAGTATGTGGATCTATTAGAGACGTTATACGTTCTCTTTTGGTGGGCTGTGTCTTAGATTAAAACAGCCGTTGGATTTTATATCTCTTTATTACGAAAAACTTCAAAATTCCATGCGTAATGTCAAACTTTTCGTTTACTCGACGCATGTAGAAGAAAGCATAATTAACTTTTCTTTGTAAGGCATTTGCAACATCTATATCTAGAATATTAACAAGATTAATTTTGTCTTGATGGAAATTATTTAAAGTGTCACAGCAATTTGCAACATCTTTATCTAGAATTTGCATCATTTGCAACATCTTTATCTAGAATTTGCATCATTTGCAACATCTTTATCTAGAATTTGCATCATTTGCAACATCTTTATCTAGAATTTGCAGCATTTGCAACATTTTTATCTAGAATAATAACCACATTAATATTGTCTTGATGGAAATTTTACTTCAAAGTGTCACAGCAATTTGCCCTCTCATGATTAGACACGTTTGTTGAAAAGTATTGTTTTCGATGGGCTTTCGCCATATGATAAAGAATTATCACAAAAGTATTAATATGTTCGTTAAACATAAAAGAACGAGATCAATTACTATGTTAGTTTTCTAAAGCATGACGATAAACAATGACGTCCATTTCAATACATGTACATTATACTGTATGCCTGCAGAAACAAGAACGGTCATGAATTGTCATTAAAGAAAAATGGTCATTGTTGTCATATATATCTGTATAAATGATAAAACATTATAGATTCATAACCGACTTACAATCTAAGTTAATGTAATATTTCTAAACATTTCATAAGAGATTTTTAAGTGTTCAGAGAATGAACTAAAACTCGTCGATCCTTTGTAAAAATGATGAAGCTTTTTGTGGTAGCAATATTCTCCATCGTGTTGATGAACAAGTTCGTTGTCTCGTTGACTCCACCAAAATTAAACAGGTAAGATTCAACTGATTCAACTGGACACTCTCCATCGTATAATGACATGGCCAAACAAATCGCCAATGATGTGAGAAATTATTTTATTTCCTAGATCAGAGCTAATCAAGAATGTAAATGCTGATGCAAAAATTGCTGACAGTATCTTGCGTGATTATGATAAACGTTTTATACCATCTATATCAGGTATTTTTGATAACATATGTAGCACACAAAGTCTCTGAGTTAAAAGTTACATTAGTGCAACTTACTCAAGTTGGAAGCGTTTGTCAGACGAAAAATTTGACAGAAAATTTCACTTTTTCATTAGACTTTTAGTTGAATTAAGTTTCCACTTTTTTCATGCTAGATCCTTTGACAGTGGAACTTCATATTGTGATAGCAAATGTTCTTAAGATAGCCAACATGGTTTGTATTAGTTTTTGTAAAAAAAGTATTTGTTGCATGGAACTGACTAAACATGTAACTGTTGGTATGACTTGGACGACTTATGTTTATGTTACTGCTGCCGACTGTTGCCGTCATTGTTGATATTTGATTTGTTGTGATTACAATCTATTTGCTGTTGAGATGTAACAACATAATCAGTTTATACCAATGAAGTAAAATACATGGAACGCTATCTGAAGCAAAAAATTGAAGCCAAAGATTACACCCAGACACGCGTGTGTTGTGTTTCGAGATTCTCTCGCGGAGTGAAAATTGATAACTACACACGCGTGTCTGGGTGTAAAATTTGGCTTCAAAAATTATTAGGGTTTTCTATTACAGGTAGCGCTTCATGTATTTTAGTTCAATGGTTTATATAGACGTTCGTTTTCGGTTAACTAGCTGTACTATATGCAAATTATCATAATATATCAGACTGCAATTATGAGCAATTATTTTATACAATGAATTTGTAATTGTTTTCAGGAGGCCGAGATGATTATCTTTATAAGACAAACGTGGTATGATTATCGACTCTCATGGAATGGGACGAAGAGAATAAAAGTTCGAGAACACTTTTTAGATAAAATATGGATTCCAGATGCTCGCATAACAAATTTAATTGAAATCACTCGATTTGAGGGACTCGGTAGAGTAAACATGAACATTTATCCAGACGGGAGAGTGTACTTCAGTCAATTGTGAGTGTTTACACGTGGCTACAACAATATGTTTACAATTTTTTAAACTGATGACTTTCACTTTAAATATAATTTTCAGAGTCCGCATTAAAACAAGTTGTCCAATGGATCTACATAGATTTCCAATGGATAAGCAAACTTGTTTTTTAAACTTCTCATCCTGTAAGTTTTTTATTTTGCACAATTAGTTATGATCAACCATACACATTAATGATATTACATATTGTGCGATAAGTGATCTGTTTATCTGTGTTTCAGTCGCCTATGGTAAGTCAAAGCTAAGCTTCACAACGTCTTCAAAGAAGATTGAAGTTCGTCAACGTCAACTTCCACAGTTTGAATTTGTTCATGCCGAGCAGTTCCTGCAAAAAAATAGCAGTATGTATCAATTTGTGCGCTGTTTGCCATACATTGCCACCATTTTTATTAACTGGTTTATGAGCCTGTAGGTGTCAGCTCTATATTTCATTTAAAGATATTTTAGAAAAGTATGTTGCAAATCCAAAAAAAATTTAAACAAAAATGGTGGCCAAAAATCACTGACGTTAATTCGAGATAATATTTAAAAACGGAACATAATAACTAATAACAGGACATATTAAAAATTTTTTGTATGTATTAACTGTTTTAAAGATACAGAATATATTTTTTTCAAGAGTTGCCTAAGTTCACAGTCTCCCTGACATTTCAAAGACGTGCAGGTTATTATGTACTTCAAGTGTATATACCGGCTTCATTTCTTGTCGTACTTTCATGGCTTGCATTTCTCATGGAATCGTCAAATATCACGGATCGTCTTACATTGGAGATCACCATGATTTTATCGACTGTTTTTCTCCTCGACAGTATCAATAATGGTGTTGCTCAGGTGTCCTACACAAAGACTTCGGATCTGTTTGTCATCGTAAGCTTTGCTTTTATTTTTTTTGCATTATTGGAAACAATGTTGGTCTATCGCATTTGTCGGCTGTCTCAGAAAGAATCAACGAAAACTAGTGACGTCGTTACAGTGAGTTGAGAATTTTATTTTCAATGTTTAATTCCGAAAATTTTCAATGTTATCCAGTCGTTTATTAACTTTATGAATATCTGTATATTTGTCAGAGTTCACTGGATAAGCAGCTAAAATCTTGCAACGAAAACCTCGCCTATGATCATATTCGGGAAACTTTTGTAAACAACTCCGTTGATCCACTTCAAGTCTCATCTTATCAGGAGAGCAATGGTACCATAAACACCAAAATAACAGAGAAAAATAAATCCACAGATATATCATGTTTGATCGATAAAATCAGCTTGGTTTTGTTCCCCTTCACATATGTTGGATTTAACATTGGATATTGGTGCTACTATTTAAATTAAGTTTTGTTTTTATAGAGTCAGTCTTCTCATTATGAGTAGAATAATACAGTGTGGAAATACGTATCACTTATAGATTTTGTGCTCTCCGGAATGTTAAATGAATTAATCGTTTAGTCTTTAAAGTAAATGGTTTGAACCCGTTAGTATAATGCTGAGAAGTACTGTTTTTGCTGTTGTTGACACACGTTTCGACAAACTTAGCGGTAGTCATCTTCAGAGTCAAAGTCTTTGTTCAAAACTAATCTTTATTCTGGACATTACGATTTTGCTTCATGAATTTCGTATCTGTTGGTGGAAGCATCTCAATGAAATTTCTCAGCAAAACAGATGTAACCATATACTTCTTTTAAATACAGTCTTTTCCGGGCTTAGATTTTGATTTGTTATCTTTCAGTCGATTCATCACTTTTTGAATGACGTCAGTAAGCGTATTTCCTTCGTCTCGTTTATAGGACGACTGATAAATTAATAAAACAAATACTCATCCTCTCCTCCCCACAAGATAGTGTTCTTGTTTCGCCCTGCATGACGTAAACGAATATAAAGCATCAATGAATGCTCATTTATCAGCTGTATTCACTGCTGTGTCAAGTGCCTTAAAATGTGTTTATCAGCAAGATGCTTTGCTATTCATTACAAGACGAATATAACATTAATTTTTAATCAATATGGCGGTAAGTTATCAACAAAACTTAAAATATTACGGAGGAGCAATTGCCATTTGTCCGATAGCAAATCACAAATGTTTATTACATCAATTAACTTGGAGTAATCATCTAATATCTTGCAGTGAAACTGGCTTATATTTTCTGATTGTACAAATAAAGACTATGGTCTTAAATATATTGTTTGAGCGCGACTACCCTCCCGCCAACTTTGATCTGGATCACTGATATTGTTTATATTGATCTATTAGAGACGTCATACGTTCTCTGTTGGTGGGTTCTGTCTGAGATTAACAGCTGCTGGATTATATCTTTGATCAGTTATCTTGTGGAAAAATAAAATTGATCTTTGTAGCTATTTCTTTCTATGAGCACAAACTTCAAAAGTCCATTCGTGTTCTTCCAACATCAATTTTTTCATTCATTTATGGCGCGTGAAAGAAACCATAATTCATGAAGACTTTTCATTATTGTTTCTTTTTAATGTATTTGTAACCTGTATATCAACAATATCATTTTTTTCTTGATGGGTTTTTTTCTTGGAAAAAAAACTCGGGAATTTCCACTGTTATGATTCCATACATCGATAAAAAGTTATTGTTTTTCTTGACTTTCAGTCATGATACAGTCTTTTTACAAAAAAAGTATTGATTAAATTTTTTTCGATGAACATGAAGAGCGAGATTAAACAATTACTATGGTAATTTTTCAAATTATATCGAAAATGATTTCCATCTCAATGCACATGTCACATACAATATTACTGCAGGAACAAGAACGGTTAGGAATTTTCATTAAAGACGAAATGGTCGTGGTTTTGTTATATATTTGTGTATGAAACATTATATACCAATATTTAAATATGATATAACAATCAGTGTTTCTGGATATTTTTATTAAAGAATTTTAATATTTGATTTTAAGTTTAAAGAATAAACTAAAACTCGTCGATCTTATGTGTGAAAGATGGAGCTATTTGTGATAGCAATATTCTCTATCATGTTGATGAACAAGTTCGTTGTGTCGTTGACTCCACCAAAATTGAACAGGTAAGATTTAAGTTGACTCTCATCATCGTATGATGACATGGCCAAACAAATCGTCAATGATATGAAAAATTTATTTTATTTCTAAGATCGGAGCTTACCAAGTATGTAAATGCTGATACAAGCATTGCTGACAGTATCTTGCGTGACTACGATAAACGTTTTATACCAACTATATCAGGTATGTTTGAGAGTCTTTCGCCAAAAATATTACAAATTGTCGTAAATTGTTCAAATTGAAAACGTCGAAATGATTAGAAATTGGGTGAATGACTCAGAAGATATAAAGTAGATTAATTTTTTGTAACATCCGGTAAAGGATTTTAATCAATATGTTCAACATACTAATCAGCAGCTCGGGAAGTCCTAGATATCTGGGTGTCAGACAACCCGTAATTTTTGTAGTGTGGGTGTTCCTTATAGGAAGGATATCCACAAATTTAGCTTCTTATTTGAACGTTTATGATAGGTGTGCCAAATTATCGAAAGGGCACCAAGAACCAGAAACTTTATATGGTTTGAACATTGACAAAATGAGCAAGTCGATTGTATGTAATGAAACACGACGAAGGGATTTGGGAGGATTTTTGTAATGTTTGCTCGAAAAAGAAGAAAAAATTATTGAAAATAACTAATATGAAACACTTTTATTGCTATTCTAAGTTTCTTGCGTTATGAAATGGCAAATATGGGGCACCACAACTCGTGAAAGCTTCCAAAGCCTCTGATACAAACAACTAACGAGAAATGATCTTTCATGAAAAGGCATAACATGTTTTTTTTTCATTTAATCTCATTATTTGATCCTAGATCCTTTGACAACGGAACTCAAAATTGTAATAGAAAATGTTCTTAAAATAGCAGACATGGTTTGTCTATTTTTTGTTGTTTCTTTTTGATAAAATGTAGTCTACTTGTTGGGGATATAATTAGCTGAGCATGTAACCGTTGATATTGGTATCGCTGCTGTTGTCGTCGTTGTTTATATTCATTTTTTAATGCTGTATGCAAACTTCGTTTCTCAGCTATTCTCCAATGATTTAATAGTATAGACCTCCATGTAAGTCATTAAACATTAGAAATAATCATTATAGAAAAGAATGTAATTATAAGATAATAACAAAGTACATGGACAAGACAGTTTTTTGCGCGGCTTGGAAATATGAACTTCTTATAAACGTCAATATGAGTGAATAGTTCCTCTTGTCATATGAGCTATACATAATCATAGTCATGCACATAACACTGTTTTTGTTATTGTTGTTATTTGTTATAACCCACTTGTCATTGGCTTATAACAGGTTGCATCAATATTACTGTACCAATCTAATGGTTCACTAGTCGATGCATGATCATGCAAGCTATAAGCAATATACATAACATATTAGACATATTAGAATGCAATTAAAAGAATCGACTTCATACATTGAGTTTGATAATTTTTAAATCAACTTTCAGGAGGCTGAGATGATTGTCTTTATAAGACAAACATGGTATGATTATCGACTCTCGTGGAATGGGACGAAGAGAATAAAAGTCAGAGAACACTTTTTAGATAAAATATGGATTCCAGATGTTCGCATCACAAATTTAAAAGAAATTAAACGATTTCCAGGACTCGGTGGAGTAAACATGAACATTTATCCAGACGGGAAAGTGTATTTAAGTCAATTGTGAGTGTTCAAACCTGACTACAACATAAATATGTTTACAATATTTTTAAACTGATGACTTTCACTTTATTATATATTGCAGAATCCACATAAAACAAGTTGTCCAATGGAACTACATAGATTTCCAATTGATAAGCAAACTTGTTTTCTAAACTCTCCACGTGTAAGTTTTCATTTTGCGTGATTTCTCATACTGCAATAAGTAATCTTTTTGTTTGTGTTTGTATAGTCGCTTATGCAAAATCGCAGCTAAACTTTACAACGTCAGGAGAGAAGGTCGAAGTTCGTCGACATCAACTTCCGCAATTTGAGTTGGTTCGAGCTGAGGACTTCTTGGAAAATAATAGCAGTAGGTTTCAGGATATGGACTGTTTACCATTGTCTCCACATTTTGATTCATCTGTTCATGAGCCTATAGATGTCAGCTCTGTATTCTATTTCAAACACATTTTAGACATGTATATATTGCAAATACAAATAAAGTAAATGGTTTGAACCCGGGAGTATCGTTATATATTTGTAAATGATGATCGTCCAGGTTAATGAAGCTGGACGATCATCTGAAGTAGACTACCGCTAAGGTTGTTGAAACGTCAGTCAACAACAACAATAACAGTCCTTCTCAGGACTTTATTAATCTGGACGATCATCATTTACAAACATATAGCAAATACAAATACTTAAACATTAGTACAAATTTGGTGTACATGATGATATTCATTTGAGATGATTTTCGATAACATGACAACTTATACGCAACTCATTTTACAAAAATATATTTTGCTTCAAGAGTTGCCAGAGTTCACAGTCTCCTTGACGTTTCAAAGACGTGCAGGTTATTATATACTTCAAGTGTATATACCGGCTTCATTTCTTGTCGTACTTTCATGGCTTGCATTTCTCATGGAATCGTCAAATATCACGGATCGTCTTACATTGGAGATCACCATGATTTTATCGACTGTTTTTCTCCTCGACAGTATCAATAATGGTGTTGCTCAGGTGTCCTACACAAAGACTTCGGATCTGTTTGTCATCGTAAGCTTTGCTTTTATTTTCTTTGCATTATTGGAAACAATGTTGGTCTATCGCATTTGTCGGCTGTCTCAGAAAGAATCAACGAAAATTAGTGACGTCGTTACAGTGAGTTGTGAATTTTATTTTCAATGTTTAATTCCGAAAATTTTCAATGTTATCCAGTCTTTATTAACTTTATGAATATCTGTATATTTGTCAGAGTTCACTGGATAAGCAGCTAAAATCTTGCAACGGAAACCTCGCCTATGATCATATTCGGGAAACTTTTGTAAACAACTCCGTTGATCCAATTCAAGTCTCATCTTATCAGGAGAGCAATGGTACCATAAACACCAAAATAACAGAGAAAAATAAATCCACAGATATATCATGTTTGATCGATAAAATCAGCTTGGTTTTGTTCCCCTTCACATATGTTGGATTTAACATTGGATACTGGTGCTACTATTTAAATTAAGTTTTGTTTTTATAGAGTCAGTCTTCTCATTATGAGTAGAATAATACAGTGTGGAAGTACGTATCACTTATAGATTTTGTGCTCTCCGGAATGTTAAATGAATTAATTGTTTAGTCTTTAAACTATATGGTTTGAACCCGTTAGTATAATCCTGAGAAGGACTGTTTTTGCTGTTGTTGACACACGTTTCGACAACCTTAGCGGTAGTCATCTTCAGAGTCAAAGTCTTTGTTCAAAACTAATCTTTATTCTGGACATTACGATTTTGCTTCATGAATTTCGTATCTGTTGGTGGAAGCATCTCAATGAAATTTCTCAGCAAAACAGATGTAACCATATACTTTTTTTTAAATACAGTCTTTTCCGGATTTAGATTTTGATTTGTTATCCTTCAGTCGATTCATCACTTTTCGAATGACGTCAGTAAGCGTATTTCCTTCGTCTCGTTTATAGGACGACTGATAAATTAATAAAACCAATACTCAACCCTCTCCTCCCCCCACAAGATAGTGTTCTTGTTTCGCCCTGCATGACGTAAGCGAATATAAAGCATCAGTGAATGCTCATTTATCAGCTGTATTCACTGCTTTGTCACGTGCCTTAATGTGTTTATCAGCAGCAAGATGCTTTGCTTTTCATTCCAGACGGATATAACATTAATTTTTAATCAATATGGCGGTAAGTTATCAATAAAACTTAAAATATTTACTACGGAGGAGCAATTGTCATTTGTCCGATAGCAAATCACAAATGTTTTTTACATCAATTAACTTGGAGTAATCATCTAACATCTTGCAGTGAAACTGGCTTATATTTTCTGATTGTACAAATAAAGATTATGGTCTTAAATATATTGTTTGCGCGCAACTAACCCTCCCCCCCCCCTCCCGCGAACTTTGATCCGGATCACTGATATTGTTTATATTGATCTATTAGAGACGCCATACGATCTCTGTTGGCGGGCTCTGTCTGAGATTAACAGCTGCTGGATTATATCTTTGATCAGTTATCTTGTGGAAAAATAAAGTTGATCTTTGTAGCTATTTCTGTCTATGAGCACAAACTTCAAATGTCCATTCGTGTTCTTCCAGCATCAATTTTTTCATTCATTTATGGCGCGTGAAAGAAACCATAATTCATGAAGATTTTTCATTATTGTTTCTTTCTAATGCATTTGTAACCTGTATATCAACAATGTCATTTTTTTGTTGATGGAATTTTCCTTGGAAAAAAAACTCGGGAATTTCCACTGTTATGATTCCATACATCGATTACAAATTATTGTTTTTCTTGACTTTCAGTCACGATACAGCCTTTTTACAAAAAAAAGTATTAATTAAATTTTTTGCGATGAACATGCATTACTATGGTAATTTTTCAAATTATATCGATAAATGATTTCCATCTCAATGCACATGTCACATACAATATTACTGCAGGAACAAGAACGGTTAGGAATTTTCATTAAAGACAAAATGGGTTTGGTTTTATTATATATTTGTGTATGAAACATTATATACCAATATTTAAATAGAAATATGATATAACAATCAGTGTTTCTGGATATTTTTATTAAATAATTTTAATATTTGATTTTAAGTTTAAAGAATACACTAACACTCGTCAATTTTATGTGTGAAAGATGGAGCTATTTGTGATAGTAATATTTTCTATCGTGTTGATGAACAAGTTCGTTGTGTCGTTGACTCCACCAAAATTCAACAGGTAAGATTTAAGTTGACTCTCTTCATCGTATAATGACATGGCCAAGCAAATCGTCAATGATGTGAAAAATTTATTTTATTTCCAAGATCGGAGCTTACCAAGTATGTAAATGCTGATACAAGCATTGCTGACAGTATCTTGCGTAACTACGATAAACGTTTTATACCAACTATGTCAGGTATGTTTGAGAGTCTTTCTCCAAAAATATTACAAATTGTCGTAAATTTTTCAAATTGAAAACGTCGAAATGATTAGAAATTGGGTGAATGACTCAGAAGATATAAAGTAGATTAATTTTTTGTAACATCCGGTAAAGGATTTTAATCAATATGTTCTACATACCAATCAGCAGCTCGGGAAGTCCTAGATATCTGGGTGTCGGACAACCCGCAATTTTTGTAGTGTGGGTGTTCCTTATAGGAAGGATATCCACAAATTTAGCTTCTTATTTGAACGTTTACGATAGGTGTGCCAAATTTTTAAATTATCGAAAGGGCACCAAGAACCAGAAACTTTATACGGTTTGAACATTGACAAAATGAGCAAGTCGATTGTATGTAATGAAACACAACGCAGGGATTTGGGAGGATTTTTGTAATGTTTGCTGGAAAAAGAAGAAAAAATGATTGAAAATAACTAATATGAAACAATTTTATGAAGACTTTTTTGAAGTTTTTTACGTTATGACAAGGCGAGTATGGAGCACCCACAACTCGTGAAAGCTTCCAAAGCCTCTGATACAAACAACTAACGAGAAATGATCTTTCATGAAAAGGCATAACATGTTTTTTTTCCATTTAATCTCATTATTTGATCCTAGATCCTTTGACAACGGAACTCGAAATTGTAATAGAAAATGTTCTTAAAATAGCAGACATGGTTTGTCTATTTTTTGTTGTTTCTTTTTGATAAAATGTAGTCTACTTGTTGGGGATATAATTAGCTGAGCATGTAACCGTTGATATTGGTATCGCTGCTGTTGTCGTCGTTGTTTATATTCATTTTTTAATGCTGTATGCAAACTTCGTTTCACAGTTATTCTCCAATGAAATGATACAAATGTATAGAACTTCATGTAAGTCATTAAACAATAGAAATAATCATTATAGAAAAAAATGTAATCGTTGGGAATTTAATTAGCTGAGCATGTAACCGTTGATATTGGTATCGCTGCTGTTGTCGTCGTTGTTTATATTCATTTTTTAATACTGTATGCGAACTTCGTTTCACAGCTATTCTCCAATGATTTAATAGTATAGACCTCCATGTAAGTCATTAAACAATAGAAATAATCATTATAGAAAAGAATGTAATTATAAGATAATAACAAAGTACATGAACAAGACAGTTTTTTGCGCGGTTTGGAAATATGAACTTCTTATAAACGTCAATATGAGTGAATAGTTCCTCTTGTCATATGAGCTATACATAATCATAGTCATGCGCATAACACTGTTTTTGTTATTGTTGTTATTTGTTATAACTCACTTGTCATTGGCTTATAACAGGTTGCATCAATATTACTGTACCAACGTAATGGTTCACTAGTCGATGCATGATCATGCAAGCTATAAGCAATATACATAACATATTAGACATATTAGAATGCAATTAAAAGAATCGACTTCATACATTGAGTTTGATAATTTTTAAATCAACTTTCAGGAGGCTGAGATGATTATCTTTATAAGACAAATATGGTATGATTATCGACTCTCGTGGAATGGGACGAAGAGAATAAAAGTCAGAGAACACTTTTTAGATAAAATATGGATTCCAGATGTTCGCATCACAAATTTAAAAGAAATTAAACGATTTCCAGGACTCGGTGGAGTAAACATGAACATTTATCCAGACGGGAGAGTGTATTTAAGTCAATTGTGAGTGTTCAAACCTGACTAAAACATAAATATGTTTACAATATTTTTAAGCTGATGACTTTCACTTTATTATAAATTGCAGAGTCCACATAAAAACAAGTTGTCCAATGGAACTACATAGATTTCCAATTGATAAGCAAACTTGTTTTTTAAACTTCTCCACGTGTAAGTTTTTCATTTTGCGTGATTTCTCATACTGCAATAAGTAATCTTTTTGTTTGTGTTTGTATAGTCGCTTATGCAAAATCGCAGCTAAACTTTACAACGTCAGGAAAGAAGGTCGAAGTTCGTCGACATCAACTTCCGCAATTTGAGTTGGTTCGAGCTGTGGACTTCTTGGAAAATAATAGCAGTAGGTTTCAGGATATGGGCTGTTTATCATTGTCTCCCCATTTTGATTCATCTGTTCATGAGCCTATAGATGTCAGATCTGTATTCTATTTCAAACACATTTTAGACATGCATATGTTCCAAATACAAATACTTAAACATTAGTGCAAATTTGGTGTACATGGTGATATTCATTTGAGGTGACTTTTGAGAACATGACAACTTATACACAACTCATTTTACAACAATATATTTTGTTTCAAGAGTTGCCAAAGTTCACAGTCTCCTTGACGTTTCAAAGACGTGCAGGTTATTATATACTTCAAGTGTATATACCGGCTTCATTTCTTGTCGTACTTTCATGGCTTGCATTTCTCATGGAATCGTCAAATATCACGGATCGTCTTACATTGGAGATCACCATGATTTTATCGACTGTTTTTCTCCTCGACAGTATCAATAATGGCGTTGCTCAGGTGTCCTACACAAAGGCTTCTGATCTGTTTGTCATTGTAAGCTTTGCTTTTATTTTCTTTGCATTATTGGAAACAATGTTGGTCTATCGCATTTCTCTGATATCCCAGAAAGAATCAACGAAAGCTAGTGACGTCGTTACAGTGAGTTGAGAATTTTATGTTCAGTGGTCAATGTTTAATTCCATAAATTTTCAATGTTATCCAGTTGTTTATTAACTTTATGAATATCTATATATTTTTCAGAGTTCACTGGATAAGCAACTAAAATCTTGCAACGAAAACCTCGCCTATGATCATAATAAAGAAACTTCTTTGAACAACTCTGTTGATCAACTTCAAATCTCATCTTATCAGGAGAACAATGGTACCATAAACATCAAAACAACAGAGGGAAAGAAATCCACAGACATATCATGCTCGATCGATAAAATCAGCTTGGTTTTATTCCCCCTTGCATACATTGGATTCAACATTGGCTATTGGAACTATTATATATAATTAAGATTTCTTTTTAAAGAGAGGTTCAATCAGTTCCTCATAGAGAATAGAACAATATACTGTGCAAAAATACAAACCACTTTAACGGTTTTGTGTTTTCTGGAATACTAAATAAATCAAACGTACAAATCTTGCTATTTTTTTCTTTCTTTTTAATCGATCTTCATCCGGGACGTTATGATGTTGCTGGTACTGAAAGCGTCTCATTAAAAGGGTCGTCGTTTACAAGTAAGAAAACAATTTTGAAAAAAAAACGCTTTCTGAGCTTGGTTTTTAAGTTGTCATTCGGCTTTTCTGTTCTATCGAGTCATTAGTTTTTGAACATCGTCTTCTTTATCGTCTCGAATTACACATACCTTATATTTCAATTAAGACCCAGCAAGGATGATGGAAAGGCTTATTTCTGGATACGCTCTACGTCTCTCCTGAGGTACGTCGGTAAGATATAGCAGTATGTCGGTGCAGTGTATCTCAGAATGTGAGTCAGGGGGCAAACTTCTGGAACGCTAGTTGGCAGGGTGGATGGGAGTAAATATTTATACATATATTCAACTCTCCCGGAATGATTTCTTTTGAAAGCAATTTTGATTTGGCAAGATATCAGTAGAGCTGAGGTGAACTATGGAACAATCACCTAATAATCCACTCCCTCCCCCACCAACATGCGTCTTAGTTATGCCCCTGATGCTATCCATATTATTTATTCCACTTTTGGGAACCATTTTGCATATAACGTGGTCGTCTACATATTAAAAAACGTCTTTTTCTGTTGTATTAAATTCATTTTCTGAAAGATGAAGACAGGGCCCTAATTTTGTTCCCTGGGGAACTGTAGCGTGGATACTCATCCAGAAAAGTAGTAAATATATGCGTTTAATACTCTCTGCAGTCATTCAGAGAGAAAGTCCTTGTCCGAAATTACAAACTGTGCTGGAAGAAAGGATTCCTGAAGTTTGGAAAGGACGATGTTGGGATCCGCCAAATCAGATGTGATTCTTAAACCGAGTAAGATCAATTCAGAGCAAGAGATGCGTTTCCATCAGTGTAAGGGGTTAAAGTCTTAGAGGACTTAAATAATTATCGTGCCAAACTGGCGAGGATCATCTTATTTTAGCGATACATCTTCGAAAGAAAGAGGTGAGTGATGTGGAGTGATATTTAAAACTGGAACTGCCGCATTATCCTTAATTATGCAGACTCAATGTAAAAATTGTAATTCCATACATTTGTATTCGGTTTTTAAGTTCATAAAAATTCGGTTGTAGATCCATAATTTTTCACTTTAACGAGTACATTAATTAATATATTTTTGACATACATCTATATCACAACTAAAACCAACCATAAACAATCATTTTTAATAAATATACTTAATCACGAAAGTCTAAATTCCTTTGACAATTTTGAGTTCTAACTTCTTTCATTGAGAAGTAAAATTTTCATTAAGAAAAAGATGGCGGCGTAAATATGCGAGACGTTCATCGTCCAAATTCATGAGATAGAAACGATCATGCGTACTCTTTTGTTATAAGCATTATTTGAATAAAAATATTGATATTCGAAGAGCCTAAATGATCGCTTGAAGTTTTTATTTAGAGGGACATATACACAAAAACAACTTTATTTTTTTATAAAAAAATCGCTCAAAAGTAAATCCCCTCCAACAACACAAAAATAATCCTTCGATACGGTATGCTTGCTCATGCAATCAACCAAAATTAGATTCAAAAATTTTATTCGTGCGAAACAGCAGCTTATATCACCCCCTCTGCATTACCCTTGTCTTCTGTAGGCAACTGTGTACGGATTGATCATCAACCCTTCCCCTCTCTTCAGCTTTCATTGAAACTATCTCGTGTGAAATAAGAAAAATAAAAACAGCCAAATTAATGTTCGTGATCATTTTATTATATTGTCAACATCATGAAGTTTTTGATTTATTTAGCAATGCAGGGAGCACGAAATTTTCTGAGTTATATATGTACCTTTGCACAGTCCTGCTCTAATCATAATGAGCATACGCTGGACAAACTTCTCTTTAAATAACAAAATTTAACTAAGAAAATGGTACCAGTATCCAATGTTGAATCCTATGAATACGAGGGGGAACAACACCAAGCTGATTTTGTCCATCAAACATGAAGCACTGGACGATTTTTTTTGTTCTGTTGTTTTGATGTTTATGGTACCATTGTTCTCTTCATAAGATGAGATTTGAAGTGGATCGCTGAAGTTGTTGTTCACGGTGATTTTTTTCTCATCCTCACGTGGTGGGTGTTTGTTGGGAGGCTTTAGCTTCTTGTCAAGGGAACTCTGATGAAAATGTAACATAAAAAAATAAGACAGCGAATAGACTATGTAACACTCGCGTGCGTATCACGAATTACTAAAGTAAAATAATGCCTGTTTTCCACTAGCTACGTATCGTAAGGTATCGTAGCAAAACGTAACAGGGCGCATGCGTTCTTGCGCCTATTGATCACCAAATTCATAAGCACGCATGTGCCATATTACGTTTTGCTACGATACGTTACGATATGTGGCTAGTGGAAAACAGGCTTAAGAGTAAAGGTCGAGAATAGCTGGAGTATAATGTGAAAATCAAAAGCCGACATGATGCAAAAAAGAAGCAGATACAATTACAAGACGTTAACAAGAAATAAAGCTATATAGTAATTATTATAATAATAATATTATAATTATAAGATGGAAAACCATCCTCAACTCACAGCAACAACGTCACTAGTTTTCGTTGATTCTCTCTGGGCCAGAATCCAAAGTCTATACACCAACATTGTTTCCAATAAGGCGACGAAGATGAAACCAAAACAAACGATGATGAACAAATCAAGAGCCTTGACGTAGGACACCTGAACAATTTTATCGTTGTTGTTGTCGAGAAGAACAACGGTGGACAAAATTATCGTGATCTCCAATGTAAGACGATCCGAGATATTTGACGACTTAATAAGAAAGGCAAGCCATGAAAGTACGACAAGAAATGTAGCCGGTAAAAAACCTTGAAGTATGTAGTGTCCCACACGTCTTCGAAATTTCAGAAAAACTGTAAACGTTGAAATATCTTGAAACAAAAGAAAATGTGCATGGTAAAATTAATTTTGCTTGAAATTTCAGAAAAACTCTCAACTTTATGAAGTCTAAGAAAAATGTCCGCGTTAAATGACTTCCGTTTCTTGAAAGTGAATATATATAAGTTATCCCCTGCAGTTTTTGAGGGCCATCTCAAATCAACACCATCAAAATCTACGAATTTGTATTTTTATCTTTTTCTTTGTAATACACGATACCTACTGCCTTTGTTTTTCAGGATCTTTTTGGAGCCAACAAACTCAAACTGCGAAAGGTGATGATGACGTACTTCGACCTTTTTTGATGACGTTGTAAAGTTTAGCTTTGAATTATCATAAGCGTCTAAAGGCACAGATAAATATATCACTAAACGTGAAACGTATACTTTAATCAAATCACGCAGAATAAGTTAAGAAAACACCAACAAGATTTGAAATTGAGAAGGCAAGTTTGCCAGTCGATTGGAAATCTTTGTAGATACATTGGACAATTTATTCTAATGTGGATTCTATATAAATCATAGAAGAAAAATCATTATGGACTTATAGTCAGTATAAGGTGGCGAATATGCTGCATTGACCCTCACAATTTACTTAAATACACTCTCCCGTTGGGATAAATGTTCATATTTACTCCACCGAGTCCTGGAAATTGCTTAATTTCTTTTAAACTCGTGATGCGAACATCTGGAATCCATATTTTATCTAAAAAGTGTTCTCTGACTTTTATTCTCTTCGTTCCATTCCATGAGAGTCGATAATCATACCATATTTGTCTTATAAAGATAATCATCTCAGCCTCCTGAAAGTTGATTTAAAAATTATCGAACTCGATGTATGAACTCAATTCTTTTAATTGCATTCTAATATGTCTAATATGTTATGTATATTGCCTATAGCTTGCATGACCATGCATCGACTGGTGTACCATTAGATTGGTACACTAATGTTGATGCAATCTGTTTTAAGCCAATGACAAGTGAGTTATAACAAATAACAACAATAACAAAAACAGTGTTATGTGCATGACTATGATTATGTATAGCTCATATGACAAGAGAAACTATTCACCCATATTGACGTTTATAAGAAGTTCATATTTCCAAACTGCGCAAAAAACTGTCTTGTTCATGTATTTTGTTATTGTAGGTTTGCATGATATTAAGCATTGTCCGAATATTGTTATTTAGTATAAAAGCGAGCTCACAAACTCAGGAGGCATTCTGGTTAGATAAAAATAGGAGCAAAGGTCATTCGAATGCAGTCGTGTGAGTTTGCCAGTGTCGTCGCCCGTGTCTCTGATAAGTTATTGAACTCTTCTTTATCAATCTAAGTATATTCTTTATTTTATTTCAATTTCCGACTAGTTTACTGTTCGCTATCTTTTGTTACGAGGAGCGTAACAACAGTATCAACAACAATAACAACAACAACAACAAAAACAACAACTGCAACAATCGCAACAACAACAACAACGACAACAGTAGCAACAACAACAACAACAATGATGACGACAACAATAACAACAAAATAATAATAAATAAAACAATAAATAATAAATAATAAAACAACAATAAATAAATGAATAAATAAATAAATAAATAAATGGAATAAATAAAATGGAATAATGGAATAAATAACAAATGACAACAACAATAAATGGAATGGAATACAATAATAATAATGGAATAATGGAATGGAATGGAATAAATAAACAAAACAATAAATAACAACAATGGAATGGAATACAATGGAATGGAATAAATAATAATGTTCATAGCAATAATAACAGCAACATATGCCATAAAGATATATGTATAGTGACAAAAATGGTTATAGCAAAGATAAATGCAATTCAGGAGGGCAATGAAAATAAATAAAAAATCACGAGTATGGCAACAGCAGCAATAAGCAGAGGCCCGCAAGCTCAATTATTCGGGGGCAAATATTCGTACATGCATGTTCTACCTTAGTAGCTTCTATTGAAACCAATTGTGCTTATGGATTAACAAAGATTAAAACATACGAATATATGGATACTCGCCCCCCCCAAAAAAAATTATCGAGCTTGTGCGGCCTCTGATAAGATCAAAATGCTTAGTTTTCTAACAAATGCGTTATATTGCAAATATATACAAACCATGTTGGCTACTTTAAGAATGTCTTCTATCACAACTTGGAGTTCCACTGTCAACGGATCTAGCGTGAAAGAAGTTGAAAATTTATTTAATTCATGAATAAGCTAAAGTTATGCTATTTTTTTTCATGATGATGGCATAGAATTTCTTTAAAGTGATCTGCATTATGTCATCTCATTCATACAATTTCAAGCCATTATTTTCGTTTGGTAATGTTTGTTTATTGTAAATTTATACAGGTTGCATAACGCCAGCGTTATATATACAGGCAAACTTCCAATTATGGACAATATTCTTAAAGCGGGCAATGTTTTCGGATTTTTACCGACACGTTATTAGCTCTGATAACCTCTCATGAGCGGAGGCCTCAAGTAAGCAGACACTAAGTGGTGGTCCCAAAGGTGTCCGCTTACTGGAGATCGAAGGCTCGACTGTATATGCAGTAACATGACATACAACCATGTTATACTTGCTTAGTGTAGTTTTTTATGTCTGTTTATCCACCTATGGGTTGGGAGAATGCAGCCTAAAAACCTTTGCAAAGTAAAAATTTGTTTTCCGCTTTAAGTTTTACTGTCGGCTGCATGTTTAATGAGATGGGTCATTGATTCTTGTTGACTTTTCACGACTGATGATCGTCGTGTAGTTGTCTAAATTCGAAATATTTTTTCGAGTGATTTCTTAACCAATAGAAAGCTGCGACGTTGCATTTTACCAGTAAAACAATTCAGGTGAATCATGTGATTGTTTGTGGGAGTGAAATCTGTTCTGCATTTTTTCGAGACATTTCTTAACCAATAGAAAGATGCGACGTTAAATTTTACAAGAAAAACAATTTAGGTGAATCATGTGATTGTTTGCGGGAGTGAAATCTGTTCGGTGTTGTTGTATGCGAGCTTTACCAGTATAGCATAAGTCACAAAATGGGAAGTATATGTCATGGTTTAGAACTTTGTAGCTGTATCGGTGTTGGCATAGTTTTTTATGATATTTAATAATCTAAGACGACCCCTTTTCCGTTTATAAAATCGACCACCCACATACCTGATATCGTTGGTATAAAGCGTTTATCGTAGTCACGCAAGATACTGTCAGCGATTTTTGTATCAGCACTTATATACTTGATTAGCTCTGATCTTGAAAAAAATTAATTCCTTGCGTCATTGACGATTTGGTTTGGCCATATCTCATCATATACAATGAAGAGATTCAAGTTAAATCTTACTTGTTTAATTTTGGTGGAGTCAACGAGACAGCGAACTTGTTCATCAACACGAAAGAGAATATTGCTACCACAAAAAACTTCATCTTTCGTGCAAAAGATCAATGAGTTCCAGTTGATGATGCAATCAATTCAAATTCTATAGAAAAAATGTATGGATTCACCGTAATAAAGTAGATTGTAATTTCCCACTATAGATCAGTGATGTTTCAACTTTTTTTCAGATGCAACAACAACAACCATTGTGACTTAAAAGATAATTCCGTATCGTTCTCGTTTCTGCATAAATGTATGCTATATGTCTATTGGAGTTGACAAAGTTTATCTTTTTACTTAAGAAAATTACCATATAGCTACGTAATTATTGAATCGCGCCCCTTTTATGTTTCACGAAAATGTGATTTAAAACAGATCGTCTGTTGAGCCGCGTAGTAACGTATCGATAAAAATGCTTTTTGTTAAATGTCTACATCACATTAAAGATTTACACCACTGCATTTATGATTTAGGGTGATTTTATATAAGCGTACCTATAATCGTGACAGGGAATATTTCCTGGAATATTTTCGCATGCTTTTAGTTTCAAGCAAATTTTCTGAGAAGAAAAACTGGTGATAATATTACAAGACAGTGAAGCCCGTTTTAAATGTCGAATTTTTCTTGTGCCAAATGCGATAGAGGCCAAAGATAATCAGAAATCTTCTGTGTTTAGTTTTTATTTTAATTAAGTTTGGTGCATTACTAGTTTAATAATCGAAATGGACCTCAAAATGCATGGGAAACATACTGTGGCTTCTGAAATTCAGCGTGTTCAGTGGGACACGTACCGTTTGGCGTTTGTTTTTCTTTATCAGCAAAACAGAAGATAAATAATCGCCTTTAACATCGATCATCTGTTTGAATTCATAAGAGTGCACTCAGACCAGGGAGAACTATGAATGTACGCAGTAGAGTGCATACATTGTCTCTGTATTCCTTCTTTTCCTAAAAATGCTTTACGCGGAGAAACCTTATTCCATGTCAAGTGTAGGTGATATTCAAGATAATTCAAAATCTTTGATTACCTCACACATACGCTATCTTCGTAGATGACATTAATGACGATTTCTGATTGAATGCACAAAGCATTTGTCGCATGTTAATTTGTTATCGAGTTTTAAGATCGCTTGCGTTTCATCAATAATCAACAGCTGTACATCAAGGGATTACGAGGTCTTGTTATGAGTGTGACAGACGGGTCATTTCATTCAACAGTAAGTGAAATGAGTGCATAATGATAAACATTCACTTTACAATATAATGCTGTAAGTGTTGCCGACGTAAACTGATGTAATGCTGGACGTTATATTGAGAACATCTCCGCTTGAATTCGTGAAAATATAAACAGGAAAATTGATGCTTGATCGTAATCTATTAATCGTTTGATGACATCATAACGTCCCGGATGAAAATAAGAAAAGTACAACAACCAGATTTTGAGGTTTTTATTTATTTAGCAATCTAGAGAATATGCACAAACCTTATAAGTAATGTGTGTCTTTGTACATGTACTATTCTATTGATAATGAGGATACTGAGTAGGCCTCTCGCTATGAAAGCAAGACTTAATTTAGATAATAGCTCCAATATCCAATGTTGAATCCAATGTATGCAAGGGGGAATAAAACCAAACTGATGCTATTGATCAAAGATGAAACATTTGATGATTTCTTTTTCTCCGTTATGTTGGTGTTTATGGTATCGTTGTTCTCTTCATAAGCTGGCATTCGAAGTGGATCAACAGAGTTGGTCACAGAAGTTTCTTTATTATGATCATAGGCGAGGTTTTCGTTGCACGATTTTAGCTGCTTATCAAGTGAGCTCTGACAAATATACAAGTAAACAACTGAAAGGTGATAACATTAAAAATTATCGGAATTATAAAATTGGCCGCTGAACATAAAAATCCTCAACTCACTGTAACGACGTCACTAATTTTCGTTGATTCTTTCTGAGACAGCCGACAAATGCGATAGACCAACATTGTTTCCAATAATGCAAAAAAAATAAAAGCAAAGCTTACGATGACAAACAGATCCGAAGCCTTTGTGTAGGACACCTGAGCAACACCATTATTGATACTGCCGAGGAGAAAAACGGCCGACAGAATCATGGTGATCTCCAATGTAAGACGATCCGTGATATTTGACGATTCCATGAGAAATGCAAGCCATGAAAGTACGACAAGAAATGAAGCCGGTATATACACTTGAAGTATATAATAACCTGCACGTCGTTGAAAAGTGAGGGAAACTGTGAACTCTTAAAGGAAATGAAGTCAAAAGCGTAAATGATTTATGTGTGAAAGCGATGACGTTATGCTTTTCAGTACTTAAAGATTCTCTCAAACGAATTGCCAGCATACTCGCCTAAAAGTGCCTTAGAAATGAAATACAGAGCTGATACATATAGGCTCATATGTGGACAAAGAAATCAAAATGGCGGCAATGGTAAGCAGCCCACAAATTGATACATACTGCTTCCACTTTTTTCCAGAAAGTCTGTAGCATGAACCAACTCAAACTGTGGAAGGTGATAGTAGCGTACGTCAACCTTCTTCCCTGACGTTGTAAAGTTTAGCTGTGACTTTCCATAGGCGACTGAAAACACAGATAAATATACATACTTTGATCATGGCAAATCATGGAAAAAATATGCGTATATGAATGCACCTACGTACAAGACGAAAAATTGAGAAAACAAGTTTGCCTGTCCATTGGAAATCTACGCAAATCCATAGAACAGCTTGCTTCTATGTGAACTCTGTAATTTATAAGCATTTGATAAAAATTTAAAGGGAAAGCAATTTGTTTTAAAAATTTTTTCAATATTCCGTTGCAGCCGCGTGTGAACACTCACAATTGACTTAAATACACTCGACCGTCTGGATAAATGTTCATGTTTACTCCACCGAGTCCTGGGAATCGTTTAATGTCTTTTAAATTTCTGATGCGAACATCTGGAATCCATATTTTATCTAAAAAGTGTTCTCGAACTTTTATCCTCTTCGTTCCATTCCACGAGAGTCGATAATCATACCATGTTTGTCTTATAAAGATAATTATCTCAGCCTCCTGAAAACAATTACAAATTCATTGTATAAAAAAATTGCTCATAATTGCAGTCTAATATATTATGATAATTTGCATATAGTACAGCTAGTTAACCGAAACGAACATTCTATATAAACCATTGAACTAAAATACATGGAGCGCTACCTGTAATAGAAAACCCTAATAATTTTTTTAGAAATTATCAAATTCATTGTTGGAGATAACTCTTCACAATTAGCAACATTTTAATATCTTATGATAAATTAGTGAATCACTCGAGAATAAATGCTAGGCAGCCTTTAATGTACTAAAATATACATCGCTCAACACAATCAGCAAAAGTGAAATTGCAATTGCAAAAATGAACATCAAAACAATTGCTAAAACATAAAACATCAACGCCATCAATAAGCAACGGTTTCAAAAGCAATATAGTCAAATAATAAAACAATACAATGGAAGCAATGACACATGCGCCAGTCACGTGAAAACTTATAAAAAAGGACAAAGCAATATGAAAAACAACAATCTTTTTAAACAATTCTCACTATCAACAATGACTTCTAAAGCATGCAATGACAACAACGGCACTAGAATTAAAAACAATTTAGAATATATCTACAAACCATGTTGGCTATTTTAAGAATATTTGCTATCACAATTTGGAGTTTCACTGTCAAAGGACCTAGCACGAAAGAAGAAAAAATTGATTCAATTACAGATATAATCCGAAAGTGAACATATGTTTCGTCTTGCAACGCTTTCAACTTGAATAAGTTGTGTTTGCGCGAGTTCTGACTAAACGACTTTGCATGTTATCAAACATACCTGATATAATTGGTATAAAACGTTTATCGTAGTCACGCAAGATACTGTCTGCAATTTTTGTATCAGCACTTACATACTTGATCAGCTCCGATCTTAGAAATGAAATAAATTTCTCACATCATTGACGATTTGTTTGGCCATGTCATCATGCGATGAAGAGAGCCTACTTCAATCTTACCTGTTTAATTTTGGTGGAGTCAACGACACAACGTATTTGTTCATCAACACGATAGAGAATATTGCTATCGCAAATAGCTTCATCTTTCTCACATAGGATCGATGAGTTTTAGTTTATTCTTTGAATTGAATCTCTGTGGTGAAAGTATACAGAATTAATCTCGTTCTTTTTTGTCACACAAAAAATTTTAAGTGTGTTACAATTTTCGTTATAGCTCGTCGGTTGATTTTTCGTATGCAGCCAATAAAAAGTAGCTACTTTTTTGTCATATCTATATTTTTGATTCTATATCACAATACAGCATATAGCCATGTACGACAATTTGTTTGTGTATCATATGCATGTACATAAGTGCATGATCAATAGTATGCAATGAATCAATAAGTTGCTGTACATGACGCTTTTGAAGCTACTTTTATTCAACTATAACGTGAGGGCGCAGGTGTACTGCACTGATCTCATTACATCAGGAAAATCAGGAAAAGCAAATCGAATTATGAAAACGGATTCAATTATATTTTTGCATTGTCAATCTACTTTGTTTTTCATCGATAGGACACGTAATGTATTTATGCGCATCGAATGATTTCCAACAAAAACTACAGCCAACTTAATTATGTAGAAGCCATGAAAATCATCTCTGATTCCTTCAATTATTGCAAGATACATTTAAATCTGTTCCTTTTTTTTTTTACCAACTAACCTGTGATATTGAAAACTGACGGCGATTCTCCAGAAGTCCAGTAGATGATGAAAAACTTTGTTGATAATAGTTCTGGACAACCTGTTGGTTACCTCAGCAACAAATGTGTTTAAGCCTTATATAGAGTTGTGCAACGAAATGTAAAGTTATGTCTTCATTTAGCAAGCAACATATAGAGGAATTGCGGGAAATTTTGTCGATTTGAATCCTACAGAACAATCAATAAAACTGGGGGAAACAGTCAAGATAAAATTATTCAATTACGTATTTTGATTTAGAATAAGATTTTTGCAATGACGCGTTCCCTTCCTTGCCTAATAATCCATAATTAGTTTTCCTTTTTTTTCGAGAAATAGAGAAATTCTTAACGTCAATCAAAAACTGCGAAATGTATTCTGTTTGAAGGATGATTCTGGATGAATGACATTCTTCATCGTATGATAAATATTTAGTCTGCTGATGCGATGAAATGTGATGATAAATTTCCATACAACATGCCTCGAATGGACTGGTACTTTAAATAAAAGTTGATATAAAATAAAGTTAGTTTTGCAAGGTTAGGATCATCACAAGTAGAATATGTGTTCGACTGGAGACTTGGAATTAATTTTAGTATTTTAGACCTAGTATTGTAGGCGTTTTAATGCGTGTTTCTGAATCAGCGATCACAATAATATTGTCAGAGTTAGGACTTTTTGTTGATCGAGGTTGGTGTTAGGATTATTTCATGAGAATGATCGGAATGAGAAAAATTATATTGTGTCAAATGAGAATGTGTTGGGGTTTTGAAATACAAATACCCATAAATTACCATGTATTCAACGCAAATCATTGATTTTATCCACTTTCATTAAGCATCCCCCTTACCGCTTATAAATGCATTTTTAAGACGGGGGAAGCTACTTAGCTTGATGATTGTTCTTCGTCGGTGAAAAGAAGTGCGTATGTAATTATGTAAACATACTCCCATTCAATTGTTTTAGTTTGCAGCAGAAATATTTAAACGAAGGAAATACTGTTCAAGAGCGATTTTGGCCTCGAAGAAATGGAGTGCGGATGCCTCTTTTATTTTCTGGCTGCTCTCGTTTATAAAACGACTGCGTTCTCGAACAAGTAAGTGGGTTTCTTATCAACACTAGAATATAACGTCAATATCAAACGCAACGTGAGATAATGTTTGAGCCTATTTTTTGATGATTATTTCTGCTTAATTACTTTGCTTGTTGTAAAGTCATGTGTGTTGTTGTGACTTTATTAAAACTTTCAAATAATGAGAGGTTTGTTACTCCACAGACTACAGTACATCTTCGAACCACTTAAGATTATGTTTGTGCAATTGTTCGACTCGATGTTTATGTATTGCAAAATTCAACAAGACAAAGAACTGAAAGAAGACGCTGTCTCACAATGATTATTTATGCACACAAGGATGTTAAGCGCGATATGTCCAGTGGAAATTGCTGTGCAAAATTTTGAAAAAGTATAATATTTTTCAGCTCATATTTGATCACGTTTCCATCAACAATTCGCCCCGGAATGACCGTCGATGTGAACGTCCTTATCCTTAGAACATCCCCTTCAGATGCCAATGTGTCTGTGACAGCAGCGTTGTTCATTGCATCTCGGCAAGTTGTCTCGGGAGTGGGACTATTTAGTAGAGGTAACTCATGCCTACTTATGACAAGTAGCCTAGTTGGTGTTTGGTCAAAACAGTACAATTTTCAGAGCAGCAGTTTGATTTAGGGTTATTGTTAGGTCTAAGGTTAGTGTGGGTTAGGGTTGGGTTAGGGTTAGGATTAGGGTTTGGGTTAGGGTTAGGATTAGGTCTAAGGTTAGTGTGGGTTAGGGTTAGGGTTAGGATTATGTCTAAGGGTATTGTAGGTTAGGCTTAGGTCTAAGGGTATTGTGGGTTAGGCTTAGGCTTAGGTCTAAGGTTAGTGTGGCTTAGACTTAGGCTTAAAGGTTGGGTTAGGGTTTAGGGTTAAAGTTTAGGTTTCTTGGGCCAATTTGGTGAGTGGGCCAAGTTTCACCATAATCTTTATTGTGTGGGGTACAGTTTCACCATAATCTTTATGGTGTGGGGACAGTTTCACAAAGGTAATGTATGGTCAGTGTCATTGTGTTATTTTTAAGTGGTTTGTTTTCATTTTTCACTAAAGTAACTTATGACACGAGTCAAAAAATGCTCCAAAAGCCTGATTGACCACATAGTCACAAATACTCCTGAAAAAATATCTGAATCAGGAGTTATTTACACAGGTATTAGTGACCATGATATGATTTTGCAATTAGGAAAACTTCCATACCAAAAGTAAAACATCATTGAAATAAGAAACATGAAAACTTTAATGAGAAAACGCTTCTTGATGAACTCAGGAGCAACCATGGGATTCTGTATATTTCTTCCCCATGATACTAATGCTATGTGGGAAATGTGGAAAGGTCTATTCCTTGAGATTTTTGACAAATATGCACCCATTCAAAATAAAAAGATTCGAGGAAAAATCTTCCATGGATGACAAGGGACATAAAAGAACTGATGAAAAATCAAGATTATTTGAAACACAAGGCAATGAAAACAAATTTAAAAACAGACTGGCTGTGTTACAGGAAAAGCAGGAATAAAGTAAATATTAAACTAAAATACTCAAAAAAAGAGTACTACTCTTCAGAGATTGTTGGTCAAAAACAAAACCCTAAACAGGCCTGGAAAACTATTAACAATTTATTGGGAAAACAAAAGAAAGAAACAGTTATAAATGAATTGATTATCAATGACAATACTTTTACAACCTCAGAAAGCATAGAAGAGGGCCTTAATACATATTTTTCTAATACTGGCCCAAAACTTGCTGAAGAAATAGACAACACAAAAACTAATTTTGAAAATTATATAAATACAACTAAATCAGAGTTTGCTGCCTTTGCCAACTACTGTCCATAATGTGTACCATCTCATTTGTGGACTTTCGGCAAATAAGGCAACAGGTTGTGATGGAATATCATGTAAAATTTTAAAACTAGCTGCACCTGTTATATCTGAAACATTAACCTATATTTTCAATCAGTGCATAACTTTGTCTGTCTTCCCAGATGAATGGAAAACAGCAAGAATTATACCTCTTTACAAAAATGGACACCGTAACTTGCCTGGAAACTATAGACCAATTTCAATTCTTCCAGTCGTCAGTAAAATCATTGAACGTATACTTTACGATCAACTCTACAACTACTTTTCTAAATCTGAAATCCTAAGTGATTGTCAATTTGGTTTCAGAAAATCACATTCAACAACAACTGCCTTAATTGACTGTACGAATGATTGGTACACAAACATGGATAAAAGGCTGCTCAACCTTGTAGTCCAAATTGATCTAAAAAAGGCTTTTGATACTGTTGACCACAAAATTTTATTAAGAAAACTTGAGTTGTATGGAATTAAAGGACAAGCCTACAACCTAATTGAATCCTATCTGTCAAAGCGAACTCAAAGATGCCAAATCAAAATTTTATTTCATCCCAACAACTCCTCTCCTGTGGAGTTCCCCAGGGCTCTATTCTAGGTCCGTTATTTTTTAATATATATAAATGACTTACCCTCATGCTTAGAGCAATGTAAACCAAAAATGTTTGCTGATGATACTAGCATAACTGCTTCAAATAATGATATAGTTGAACTAGAAAAGACAGTAAACTCTGACTTGAATAATCTTGAAAAGTGGTTGATAGCAAACAAACTTAGTTTGAATTCAACCAAGACAGAATATTTGATCATAGGCTCGAAACAAATGATCAAGAATGTTTTTGCTTCTAATTTGCATATTGCAATTGGCAATTACGTTATAAATAGAATTTATGAGTACGAAAGTTTGGGTTTAATAATTGACCAACACTTATCTTGGAGGAGTAACACTGATAAAATTTGCAAAAAAGTAGCAGCCGGTATCTCCGCCCTTAGAAAATTAAAGCAATACACAGACAAACAAACACTTATCTCTATTTATAATGCCCTGGTACATCCTTACTTCACATATTGCTGTGATGTTTGGGGTGTTTTGGGGGAAACTCAGTCCAAAAGACTACAAAAACTTCAAAATAGAGCTGCAAAAATTATCATAAGCATGGGCATTGATGTCGATTATTGTAACGCATTACAAGAATTGAAGTGGGAACCTCTTGAAATACTTAGAAAAAAAGCTAAAGCAAAGCTGATGTTTAAATTATTAATAAATGCTGGACCAAATTCACTTACTAGATTGTTTACCTATAAAAAAGGCATCACTGATTACAATCTACGCAATATTACAAGTTGTCTAAATGTTCCTATGCCTAGTACTAACTCCTTGAAGAAAAGCTTTGCGTATGATGGAGCTTCTGTTTGGAATTCAATTCCAGCAGAAATCAGAAATTGCAAAAGCGTGTCACTTTTTCAAAAGAAAATTGCTGCTTGCATTTTATGATTTAGTTTAACATGTAACTGATGGAATAAACTAAACTCTGTAAATATTTAAACTTCTCTTCTGTAGATAATTTATTTCTTAGTAAATTTTGTAATTGTTTTTGAACAAAAGCACGCCCCTTTTGGAAATCAACCCCAGTTGACAAGGCCAGCGTGTCAAAATAAAGATTTTCATTCATTCATTCATTTGCATGTTCACCATTGCTGAGAGTACTTTTTGTAGTAATTATTACTTTGGTGAATCTCATCCTGAAAAAGTTATAAATAGTAGGAAATTTAGATAAGTAACTCTTGTCTTGCCTGACAGAAAAAATTTCACTTTGCTAACTTCTAACCAATATGATGGCGTGTTTTAGTTGATATGAATGTTGTACAATGATTACTTAAGGACAAAATTATAGAAAAGTTAAACCCGACAAGCTGTAGTCAATATCAAAAATTAATCTTTGGTTGGGTCATTTAACAATGATAACACATGTGGCTAAAGTTATAGGGAGAATTTCACCTAGGTAACTCATAGCCACTACTTTCGTAAGTTGTTAGTGAGGCAAGTTAACAACTCTTGTCTAGAAATTTAGGGATAATTTTACTAATCACTAATTAGGAAATAAAAGATGTTCACTGTGTTTGTACAAGCTTATGCAAACTGAGCAGACCTTTGGGAGAACTTGATAGCTGATCAATGCAAGTCCGAGACCGTAGGTCGAGGGTTGCACCTGTTTGAGAATTCTCACAAATGTCTCCAAGGCTTGCATAAGCCAGTGCAAACACGAAAAACATCTTTTATTTCTTTTATGAAATAACAATAATGCAAAACAGACAAATTTAAAGTAAACGTGTCAAATTTTGCTTTAAAATGTATTCATGATCAATTTGCAAATTGTCTTTGACGGAACGAATGTTATGATGGATTTGATTAATTGAGCTCAGATGTGTTTTGCACTTGCTAATGCAAACACAGCTCTAGACCAATCAAAACACGCGTTTCATTTTGTTTATTTTATAAACTTATATGGTTCGAGTTGACAAGACAATTTTAAGAGTTTTATCTCTTGAACCATTTCACAAGGTTAACTAGTGGCTAGTGACTGGTATCATGCGTTGATCGTTGGATTATGGACCTTTTGTAACGAATTTTTATTTTCTAAACTTGAACAAGTATGAAAAAGTTCAGCGATGTTTACTTGCGCGATGGTCCATTTTCGTCATAATGTCTACCTTCGAACATTAGAGTTATAAATCGTTCAAATTTTCTGATGCAGTTAGCAATATTTTGTTTGTTCTCCGCTTATTCCTCACCATTTGTTTTGCCCTTTTTTCTTAGGCGAACTAGGATCAATTAAATTGGAGGTAAGAGATGGATTAAATGTTCGTTTTGTTATTAGCACGATTTCCTGAAGTCTTTACCATGTAACAGATGCAAATAGTTCCTGTTTCAAAGTTTGAGTTTAATGTCACATACCCTTCTACAGATTCCTATGAATGAATCCAATCAAAACGACGACGAACATTACGTAAGAAAAAACATTCGTGTCATTGGCTCTGGGGGGCTGACATTCAATGAAACAAAGTCAGTGAATTTTGACGTAAAAGGACTTACAATTTACATTCAAACTGACAAAGGCATCTATAAACCCGGACAAACGGGTGAGATGATGTGATGTTTTACTTTCATCCGCATTTCAATTCAGCTCACTTGGGTTGTTTCTTTGTGTTGTAGTCCACATTCGTGTTATTCCTGTTTATCCAAGTTTGAAAATATATCACGGAAGAATGACGATCACTGTTTATGTAAGTTTTGTTAGCGTTTTAAAGGTGAATGGTCTGCATCCGGGAATATCGTTAGCTGACGTTTACTCCTCACTTCAATCTGAAGATGAATGACTACCGCTAAGGTTGTCGATACGTCAGTCAACATCAACACAAATAACCCGTCCCAGGGGTCGGTTGCGCGAAGAGCAAACAGCACTATCCACTGGATAGCAATATTTTCATGTACATTCGATGTAGCGTAACTTGCAATCTGGAAAATATTTTGATTTTATTTTTCGTTAACATCTGACTATTTTTTCAATGCAGGATTCAAAAAGCAACAAACTACGACTGTGGAAAGATGTAGCCTCGAGTTCAGGTGTCGTTTTTTATTTATTTTTGTTAGAAAGATACAGCTCAAACTTCAAATACGCTTGTAATAGTTCGAAATGCATCATATAGTCACTGTCACGTCTTACAAATTGCATTGGAACATTGTGTTTAACATTGCCGAATTCTTTTTAAACTCGAATTGAAAAATGCGCCTAAATTTTCAACACTGTGTGAAAATTTTGTATCAGTGTTGTCGAAGACAATATTGAGTGTACTATATCCAAGGCTTTTCAAATGCCTTATCTTCGTTTTTATCGCTTTTGAAATGCTAGGAGTGGTATCGAAAGATTTTGAGCTCTCCTCTCAGCCTAACTTCGGAGATTGGAAGATCAAAGCTGAAGTGGAGGTGAATGATCGTTTTTGTTCATATTGATGTAATATTTTAAAATGACCGCTTCTTCGAAATATTCAGGGTCAATCAAACGAAGTTTCCTTCGAAGTAAAAGAATATGGTAAGATATATAGTAATGACTAATGCTTTGTACTGGAAAGTTGAAAGCGTCCGCTCGGATGACATTTGTTGCTTTTACCGCGTACGTAGTCCTTCCAAAGTTTGAAGTAAAAGTCCTTACCAACGGTTATGCCACCAAAGGGAACGGGGATGTGTGTGGAACAGTGACGGCCAAGTATGTCACCTGAATAGTGTCATAGTGTAATAGCCGATGATTTAGAACCCAATCAATCCTGTAGATGTGAGGTATGAAGGACGCCATTTTGATAGGTGGCAAAAAGCAAAACTCAAATTAAAGAATAAGCTAAAAGAAGGTTTAAAAACCCAATCCTATCAAACATTTTAAAAATTAAACTTAGACTGTCAACTTTTCAACTGTATACGAACTCGGGAAAAGCAGATATTAATCGCAAATATCGTCAGTTTTTCCACCTTTGAAGATGGCGGCTTGCCTCACTCGTGACTATAGAATTTTGACCGAGTCAGATATCTACGTAGTAGATTGGGTTCTAGGTCATTGATTATAGCACTTTGATTATCATGTTCGACAACAATTTGCATCCAAAAACTGCAAGTTGAAATTACTAGTTTTCATCATATGACAAGTTATCATCATGTTACTAGTTGTCATGTTACTAGGAATCATGTTACAAATTATCATGTTTACTGGTTGTCATGTTACTACTTGTCATGTTACTAGTTGTCATGTTACAAATTATCATGTTACTAGTTATCATGTTACAAATTATCATGTTACTAGTTATCATGTTACAAATTATCATGTTACTAGTTATCATGTTACAAATTATCATGTTTACTGGTTGTCATGTTACTAGTTATCATGTTACAAATTATCATGTTATTAGTTATCATGTTACAAATTATCATGTTACTAGTTATCATGTTACAAATTATCATGTTACTAGTTATCATGTTACCAGTTGTTATGTTACAAGTTGTGATGTAACAAGTTGTCATGTTAGTAGTTGTCATGTTACTAATTGTCATGTTACTAGTTATTATGTTACTAGTTATCATGTTACCAGTTGTTATGTTACAAGTTGTGATGTAACAAGTTGTCATGTTAGTAGTTGTCATGTTACAAGTTGTCATGTTACTAGTTGTCATGTTACTAGTTGTCATGTTACTAGGAATCATGTTACAAATTATCGTGTTACAAATTATCATGTTATTAGTTATCATGTTACTAATTGTCATGTTACTGGTTATCATGTTACTAGTTGTTATGTAACAAGTTGTCATGTTACTAGTTATCATGTTACAAACTATCATGTTACAAATTATCATGTTAGTAGTTATCATGTTACTAATTGTCATGTTACTAGTTATTATGTTACTAGTTGTTATGTTACAAGTTGTCATGTAACAAGTTTTCATGTTACTAGTTGTCATGTTACTAGGAATCATGTTCCTAGTTATCCACATGCTGTCTTAGTTCTTGTTGTGATTTATGGTTATCTTGTAGATACACACATGGAAAAAATGTTAAAGGGAAAGGAACGCTCTCTGTTCACTTCACTTGTTATCAGCGATGCAAGAAATTCCAACTTGATTTTACTGTACGTAAACGAGCACACGACTTAGCACGTTTTTCCCCCTTTCGTCCTCCCTTCATCATATATTCTGCGAGAGAAAGGAAACGCGTTCTCTTCTTCGTTGTAGGTTGATGGAAGCTATTCATTTGTCATTCCCAAGGATAGAATCGAGAGTATTTACCCCACTTCTTTCGGTGAACCGTATAACTATGGTATTGCACTTACTTTGAATGCGTCTGTCACGGAAATCCTAACTCAAAAGACATATTACGGCGAAGCTCTTGTGAGATTATATCGAAGTGCCGCTCTTCTTGACTATCCTCAATCAAATCCTCAAGCATTTAAACCCGGTTTTCCTTTGCAAGTTCTTGTAAGCGATGCACGAGGCTTATTGCTTTGCATCCTTTCTCTTTATGTTTAAGGTTTCTACGTTAATCGTCTTCTTTCAGATTAAAGTACAACGTCCGGATGGCAGTCCGCTGGTCAATACCGTGGTGCCAGTGACGTCAACAATAAACCCAAGCAATACAAAGTACTCACGAGTTTACACTAGCGATAAAAATGGCTACGTACTGATGACGCAAACCCTTCCAGTTGGGGCTACTTACATCTACATAAAGGTATTCATAATTTTTGTTTGTTATTTCTGACTCGTCGTCATTCGTATGCGATTGGTCTTTTTGAGGGAAAAGAATGAACATGAAAAGGGCTTTCTTTTTAACTTTCGACTTTCTTATCATATCTGTTGAGCTTTCAAAGTTAAGCTTGTCTTGATAAAACGTTTCGACTTTTATATCATATCTGTTGAGCTTTCAAAGTTAAGCTTGTCTTGATAAAACGTTTCGACTTTCATATCATATCTGTTGAGTTTTCAAACTTAAGCTTGTCTTGATAAAAGTTTTTAACTTTCATATCATATCTGTTGAGCTTTCAAAGTTAAGCTAGTCTTGATAAAAAGTTTCGACTTTCATATCATATCTGTTGAGCTTTCAAAGTTAGGTTTGTGTTGATAAAAATTTTCTGTTTTGTTTTGATTGTTTTTAGGCCAAAGTTTCTGACGAATATGGCGAAGAAAGTAGTATGTACCAGAGAATTACAAGTTTTACTTCTGACAGTAAAACTTACATTGCAGTTACGGCTGAATTCAATGAATTAAACGTTGGAAGCGAAATACTCTTGAAGATCAAGTCTACCGAAGCACTTTCCTCATTTAATTATATTGTAAGTATGAAAATGCTTAGTGTAGTTGCAGGAAGCCTGGGGCCGATTTGAAGGAGGATGGCGCTATGCTGAAATTATAATTTTATGATCGGTTTGAAAATTGATTTTCACTCAGCTCACGTGACCCGGAAATAGCGTATTTAAAAGAAATGCTTACTCAACGCTTGAATTAGAAGTAACTTATCCTTTTGTTCCCTACTAAAATCTTTCTCAATCTCCAGCTTTTGTCATGTGGAAGTGTAGTGAAGCCATGCAAATATCTTTCTTAATCTCCAGCTTTTGTCACGTGGAAGTGTCGTGAAGCCATACTAATATTCTTTTTAATCTCCAGCTTCTGTCACGTGGAAGTGTCGTGAAGCCATACTAATATTCTTCTTAATCTTCTGTCACGTGGAAGTGTCGTGAAGCCATACTAATGTCTTTCTTAATCTCCAGCTTCTGTCATTTGGAAGTGTTGTGAAGCCATACTAATATCTTTCTTAATCTCCAGCTTCTGTCACGTAGAAGTGTCATGAAGCCATACTAATATTCTTCTTAATCTCCAGCTTCTGTCACGTGGAAGTGTCGTGAAGCCCTACTAATATCTTAATCTCCAGCTTCTGTCACGTGGAAGTGTCGTGAAGCCCTACTAATATCTTACTTAATCTCCAGTTTCTGTCACGTGGAAGTGTCGTGAAGCCATAGTAATATCTTACTTAATCTCTAGGCCCTGTCACGTGGAAGTGTCGTGAAGCCATACTAATATCTTACTTAAACTCTAGGTCCTGTCACGTGGACTTGTCGTAAAGTCTGGTACGGTTTCCGTCTATCCAATGGCCACGCGTGCAACCCTAAAGTTTCGGGCAACCACCGCCATGGCACCATCTGCCAAGATTGTAGTTTATTTTATACGTGATGATGGTGAAGTTGTTGCAGACAGCACTGCTCTCAAAATCAATGGCGCATTTGAAAATGACGTAAGAATTATTATGTTGATCAATTTAGGGACATTTTTGGATACACTGTAACTTTGAGGAAGAATATTACTATGTATGTGGTGCCTCATCTCCTTGTACATCTACATCTTTATCTACATCTGCATCTACATCTACATCTACATCTTTATCTACATCTGCATCTACATCTACATCTACATCTTTATCTACATGTACATCTACATCTTTATCTACATCTACATGTACATTTACATCTACACCTACATCTACATCTACCTCTACATTTACATCTACATCTACATCTACATTTACATCTACATCTACATCTACATTTACATTTACATCTACATCTACATTTACATCTACATTTACATCTATATCTACATCTACATCTACTTTTACATTTACATCTACATCTACATTTACATTTGCATCTACATCTACATTTACATCTACATTTACATTTACATCTACATCTACTTTTACATTTACATCTACATCTACATCTACATTTACATGTCCTGAGATGCAATCTCTACTTCATTACATCGTTGTAGGTTTCTGTACAATTTAGTCGTGCCCAAACAAAACCAGGAGAAGCTGTAAGCGTGAAAATCAAGGCATCTCCCTTCTCACAAGTCAGCCTGCTAGCGATAGACAAAAGTGTTCTTCTTCTAGATAAAGGAAACGATTTGACAGTTACTGAGGTATGTTTATGAGTTGCAGTGTGTACGTAAAAGGATATATAAGTATAGTGAACGCAGTGTAGCAGTTTCTTATTGAATTCACCGGAGACGATTTTAAGCCCTATGTGATCTAAAGCACCTCCCCACTCAATCAAATGGACAGCACTTATCAAATAATACGACCTCAATCAGTGGCAAAGCCAACATGCAGGTTTGTTCACTGGCAAAGCCAACCTGCAGGTTTGTTCACTGGCAAAGCCAACCTGCAGGTTTGTTCACTGGCAAAGCCAACCTGTAAGTTTGTTCACTGGCAAAGCCAACCTGCAAGTTTGTTCACTGGCAAAGCCAACCTGCAGGTTTGTTCACTGGCAAAGCCAACCTGCAGGTTTGTTCACTGGCAAAGCCAACCTGCAGGTTTGTTCACTGGCAAAGCCAACCTGCAGGTTTGTTCACTGGCAAAGCCAACCTGCAAGTTTGTTCGTGCTATGAGAATATTCGACGTTCACTCTCTGTAAGATTGATTTATGCTGTAGTATTATGAAGTGTTTTTTGCAGGCTGTTTAATTTATGTAAATTATTTTTAATTATTTTCATCGTACTGTCATGTTGAACTGTTGTAGTGTTTATTTTAAAAATTTCGTTCGTACCTCCTCCATCTGGGTAACTGTTTTTATTTTTTATTGTGATTTATTATTAGATTTAGATTACCAATAAAACAATTTAAGAAAATGACCTGAAATTTGCATAGCACGACCAACATCCGTGTTTGCTACGTCACTGCTGACGTCATTGACAGAGAACGAAATTACAAATCAGGATAGAATGGTCAAATAACCTTTTTTTGTAACGTAACGCTTTCTTAGGTGATGAATGACTTGGCATCGTTTGGAGGTGACCATTCAAATTACTTTCCTCCTTGGTGGAGATGGCGCAGGCGCAGATCATTCTTCCCGTGGTATCCCAGGGCAACTGACTCTTTTCAAATATTCCAGGCAAGTGTTGTATTTTTTCTACCTGTCGCTTCATAACTCTTTCTTTCACGCATATTATTTACGTAGAGAGCGAACCTCGCTATCGTAACCGATTGCAAAATAAACGAAAGACTTTACATCGTGTATAAAACAAAGGAATCAAGGCCTGACGGTAAATAAGACGGATTACTATCAAAGATGCATTGTGTATTATTGTTTTATGAAATTGAGCATTGCGTCTTTCAATTGAGCAGTCTTCTCTGGGTCGTTGGGGTATGTATATATATATACACATACATATATATAAGTTTGAAAATTGGTAATCCAGGCATTTAATACATAAAAGATAAAAGTTTCTCCGGATTAGATTAAAAGATAAAAGTTTCTTTCGGCTCGAAGCAGCGAGTCGAAAGCTCAATAAAAATCATTTTTAAAATCCGGAGAAACTTTTATCTTTTATATATATGACCTATATATAGGAAGTTTATATATGTGTAGTGGTGTTGAGAGGTTTCGAGTGGATAAAATACTGATTGAGTAAATCGAAATAATTTCTCCGCAACTGCATCGCGAGTCACTCGCCATTCGATAGCGAGTCAATCGCCATTCGATACTCGCGATCAAGCTATGTTACTCGAGGTCGGTACTGTATCTATATATATATATATATATATGTATAGTGGTGTTGAGAAAAATCACAAATTATAGATTCATCCCGAAGTTGTTTCAGATTGCTCACTCTTCAGGGGATTTAAATTAATAATAATATTATCCCCTGAAGAGTGAGAAATCACGAAACAGGCTTGTCGGGATGAAATTGTAGTTTTTGTGTATTTTCTTCTTCTTATCAATATTTACGCTCTGCTCTTAAGCATCGAGCACTGTACTTACGGAGACAAATAAACAAAACTTCCTATATTTATATGTATGTATATATATGTATAAGTATATATGTATATGTATATGTATGTATATATGTATAGCGAGGTTAGGCAAAAGTCGGTTTTTTCTTTTCATAGTTTCGTTTTCCGATATGCGTCGAATTCAGTATTCCAACACTGAAAACACTCAACCTCTCGCTGAAGTAAAGAAAGTCCGAACATTGTTTCCCGAAACCTGGCTTTGGAAAACTGTGACCACTGAGTAAGAATATTTTGACCACTGAACTGTATATATGCAATGGAATATTACCTGGTATACTTTGAGTTTCGATTCGATTAGGAAAAGTTTGAAATCTTCTTCACTGCCCCCTTGAATTTTCTTCTCAAATTTTTAGACTTCAAAGGCATTTGGTAATTAATGTTTTTAATGTCGCTATGATTTTAAGTTTTTGCATAAGTGGTCATAACTATTCGTTCGTTTTTGGTTATTAATATGATTGCAAACTCGTAACGAAAAGGGGCACCGAAGTTCGAATACTTAATGTAGTAATAACTGAAACGAGAGTTCAATTTCCCGTTGTGCTCAAATCCATCCCTAATCTTTTTTGGCTTGTGCGAAAGAACACCTTTATGATTAAAAGAGAATTTAGAAATTTCACTTCTAAACGAAGCCCTTAGATCAATTTGCTTATTGCTGTAATTTTCTTCGACAGCTCATTTGGCAATGCACGGCTAGACAGTAATTCGCCCGACACGATTACATCATGGGTTCTAAGTGGTTTTGCTGTTTCAAATCTCACTGGTTTTGGTGTAGCAAATGAAAAGCAACAGGTTGCCACGAACTACTTGTCTATACAACTGAATATAACCATTTTAGGAAAATATATAATACAGCTGACAGTGGTTGGAATATGCTCCTCGTCTGTATGAGTGTATTGAATATAGCTAGCGAAGGAAAATCTCCCCCATGACTGATTCATAAGCCTGCTGTTCACCAAAGTGAACTTGATGTTTTTGTGATATGGTTTTCTTTGTGATCGTTTTTCAGCTTCGAGTTTTTCAGCCTTTCTTCATTTCAATGGACCTTCCATATTCGGTAGTCAGAGGAGAGGAAGTTGCCATACGAGTGCTCGTGTTCAACTATAATAATGAAGACGTGGAGGTAACTTCGCCACGTTCTTTAGAACCTGTGCCTACATGTACTCATGGACATCTTTATGTACATCCATGTTCATCCATGTACATCCATCTATTTTTATCTATATGACATCCATATTCATCATGTACATCCATATTCATCATGTACATCCATATTCATCCAAGTACATCCATATATGTTCATCTATATGTACATCCATGTACATCCATATATGTTCATCTACATGTACATCCATGTTCATCCATGTACATCCATATATGTTCATCTTTATGTACATCCATATTCATCCATGTACATCCATATATGTTTGTCTATATATAAATCCATGTATATCCATGCACATCCATATATGTTCATCTATATGTACATCCATATATGTTCATCTATAAGTACATTCATATTCATATATCCACATCCATATATATCCATATATGTTCATCTATATATACATCCATGTATATCCATGCACATCCATATATGTTCATCTACATCCATGTACATCCATGCACATCCATATATGTTCATCTATATGTACATCCATGTACATCCATGCACATCCATATATGTTCATCTATATGTACATCCATGTTCATCCATGTACATCCATATATGTACATCCATGCACATCTCTATCTACATGTACATCTATGTATGCGTCAAACAACGCCTCCATAAGCATCTCATAGCAAGACATGTATTTATGTCTATATGTACATCTCAATGTGCTTATTTATCTATATGTACATATATATGTATATCTCAATGTGCTTATTCATCTATATGTACATATATATGTACATCTCAATGTGCTTATTTATCTATATGTACATATATATGTACATCTCAATGTGCTTATTTATCTATATGTACATATATATAAGTTTGAAAATTTGTAATCCAGGTAATACATAAAAGATAAAAGTTTCTCCATTTTAAGTGATTTTTATTGAGCTTTCGACTGTTGCTTCGAGCCTTCATCAGAATGAGGATATTTATTTACACGTGTTTTTAGCTGGAGACGTTTAGAGCGTCTAATTGGATGTAAAATCACTTAAAATCCGGAGAAACTTTTATCTTTTATGTACATATATATGTATATCTCAATGTGCTTATTCATCTATATGTACATATATATGTATAGCTCAATGGATAATTCTTTTGAGAACAAATTCATTTATGCTCATTTTCTCCAGTGAATATATAGCAATTTACCTATGAGCCCAGCCTATCTGAAATATTATTTTAATATTCAATATTTTTATAGGTGACAGTGACTTTAAAAGGCTCTAATGATTGGTCGAATATGATCGAGACCACCACGAATAATATTTTCATGGATCTTCATCGTAATGACGTAAAATACGTGCTGAAAGTATTGGCTAACAACGGTGCAGCTGTGTCATTTCCCATAGTTCCCAGCAAGCTTGGTAACATACCCATCACCGTTCGTGCGCAGACTGCAACGTTTGCAGATGCAGTGACGCGAACACTGTTAGTAGAGGTAATGGTGATTTGTTGGCGAAGCCGAATAATTATCGATTATGATTTAGGAATCTGTAGAAATCTATTGTTTTTACATTGATTTAACACGCAGATATTTACGTAGCACAAGCAAACTTGCCGTTGGTTGTGCCACTGCAGAGAAGAGAAGTTGCGTACTTGTATTTTTCATACTTTTAGCCCGAAGGTGTTGAACAAGAGTACTCGTACAGTCTTCTCATAGACCTTAATTCAACAGGTATGGAAAATTTCCATTAAGGTTAAAGATACTCCCTTGACGAACAATCGTAACATGTTCGTAGATGTTAGATCACCCAGGTTAGTAGAGTCCCGAGAGGAACTGTTGTTGATGTTGACTGACGTTTCGACAACCTTAGCGGTAGTCAGTGTCAGAGACAAAATTCAAAGTCAAGGTCCCCAGGGTTCAAACCATTTACTTTAAACAATCACTGTTGCAAGTTTGAACTTGGGGTGAGTTAAGGCTCTTTTCCACTCATTGCAAAACGCACTCGCAAGCTCGCTGCGAGTGCCTGCAAGTGCCTGCGAGTGCCTGCAAGTGCCTGCTAGTGCCTGCGAATTACTCGTAGCGAGCTTACCATGACTTGCAACATAGTTAAATTATTTGAACAAAATTTGTTGATCGCGCAAACAGACTCGCAGCGAGAGCATTTTGCGATGAGCCTTTAGTTATGGTAATGGCAACATGGATCATCATTTTTTTACATCTTCATTTGGATGTGTTGATCAGAATCCTAGATTTTTCCAATGACACGAGCAATTCTGACACGTATATTTTTTTTCTTCTTGGACAGCACGTTTCAACGGGGAACTTGAGCTTGCTCTGCCGTCCAATTTAATAAATGGCTCTGCAAAGGCGGCTATATCTGTTATTGGTTAGTAGCTTCATTGGTTACACCCCATAAAGATACAATGTAAACATGTATAGCTCTTCATATGTATGTTAAAGTACACTTTATTCCCATACCGTCCTCATTAAGTTGCCTAATACTCGCCTCAGGGGAGTGGGGGTGGGGATGAGTAATCTGTAAGGGCTTTTATGTTTCATCGCTCCAGGTGATATAATGGGATCCTCCATTAATGGCATCGAAAAGTTGCTGCGAATGCCTTACGGTTGTGGTGAGCAAAACATGATCAATTTTGCACCCAGCATGTTCATCCGCGCTTACCTGGAAACCGTTGATCAGCTAACATCGAGTATTCGGGAGAAATCCGTCAGATACATGACGTCAGGTAGAGACTTCTATCGCCATTACATGACTTGCGAGTGTGGGAAAGTTCAAATAAGAAGAAACATACGATTCATTTTTAGGTTATCAAAGGGAATTGTCATATCAACATTCAGATGGCTCCTACAGTGCTTTCGGTGAAAGACGCGGTATAACAAGACCAGGAAGCTTATGGTAAGGGTGTTCCTGACGAGCACCGTAGTACATTGGGGTACATTCTTGGTCCTCAATATTCCGTCCCTACCACATGATCTCACGTTATATGAATTTGCAAGTTTAGATAACTAATGCTTAATATCGCGTTCTCTGAAGGTTAACGGCGTTCGTTGTGAAGTCGTTCTCTCGTGCAAGGTCTTATATCTACATCGATCCGAGATCACTGAACAAAAGTATGACTTTCATTTTGAACAACCAAGAAAGAAACGGAGAGTTTCGTGAAACCGGAAGCGTCGGCAGCTATTTACAGGTGATCTGGGAATGTATTCCATTTGAGTATTCAACTTGCATTTCGTTGTCTTTGAAACACAATACAAACCCCAACTGTTGGTCACTTAAGGATACGTTTGAATGAATTACAAGTAATTTGAGCATGAAGTAGGTTTGTCGTGAAGTAGATACAATGGCATATTAACATGTTTTAGCCAAGTCTACTTATATAAGTTAAATGTTACGTCAACCAATGCTAAAGCTTTTATTCCTGTGTATATGGTTCACTGTAAAATTGGGTCCGATCTCATCTGGTCTCAAATATATATATATATGTTTCATTAATCACTATTAATGTAGTTGAATTGTTAATATAGTTGAATTGAACAGTGTAGAATCCCGTTATTTCCCATTTAGGGTGGATTGAAATCTTCATCGCCTGAAGCCTTGACCGCGTACGTTCTTGTGTCACTTCTGGAGTCTGGTGACCAGAGTAACGTGAGTTTCCAAACTCTATGATTGCAAACTGCTTAGTATAAAATTACTGTTTTCGAATACATTAAAAATGTCGTCTCAACTTCATCCTTTTCTCCGTTCGCTTTTTGATTCGGCTAATAATCGGTTTTTTGATTGAGGAAAATTCCTGATTAGACCCAATTACAAATCGCATTGGAGATGGAGATTTTCATATTGATATGCATATGGATATAACAGCACGTGTAGATATATATGTATATCTTCATGTATATCTTGCACGTCTTCAATTTTCACGCGTATCATTTGTTTTTTTAGAGAGCTAGGCGAGCTGTGGCGTCAACTGTACGATACCTGAAAAGCAAGCTACAAGAGATGACCGACGTGTACACATTATCATTGGTTGCCTACGCTTTTGAACTGGCTGATGACGTAGCGAAGGAGGTTGTTCTAAACAGATTGACGGTCAGGGCCATAAGAGAAGGTATGTGTCACGATCATCCACAGGTACTCACTAATGTACCACATTGACCATGCACGATCCTGGTCTATCGAAGACATGATAGAGGATGTCTGCGACTTTTTGTTCACTTAATATGTATAATATGTTATTGACTCTGACGATGACTACCGCTAAGGTTGTCGCAACGTCAGTCAACAACAACAAAAACAGTCCTTCTCAGGACTTTATTAACCTGGACGATCATCATTTACAAACATGTAATATGTTCTCAAAAAATTATGTTTTTTCTTATTTGAGACGGAACTGTTCACTGGGAAGAAGAAAAGTCCGAATCACATCAAGGAAGTCCCTGGCGCCGTCCTTACTACCGACCCAGGTCAGCGGATATCGAGATGACGTCATACATCCTACTTGTGTATGCTCACCGAAGAGATGTTAGAACTGGGTTACCTATCGCACAGTGGTTGGCCCAACAACGGAACTCACTCGGTGGTTATTCGTCCACTCAGGTGCGTTGCACATGTCGAATTGAGTGAAATTTGTATGTTATTCGCGAATAAATAGTTAATACGAATAGTTAATAGTTAATAGTTAATATAAGTTAAATACCAATATATTTAATAAAAACCAATAGTATAGTTAATACTTGTTAATAATAGTTAATAATAATAATGGACTCCGTCGATTTCGACGTATGAGGGTTCCACGAAGTGGAACATCCTGGTTACTGAAATTATAGTGAAGGCAGCTGACCAGACAACAATCACTCGTACCCTTCACGCAACCACAACGCTGATATCAGCGTGACACAGTGTGACAAGGCTGCAACATTGCAGATACAGGTACAGTCCATCCGAGGACATAGTTTCCTCTACCAAATTTCCCTCACATGGCTTTGGTCAACCCGGGCTAGGTTTACAGACACATTGCCAAATGTGCCACGAGCCGGGATTTGGCAATGTGGATTGTGCCACTTACCTGATTAATAGTTAATAGTTCGCCGAAGTTACGATAAATAATCAATATGAATTAGTTAGTATTATGATAATAGTTTATGGTAGAAAAATTCCTCTTCCTTCCGTAGTATCGCAAAACCAACGTAATTCATGAGAAAGCGAATGAATTATTTTCATTTCAACTTCAGGATACTGTGATTGGTCTCCAGGCCCTTTCAGAGTTTGCGCCACTCGTATTTTCATCCGAAGTGAACTTCGTTATTGACTTGAGACTGTCGGCCCGAGCCAGCTACGAGAAGCGATTCCATGTCGACAAGAGTAACCTCGTTGTCTTACAGCAAGAGGAGGTTAGTAAGGATGATAGCTGCTTGTGTCTGCACAACATTTATTTGTATCTTTGGAGGTTAGTAAGGATGATGGTTGTGTCTGCGCAACATTTATTTGTATCTTTGGAGGTTAGTAAGGATGATGGCTGCTTGTGGCTGCGCAACATTTATTTGTATCTTTGGAGGTTAGTAAGGATGATGCTTGTGTCTGCGCAACATTTATTTTTATCTTTGGACTTTGTTGGTAGCCTACGGCTTCAGAACTAACAGAAGAACAATTCTCAAGTAGAACATTCACGAAATAGTCAAATTTTTGATTTTTATAGCTTCCTATTGTCGGAGGAAAAGTCTTCATCGCAGCCAACGGTACAGGCATCGGTGTTTTACAGGTAAATTGTTCACATCGATGTTAGACGATAGAACAGAATGCTTTCAAAGTTTTGACTATGTTGCTGGTGGTCTTTTGTGTAGGTTGGAGTTACGTATAATATCGATAAACCTCTAGCTGACAACTCCTTCGAGGTCTTTGTTACTGTTAAAGCCTCTGACAACAATGTGGTGAAGGCTCAGCCTTGTGTACAATACATTGGCCATGGTCAGGAATCTGGAATGGCCATTCTGGAGTTTGGTTTGCCATCTGGATTTAGTCTCGATCAAGACGAAGCAAACCGAGTAGGTGGAAAGTCTTACATCAATTGAAAGCAAAAATTTTCAAGAAAAATGACTTTGATACGTCATTTGATGACATAAACAGACGTCATTGTGTGATGACATAAATAGACGTTATAATGTGTGATGACATAACCAGACGTCATATTGTGTGATAACATAACCAGACGTAATATTGTGTGATGACATAACCAGGCGTCATTTTGTGTGATGACATAACCAGACGTAATATTGTGTGATGACATAACCAGGCGTCATATTGTGCGTGTATTTTGTAATTTTTAGCTCTTGAACGATCAATCGAACAAAATCAAAAGAGTCGAAAACCCCGGACGGAAAGCTATTTTATATTTTGACAAAGTAAGTAACTGGGCTTCGTTAAATTGCTGTAAAATGTAAATTCATATGACGGTCTACGTTGTTATTTCAAATAAATTTAATTTAAAATGTCGTCGCCTAGATTCCGAAGTCGGAAAACCTCTGTGTAGATGTAAAGTCGGTCAGAACCCATGCAGTTGGCAAGGCTCAACCTGTTGCTGTCGTCATATATGACTATTATAGACCAGGTAAAAGGATGACTGCGTCGATCATTCTACCGCAGTTAAGATAAGAAATCCTGATGAAATGAAATGTTGTACGTGTAGTGAGAGTCGCGTTGGGATGGTATCCACTAGGGGAATATAATGCGTGTTTTTTTTTTGTTTAGAAAAACGCTCGACAACGATGTATTCCACACAAAATGACGTCAGCGTGTGTGACGTGTGCGCTGAATGCACGCACTGCAATCAACGCGGCGGAGGTCACGCGACACGCGTGGTGTCCTTTACGCATTTGGTCATCTTAGTGCTTACTATATTTTTGTACAATATATGATAACATTTTTAGAATTGTAGAGCTTTGAGTAATGGGGCTGTTTTATAACCGCGGCTAAACGGGACTCAGGGAAGCGTGAAATGATTTTGAGTCATTGAAAGGAGTTAAAACTTCTGATGTAAAACTTACAACCTTTTCTAAAGCGCCACGAATCATTTTGTTGTAAGTCTTCGACCAGGCTTTCCTTTTTAGCGTTTTCGAATTCATAAAGTCAGAGCATTGTGAAATTGCTCAAGAAAATATTTTTGCTGTTAAGTATTGAGTCTTTTCCATTCACCCAAAACATTTAACGCTTTGCTCAATCCCTGTTACCCGGGCTCAGGTAATCAGCCCTTAATTAGGTAATTGTTGTGACTTGATCAGAATGTCTGTGTCAAATCTGCGCAGTGAACTATATTTATTTCACTTACATATTCATTTTTTGTATAATATCACAAGAAAATCAAATTGTTGTATATTATCACATGAATTAGTCAATATATATTCTTGATAAATTGCTTTTTAAAATTCATGTAGTGATGTGTTATGCTGCAAAAATATGTCATTTTACTTCACACGGTCTATTGACGTCGTGAAAAGGATTGAGCTCACGATTGTAGATATAGTTGTTTGATTTCTTTGGTATCTCCCTTTCATCAACCAAATGTCGTTAAACCACCAACAAAAGTACCACCTCCTGCAACAGTGTCTCTGGTACCACCACCTGCTGCAGTGTTGCTGGTACAATGACCTGCTACGGTATCTCTGATACCATCACATGCTGCAGTGTCACTGGTACCACCACCTGCTGCAGTATCTCTGGTACCACCACCTGCTGCAGTGTTGGTACATTGACCAACTGCTGTATCTCTGATACCATCACATGCTGCAGTGTCACTGGTACCATCACCTGCAACAGTATCTCTGGTACCACCACCTGCTGTATCTCTGATACCATCACCTGCTGCAGTATCTCTGATACCATCACATGCTGCAGTGTCATTGGTACCACCACCTGCTGCAGTATCTCTGGTACCATCACCTGCTGCAGTATCTCTGGTACAATTAGTCCAATGAAGGCAACTCACCAGCTAACAATCAAAACAGGGTGATGAATGGTAATGCTGGGGGTGGGATATTGTGCAAGATAATGACAACGAAGATAGCTTTTATTTTCTATGTGATATTACGTGTATGCATTGTAAAAGGGTTTTTTTAATTATTTGAAACTGAAAGAATAACAATGACTACATCAATTTTATTGATTCGATTCGATTCGTTGTAGTTTTTCATGGAAAGTTAACAACGTAGCTTGTGAAACGCAAATTTTCAAGTGATTTCTTGTTTTCAGCCCGTAGTGACGAACCGTACAGTCATGTATGGTTTCCTGACAACTTGTCACAGACGAAGTATCACAAAAAGTTGTTTCAAATCTAGCAATGGTGAATATTCTGCGTACGCACGTACCTAGTTTTTACTCTGTTTTAACCAATCACGGGACGCCACGGAAATCACGTGACGTCATATATTTTGACGACGACCGCACGACGTGCTTTAAGTGTGGGGGAAGAACAAAATGGACTCGCTTGCTTCGCAGTCCTCTGTTAAGTTGGTCGTAAAGACACCAAATCAACGCGTAAAAGATATAGAAGTGAGTTGCCTTTTAGATTGGACTGTGGCAAGGCTAAAAAATCATTTATCAACCGTCTACCCTACTAAACCGGTAAGAATCGATAACATTTCATACCTTACGAAACTTGAATTATTTTGTTTACATTATTCGTTCCATTCTTTTGTGTAATCGTTTGCGTAAGTCAAATTGCAATGTCTTTCCTTCAAAGCCAATTTTTTTGACGATTCTCAGGCTCGAAGCAGTCAAAAAATCATCTATTCCGGCAAACTACTTGATGACCATTTCGTGTTAAAGGATGTTCTAAAAGAGGTAAATTCGGAAATGTGATTTGTGGTGTTTTCTTAAAGTGCTTGGTACTTTTTGTACGTTTATTTATGCATTTCTAAAGGCTGCCCAAATGCCCATATCTGTAAATTACGTTTGTTTTTTTGTAACCCGAGAATTTGAAGCGTGATACATATCAGTGTTTGTATTGTCAACTGATTTTAAAATATCACATTACTAGTAGTAATTGACTACTTATATTAAACTATAAAGTTCAAATTCTTTTGGGCTCATTATTTTTACCCAGCATATTTTTTACATTCTTGTTGTGTTGTGTAGCATGTTATGTCACAATGGTAATCTTGGAGAAATCAATTGAATCCCACTGCCCTAATCATTTAATCATGATTATTTTGAAGTTGGGTCAATATGAACTGTATGCATATTTTTTTCTTCTGGCAATAAATCCTAAAATAATGTTACTAGCAAGTTGAAATAATAAACTTATATCATTCTTGCCCTTCTTAATTTTCCCATAATCCCTATCGTCAACATTGTATTAAAATTTGATGAAAGACATGCTGTATTTTTAATGAAGGACTTGCAACATGAATAAACACAAGTTTTTCAATCTTGCAGAATGAAGGACAACATCAGACTGTGCATCTTGTTTGCACACCATCCAGTACTGATGTTTCAACTATGAAAAGGGTAAATATTATATTCTATGTACAACATTTCAAGCAAATTGTTTTTTATATACATTAATTATGTAGCGTTGCTCATGTGTGCAAAATTTAGTCAACTAGATAGGAAATCAAAAATTTCCCTCAGACGGACATATTTTTTATTTGTAGACTGCTTCAGTTTCTTCTTCGACTGCTTCAGTTTCTTCTTCGACTGCTTCAACTTCCAACACTCCAACCGGGTCCACGCCATCTTCATCTTCAACTGTAACGTCAAATGCACAAAGTGAAACTGATGGCTTGAGGCATCGAGGAAATCCTATGGCACAAAATCCGTATTACAACATGTCATTGTAAGTTTAAGAAGGGAATTATGTTGATCTCTTGCAGCTCTGAGTGAACTGGAAAGAGTTTGTTCAATATTGCATATGCCATTGATAAATTAGAGAAATAGTACCACAGTCAGCAATATCTTCTAAATAGAATGTTTTTTTTTAGTGGACATCCATTCCATTCATCTCTTACTGGTCAACCAAATATGAATCTCAACACTGCTGGCTATCCTCCCCCCGACATGACAACTTCCTATGCACAATATTTTGGTTTTAATCACGTGAACTATATTGCTGCGCAACACATGGCGCAAATTCAGTGGATGCAACATATGACACAGTTGATGCAAGGAAATATGACCAATAACATGTATGGATATTTTGTGCCACCAAACCTGTAAGTGTTGCATTATGTTTGATGTGTAATTTGTGGAAATTTTGTGTGCAGTACAAGCTATTAGGCAGCATCTTGTACCAAACAGGCAATATGTAGTTTGGAACAATACCTTCTGAACAGATCACAGCAATTACAGGCACCCTGCAAACAACTTATTCGCAATACAAACAAATGAGCAACTAAACACATTACACTTTACACTAATCCATGATGAAAATACACAATTGACATAAGAACTAGATAACAAATACGGCTAACCTGATGTTTACTCCTTATTTGGCTCCGAAGTTGACTACGGCTAAGGTTGTTGAAAAACGTCAGTGAACATCAACAACAACAGTCTTTCTCAGGACTCTACTAACCTGGACGATCTACATCCACAAACATCTATCTTACAGTAGTCTTCATATAATATGTTCTGTTCTTACTTTAGCATAGATTGCTCCAGATCCAGTTCTTATGGAGTTCTCGATAATATTGTATTTTGATTTTTTTAAAAGCCTCAACCAACAACAGAATTTGAATGAACCACCAACAAATTTACAACCACCACCTGCAGTTCCTTTTGTACAACCATCAGCCGCAGTTCCTCCTGTGCAACCACCAGCCGCAGCACCACCAGTACAGCAACAAGCTGTGCCAGTGCCTCCAGTACAACCAGCCCAAGAAAGGCAACAGAATGCACCAGCTGAAAATCAAAACAGGGTAATGGATGCTAACCCAGGTGGGGGAATGGCGCAAGGCGATGACGATGAAGAAAATGCACAACGTGATTGGCTGGATGTTGTTTATATGATCGTCCGCGTAGGCATGTTAATGAGTATATTCTGGTTCTACTCCTCCTTCGAGAGGATTGTTGCTCTGGGATTGGTCTTTTTCCTAATATGGTTGATTCAGTCTGGTTTGTTGAACTTAAATCGGGCGCCAAGGAATAGACAAGGTTAGAATGTTGATTATTTTGTCATTGTTTGTTTCGCTTTATGTCCTCCGAGACAATAGTCGGGCGCGAATCGTCAATGTGTGACGTAATAAAAAAGCAAGACGATTAATTTTGTCATTGTTTGTTTCGTTTTATGTCCTCCGAGACAATAATCGGGCGCGAATCGTCAATGAGTGACGTAATAAAAAAGCAAAACGATTAATTTTGTCATAGAGAGCCGGAAGATAAACAACGTTCTGCGTTTTTCCTTCCCACAAATTAGTACTGTGCAAATTCAGGTTTTTCAGTTCCGTCTCAGGTCTCTTGTCAATCTCGAACTCCCGCTTCGAACTCCGGCTCTGGCTATTTTATAACTGTAATATCTGGTTGTGGCTGATTCATTTTGCAAGTCACGTTTAAAACAGTCTAAGGTGTAGCTATTATGTGAAGTTAAATTTTGGCACTCCGACTTTCAATCATAAATTAGCGTGAGTGAACGCAATCTAGTGTCGTGTTTTGTCATGCATAAAACGTTTTATTTTCATGCAAGTCCTTCAATTTTTTAGTCGATAGTTATCGTTCTTTGATACAAAACTGTTTTGATCGGAGAAGTTTACCAAAGTCAGAGTATTTTTCGGCACGAACAACTGCTTTCTAAGTTTAGTCGGAGATGAACAAACTCCGGCTCTGGCGGACCTACGGCCTCCGGTGTACAGCACTACGACAATTGGCAAATATTCGCCTCGATTTGTGTAAAGTATTAAGAAAATTTATTACTTGGCATAGGCACCTTCGAAATTCATTTCACGGGTGTATTTGTTTTGTGAATAATCCTCCCGTCACGTTTGTGGCATTCATTCTGCAATTCCGTGATTATTCCTGGCGCCGTGCGTAAACAATAATCAAATTAGCTACAGAGTCTAGGATATTTTTGTGGCTTGAGGAGCTTTTATTGCAAAACGTAGAGTTACAAAAACAAATGTTGCACGTCACGTTTTAAGTTCCCCATTTTTGAACTTAAACAGCTACAGCAGATAAATGAAAAACACTGCATCCCATAATTTTATATTTAGCTGAAATAGACATATTAACATATTACAACACATCTTACCAGTAGTTTTGAAATGTTTCTTTGCAGATTCAATTTCATAGAACTGCTTGAAATCAAGTGTATTCTCCACTTGTTTTGCGACATATTTCATAAGACAACTTCCAGCATTCGAAAGCGTGTTTTTAAGATTGAATTCGTGTTTATAGCATCTTCTAAATTTAGCTAACATTTCCATATACCATTTCAGTGAAAATATCTAATGACAGATATCACTCGTTTTCACGCGTGTAGTAATGTTTCTTAGCCAATCAAAGCGCGTCATTTTACCGGATATGACGCTTGCCACGTAATGATAGATGTTAACATCACTGATTTTCACGCGTGTAGAAATGTTTCTGAGCCAATGAAAGCGCTCCATTTGACGCGTGCCACATAATGATAGATGTTAATACTACTGGTTTTCACGCGTGTAGAAATGTTTCTGAGCCAATGAAAGCGCTCCATTTTGCCGGAAGTGACGCGTGCCACATAATGATAGATGTTAATACTACTGGTTTTCACGCCTGTAGAAATGTTTCTGAGCCAATGAAAGCGCTCCATTTTGCCGGAAGTGACGCTGCCACATAATGTTAGATGTTAACACCACTGGTTTTCACGCCTGTAGCTGAGCCAATAAAGCGCTCCATTTTGCCGGAAGACGCGCCACATAATGATAGATAATACTACTGGTTTTCACGCGTGTAGAAATCCCAGTGAATGCTGATGAGCAGGATGAAGTCGATGGGGAAAGGCCTGGAGACGAAGCGGGCACTGAGGAAGGCGAGGTGGTAGAAGGGGACAGCGAAAGTGAATCCGAAACGGGAGGCCAGGATCTGACGAACACGAACAATGACAATAACGGTCCCGGCTTTTTTGTAGTTGTGTTTAATTTTGTCGTGACGTTTTTTACGTCACTCGTACCGCAACAGCCGAGGCCCATCGCTCAGCCTTAGAACTTCAAAAAATAAGACAAATACCCTCATATATGTACAAAGATGCAAATGAAATGTAGTAGCGCATGTTGGGTTTACTTAGCCATCAAATTATCACGTGACCAAAATGAAGTAGTATATCTTAGGTTTACTTAGCCATCAAATTATCACGTGACCAAAATGAAGTAGTACATGTTAGGTTTTTTAGCGAGCAAATTATCACGTGACCAAAATGAAAATTTGATCGGCAATACCATAGTCATTCAAATAAGATATAATTATCTATAACTATAGTTGTAATTGAGTGCTTTTCTTGGCTGGTGATGTGATAGTATGCCATGATTGGATGAACTTTGTAGTTTGACATCGTTGGCAGTTGAAATTGATGTAAAATAGATGGATTTCCTCGTGAACGTGGATATTGGAAGGATTACAGTTAAGCGGACAACTTGTTTCGATGACCTGTGATTATTTCATCGTGTGTTTAGGTAAAATAAATTACCACAGACTTAGGAAATTCATTCAGGGGTGTATCCATATATAGGTAAAATAAATTACCACAGCCCACCGATTGTTTAAATTACATTCTCTGGAAATTCATTCAGGGCGTATCCATATATAGTTAAAATAAATTACCACAGCCCATCGATTGTTTAAATTACATTCTCTGGAAATTCATAACCAATAGCATTTGTTGAAGTGATATTTCAAATCCAAAGTAAGCAGGTATAATTTATTTTGCCTATCCGTTGATCCGCTACTGGCATTATTTACCATCAACAAAAGATGTCCGCTGAGCTGCAATTTTTCACATCGTTCGTCACGCTCTAATAACACCCTTAATGATTTCTATAATTGTAAAGAATGTACAACATTCGAAATATGATGTAAAATGAAATAGATTCGTGGACAAAATAGCAGTACTGTTGTTGCAGAAGTATTTTTATCGTGTCATGTTTTGGTTCGTTGGAGAGGCGATCGATCGTAGTTTCCCTCACCCCCCGGTTCATTGAGTGCAAGATCATAAACACACACACACACACCCATCCCACACACACATACCACACACGCCACCTTATTCCGTGTATTGCATGTACATTTCTTTGTCGGAATCATTTTCAAAGTTCGGTATGAAGTTTATTCGTAATATCTCACTAAAACCTTCGTCAAGAGTTGGTTCTTGATACGATGATCTAATCAAGTAAGAAATATATAAATTTGTTACAAGTGACATAGAGTAATAACAATATATAAATTTGTTGCAAGTGACATAGGTAATAACAATATACAAACATGTAAGTGACATAGACAAAGTTGTGATAAAGTGACATGAACTTGCGTTGATTTTACTGTTCTCGTGGAAATGAGTGTGTTGTTCTCAAACAAAGCTCGCTTACCGATATGAATTGAACACCATTCTTCCAACAGGCTTATGGTCCTTGCTTTTGTTGCACAATTCCCGTATCTGAACAATGAATGCGAAAGAATTACGTACAATCTTGGGTCAACGCCATCAAAACTAACTTGATGAACTAAAGATACACGAGTATTAAGTCATGTTGCAAGACCCACTACGCTGAAGCAATAGTAACCTATCGAAGAACAAATGGGATGGAAATATTCGCACGTTGAAAACTGACAGGAAATTACATACTCTGTTGTTATGCAAAGCATGATTCAGCGTGACGTTAAAAACAAAACATCTTGCAACGACACCATGTCTTTTTGCAACGTCAATATATCTGAAGTAAAATGAAAGAAAATCCGCGTGAAAACCTTATTGATAATTTGAAAAATGGACAACGACACGCGCTCGATATCCGAGATACCTTTGTCTGGATTCTTTGTCGGGACTTGTGTTGTCGATGACAACCTTCCCTTTCCTCGAGACTTCCTTGTTGCACATCGCGACGCATTTTTGCCAGCTCCCGAGCATATCCTGAAAAAGGTTTCATCGCTACCGATGAACTATGTTTCACATTTTCGATACTGCACACGAATGTAAAACGTACTGCACACGAATGTAAAACGTACTGCACATGAATGTAAAACGTACTGCACATGAATGTAAAACGTACTGCACACGAATGTAAAACGTACTGCACATGAATGTAAAACGTACTGCACATGAATGTAAAACGTACTGCACATGAATGTAAAACGTACTGCACATGAATGTAAAACGTACTGCACATGAATGTAAAACGTACTGCACATGAATGTAAAACGTGCAACGAATGTAACGCTTGCATGAATGTAAAACGAGAATGAATGTTTTGCGAATGTAAATGCTAATGAAGAATGTGAAGAATGAACAATGGAAAAAATGAATGTGAACACATGATGAATGCAATGGACATGAAATGGAATGAATAAAATGTACATGGAATGGAAAGAACGAACATGGCAATTGCCAAGTAATGGAATAAATGGAACGTAGCATATAACGTACTGCACATGAATGTAAACGTAACATGAATGTAAAACGTACTGCACATGAATGTAAACGTACTGCACACGAATGTAAACGTACTGCACACGAATGTAAACGTACTGCGAATGTAAAACGTACCACAATAAAATAGCACATGAATGTAAACGTACTGCATGAATGTAAAACGTACGCACATGAATGTAAAACGTACTGCACATGAATAAACGTACCCTTAATGAACGTAATCTTATACGAGATATTTTGGCGAATATATATTTCCAGCTGAAGAATGAATAACGGAAAACTGATGTGAAACATGTTAACTTCTGACCATTCGCTCATATACATAAGGTGTATACATATATATATATGGACCTTCCCAGCTTTTGCCAAGTTAAAGGCTGCTATAATGATTTGGGGGTCATTTATATATTCAGTTGTATCTAACTGATTTCTGTTGAAAGTTAATTTGCTTTCTAAAGAAATCAGTCTGGTACAACTGAAGATACGAATATTCACACCTCCCTTCCAATTACGTTCTAGCTACGGCCCTGGACAAAGGATGTACGTTATATATATATATTTATACATCACAGCTAGGCTAGCCAATTATTTGGCAGAAACAAAACGCACAGAAATGTGTCAAGAGATAGCTATAATGCGCGTTCCAACATGTGCAAGTTAAAAATCCTATCACATTTCCTGCCAGTTTGACACTAGCCTTGTGTATCTTCATGTAGCAAATAACAGTAAAAAAGATAACTATATTGTCAAACGACAACAACACTTGCCCACTCAACTGTGCAACTGGAGTATATGTTATATATATAGCTCAGTGTCTGCAATAACAAGAAAAGTGCGATGACTTACATGCAGGAAAGCCAACAAGTATCACAACCTGTGAAATATTATATAGTCATTAAACAGAGTTGAGCACTACGACCGCTGACACAGTTGTTCGCCTATATATAAGCTTACCTCGCAATCATTCGAAACAAGTTTTGACGACGTAGGCGTGAATAGCGGCGTATCATGGGATATTTCACTCTGAAGAATAACGGTGAAGTACAGTAGCTGGTTTTTTTACATGCTTAGATAAATGAAATGTAACGTAAGGCTGTCACTATAGCACATACTGGGTCGAACTCAGGCCAATTGAAAGGCGCCGGTTTTTTGCTCAGAAAAAATTCTTCCGGTGTATGAAAGGACAGTCCGGTATTCTTTGCGAACTGTAAATTGATTGCAATGGAAAAGAGAAATGTATTATTGAAATTACAAAGCCGTCAGTTAAATTCCAGTTGAAAGATCAACGAAGAATATTCTTTTCCCCTAAACCTATATTCCTGCTGGTTATATACCCTCGAAGCAGATATTAAATTGAGAAAAAAGATCTGTGAAAAATGAAAGTCTTCTCGAAAACAATCAACGACCAGAAGACTTGAGTCATGTAAACAACGACTTACAGTTCGATCGCTACAAGCGAAATCCTTCTTCATTTTCGGTAACCAGTTGGCCGGCCTTCCAGCCGCATCTGGCAAAAAGAAATAGAAACGTCACTGAAGTCGAAAACAAATGTAAATGTCGTCAATAAGCAAGCATCAAAATAAATTTAAACAAAGGCAGATTAAATTGCTCGGGAAATCACCTCCAACATAAAACGATTTGGCATGATCAACATCCATGCCATTGTTGTCTTCTTCCTTTAAGTATTTCCACATCCCAGTGAAAGGTTTGCGGTATACATTCTTCTCAGTGGCAGCAAAAACCTGAGTAAAATATTCCGTTATCCTATACTTATCCTAACATGTACTCAACGAGTTGGAGTAGATTCGTTTATCCACCATCGTCCCCGTTTACCTGCAGAGGTACTGATAACTTCGATGCTATCTTCTCTATCTTTTTCTTGAAGTCTTCTTTACTCAATTTACCTTTGCCAATTGAAGCCTACGTTTATACAAATGATGCTTCATTTTTATTCTCTACGCAGACAAAATGAGCTCATTTCTTGTGGAAGAGCTTACCTGGTTTGTGAAAAGGACGATCTATCGCAAAAAGAGAAAAATGGAAATGGCAAAACATAATTTTCAATATTTCTTGATTGTTCAAAATCATACTAAACTGTTACCTTAAAACCGTCGTTATTCAGTTTTTGTAATTTTGCCGGAATTTGCGCGTATTTGATTCTAAATGAACAGAATAGACTTCATCAAGGATAGATAGGGACTTTGATGGACAGCAGGAGAGGACACAGGACGGAGGGGGGTAGTATGGGAAAGGGCCGTAAACGACACGATGCATGTATATGAGTTATTGTGCCGGAATGATGTCGTACTCATCATTCATCCTTACTTTGTTACTTTTAAAACTTACTTCCAGTCCTCCGGTCCGGTAGGATGCACGCGGCCTGATTTTGTCGTGATGATTGTTCCGTCCAAGTCAAAACCTGCGACCTTTACAAAGTTAGAAAATAATCACGTGATCAACTGAATCAAATCAATCCACTGGTCTTCAACTGATGGAGACTCGCTTTCCAACATCGGAGCGAGTTCTACTTGCAAAGACATTGCAGCAGAAAAAATGTTCTCAACTAGAAAATGGTTACTTCAAAAGCACGATTTTCATTCATTACCTTAGTTCGTGGCAACAACCCTGGGGTTTTATGAATAAGGAGAGTGCCGGACGCATATTCATCCCAATTAGTACATTTCAGTGGTTTACGCGTCTCGTTGTTTGTATTTGATTCATCTCGTGGCGAACAACTCAATTCCTTCGCAACATCTTCAGTGAATTTCCGTTTGAGATGATCGACGTCATCCTCGTTTATTTTAATCTTCTCCTCCTCCTTTTTGGCGGTTTTGAAGCGTTTTTGTGGTCGTGTGTCGACATCCTCAGAGTCGGTAACGATTTTTCGTTTTTGATCGTGTTTCTCGTCACCATTCCCCAGTTCCCCACCACAAGTCCCTTGTTGGTCAGTGAAATGTATCAAATGTAGATACTTGCCGCGTAAAAGACTTAATTTTTCGCCGTGTTTGAGAAAGGCTCTTTCGTGTTCGAACAGGGACCTGGTACCCACAAAACACGGATGTATTCCGAGCTTAGGAAGAGAACAGCAGACATGTTTTGATGAAACAAAGACAATGAAGAAGGATGTATGAGATAATTGATTTTCTTCCACATACATTTTAACATTTACTGATTTTTTTTGTATTTTTACTACCTGTTTAACTGAAACAGTTTGCTCCTCATAATTTGCTGTTAATTCAACTGAAACACAAAAGCGGGCTTAGATAATTACTTTGCCTACGAGTAACCATTGTTGGACTTGCCAACTCAACGATACAATACCTTGTTTACGCGAAACCTGTTTGTCGGTGATTTTAGTCGAAGGCGAACGACCAACAATCACAGCTTTGTTGTTAGGTAAAAATATACGCAATCCTGGCGTAACTTCTGAAACAAGAAAACATTGCATGATTTTCAAAAATCTGTATTTGAATGCAATGCGGACAGCAGAAGAAGCAGATTTCATTAAATTTGAGCGTTGTATAAAGAATTTCAATCAATCTCGTCCGCCATCTTGGTTTCATTCAAACTTCATGTAAAGATGAGCGAAGTGTACTGTACAATGTAAAAACTACGTACTACACATACAATTCTGAACATCGAGGATGTCAATACGGTTATATTATTGTGTATAATCATGCTTTAAAAATTCTCCATGATGCCAACTTCATGATTGATTTGAATCACTTTTATTATATGTCTCTTGATTCTCAGAAAGTATCGAGTGAATTCTCGAGCTCCACCCCGATGGTAAAGAACGGCACAGCGAGCCTCGACACATTCGTTTAAACGCGCGTCGAAACTCACCGCTGCGGTACCAGTAGATCACAGGATTAGTCATAGAATTTGCAAACGTCATGATTTTCACGATCGCATTAAATATCTGCTCTTGTCTGCCGACGAACGAGTCGAAACAATGCTCGCAGACATTTTGAACGTAGTAGTACATTGTCGATGGCATCCAACAGATCATGAAGACGCCAATCACAATGAACATGGTCGTTGTTGCCTTGCTGCGCTGCTTCCACTGCTTCAAACGACTTTTCGAATTTTTACTTGGTCTATTTTCCCTGCGTATGGTCTTCATATGTGACAGTGCTACAGTATAGATATACGAATAACAAATAATGACTACAAGTAAAGGCACCAACACATTTTTATGAATCACCAGAAGACTCCACCATTTCGTAGGCCTATACGAACACGGACCTTTGCTCTTCGGATCCCATGGGATAAAAGGCAACAGAGCTACTAAAAGTGCATCAAGCCAAGCGATGAGCAGACATGTGATGATCTTGCTTCCAAACTTTGCATTTGAGGTTCTTAATGGATATTTGAGTGCGAACACTCTTTCCACGCTCACCATAACAAGACTTGAAACGGACGCGTATTCTGTGAAGAAGTACGTGAAGCGAAATATGTCGCATGCTTCTCCCTCACTCGAATCTCCATCGACGAATTTTTTCGCAATGTAAGCAGGCATCGCGATCGCTCCGCAAACAAGTCGGCAATAGCTGAAAATATAAACAAAGAATTTAATATAATATAAGTGAGGTGCTTCTGTTGGTATGATAGCTGCAATGGTACCATGTAATGCAGTGGTACCAGTGTATCTATGGTGGCAATGATACCATGTAATGCAGAGGCACTAGTGGTATCTATGGTTGCAATGGTACCTGTGTAATGCAGTGGTACCAGTGGTATCTATGGTGGCAATGAGACCATGTAATGCAGAGGCACTAGTGGTATCTATGGTTGCAATGGTATCTGTGTAATGCAGTGGTACCAGTGGTATCTATGGTGGCAATGGTACCATGTAATGCAGAGGCACTAGTGGTATCTATGGTTGCAATGGTATCTGTGTAATGCAGTGGTACCAGTGGTATCTATGGTGGCAATGGTACCATGTAATGCAGAGGCACTAGTGGTATCTATGGTTGCAATGGTACCTATGTAATGCAGTGGTAACCCATTTGAAAAGAGCATTTTGATGATGTAAATGCCTATCTGTTTTTAGAACGAGGCCTTTTTGATCAATTTTTATCTTGTCTGAGAACTCACAATGAGAATTTCTACTCCATGCATGTCTGCGTAAATTTTGTTCTTAGAAACCACACCTCGTTCATGTAATGAATTTCTAACTATAAAAAAATAATGCTCAGGAATCCTTTTGCAAAATGCATTCAAAACTTCCGGACAATGGCACGATGATGCTAAACTGAAGATGTGACTGGTCAGCTCAGCAGCATGCGTTTTAGATCCATGCGCGAGACTCACCTAGACTGAACATGGAGTAATGCATGACAGTACGAAGGGAAGATTGTTGATATATCGCCAGGCACACCAGGAGATTGCCCAACACTGAAGCGAGGCTAACAAACGACAACACGGTGATGAAAGGCACCATGGGAATTGCGTCGCTTCCATCATCACTGCCGTTTTGACGAGACATGTTTCTAAAAGAAGAAATGCAAGAAATGAGTAAAACAAAAGACTCGCTTTTTCTTATAACTGAAGTTATACTTGACTGAGATAAGTACATCAGGGGCGTCGCAAGTCTGCGGTCAAAATGGGTTCACATCCATTTGTGGCATGATTCCACGATAATATTGTGCAGTTACCATATGTGTTTAATAACTTTGCCAAATGCATAGTTTACGATTTCAAAAGATATTGTGATCTTAACTCAAACATGTAAAAAAGTCTAATTGAACGCTGATGAAACTTTTTTACATTAAAGTATTTTACATATACAAAATATTTTTTTCCAAACCATCATCTTCGTTTTGTATTTTATTACAAGGAATAGTTGTGTATATATCATATGTACAGACTGTAAAATTGACTTTTCTGCCTGATATGTCTATTCGGCTTTTAAAATATTCTCATAAACTAATGCAAAATGGATGATTTTGCCCGAGCCGTTATTAATGCAGATGGTTGATGTCAAAATTGCCAAAGTTGTGGTTGTGCGGGTTTCATGCTGTAACACGCATGGTTTTTAATGTCTTGAAATGTGTTTTGCTTGCGGATAATTAAGCCAGTTTTTCATCACCTGCCGTCTGGAGTCATTTCCCCTTTCCTGAAATCATCATTTCCACTGAAAAAATGTTTGCATTCGGAAGAAAAGCTGCGCTAAGACAGTCCCACGCATCGATTTCATTAAAGATTTGCTTTCTTCGAACGGAGTGAGCTTAATTTCACATACTATTACACCTCAGTCCATTTCGAAGTTCATGTCGTGCAAATTGTGTAGAATGTTACCTTATTAACAATGTCACGATGAATTTAAATGTTTGTTACTCAGTTGCTCTCTTTCAATTCTACTCTCTGTTCGAAATACAATTTTGAAATACTTTATTCACTCTGAGATCAGTTATTGTACTCTAGTACTGTGAATTTATTTTACTGTACTCACGCCTGATCTTCCGTTCGTTGATATGTTTACATAAATTTTCTTTGGTGAAGTAAAAAGCATCGCTCGTGCGCTGGCCCCGTCTTGATTTTAAAGACACTCGTGATGAAGAATAGTGATTTTGGTATCGGTAAACTTTGCCGCAGATAACACGTAATTGACAATTTCAGTTTTACATTTTCAAGGAGATCTTTGTCGGTTTAATGCTGTCGGTTTTGAATGAAAATGAAATGCCTTATCTCGTAGCGGATCTTTTGTCACAGACAACCACAAATGTGCAGGTAAAGGCATTCTAGCGTATTATGAAAAGAAATAGCCATTTTTTTAGAGTAATGATCGTTTTTTATGCATTAATTATGATCGCGAATGAAGAATTGCACTGAGTTATTCCAAGTCTCCCATGTTATTCGTTATTTTATATACTTCATTAAGTTAATCAGAGGCAGACACGCAGCAAGATAAGTCTTGTTTTTGCGCACTAGATTAAATTTAAAGTAGCGCAGTCGCACTTCTCAATCATTTATCGCTTCCGATTTTCGATATAGCCAAAATGAAGGCATTTTCGCTTCAACTGTATTCTTTTGTGTTGAAATGGATTTAGATCACGAACATTCTCTGTTTCTTTCTTAATGATCATAGTACTCCATGTCGTTGTGGTTAACCTAGGTGCACGCAGATTATTGGTTGAGATATTCTCTTCAAATTTCTAGGTAGAACAGATTAGTGAGGAAACTCAACTTGTCGCCTCTTTGTTTTCGTTATTTGCATCCCACAAATATGAATCGTGTGAACAGATATTTGCTCTTTTACTTCAATTCTGCATTGACTGCAGCTCAAATGTTAACAAAAACAACGAAACCAAGACGTGTCAAACTCGCAAATTTTTATGCAAGCTCCGACAATTTCAACAAGAATAAAGCAGTATTATGCTCCTAAAATGGACAGTTTGCCAACCAATGATATTGACGAATATACAAAAACGCTTCAAACTCTAGATTTTTAATCTTCGATTTCAATCTACACCATGGTATCTTCACATCTTATGTTTTTTTTTGTCTTGATATGCACAATGTTTATTTATGAAATACCCTTGAGATTGCCACCTGTATCCATGCCTGTACCATGTGGTGTCATTGCACATAGGAAGTCTTCGGTTATAAGCATTGTTGTAAGGAAAGAAATTTTCGCTCAATGATCAAGTTGCTTGATCTCTTTTGCTGCCCAACCCATAATCACAGCGTTTTGAGCTTGCAATTTGATATCTCGTTCCGCATTCAATCAAATGCACTTTCAAAAAAATTAAGTATGGAGTGGCTACAATGGCCCGCTTTGTTTTCTTTATGATTTGCTGTAGGCTTTGAGGCATGCGCACAAGAACTATTCATATAAGCAACGTAGCCACCATAGGATTATTCCTATGCGCAGGTAAGTTTTCTCAAGTCGTAAGTGTATTTTTTGAAACTGCGAGTTTTTACTTTTTGAAAAGATAAGGATCCTATAATCCCTCCTCACATCTTTCTGCATATCGTTATCGCGTTGAAGAATCAAATTATTACGCCAGTAAAGATCTCTCCTGCGCTCATATCTTATGCAAATGACGCCATTACTCAACGACATGACGCCAATGCGTATCAAAATACGTCCGACAAAAAAGGGCATCTTAGTGCTTTTTGCTAACACGAACTCCTTTTGCATGCGTTTATTTACCCTACCATGGAGCAAATTGCAACTTGTTAACGCGGAAAACATTTTGTTGCAGGCTTGCATGATAATAATACTAAAGGCGCAAGATAGTGCTCGTGGTAGGAAAGATGATAGTGTTTTTGAGATACTTCTAGCACCATGTGCAACGAACCCAACAATCGGATTAAAATTCAGATTGCTTTTACATAAAAATGTCACATGTTTTCCTAAAGCTGTTCTCAATCAATTGTGAACAGTGGAACCGTTTGCATGGCAAAAGATTTTGGTTATGTAGAAAAATAAGCTAATATGTCAGTCTTTTAACGACAGAAGACTCAAGATCCTATATATAGCATTATAATTAAAGTATAAATGTTACGTCATGCAAACAGAATTACATATTAATTAGGCAATTTGTTATCTTTTGTTACCCACAGTCAATTAGTGAGTTCCTGACGAAACATTGCATACAAAATTGTGTGACCGCAGCCATAGAACTTAGGAAAGCGTGCTTTCATATGGTACACACGTCGTTTTACTGGTTTAAGTCAAAACAGAAACGGTTTTATTAGAGGTGTATCTTCAAAATTTCAACAAGGGGACTCTGATATATATTACTAATACTAATACCACGCATGAAATTTTAACTCGGGGGTGGGGATAAGCCCCCCGAACCGAACCTCTAACACATCTCTGGGTTTTCTGCTCTTCTCTCTTATACCAGCTTTCTTCAAGGCACAATCCATGTCTTGAGAGTTGCATAATTTTATGTCGCGTCTTAATATCACAGTGATGAACAGATGCGATTACATTTTGAGCAGTTTTCATTGCAGCCCCGGAGTTTTGCCCCGTTTACAACATCTCGTAGGATCCTCTATCCTCGAGAGTGGCAAGTAGCAAGAAGACGAAATTTGGAGCACTTTCGTCCGGCAGCTGGGAGCCATAGTTTTCACGCATGCGCAGTAAGCTTCTATATATGACGTGTTACTGCGTGCTACAAGGGCTTGAGAGCAATACACAAATCAAATTGATTTTGGATGAATGCGATTTTCTTTTTGAAAAGAAATTTCACTAAATCTTTTTTGTAGATTGCATGATTTTATTTCACTAAATCTTTTTTCTGCCCTAAAGTACGTATAAAAACTACCTTTTTTGTGTTTAGAGTAACGTCGTCATGCAAGCGTGTTGCGTGCATTAATACAAATCCTTTTTAATGACACTTCATTAAGTTTACTTAACTTTTTTTTCTTAGGAACGTGGGCTCGTTAATTTCGTATTTCATATTGTTTATTTTGAAAAATATACTTCCCGATTGATAATACTTGTAACCTGTCTGTTCATATTGACGTAAGGCGCATTATTCTGCTTTCTTATTACTTCTTATTCGTGCAGATAAATTAAATATAAACAAATAATTATTATCTTTGTTTCAAAATGCGTCATTGTGTTTGCGGAGTTATGATTGGAAGAGCTTAGTAAGATCGTTTCGGTCGAGTAACGATAAAACCGAAGAACGTGATGAAAAAACGTGGCGTAATTGAGGATCAGACGGAAATGTTCTAGAGTATAATTCGATCATTCTAGTTTATAAATCGATCTTTCTACTTTCAGCACACATCATTCCTTTTAACTCATGATGATCAATTTTACAGCCCTTAAGCTGTTTCATATAGCTGGTTTTCTTTATTATGGTCAATAATTATTGTACAACCCTCAAGAAGGAAAAATTTGAACGACTACTTTGCTGCTTCGAGTTTCAATCTAGTTTATGACTTGTCAATAATTATTATACAACCCTTATAAAAAAAAGTTGCTGTTTCATACCTGTTCATTTTTATGAGCTGGTTGATTAACACGAAATAAACTGTGACAGACCTTGTTCTTTATTCTCTAAATAGAAGATGGAGCTAAGCGAAAAATGATGCTTGGAAATCAGTCTCATTGATGATATTTTTCATTGCGTTTTCACCAGAAGTTATTTTCAAATACAACAATGTGCGTCAGTCATAACGCTCAGAATCAGTTTTCAAAGCTTTGTGTACAAGAATGAACACACCGGCAACACAGTTAACTACACGACATCTTTGCTATCTACGTTTGTATAAACATACCACAGCATCCATTATAGTTATTCCAGGAAACTGAGCAGTACAATGCCATTTGCAAACTTACCTTATTAATAATCTTCTAGTGAAATAAAGGCGATGCTCGCTGTTTTCAATGAGTGTACCTTTATCTGTATCTTATATATGCACATATATGCTCCTTGCTGTCATCTAATTTAGCCCACGTAAAACATGATCTAATTTAGTTATTTATCAATAAGTACGATTTATTTCATTGTCACAAAACAGCAGGATGCGAATTATTTTTACCCCTGGAAAACGCCATCTCGAGTGAACAACGTCATTTGAAAGATAAAAATTTTTGAAAAACAAGAATTGTACAGTAATTATCTGAGTAAGCGGGCATGAAAGATGGTCCGTTTAAGCAGTAATGTTGTACGTCATGTAATGAAATTTATTTATATCTATACCAAGCTACACCAGTTAAATCATCCCGTATAATGGTTTGATTGTTCAAATCAAATACAAAATATTTTCAGTATTTTCAACGTAGACAGAAAGTGTCGACTCATTAAGATGTTTGTTGAAGCTGCTTTTCGAAAATCTGCACACTCGTTTTCAACATTATGAACGCGGTCTTTCAGTCAAGCGATTCGTACCTAAAACTTACACACTTCAACCAAAATGGCAAAATTAAAACTCTCTCATACTGCTTGCCAATTTTAGAAGTTTGCTTGTGGTAAGGACAACATAGATTGAATTTACATCGAGTAATTGAAAAAATCAATTTTAGAATCAAAACACCGGTAAAATTTAATAACATGCTGTTTTCGATTTTTTTAATTAGATGTGCAATTTCTTTCATATCTTGAATCTTGGAATCTGTTTTTTACGCTTTACATAAGGCTGACACTGATCTCAATCTTTCCCAAGATGAGGTGAGTATCAGTTATTCTTTTTGCCTGTTGTTGCCACAGGTTGTTGCTTTGAAAATCGTTCAAATGCATGCTCATGGTGAAGCCATGCTTATATATTTTGACAAGTTTTGCCCATATATGTATACAGCTACTACTATTTACTTCTGAGTTTTTGATGTCGTCGATTTAGTCGGCCTTGGATGTAGTAATAGTAAATATGGCAACTTCCTGCTCGTCTAATATGATAATAGTTTAACATCTGCTTCTCTGAGTACCGTAATCGTAGTTAAACGTAAAGCTTCTATAAAAATGCGAGCCTTAATAAAATCTTAACATCCTGCTTGTCTAATGATAGTTTAACATCTGCTTCTATGAGCACCGTAATGAAAGTTAAACGTAGAACGTCAATAATGAAAGTGCGTGCAGTAATAATAAAACATCCTCCTTCTTTACTTATACGCGCAGCATTAGCAGTTTAGTAAGCTTCTTTTCATATAATTACATCACGAAAAAACTTAAACTCTGAGCTGAAGAACTTTCTCGTGCTTATTGAGCGCACACGCATTACACTCGTTTCCCTTTTCACATTTTCTCTTTAAAATGCTGCAAACTTCTGACGGACGTTAAATATTGTTACTTTTCATACCTTCGTTCGCATACAGTAACAGCATTTACTTTGTTCTTGGTTCGCTTTTCAAGACCGCGTATCATATTAGACTGGCATTTATCATTTGCCAAGAGAAGCATTTATTTGGTCGCCCCACAACCTGTTTTATCGCTTGCATTACAATCGCTTTGAAAGATTCCTGTGGTTACTAAAAGCTTTGTTTGCGAAACTGTGTTTACTTTGCAAATAGATGTCGTTAAAATTTTTTAACGAACCGTAAGACTTAACAATAGCCTCGAAAATTGTACTCTGTCTGTGACATATCCGATGATAAGAAAGTATATTTTTCTTAGAAATTTTTTAAATAAAGTCTGCTTTAAAATGACAGACAGACAATGTTTGATACGCAACAAGGGACGTGGACAGCAGGTGGGAGCAAAGGGAGGCAATCATCTCTTTTCACAGTTTGTGATCATTTCATTTCGACAGCTATAAGCTGTTTTCCCCCCGCCTGTCCCAAATGACTTGTCCCATTTTTCACGAATCCTGTCTATGCACCTTCCTAAATAAGCGTTCACCCTGAAATAGATTGTCAAAACCAAGAGATTAGATTAGATCGTGGTTTTTCAAGAGTGTAAAGCAGAATATTCAATTACAATACCATACCAATTGTTATTTTTGGAATTCCTACATTCTGATTGGCTGCTTGCAACAGCTTTCTACATATTTATCTAACAACGAATTTAATTAAAAATTTCTACGTAAACATTTTTAATAGTCTTTAAAGCGTAGCAAAAAATGTTGTAATATAACAGTTTTTCGTTACAAGAGTATTATTTCACTGCACGGACCTTTAGCTAATCATGTAGATACTTGTAGACGGCTTACGTTTCTCAGTATTGAATTTTTTGTCAATCGATCTCTTTTCAAAAATTACGGTGGCTCACAAGGGACACCACACTAAATAATAAGAATTATACAAAATAAAGATATTAATACACACACAAAATACATTATACACACACAAAATAAAAATACAAACGCAAAATACATTATACACACACAAAATAAAAATACACACACAAAATAAAAATACACACACAAAATAAAAATACAAACACAAAATACATTATACACACACAAAATACATTATACACACAAAATACATTATACACACAAAAAATAAAAATATACACACAAAATAAAAGTACACACACAAAATATGATCGCGGGCGCTTGCAGTGTCGGATAGCTGACTACCATCAGTTTATTATAAAGTTGTAATCAGATATGTGTAATTGTGAATATAACACGTGGTCGACTAGTACTTGTCGTCGTATTTAACAGTTTCAACTGCGAAATATTTTAAATGACATTTGGAAAGGAATCGAAAGCAAGCTCTTGCGATGCTGAAGCGAAAAATCAATAAGAGAAATAATAAGCAATTATTGGATGAGGTTGAGCATGATATCAAGAATTATTCAGAACGAGGTCAATGTAACAATGTTATCTGAAGAAGCGAAGCTGAGGCAAAAAACATTGACCTCGGTCTGAATAATGAACCCTCATCAATAATTGCTTATCTCTTGTTTTCGATTCATATCGCAAGACTTTTCGACTCCTTTCCAAAATGTCATTTAAAATATTTCGCAGTAAAACTGTTAAATATGACGACAAGTACTAGTTTCCAGTTAAATTACAATTACACACATATCTGATTAGAACCTATAATAACAACCTTATTATGGTAGTCAGCCGACATTGCATGCATATTTTGTGGATGTATTAATATCTTTATTTTGCATAATTTTTATTAATTAATGTGGTGTCCCTTGTGAGCCACCATAAAAAATAGTATTAAATCAGAAGACAGAAAGATTGTATGCAAAGTTTTTACTGCACTCGTCACATTACTGTTATGTTTTAGTACTGGTGTTTGCAGGAGATAATTTCAGCCTTTCAAGGCAAATTTCCCTCTGTGATAACTACAAATACTCTTCCATCAAAACGTGCAAGCTTCGTACACAGAATAGATATATATCTATTCTGTGCTTCGTAGCCCCTAAATGGAAACTGGCACGAGTAAAATGATCACAAAAAGCTGTGTGTATTTATGTCATGTGGTTATATGTCAAGCCATTTCCGGTTGGTACTTATTACGGCTGCGCGGACTTTTGCAGAACAGTGGTCTTCATGTTGCAAGCTGCAACCTCTTCCAGATTGTGTTTTACGTCTCAAAGCAACAAATTAAGGAGAGAAAACGATGGATTTCCCAACTTTTCAAGAGTTCGATAAAGACAAAACATACATATGTCCGTACAATAAACACCATGTGATTACGGGGAAAATATATCCACTTCATCTGGCGAAATGCAGAAGGGTAAACGAAGTTATCATTTTGTTGAAGTAATTTCCAATTAATCCCTGATAATTTGAATGTACATGTCTACTTTTCTAGAATTATCAAAGTTTAAGTGCTTAAAAATTACTAAAAGTAGCGAATTGATGTGTAATCTTAAGGCCAGTTCTCAACCGAATGTTTATTGAGCTCTAAAAGTTAACCGTGATCAGCGAATTCACGTGTTTGTTTACGTTGAGTACCGTACATTTCGTGACCCATGTTCGTGACCCAATGTCGTGCATATATGGCCCAACATTCGTATGATAAAATTATGAATTAAAAAATGCCTTGTCTCTCCTGAGTCAATGAGATATTTTGATTTTCAGAGGCCTGCAGGAATATATTGTTAAAAGAACCAAAACTTGTGGGAAAAACTGTCACAAATTATTGACAGTTAGAGCCCATACCATCTCCTGACATAATTAATTTGTATCAGATTGTGTTTTTATTTGAGAAAAGTCACAATAAGGTTGCACATTTCTTATTTTATTTTCATTTCGTTGTAATTTTGTAGCAATATACGGGAAGAGCATTCAAAATATGTCCTTTTAATACTCGCCATGAGATACCAGCTCCAGAATTTGAATACCATCTACACTCATGCCCAGACAAGGTTTGCAGTTTTACATGATGTATTCATTTATTGTCAATATAATAATAATATAGAGTGTAATAAACTTGTTTCAAAAACAGCAAAATATGACATAAAAGTAAATGGTTTGAACCCGGGAGTATCGTTATATGTTTGTAAATGATGATCATCCAGGTTAATAAAGTCCTGAGAAGGACTGTTTTTGATGTTGTTGACTGACATTTCGACAACCTTAGCGGTAGTCATCTTCAGAGTCAAATGAGGAGTAAACGTCAGGTTAGCCGTATTTGTTGTCTGGTTCTTACGTCATTGTATTGTGTGTACAGGAAATGTGCAGGAAATGTGTATTGTCATTGTGGATTAGTGTGAAGTGAAATATTTTATTTTTAGTTGTGATGTGTGATTTAGGTGTGACGTTTTTAGTTGTAGTGTGTGGGTGTCAATTGTGTATTGTCATTGTGAATTAGTTTGAAGTGTAATGTTTTTAGTTGATCGTTTGTTTGTATTGTGAATAAGTCGTTTGTAAGGTGCCGGTAATTGCTGTGATCTGTTCAGGGGGGTTTGTTCCAAGTTGGTGTAACAACTTTCTAATGTAAGCCGTTGTCTATAGTCAGTACTGTAAGTGATGCATTTTGCCGAGTCCCAGTCAATGTTGTGCTTTGTGATTCGGTGATGTTCAGCAATGTGATTAGTTTTGTCTTGTTTCTTAGTAGCTCGTAAAATATGACATTGATATGACTAATGCTTTTAAATGCTTTTAAATGCTTTTTTAGTTTGTCATGGAGAAGGAATGCCGTCAATGTATGTGTTTTTACATAAATGCAAAAATAAAAGTGTTGTGTTTTTAGTATTCGATAAGATTTCCATGATGATTTAAAATACAATCGTTGTTTTGGTCCGTGTGTGTGGGAGGTTGGGTGGAGTATTTGAATAAAGAGCGTTCAAATCCATTTACTGGGATAGGACATTAGCTTGCCCAAAGATGTTGAGGATTCTTGTCGAATAGATTTTATATAAGTTTATCTTACATAATGTTTTCTTGTTGATCTGGTGCATTTATATATGTATTGAGGCTTGAGTACGGATGCCTTTTTATAGCTTTGTTATCCGTTCACAACATATTTCTCTTTTATACTTTCAATTGAAGCATCTGTGACGAATGTAGTGCCTGTTACATATGACCAAAACACCTTCAGCTCTGCTGAAGACTGGGAAGAAGAGACTACAAGCACAACTTTCTCTCTGTGGGAGGATAGTATTGAGAATCCTTTTGCTGCCGTTGAAGCTTATCAAGATAATCTTTTAGTGAACATCGAGCAAAAGAAACCAATGAAAAGTACATCAGGGTTAGTTCTTTTGGAGATAAAGTCAAAATACCATAATCAAACAAAACAACAAACAAACAAACAACATTTATATACCGGCCAGTATTAATCCCCGCTAGGGGGGTTGACCGGTCCATGAATTTTTCCACGCCAAACGTCTCTATCTCTCGCCATATCTCTCGTTATACCCATCGCCTTCATATCACTGTTCACAGCATCCATCCATCTCTTTCTCGGTCTACCTCGTTTGCGGACTCCATCAACATTCATATGCAACGTTCTACGAATTTCAGCACTTTCTTCCCTCCTTTCCACATGCCCAAACCACCTCAAACGCTGGCGCCTTACCCAATTCTCGATACACTCAACACCAACTCTTTCTCTAATCTCTTCACTTCGAATCCTATCCATCAACGTTACACCACACATCATCCTAAGCATTCTCCTTTCCGTCGACGCCAATCTTCTCAGGTCCTCTGCTTTCGGCGCCCAACACTCTGCTCCATATCCCAAAACACTTCTAACACATGCCTTATACAATTCTCCCTTCTGCTTCAACGAAGTCGACTTTCCGCACAACATTCCCGACAACTCTCTAAAACTCCACCACGCTGCTTGAACTCTGTTCCTCACCGCTTGCTCGCACCCTCCACCATCATTTAGCACATCGCCCAGATATTTAAACTCCGATACACCTTCCAAACTCACGTCACCCAGTAATGAAGTATAGGTTAGATGAGTGAAGTATAGGTTAGAAGAGTGAAGTATAGGTTAGAGGAGTGAAGTATAGGTTAGACGAGTGAACTATAGAATGAAGTATTTTTATTGCTTTATTTTGTGTCGAAAGGGACTGCTATTGGCACTTAAAATATACTCCTGTAAAAAATACTAGTTCACTCGTCTAACCTATACTTCACTTGTCTAACCTATACTTCACTCGTCTAACCTATATCCTCCACCTCACTCGTCTAACCTATATTTCACTCGTCTAACCTATACTTCACTCGTCTAACCTATATTTCACTCGTCTAACCTATACTTCACTCGTCTAACCTATAGTTCACTCGTCTAACCTATAGTTCACTTGTCTAACCTATAGTTCACTCCTCTAACCTATAGTTCACTCCTCTAACCTATACTTCACTCATCTAACCTATACTTCACTCGTCTAACCTATACTTCACTCCTCTAACCTATACTTCACTCGTAACCTATACTTCACTCGTCTAACCTATACTTCACTCGTCTAACCTATAGTTCACTCGTCTAACCTATAGTTCACTCGTCTAACCTATACTTCACTCGTCTAACCTATACTTCACTCCTCTAACCTATACTTCACTCGTCTAACCTATACTTCACTCCTCTAACCTATACTTCACTCGTCTAACCTATACTTCACTCGTCTAACCTATACTTCACTCGTCTAACCTATACTTCACTCGTCTAACCTATACTTCACTCGTCTAACCTATACTTCACTCGTCTAACCTATAGTTCACTCGTCTAACCTATACTTCACTCGTCTAACCTATACTTCCTCCTCTAACCTATACTTCACTCCTCTAACCTATACTTCACTGTCTAACCTATACTTCACTCCTCTAACCTATACTTCACTCGTCTAACCTATACTTCACTCGTCTAACCTATACTTCACTCGTCTAACCTATACTTCACTCGTCTAACCTATAGTTCACTCGTCTAACCTATAGTTCACTCGTCTAACCTATACTTCACTCTAACCTATACTTCACTCCTCTAACCTATACTTCACTCGTCTAACCTATAGTTCACTCGTCTAACCTATACTTCACTCGTCTAACCTATACTTCACTCCTCTAACCTATACTTCACTCCTCTAACCTATACTTCACTCCTCTAACCTATACTTTACTCGTCTAACCTATACTTCACTCCTCTAACCTATACTTCACTCGTCTAACCTATATTTCATTCGTCTAACCTTGTCTTGCTAACAGACACTTATACCAATTGTATCACTCCCCCCTCTCCGGTTGAGCTTATCACAAAGTCTTGTAATCGCCCTTTGTAAATCCTTTGAATTTATCTCCAATGGAGATGGTCGTGATATTTATATTTCACACGTATATAGACTCACGAAAACGCAAAAAAAGAATGAAAAACGTGCAGAAAAAAGACGGGAGAAAAACGCAGCGAATGCAAGCAGTGAACACGAAAACTACAACCATCTCCACGACAACAACGAAAACGGTAGTTTGGATGACGAGGATACACTTGGAAAGATGGCGAGGGAATATTCTCCTCCTGGTCGTGCATATTCGTGTATGTTCATAAAGAAGGGAGGTTAACGGGTTTCCCATTACAATAACGTCCCTTCATCCAGACCTCTGTTGCTCCTCCCTGCTTCTTGTGAATCAATCCCTTTGATCGGCTTTAGTTTAGGCTAGAGTTGTACCACAGAATAATGATTATACAGAAGGGTCACTCAGGTGTACAACGCGTCCCCATGTCGGCCATTATTCCATCCAGATGATTAGGATTTCTCACTTGTTTCCAACCATTAAAATTACACACGTCAATACTTAATAATGAATACAAGTATATTTTTACTCAAGCAATGACTTCCGATCATTTTAAAGGTTTGGAAAAAGTCAAAAACCCTAACCATCTGGCTGGAATAATGACGGCCACCATGCGCGGCACGACATGCGCGAGGACAAAAACATCAAAGGCCCCGTCTTCATCTTCATAAGCTATTTTCACTGATTTTTTCAGCCAATTCTGCGTTTGTTGATTGGGTGAGCATACTTAACATTTATTGTCAAAAGCACAAAATCAACCAGCCGCAGTATAAGGAAGATAAAACACGTTTTGGTGGATTTGGCTACTGTGTCGCAGTTGGGGTTAAAAAATTTTGGACTGGCTCCTACTGCTCAACGAAGAAAGACGCCAAGCATAGTGCTGCGCGGTCCGCCCTCCTTGGCTTGAACGTCAGTGTTTGTAAGTGCATGACTAGCGTTGATTTTTACCAGCTGATACTAGCTGTGCTAGGTTCTGTTCAAACAGTTTGTCCAAAGTTTGTCTGTTTCCGTGGAGTCTTTCCGTGAACCAAACTACAGTGTAAGGTTGTTAATGTGTTTATAACACCAAATCCTCTCAACATGTTGAGTCCGCAGTGTAGAGCGCATGTTGAATCAACATATGTATTTTGAGAGAGTTTGCACTGTAGCCTTAATTTATAAGTATTGCAGAGTTATTCATGTGGATTTTTTGTTATAGCCACACCAGATCCATGCAGAGCACCGCACATGGCGAGCGACTACGAGCGTGCGCAACAATTGGCGCAAAATGCTCAAATCTTGCAATCGAAAATTACTCCTCAAAACCGCATCATACCTGGTCATAATCCCACCAATGTGCAGGCCTCTCAATCGGACATTAGTAAGACAATCGCGGCAACTGAAAGCAAGCTGAAGAAAGTGGTTATCAAGGTAAATTCAACGGTGGATAATATTAATGTTGAACGTATGAAGTAGCAGCGATTTGATCAATATAGATAAATTTTTGATTTGATTTTATTCGTATTAAGATCTTGCCGCGAAATAGCTGGCTTCCAATGGTCAGAAGCAGGTCATGTTTTAGACAAGGCAGGCGAAAAGAATTTTTTTGAAATGCCAATGCAAAAATATAATGGCGTGCAAAATTCTAAACATTCGCTTTGTTTGCTTAAGCCTGGTTCTAATTAAGTCGCTTGAGTCATCCGAGTCGTTCCGAGTTTTTTCGTTGTTTTTCAAAACTACTGTGACGACTCAAGCTTTGTAATTCTCATATATTCGTACTAGCGCTGCCGAGAGACTGCTTAATTAATTTTTGCGCGAAAATTTTGAAAATGGTTGCTGCTGTTTATCAAAAACAAAGTCTTTTTGCTAGTTATTTGCTTCCTCAAATCGTTCTGCGCCATAAAGAGGTCGTTTGCATTTCTCAACGGGCGTTTCGGTCGTCCGGATAGAGCAAAGTTCTATCCAAGCGACCCTGGTCGTTTTAGTCGTGTGAGTCATTTGAGGTCATCCCGATCGCCTCTAAAATGTACTCATATAGTCGCACGGGTCGTCTGTGAAATTTTGGCACGACTGAAACGACTCGGACGACTATATATGAGAACCAGGCTTTACAACAACTCCACTTTTAAATTGATTGGGTAGCGATTCCAATACAAAGAAATAGACCAGATATCATGTTATGAAATATTTGCAGATGGCAGTTTAAAGTCCATCGGTGTATTTCTAATGTCTTTACTAGGAGGCTCTTTAATATATGTTACCACTAGAAAATTTGTTATAGAATTTTAACAAGTACAGCTGAAACCTTCCAAACCCCGTCGAGTCCCCCTCTTCCAATACATCTCCAACCGAGTGTAGATAACACAGTATCAAATTGCCAACAAGGTTTCCAATTTTCCCGAAGCTTAGACATCAAATAGGACTTTATTATTTCTATTTTGTACTCGTCATGGAGTGACGGTAAACACCGAGTTTCCATTGAAGAGAACTAGCTAGTTCCCAGGCCTCTGCTCGTGATGACGATGTTCTAATTTATAGTAAAGATGCAAAGAGAAATTGCTTGTGTTTCGCGAAGGCAAATCTTCGAACATCTCATTGTCCATATTCGAGGCGTGAATTTTTGTGTATTTTTTTCCTCGTAGGAAGAAAATGAAGATGACGGATGGCAAGTGGCTGGTAGAAAACGAGGTATGCCATTAAATAAAGACGAGTATTGAATTCTGGGAATTTTATAGTTGAGCTCTTGTGTATTTCTCTCACCAATTTAGCAACGAATCAGGATTATCTAAAGTTGGCTGGGATGGGGCGTGGCAGAGGACGACGCTGGCGTTCTTGACGATTTGTCAGATGCATTAGAGACAGTCTTTTTTACTTTTCTGTTAAGATGCACGAAAAATTCACGTTTAGATAGGTTTTTCCATCGTTCGCAAAGTTGGAAATTGGGTTGAGGGGAGTTCTGTTCTCACTCCAGTGACGCGAAGATCAGAAACGTCGTTGTCATGTGACAAGACATGTGATCAATCCGATAAGGTGGCAAAATTTTAAAGAGATATTATTTTATTTCACAACGACAGATCATGAACATGTTTATAAAAACTTGTGTGAAAGATATTCACAACACTAGGATATATGTTTTTAATTATATTTCTTACTGTTTTCAAGCTTGGAGAATGGGTTTTATTAGGAAATCGAGCAAAACTTTACGGGCAAATAGAAACAAAATGCCTAACAAATGTGTGTTCAGGTGTAAGTACATATTCAACTCGTGGGGTCTGTCAGTTCCTAGAGTATTAAGGAAGAATGGCGACAAAGATGAAATAGAAAAGTATTCTCTTGTTAAAAAACTATGCCTGAACGCAGAATTTGACGAAGCTATCTCGAAAGTTAAGAAAATATTGCTGTTTGAGTCAACTTCGGCCAGCAGTATACCTATATTGAACGGGCTTCTCCATTCATTGTTTCAGTATAACAGATTTAGAGAGATTGCCGAGTTGAAGGTGTTGATGGATACACATGGGATTATAGGGGATAGATCAACATACTTGGTACTTGTTGACAGTTATGGAGAATTGAATAACCTGCAAATGGTGTTAAAACTTTTGGATGAAATGTCTCTTGTTGGTATTAAGCCTCACCATAGATCTTACATGGTGTGTATCAGGTTAAGCCTTAAAGAAAAACTATTTTTGGATGCTCTGAAGCATTTTCTTCTCATCGAAAGTGTTCATGTTGAAAGTAACGATGAATTTACTGCTTCCATGATCATGGCATTTGTTGAGAATGACCAATCTGATATCTTTTATTCTCTTCTTGAGCATTTAATTGAACACAAAACAAGATTTGGTCAGAAGACAGCAGCAGCTATTCAAAGATACTTTGATAGGTGTGCAGAGAACTTTGTTTCACAAAATTTCAAATTTCTAGTCCATATTCAATTCTCCTTTTACTTGTTGGTGAACTGGTGATCATCAGTCACCATTTTGTTTGGTGGGTGAATTTGTGATCATCAGTCACCATTTGGTTTTGTGGGTGAATTGGTGATCACCAGTCACCATTTTGTTTTGGGGGGAATTGGTGATCATCAGTCACCATTTTGTTTTTTGGGTGAATTGGTGATCACCAGTCACCATTTTGTTTGGTGGGTGAATTGGTGATCACTAGTCACCATTTTGTTTGGTGGGTGAATTGGTGATCACTAGTCACCATTTTGTTTTGTGGGTGAATTGGTGATCACCAGTCACCATTTTGTTTGGTGGGTGAATTGGTGATCATCAGTCACCATTTGGTTTTGTGAGGGAATTGGTGATCACCAGCCACCATTTCGTTTTGTGTGGGAATTGGTGATCGCCAGTCACCATTTTGTTTTGTGGGGGAATTGGTGATCACCAGTCACCATTTTGTTTTGTGGGAGAATTGGTGATCACCAGTCACCATTTTGTTTTGTGGGTGAATGGGTGCTCACCAGTCACCATTTTGTTTGGTGGGTGAATGGGTGATCACCAGTCACCATTTTCTTTGGTGGGTGAATTGGTGATCACCAGTCACCATTTTGTTTTGTGGGGGAATTGGTGATCACCAGTCACCATTTTTAATTTGTAGTTGAAGTGGTGATCACCAGTCATCGTTTTGTTTGGTAGGTGAATTAGTGATCATCAGTCACCATTTTTACTTTGTGTGTGAATTAGTGATCACTAGCCACCATTTTTACTTTGTGTGTGAATTAGTGATCACTAGCCACCATTTTTACATTAATAGTGGATTAGTGATCACTAGCCACCATTTTTACATTAATAGTGGATTGGTGATTACTAGCCACCATATTTACTTTGTGAATGAACTGATGATTATTGACCAGCATGTTTAATATTGTGTGCTGATTTTTACATGCAATGTGCTTGTATTAAATAAGCGTGTTATATTTAGAGACCCTCAATGGCATTCCAACGAAACAAAAATTTCTGCAAGGTATTGAAGAAGTGGTTTATTCCCGAGATTTTGCATACGTTGAAGATGCTGTACTGAAGAGTATAACAAAGAACTATTTGACAGGGGGGAGGCTGGGACTTCTGCATAGGCTGTAGCAAATGAATGGCATGTAGCCTTGACACAATAATCAATGTAAATGACCTTCTGTATAAGACATTTAAAATAGACAACAAATTTCTTTATAGCAAACATGTCTTGGCATACTTTATGCCATCTTCAGCTTCAGTCTGAAGATGGCATTAATACCGTTTGCTGTAAACAAATTTGTCGTCTATTTTAAATGTCTTATAACCATTGTGCTTTCACGAAATTATGGAAACCTTCAGTATGTTTGTATTTTGTGTTGTGAGTTTCCACTTTAAATATCTAGATTTAATTGTAAATGTATTTTTTATGTTTCGACCTTATATTTCAATGCATATTCTGCAGTGGTCAATGCCAGAATTGCAAGGAGTCGCTTCAGGCTGGCAAATGTCGAAAACCGGAAGAACATTTGAGCAATTATTTTCAAAATATATTGGTTTCCGAATTACAAAAAGACGCTCGAATGAAAAGGACGGCAGATGATTTGAAAAAACTTCGAAATTTCATTGATAAAAATGGCCCATTTACCGTTGTTGTGGACGGCCTGAATGTTGCGATGCATCCGCTTTTCGGGATTAACTTGAACTCGGTAAGATCGACTTGAACTCGGTAGGATTAACTTGAACTCGGTAGGATTAACTTGAACTCGGTAGGATTGAGAAATGTCAACAGTCTCTCAATGAGGTCAATTCCTTCATTTTGTTTAGTTGTGTAGCATATTTGTAGATGTAGATCGTCCAGGTTAGTAAAGTCCTGAGAAGGACAGCTGGTGTTGATGTTGACCGACGTTTCGACAAACTTAGCGGTAGCCATCTTCATAGTCATTTTAGCGGTAGTAATCTTCAGAGTCACCTTAGCGGTAGCCATCTTCAGAGTCATCTTCAGAGTCTTTGAATCGGAAGATAACTACCGCTAAGGTTGTCGAAACCTCAGTCAACAACAACAAAAACAGTCCTTCTCAGGACTCTACTAATCTGGACGATCTTCATCCACAAACATGTTACGATACTCCCGGTTTCAAACCATTCATTTTATTTAGTTGTGTAGATTGGTCAAGGTTTGTTCGTCTAAAGGGGAAAAAATCTTGATTATTGCTGGAAATCATTTGATTCGTCCGAAACAATCAAAGACAGCGACGACATCAGAACATGAGAAGGCTTTAAAGTACATCAACAGCATCGCCTCAACTTATTTCGTCAAACACAATCGAAGGTATTGAACGATTTGTCAAATCTTAATCCAATCTAGTATTTTTGATCCAGATCTACTCAACTTTCGTGGCAGTCTCTCTCTTTCGCTCCATGTCTCCATCTCGCTTTGTTCATTTCACCTACTGTCTCCAAACCAACGTTCTTGCGTTTTTTCATCACTTGCTTCTTCTGCGTCTCTTTTGTCCTCCTTCCTTTCTCTCGCCCTTCATCTCGAACATCTTCTCCCGTCATTTTTCCTTGTCTTCATGAAAAACTGATGCATTTTGGCAGACTTCTAATCAGGTGTTTGATGGATAACATCACTCTCTGTTTGGAGATGACGTCATTTTTCCTTGTCTTCATGAAAAACTGATGCATTTTGGCAGACTTCTAATCAGGTGTTTGATGGATGACGTCACTCTCTGTTTGGAGATGACGTCATTTTTCCTTGTCTTCATTATAAACTGATGCATTTTAGCAGACTTCTAATCAGGTGTTTGATGGATGACATCACTCTCTGTTTGGAGATGACGTCATTTTTCCTTGTCTTCATGAAAACTGATGCATTTTGGCAGACTTCTAATCAGGTGTTTGATGGATGACATCACTCTCTGTTTGGAGATGACGTCATTTTCCTTGTCTTCATGAAAAACTGATGCATTTTCGCAGACTTCTAATCAGGTGTTTGATGGATGACATCACTCTCTGTTTGGAGATGACGTCATTTTTCCTTGTCTTCATTATAAATAAAAGTAAACTTCGATTTCCATTTAAGCAGACGTGACATTCGATGAGAGGTCTGCCAAAGCCTAATAATTCCTTGAATCCAAATTTTACCCCAGACACGCGTGTGCAGTTCAATCAATTTTCACACCGCGAGAGAATCTCGAAACACTACACACGCGTATCTGGGTGTAAGATTTGGCTTCAATTATTTGCTTCAGGTAGCGTTCCGTGTATCTTAGTTCAATGGTTAAAATACATCGTGTCGTTTAATTTTATAGCTATCTTTATTTTGATTCCCAACAGTTCTTTTAGGAAATACTCAATTGTCATTCACCATGACAAATATTCTATTCAGTTAAAATGACGCTCCTTTGTTCCTATTTTTGGTAATATCCAAATATTTTTCTCAGAGGTGTGGACGATCTCTTCCTCATCAACGCCGTGTTGTACTTGTGCCGTGAAGATTTCAACGTTCGCCTCATCAGCAACGATAAGTTCATGGATCATCAAGCAAAGATGAGCCCGCAGACTTTGCGTTACTTTCAGCATTGGCTCGAGGACCATCAGATAAGTTTGCGTTGGTTTGATGACGTCAGAATGAAGGCCTTACCGCAGGTACCAATAACCTTACGGTTAGCCATCCCATCCATGATGCATTAATAAAGCTTGACTTTCCAGTATAGGTGGTGAGCAACCATTCCCTGGGAGTTAGAGAACAATGAAAGGTCGCCATGTTGGTTGACATTTGCATTGTAAATAAGGAAACTCCTTTATTAAAATCATCCAACATGGCTACTATGACGTAGCTTGCACACCAAGAATAGTTAACTGTCGTGTAATTTTCAAATTCTATCATAAATACGATTATCAGTTTTAGGAATGACTTGCCAATTGTTATTTCATGAAATCGAATAATTTTTAGCACAAAGTTTCGGCTTTTGGGCGTGCCCCCCTCCCTGCGTAAAAGCAAAGTAGGCAATACACAACCATAGACATTACATCGTGGACAAAAAGGAAATTGCTTGCACTTAAACCATGGGCGACAAGACAACAACTGGTTATTTATAGTATAACTTTCCATAGGTTTCATTAAAAAAATGAAAATGTTTTATTTGGAATGAAGTCATGATACATGAATGAAAATGAAGTGAAGTGAATGTTTGAAACATTTTTAGGTTGATTCAAATTACCCGTCAAAAGGCAGTATTTTTTTTGAAACTTTGCACTATCCTTGGATGATTGAGTCCTGGTTATTCCTAATTGCAAATGCAACGTATACGATTGCACATATATTTGGACGTAATCATCGCTTATTACTCCATCACTGTGGACCATGCTATGAATCAATTACAGTAAAAACAAGAGTATTTCGAAAATAGACAATGCGCAAATCTATAACATTCGCGAAAGCACCCAAATACATAAAATGAAATAATTCGTTTCAAATCTTCACCATGTTTGATTCTCCACTCTTTAGAAACGGAAATTAATTGAAAGATCGATGCAGAAAACTACAAATTCGTGGCATTTTCCTTCGAGCGATGGTAATGATTGGATATGCGTGAGAAGAGCTCGTGAAGGTATATAAAACAAACACATTTATACTCGTGCGGTGATTGGTCAACCCTCGGGCTTGCACTGATCTCTCGATTTCTCCCAAATGTCTCCACTGTTTGCAAACATAAGCCTGTGCAAACACAGTAAAAATCTTTTATTGGCTTGCACATGCTCGAGAGTTCTGACGATTGTCTCCGAGGTTTGCATAAGCCAGTGCAAACACGAAAAACATCTTTTATTTATAAAATAGCAACAATGCGAAAAGACAAACATTTTAATTTTTCCTCTAAAATGTATTCATTCTCGATTTGCAAATTCACTTTGATTGATTGATTGTTTTGATTGATTTAATTGGTTTAGCACAGATGTGTTTTGCACAGCGGTAATGCAAACACGGCTCTAGACCAATCACCGCACGCGTTTTATTGTTTTTATTTTATAATCCTTAAATGTTAATACATCGCGTTTTGGCTGTTTTTTCTCAAGTTGGCTTTTTCACACCTTTCACAGCGAAGATTTTATAAAAAATGATCCTGGCACATACATTCCCAGTTTATTAAAGCTGCAATCTTCGACCCCACAAGTTCGTTTGTGTTTAAACAAGAGACCAATCTGTTTTTAATTGATTAGAGTTCCAAAGATATCTTACAACCTTATTTGTACATTCCGCGAAGTCAGCTTTTTAATGTAGTTTACATTTTCTGCTTTGGTAAATGCCGCGTATTTGCCGTGTCAAACATTTATGCATTGTGTGTGTATAACTTAATGCACTGATATGTACATTGCGTTGTAGTCACTGTCAGACATTGAACATTTTAATTGATTTGCGCATTGTAAATTTATTAGTAAATCCATCCTTGGATTGGTTATGACTTTGCCATTTCACTTGTTGAAAGCGCCGAAACCTGCTCGGAATCGTTTATACGCGATGTCTGTCAAGGTTTTGTCTGAGTGTATGACATACAACGTATAATAAAACCTCGTTGACCCCGAGGCCAAGCGTTTTATCACATTAGGATGTAATTGAGAATCAATCCGTTTCACAAAATTGTTTCATACATCGAGTCCCTTTTCATACAGTACAGTGGGATTTTTACAGCGAGGGTATTTTTTGATCGTTCTTTTGTTGTTGTTCAAAGAAGATAAAGGAAAGCTATTAACGTGACAGAATATTTGAAATGTTTGCCAGAGCATATACGTTTACATAGCTGAAGTGAACGGAGAAGGGCCTCTCGAAGTACATAACTGGCCTTTTGATTCTATAGTCGAAACAACTCAACGATCTTCCAATTGTTCCTTCCACGATATTAGAAGAAAGTTGAGTGTATGTGATACATATGAATGTTGGTTCAACTGTGCTTAAGACGAGACTAAAGTTGGTCAAACGACGAAATTTACGACGCACACAATTTTTACTAATACAAATCGTTACAGTACTTAAGAAACTTGCGATTTGTCGCTTTTTATTATCATCTGTAGATTGGCCGTCGTGAATTTACGATTGTGAAATCATTTTGCGTGTTGTTCTACCTTATTGACGAGTTTGCCGATCGTTGAATAACGATTCCAATGCTTTAAGGTAGAGGAACATTGGCTTTAGAGCGAATGCCTGTTGGTATTACATCACACACACGAGAACTGACAGTTGCAATTTATCATATACACAACTAGCAAGCTGTTATAGAAAATATACAGTTAACTAGATGGATTTATTGCAGAAGGAAGAACATCTTACAAGCAAGAGAAAAGGAGAAAGTGGTCGTGCCGGTGGTTTAGGTCCAATAACAGACGAGGCAATCACAAGTGATTTTAATAATAATTCCGATATTGATCTTATCTGCCGTGTTTGTCATATGGAATATCGGAATCCAAAACTGCTACCTTGCCTTCATACTTTCTGTGAGAGATGTTTGAATAAGTGCGTTTATAATATTCAAGAAAATAGTTACATCCGATGCCCTTTGTGTGGCACGCTTAAGAAGACAGCTTCAAAATTACTTGACGAGAAAGACGTCTGTTTTGATGAACTTAACACCGACTTTGTCGCGCTTAATATTCTCAACACTTGCGCAACAAACCACATTGACCTGGAGAATGTGCATTGTAGTAATTGCACTGGTCGTGCGCGTGCGCAGAGTCTTTGCTCGGAATGCTCTACGTTATTATGCATCAACTGTCAACGCGTACACAAGAAGAGGAAACTGACAAAGAATCACCGTCTTTGCTCGTTGGCTCTTCTCTCCCTTCCAGCCAATCAGCCGTTGCATGCTGGCGACTATTGTCGCACTCACGTGGGCCAGAAAACAACTCTCTTTTGCAAATCATGCAATCGTGTCGTATGTAACGATTGCACGTTATTGGATCACGCGAAAGACGAGCACACTGTCACAGATCTCTCAGACGTCTCTCCATATCAAAGGCGGCAACTTGCCGAACTGTTACACGCTGTTCAAAAAAGAGTGCCTTTCTTGAAACGTACTTTGAATGACGTCGATTCAGTTTTGAAGGCAATCCCCGATCATGCTGATGCGGTAGCAAGAGAAATTGCAAAAACAACCGAAGTAAGTTGTAAAGTGGTTGATTTGAACCCACGAGTATCGAAAAATGTTTTTAGATTTTGATCGTTAGGTTAGTGCAGTCTTGAAAAGGATTGTTGTTGTTGGTGTTGACTGACGTCACTTGACTCTAGATATCTAAACGACAGTCAACATCAACACCAGCAGCTCTTCTAAAGACTACCCTTACCTCGACGATAAACATCTGCAAAGATGTACCGAAGTAAGATATATTGCTTCATAGCCACGAGTTGTCTTCAATTTAGAGAGTACAGCACGATTTGACGTTCTTCCATGTAGCTCATCTTCGATGATTTTCCTATCGTCAGTGGTGCAAACATGCCTTTCCTTTCCTCATTCGGTGAAATCGATTAGTAATGGGATTTGACTTCTTTTTCTTCAACAACTATCACCAATGGTAGCCATAGTAACCACGGTGCCCGTAACCCTGACGTCAAGTTTGATTGTCAATTATCACATCGTGTATTTAAGCTCTTTGCTCAAATTACTTCCGCTAAAGTTGATTGGTAAAATCATCCATAGCTAAAATGTCTTTTCTTATATCGTCAATACAGTTTGCCTTAAGTAATTATTCTCTTCAACAGCATTTGATCAAGTTTTTACGACATCGTCAAGACGTCTTGCTGGATGAGTTGACGAAGTTGTGCGCGCACAAGTCTGCAGTTTTACATGAACAGAAATCCCGGATTCAGTCCGAACTGAAAATCCTGGATGACAACAGCCAAACGACTAAACGAATTCTACAAAACGGCAGCAGCTCCGAGATCGCCACCGTCAAGACCATGATAAGCGACCGCTTGCAATTTCTCAGAAATATGAAACTTGACGTGGAAGTGGATGAGAACGCCGAGTTCGGATACGAATCTGGTTTCGAGGAATTGAAGAACGAAATTATGCGTTGTGGTAAAATTTTCCCAATTGATAACTCCGACCCTTGAAGATAATTGGTGAAGGTTTGCAGGAAGCTTCTGTCGGAAAATACGTCGCGTTTGACATGGCAAAGTCCGAAAAATACGAACTTTCCCACCACCGGGATATTGATGTACGAATTGAGACCCCGGACTCAGTACTCCTTCAGTGTGACGTCATACACAGTGGAGATTTGTTCACTGTCGTGTACAATCCGAAGGTTCTTGGAGAGCACGAGATTTCTATCATCGTTCGTTCGGAGCATTTGCCCGATAGTCCTTACAGTGTAAATGTCAAGGCAGGTCATGCTGATTTTCTTGAGAACTCCGTAAAATTATCCACATTTGGTGACCGGGGTAATGCACCCGGCTATTTTAACGCTCCGAGTGATATAGCCGTACGAAACAACGGCGATGTATTAATAGCAGACGCTTCCAATCATAGAGTTCAAGTACTTAATCCCAAATCGAGAAATATTTCCTGCTTTGGAGAGGAAGGCACATTGTTCGGTCAGTTGTCCTACCCCTCGGGTATTGCAATTTCTCGGCTTGGTCATGTGATCGTCTGTGATCATGGCAACCATCGCGTGCAGATGTTCACTTTTGATGGCGTGTACCTGCAGTCGTTTGGTGGTTATGGGGACGACGAGGGATTGATGAAACGTCCCACTGGGGTAGCTGTTGATTTGGAGGGACGCATATTAATAGTTGACCAACAGAATCACAGAGTTCAAGTTTTTGATGAAAGTGGAGAGTATCTCCATCACTTTGGTTGTCATGGATACAAGCAAGCGGAACTTCGTACTCCAATGTACGTAGCGGTCAGTCCTGACAATGACATTTACGTCACAGACACAGGAAATGATCGTGTTGTGGTCTTTGACGCTCATGGTCGCCATCATCGAACGATCGGCAGACCTGGCAAAGAGGATGGTGAATTCATAAAACCCACGGGCATTACGATCGACGGCGCCGGCTACATTTATGTGTCGGATCAAAGCGGCCGAGTTCAAGTGTTTGACAGCGAACATCAGTTCGTCACTGATCTACAGTCAAAGTCAAATGTTACACTGGAGTGTCCTGTTGGGATTGATTACACCCCTGAGGGAAGCATAATTGTCGCGGATAAAAGTTGTCATAATATTGTGATGTTTAGTTGTGTACTTTGATGATTTATGGAGATTAAATGCAAAAATCATTTATTGGACAATGAAGTTCAAAATACAGAAATGAAAATTTATTCATTGAATGACTTAATTATAATTGCTTAGTAACTTCAAGATTATATGTTCCACCCTACACTAGTAAAAGGAGGAAGAAGTTTGCTCATTGAATTGCCAAGTAATTGCCTAGCAAGTTGAAAAATACAATTTCCACCTTACACTAGGTGCGAGGGGTGGGGGACAACAGTGTATTCATTGGACAAGAAGGTAAATGCCTAGTAAGTTCAAAATCATGCATTCCACCCGACACTAGTACAAGCAGACGAACGTTTATTCATTGAACTAACATACAATTACATAGCAAGTTTGAAATTATAGGTTCCACTAGAAAAAGGAGACAAAGGTTTGTGCATTGAATTAGCAAGTAACTGCATAGCAAGCTCAAAATTATAGGTTCAACTCTACACTAGCGCAGGAAGGACGAAAGTTTATTCGTGCGAGTGACAAGTTCAAACTAAGTGAAGTGCTTAGCTCATTTTATCGGTACGCAGTAGGTCGAAATTTAATGGTGAAGGTGAAAATTATTTTCACTTTTAAGCTTTTGATTTCATCATCATAGTGGGCTTTCTTTCAGTCCATTGTCTTCAATCTCGACCAAAGCAGGCGTCACTTGCCAGCGGATGCAATCTAGCACTCGCCTTGCGAGAAACAACTCGTTATTTTTCATTTGACCGAAACTTCCGTAAACGTTCAACACTTTCCTTCCGTGTTTTATGTTCTTTCCACAAAGATTCACGTAGAGATTGTGCTCTCCACTAGTTAATGGGCTGTAGAAAATCGTAAAAGTTCCGTTTTTATGGTCGACAATGCTGTTGTCTGGCGACTGTAATTGAATCTCGACTTCTCTCGGTCGACCACGTCGGTTTTTCGCTAGTACGCACAAGTTTGGAAGATATGAGCGGAAATGTGCACCGGAAGGTACCTCGCCTCTTCTTATTACCCAAGCTTGCGATGGTCCGCGATCGTATTCTTCCGCCATCCGCTTGTTTCCAGGCTGCTTCCAGATCGATTGAGGTTTTGATAATTTAGGATGGCCCTCTCTTGTCTCTAAGGATGTTGATGATTGTTCGTATGGCAATATTTTGTCATGCAATGAACATGGAGGTACTTGTGGGGCACTGGGGGTCTCTGATTGCATCTCTTGTCCTTTGCGTTTCGAGCCTGTTTGAACGCGGTGTTGTTTCTCGTCATCTCCGATGCCGAGATGTGCCATATCTCGTGAATTGATTCTTACTTGTGGAGAGCTGGCACCGTGCTCGGTTGATGAATTTTGCTGCCTAATTTCTACGCGTTTATTTTCTTGTACCACTTGGTTGTTGTTAACATGAAGTTTCTCCAGACGGTTTCTTTCGTTATCTCTTGCTTTCTCTTTCATCCAATCTTGACCATCTTTTATTTCGTTGGACGTAATCTCACCATAACTCATCAACTCATTCATCACAGATTCCTCGTCGGTAACATATTCTATCTCCAGTTCAAATTATTTCTCGCACAACTCGCGCAGCTTTGCGCACGTCATCTCGTTAGCCTGTAATATCATACCGACGTCACCAGTTTTTTCCAACGCATCTGCAAAGTCACAGCATTCGAAAACCTGTACGAGGTCATTTTCTAGTGCCATTCTCTTGCTCTTCAACGCGACGCTTTTCTGGTCATGGATAGTGCGGAGCATTTCGTATAATTCTCTCTACCGTTTCTTGACAGCGAGTAATATCCTCGAAGATGTCGCCTGGATCTTCTTGGTCACTTCGTTAACATTTGCTTCCATTCTCTCCATAGACGTGTAAACCTGTCGCAGCTGATGTTGTAAAATGGGATTTTTTTCACGTGTGGCAACGAGCAGCGCATTCAGCGTCGGTTTCGAATCCTCCACGGCCTACCTCAGTGATATCAAACAAGTGTCCCTGATGATCACTCGCAATACAATGACGACACACCGCCTTTTTGCATTGTACGCAGTACATTTTCAAAGCTTCTTGAGGGTGAATGGCGCAAGTTGGCGTTTGAACAACGATGTCAGCATTGAGGTTTTCGATGGGTATAATACGATGAGCCTTTGTGAATCGCGTCTATGTGCTTGGTTATCGCAGTACTCGCGCAAACTCGCTCCCACTCCCTCATCCTCGCAACATTCGCATATTTTTGTTGTCAGACCGTTTTGTAGATCTATGGCTTGAAGTAAGTTGCTAACCAGGCGGTTTCCCGGTAGTTCATCCACGCTTGTGAACTCGGCTGGATCGACTTTGGCCTGGCAAATAGGGCATATGAACACGTGGCCGTTATATTCTTCAACGTACCTTTCCAAACATTCTTTGCAAAATGTATGTAAACATGACAGAAGTTTGGGATTGTCGAGACGTCCTTTGCAAATTTTGCATTGTATTTCTTTTGCCATGTCATTGTTGATTTGTATTTTTGTCACCTTCTCTCCTCCTCTTTTTAACATTCCGTGATTGTTTCCTGAAGCCATTTTTTTCAGCGTTATTTTCCCAGTTTACATTGAAATGTACTGAATATTCTCTTTTTAACTGATGCTGAACAAACGTGTCTCTTATTCCTGTACACTCCGTTCGCACGTCATTTTTTCGTCATGTTTTGCCAGGTTGTACTTTTTGTCTACCCAGGCTTTTAGTGTCCTGAATGACGTTAGTGTTCTAAAGACAGTTGCCAAGTCTCGTCTTGTGGAAATCAACGATGACTTAAAATATAAATTTCAATGTAGATTTCATTGTGTTTTATCGACCGTGTACATCTCCTTGAAAATCTTAGATTCTAGAATGTCCACGGTGTTATCGTTTTACCTTCCCTCCCCGTAAACTGGTGGACTTTAATTGTATATTTACCACATGGTGTTTTACGGCAAACTGAACTAAGCATACCAGGCACGCATGGCTGTGGTTAAGAATGGAACTTAGTCAGTAACGGCTTCAATCATTGAAAAATGTAACTTTCTCACTATTTATAATATTCAGAGGGTTTTCCAAGGTAAAATGAAATGCTCGTGCCCAGTAAACTCTGGTCATTGCGATTGTTTTTAAACTGGATGAAGTCGTTGGGCGTTGAAGAAAGAAGAAAGGATTGTTGAAAATGAGAAGAATACGGAAAAACTGAACGAGATTATCGTTAGAAACGATTGCGAGCCACCATAATCATTTTGAAATCGATTTTCGCTCACTTTTATGGAGGCAAAATCTGCATATGCAAATACTTGCATTTTGGCATATGTTGCCTAGTTCGTTTCCACACGCATTGTTTTGAAATGCGAAACGCTTGAAGTGAATCCGGGGGAGATTCGAATCAAACATTTATTCCTAACTGGTAAAAGTAATGGCGTCCGTTGGTGGTGGCGGTCTTGGTGTAGGTTTTCGTCGTGAAAATACAAGTGTCTCAATGCCGGATCTTAACTCGACTATAAAAGCAAACGAGCATGAAAGACGTGTAGCGGACAAAAGCATCAACTCTGTGGAAACGCACTTCGACGACTTGGCAACAAAACTACACATGTATGCGGTTCGTCTGGGCAAACTTCGCAATGCCGGTGACGAATTTCAGAAGGCAGTGACGTTATATGCGGACGAAGAGTCGAGCGGTTTAAAGAATGCGCTTCATAATTTTGCCGAGTGCTTCGCGGCCGTGCAAGATTTGCGACATCAACAAGTACAGCAAATAGCCGAGAAAAATGTCGAAGCGTTCAGCATATACAAAACGAAATGTCGGCAAGCAAAGGGTGATGTTCGCTCGAATCTGAGCGCTTTGGACAAGGAAGTGAAAAAATATAAATCTTTGGAACGGTTGAAGACTCGTTCAACTTCAAATCAAGTCGAGTTGCGAGGGCACAAACCGAGTATCAAAAGGCCTCGGACGAGGCCGGAAGAAGCTCGAGAATTTTACACGAGCAAATGGAGGAATTTGAAAGGGCAAAAATCCGTGAAATCAAGCAGATATTTCGCGATTTTTTACACAACGAGATATATTTTTTTGCCAAAGGTTTGGAGCTGTATTCACGTGCTTACGAGGCCCTAGCAACGCTAAATGACGAGGAAGACATTGAGGAGTTTCGTGCGTCTATGTCATGGCAACCACAGAGTCATTCCACTCCCGGCTTTTCACGACATCTCTCCGAACCTGCACTGAACAGACGTGCCATCCACGACTTCAATGAATCCATGTAGAGCCAATGCGATTCTCGTTCAAGATAGGAACTAAAATCAAAAGATTAGTAATGTATTGGGAAAGAATTTTTTGGGGATTGCTGTGGATCTTTGTGTCCATAGTCATCTAAGATTTGATTTATCACCTGCTTTGTCAAACCGTAGTGTGGAGACCAAGAGCTATGTAATAATTTCTTTCTGATTGCCTTCACGAAGCTCCAAAGAGTAATTCAACTGATAAGAGATAATTCAGAACATCTTTCATTTACCATGGGATAATGCTCGCAAAGTCACTGCTTGCAAGTGTATTTTTCAGTGATTTTCCGGGAACTCGCGCGTGCGCATAACGTTTTTCGGCTGTGCTACAGATACGTTCAAGGGTAACGGATGTTTTGCAAAGACACTCATCCAGTAATAACCTCAAAGCGTGTTTCAAAGACTACGACAATGCTCTAGCAGTCTCACAGCGAACAAACCTCTCAAAGTGATCACAAACAAAAGCTTCACAACAGAAGTTTAATGCGAGTATAAATTATGCAATAGCACACATAAATTATATATTTAATCTTATGTACGTTTACATTAAAAATAACATTACATCTTCTTTCTATGTGACTTTAACAAAAACACCAAGCGTCCGATAAAATTCATAGATTTCATGAACCCCGAAACAGTATCATGGACGATGTGAAGTTTCATCTGAATTCATTCGAAGTTGAACAGTTTCCCATATTCACGTAATCAGCGTTTGATCGCGAAAAGCATCCAAATAATTTGCTCAAAAATAGTCTCTCGATTTCGATTATTCTCTATAGTTTTTAAAAATGTGAATCATGATCGCGTTGCCGTGCGCCAGTTTCTAATAATAGTTAAGCGCTTTTCATCTTTCCATGAAAGATAACAACACAGGCACTTTATTTCAACGGTTTCGTTCCCAAAAATTCTCCACTTTTCAAATCGCCTTCACTGCATCTCAGTAACTTATCGGTCCATCCGTTTGCAATTGTGTAATAATCTTCTGGAGAAAATTCCTAAAGCAGAGATAAAAGTCGTCTAATGAAAGATAATTGGAGCGAAGGGTTTTTGATTGACTGATAACAATGCGTTAATTAAGAAATAAGATGTTTACTGTGTTTGCACAGGCTTATGCCACAGTATAGGGAATATACAGTAGAGCCACTTCGCTGTGAAACTGGCTGCTGTATATTTAATTAGTTTACTGGCTGCCGTTTGCCATATGGTCAATCCTATTGGTCACACAATGCAATTTACTGGCTGCCAATATGGTAATCACATGCGTAATAAGATATGTGTGGCACGAAAAAATTCAATGGAGTGGCCCTACTGTATGTTTTCTATACTGTGCTTATGCAAACCGGGAGACCTTTGGGAAAACTAGAGAGCAGGTCAGTGCAAGCCAGAGACCAAAGGTCAGGGGTTTGCACCTGCTCGAGGGTTCTCACGACAAACCTCGGCTAGATCATTTTTGAACAAATAGCCCATAATCAATCAATAATTGTTCAATGTCGAAAACATAATCACTGACTTAAAACTCAACAATTCATGTATACTTTCTCCCCTTCACATTTGTATTTTGCAATAGAGTAAACTTCGTTTGTAGATGTAGATCGTCCAGGTTAGTATAGTTCTGAGAAGGACTGTTGGTGTTGTTGTTGACTGACGTTTCGACAACCTTAGCGGTAGTCATCTTCAGAGTCATCGCCGAAGTAGATTCTTCATAACACTTATCTTGTTGTTTGACGCATTGTAAAATCAAAGTTACAAGTCATCGCCGAAGTAGATTCTTCACAACACTTATCTTGTTATTTGACACATTGTAAAATCAAAGTTGCAAGTTATCGCCGAAGTAGATTCTTCATACATGTAACACTTTTAAATTGTGTATGCATTTAATAATGGTAAAATTGATGTTCTTTGCGTTAAATTCGTTCCAATATTTTATGTTCATATAGATTTAGAAGCTGACGTGTGAAAACTACACAACAAGAGCTGATGTGTGAAAACAACACGACAAGAGGCGAAGGTAATTAATTACACAGATGTCTCACACAACATAGCTTTTCTTCGTGGTTACGAATCTAATGAATCAGTGTATTTTTCTTTCATTTTATAAATCAATCTAAACTCAAAATCTTTTGACATACCTCGAGAAAATCTTCTTTGCTTTGTTGAAAAAAATGCAATTCGTTTTCCAAAATTTTGACAAATTCCTCAGTCGTATCTTTCGCAGAAATATTTACGAATCCAGCCTCATCAAAATACTATAAAATAAAACTCTGCAACTCAGTCGATCACAACAGAATGATCAATTAAAACGACGACATCGGTGAAATCGCCTGGCCTATATACCTTTGCTAAAGTTTCCACATCAAGTAAATGATACTGTCTTTCGTTGATGTAGGCGGCAAACCTCGCTGATTTCGGATTCTTCTCGCTTGAGCAATAGTTTGTTATAAGCAGCCTGCCACCTGGTTTTAACCATCTCTGGGAGAAGAGAATGATTGATTTCAAGATAAGGGAACGGACCGTAAGTACAATCATGGCAATAAAAAAAATCGGCGGGAGAAATAGTACTCGCCGTGACTTACAAAGCAAGCCTTTATAAGACGTTTCTGGTCCGCAATATGCATAAGTACTTCTTTGCTGTATATGACATCAAAGGAGTTCGGTTTGTAATTACGATGTGTGACGTCACCGATTTCAAAATGTACCTAACATAAATATAAAGAAACCGAAAACCGTCAGTCATTCAAACTACAATCAGAGTATAGCGTGCAATCATGTTTTCAGAATTATGTTTTCAATAAAATGCTTGCGTAACACGAGAGCATTACCATAGATCCTGCTCAGGTAGGATTTCAAACCTGTTCATTTTTCTCGTTGTTTGCTCTATCCATCGCGAAGTTGATTTGATTGGACGATACATCAATTCCTGTCACAAAGACTTTGTACGTCTGCAAAAAATTGTTAGTACGCGAGGTTGGATTCATCTAAAACTTAATTAGTGCTGTCGAAACTGAGTCATTCAGCACTGTAGGTAAAAATGTATCAGGTTAAAGTTTAGCAAATTTAAATCATCTACCTTTGCCATGTAGAAGGCCGCTGTGCCCATTCCACTACCAATGTCCAACACATGTTCCTTTGGTTTAAGTTGCAACTTTTCACATAATTTCTAAAATGACAAACAGTTAAAAGACCTTGGATGAAAAGACATCTCTGTATTTATTTTGCGTACGTTGACCAGTTGCTGTCCACCAGAACTAATGAAACCTTGGCCATATATTTTCTCGTATCTTTTAATGCCGTGGGTCGTGTATTGGTTTAGATCAAGGAAGGCTTGAAGTCTGGTGTATTTGTCACTTTCGTCCTTGGTGTCCTTTTGCCAGAGCCAACAATACTGATTCTTGTTGTTTTTGTGCTGGAAAAGATACCAATGTCAATTTTTTCTTTGATTGAACGAGTGGAAACTATATGTTTCGGTATAATAAAGCATTGTAGTATATATGTTTGAGTGCATTATATCTTTTGAGCATGACAGTTCCTGCAAAGCATCAAATCAACAGGTAATGTGGTTGGGGATAAACTCCAGTTTTGGTCTTTAAAAGACTTGGAAATTCATGACAGGTATTTCAATGACATAAATCTTACAAGATAATGGAACCTACTTTGATGTAAGCTTCCACTGACTTTCCAAAGATGGGATTAAGGACATAGCTTTTGCCAGACTCTGTTTCATCATCTTCACGAACGGCCTCACATAGTTTAACATATTGCATGGGTGTACGATATTCTGTTGGGTTTTCACCACGTTTCTTGTTGCCAGATTGATGGTAACATGATTCGCGGAAAAAAAGGTAACCGCCAACTTTTAGCCAAGATAGCATTTTTTGAGCCAGGGTTTGAATTTCATTATCCGCGAGATACATCAACAACCAATTGGAGAAAATCACATCAACACTGCAATAAACAAGGCAAAACATGTGACTTCACATGAAAGTGTCCTCCGATTTTATTACTTGGAATTGTGGCAAAATGTAATATTTATGCTACCTGTGTTTTGCTACTTCCAGTTTTAAAACATCAGCACATTCAAAGAAGTGTTGTTGAACTTTGTTCCATTTGTCTCTTTGTTCTTGGTTATAAATGCCTCTATGAAATCTACAGCATGAACATGTTTTGCCTCTCTGGCAAGGTCTCCTGTGAAGCGTCTTAAATGCAAAAGGTAAGGTTAAGCTGTTCCAGCCAAAAGCTTACAAGATAAATCATCAAGATAATTTTGAAGGTCCATGTAATAAATATACACGGCACTAACCCAATTCCTGCACCCAACTCCAGAACACTCTTTCCTTTCAGATTAGGTAAAAGGCTTAAAACTTCAGGATGCTCGTGCTCGGTGATTTTACTGGCATCTTCATCTAACATCATTTCCTCGATACTTTGATTCATGGAATGCTCAGTCCAATAGGAGGCCATAATTTCACGTGTTGTATCCATATTACCTTTCTTTTCTTAAATAAAGTAGATGTGAACATCATTGGTCATTGTTTGACCAATGTAAACTTCACAACTTTGTGAACCTCACACATTGTTTGACCATGTGAACTTCACAACTTAGTGAACCTCACACATTGTTTGACCAATGTGAACTTCACAACTTTGTGAACCTCACACATTGCTTGACCAATGTGAACTTCACAACTTTGTGAACCTCACACATTGTTTGACCAATGTGAACTTCACAACTTTGTGAACCTCACACATTGTTTGACCAATGTGAGCTTCACAACTAATGGTGGTTAGCTTTGAGAGACATTTTCATAATTTTCATGTCAAACCAAAGGTTTTGCAAATATAATAAATGTCTCCTTAAGCCGATCAAAATATTTAAGCTGTTTACTCACAAGCTCGTGGACTTTGCCCAACTTAATTAGAACAAATAATCAAATAATCATGCTTCCAGCAAAGATGATTAAAATGACAGGAGATTTAGATAGTTCCTTGTGAAAGGTCTTTTACAAACCTGAATTCTGTGTTCAAATGAAGTTAAAAAATTATATATCTTGGACTCTTGGGTTTTTTTTTCAACTCAATCAGTATTCAGTTTACGTTTCACTTTCATGAGCAGATGACTGTAATGCAGCAACTAAAAGAATAAATATCGCAGGTAAACTCTTATCCATATATTTTGTATCGGATTTGGATTCAATTCAAGCCAATTCACAGGCTACATCAACTACATAAGATTATTTTGATGTTCATCACACGGCAGGCTGTGGTGATTGGCCATTGTTCAACGAAAACATTCGATATCACGTGTTTATTGACGCTCTGACAAACTATACATCTTTCCACGCAGAGTCAACAACATTTAATTATAAATATGAGAAGCTTGTCTCGATAAAAACTGCAAAAAATGATCGAGGACTAAACGATGAGGAGTTTTCTCAACACGACCTGGACAATAATTTTCGACATTTTTTGTATTAAACTCGATTATCCCAAATACGCTATCATGAATCACCGAAGATTAAATGGAAAATTTAAGACAACTTACTAACCCAAGATTAGTCTTTAACAATATAATATGCTGCTTCGGATGAAATAATGGCGTCAGTTACGAATCTGTTATCAAACTTTCGTTTTCATCGTTTCTATTTGGTCACTTGGTGTTCATGCCGGCGACTTCGATCATTTAAAAGGAAACCCACTTAGGACTAGACGGGAACCAATCAAAATTATTAACTTCTCATATTACATATAACATGATTATTATGCTATTACATCACGTGTGTTTTTTAGTAATGCATTTCTCTGATAGAATATTGTAAACTTTATTACTGAAAGGTCTCTTCTTATTCGCCGTATTATAATAAAAGCTACTTGGAAATTAATTGAAAATTTCTGAATGGATCAACGTGAGAAAATGTGTGGGCGAGCATGTAATATTCCCGGCGTGTATGTAATCGTAGTATGTTGTGCGGGATTTTTTCGTGAAATACCGTATTTAAAGTAATTTTCCATTGACTGAAATAAATTAATATGCAAAATGCAAGATATTCTTAGACAAATGATGCATTCTCTGTAATATTCAACCAAAAGCGCTGACGCGTGGCATTTAGATTCTTGCGATCTAATTTGCGACTCCTAGTTAGGAGTATTGAGCCTGGGCCACACTATCGTCTATATTGACGAAAACGAAAACGAAATTAAACGAAAATTCGTGCACGAAATGCATGCCAGTCACGACGAAAAATTTCAAGCATGTTTGCAAAGCCAAAACATTTTTGGCCAATAAGCAAGCGGCATTCTTGACGGATTAGAAACAATGGCGATCTCTAAAAGAAAAAGATTACTTCTTCTTAAGAAAAAGTTACTGATTGCGATTTGATATGCTATTTTAATTCGAAAAAATTTATCTGATTAATTTTTGTCGAGTGAGGATGCCTAGCTGTGGAAGTAATGATTTTTTCTGCATGGGAGAGGGATTTCGGAAAGTTCTTGTTAGTAACGTCAATGAAAACGTACTGACTAAAGTATTTTAAAGAGATTGGCTATAAAAGAAATTATCAGCTTTTGATTTGGTTTAAGAGAAGTTCTGTGGGAAGCTCAAAAGGTGAACAATGACAATTGATGAATAGTTTGGAAGATTTGAGCTTGGAGTCATTTCTTTAAACATTTACTAAATGGTCAATTACAATGCTTGAGATGTCGTGAGTGGTGAGAGTGAGAAAGGAGAACTGGCACTAATGCTTGTTGGTGAAAGTGAGAAAAGAGAACTGGCACTAATGCTTACTGGAGAGAGTTAGAAAGGAGATCGAAGTTATTTTGGTTGGAGATTGATGGCATTATTTTTACTTTTACTCTGCAGCAAGGGCAGATATCTTTGTGGAGGTTTGAGGGGGGATCTAACATAAGAAAATTTTACTGTGAGTTTCAAGGAAAACTGTTTTGCTGCATGTGAACGCCGTGACATTTGCCTAGCCTAGCAACTCCTGCTAAACTTCATCCACCAAAATGAAATATATTTAATTTACTAACAAATATTGGAATAAACATGATAATTTAATGTCATCGTAGATAATGAATGCTTTTTACAACATGTACATTTGTGCAAGTATATTTAAATAACTAAAAATATCCAATTGCCCTGTGCTGGCATGTTTCTTTACCCCATTGCTCTAAAATTGTTTTTGCTTGTTAACATTTGGCCGCTCCAGGACCACTTTCACCCATTCCTGCGTGTTGTTTGATTGGATGATAGCATCCAAAACAGCTCTGACATAGAAACCTACGAAAAAAGGCAAAAAGCTGAGAAATATTCAAATGATTTCAAAAGAAATTTCCCTGCCAAATCCCTTGATGATTAATCATTACATGATGCTGGTGAATCTCATCTATTTGAAATAAATTAATGTTCAAATTAAAGGGTTAATACAGTGCTGCCACTCTGTGCATGCACATTTCACCTACCAAAACTTTATTTTCCCCCTACTTCCACTACTATGATTTTCCTTATTTGCCCCCTACTTTTCCTCTACACAGCAACAAATCTCCCCATTATATACCTACGTCTGGTCAGACCATTGAATTTTCTAGTCTGTTTTTAAAAAATTCATACAAACAAAGATTAATTGAAAACGAAGAACATCTAGACAACAAAGGTGAGAACACAGGAAGAAGAGTATTTTGGGCAAAAATGAGGCTCATTTTCAAACAATTTTCTTTTCTCCCTACAATCCCCCTACATATTACAGTTTTCCCTACCCCCTAAAAACCACTAAATCCCCCTACTATAGGGGATTTCCCCTACGAGTGGTAGCACTGGGTTGATAAGAACAATGGCATACATACCATCATCAAATTTAGCTGCTTTTGCTACAACATCAAGGTTAGAACTTCGATGGTCCTGGAAACATAGGAATGATTTTTTTACATCTTGAAGCCATGCCTCAAATGCTAACATATCGATGTCAGCAGGTGGATTTTCAATATTAGGAAGTGCATGCGCACGTCCAGTTTCTTTGTACAGCAGTTTCTCCTCAGATGATTGGTCCATACTCATGCCATACAGATCACCATTTCGTACAACAAGTCGACCTTTAGTACCAGCTACTGTCACTTCTTGTTGGAATTTTCCGGGCATCAAGGTATTCAGTGAAACATTCGCAAAACAACCTTTTTCCAATTTCATTTGAAAGCAAGTGAAATCATCGCTGGTTATGTGTCGGAAACCATTTATCTTCTCCGTGTGTTTGTTGAAAGTTTTCAAAACACCGTGAACCTCGACTGCCTTTTGACCAGTGAGATATTGAGACAGATCAATGAAGTGGCTGCCTCGTATATTCAGGACACCACCTCCTGTGACATGGTCACATAACCAGTTGTAATTGTCGCCAAGCAACGACCCCATCTCCAATCGACAGTCAAATATGGCAAGTTCACCACAATATCCTTCTGAAATCAACTCTCGCATTTTTACAAATGCTGGTAAGTACCTAAGGTTGTAAGCTATTAGGGACAAAAGTTTGGGATAATATTGCGATGCATCCACCATCCTTTGGGCATCATACCTGTCCAAGCCAGCAGGTCCTTCACACAAGACATTTTGCCAATCAACAAAGCCTTAACTGTGGCATCCGCCCTCTGATGAAGCGGGCAAAACACGCAAACAAGATCTACTTCGTTTCGCACGAGAAGGTCGTCGATTTTTGTTGTGTAGAAAGGAATATTCAAACATTCTGCCATACTTTTCACTTTGACTGCATTATTCCCCCATGCAGCCGCAATAGTAAAGCCAAGAGAACGAAGCACGGGTACAACGCATCGAATCTCGTATCCTGTACCAATAAGCCCGATGGAAGGAAGACTTTGAGACGCTTCACGAGCAGCATCTCGTAGCAAAGCCATTTATAAAGCATTAAAATAACTGTTCATCAAATACAGAAGTATTTTTGTTTCTTCTTTGCGATTGCCATTGCCTATTGGTGCTTCCGCAAAAATGAAATTTGATGAAGATGTGGCATAAAAGCCCGCGAAAGGGTATTTAAAAAGTTTTAACCAGTGGTTTCAACGTCAAAATGGTGAAAAGGAACCTAGTTTTCCTGATAATAACCGCCGTGGTTGTGAGATGCTTGTTATTTTTATTCAATGTGCATGACTCGATATATGATAGGATAGAGTTCACGACTCCTTTGACGTCGTGGAAAAGAGGTAAAAGAAAAAAAGTGATTTGTTTATATGAGAACCTGATAACACTTTATAGCAGCTCCTTACCCAGTTTCCAGTCTCCTACATATAACTAAATAAGTCAATTGGTTTAGGAGTAACAAATCCTGTTTCTAATATTATGTCTGTCCGCAGGTTACCAATTGAACTAGACTGAACATTCATATTTATCAAATATCTATATTGTAATATGTTAATTCCAAAGCCATCATCAGAGAATGTATATGTAATATGTTAACAGTTTTGGAAGGTCTGTCTTTATTGGATCATGGTTTATCACCATACGCTGGTGATTCAGTTCACGAGGTATATATTTGTGAAAGTTTTTCTTCTTAAATAATGAACATGATGGAATAGGTTTATCGTGTATCCAAAAATGGTTTACATGATCAATTTCAGAGTTCTATTCTGCATGTGTCAAAATATATCAGGCCTCAAACTATATCTGTGATTAAACTGAGAAGAGAACGTACTATGGCATTGTCAAATATTAATCTACATCCCCATTCACTCATTACCATACTGGCCTCGATTCTAAAGGTTTTCTTCAATGTTAATTCTATTGATTTTAGCCTCCTCTGGTGTTGTTGCTTTTTTATCTTCTTCGAAACAAAAGCAATGGTATTCCCTTGTATATTGTATTCATGGTATGTTGATTTATGAACTAACATTTAGTGTAGCAGCTGTTTCACAACATCAAGATTACAGTCCACTTTTTGTTCATTCTTTATTGCAGATGTTTGATATTTTGACTGGCTTTCTTCTGTATTTAGCTGCCAAATGTCATTGCAGAAATTTGGTAAAAATTATTTTAACTCTTCTCATGAATTAATGTTAGAAAGTCTGTTGTTAACATATTTTTTACTTTTAGTTCACTCAAAACTTTCCTCCACTTAACAATAAGGATGTCTCAAACATGTTTTTCTGAAACAAGATTTTTTGTGTTTTTTTTTCTTTTAGCTTTCTCGCCAGAAACGTGATCTCAAGCATTACTCCCAAAATGTCGCTCCCATATTAATTACATTGGATCATCTAGAAAACCTCCCTGTATTAGTATGTGCAAGGTGAGATTAATTGGGAAGAAAATACTTTTGCTTTTGACGTATGAGTCATAGATTTTTCACTCATGGCTAAAGGGGGATTTGGTTTTAACGTAGGAAATGGAACCGCTTTTTTCTTCACTTTTTGAACTGATCAAACACGTGTTTTAAAGCAAATTTTTGATATTTAACGTCAAAATTTGTAAAATTATTCAAACACATATTTTAAAACTAATTTCTGATTTGTTATGTCGTAATATTTAGCTTGGGTATAGAATCCGTTCAATGTTTTTAATTACAATTTTTTAATGTCGGTCCAATGAAGGACCATGAAAAATTGCATAGCCGGCCATATTTCAGGCCGTCCAGCGGGGTATTGGTATAAGTTTTCAATCAGCAATAATCACGCCTCGGATGAACCTCATCGGCTATGATCCTGCCACTGCGCAAAGCTACCGATAAATGAAATCCACTCAGTATTTATAACGGGAAATCCTTTCTATACTTGTGGGAGGTCATTGGAGTGTTATTAGCATATGACTGGCGCATGCGCAGTGCCTCTTTTTATAGATAAATATGTTTTCTCGTTATTTTAGCTACTTATTGAATCCATTTACGATCGCAAGTTGCGTTGCTCAGTCTACCGGTCTCATCACAAATCTATCGTTGACATTTTCTATGTATTTTGCGTTTTTGGGTGAGTTATTTGATCCGTCGTTTTCATTGAAAATTAATGATGGTTTTAAATTGGAAAGGACCATCGTGATTTGCTTGGTTGACCGAAATAGTATCATAATTGAAATGACTGCTTGTTAATTTCGTGAATTTGACCTCAAAATTTTCAGGAAATGAAGATATTTCACTTGATTCTATTTCAAATGAACATACTAATAGAGTATATTGTACATTTTCTGAAAATAGGATCGACATCCCTTGCAATGTGTTTTGTCGCTTTGGCTTCGTACAAGTCTCTTTACTGTATAATGCTTGTTGTACCGCTCACAATTATTTTGACGAAGAAGGTAGGGTGAAATGGTTCTCTCAAAGATCATCTAAAGTTGTTACTTCATTTTTAATATTACTTTAAAAAGAATGTTTAATTAGCCTTTGCGGGGAAAGGGAACGGGGGCTGTGTAAAAGGAAGAACTGCTTGAAAAAGGAAGAACTGCTTGTATTTGTAAATCAAGTCGAGCACCATTCAAGTTGTCTTTATTTTAGTCGCTTCCATGACTAAACCATCTCAGGTCTCACCCGAGAACATAAAAAGTCAATTTTTGCGATAAAAATATGCGTGCTTAAATAAATTGACGGTAGACAGGGCGTGTGATGTTAACATATACTGCAATCGGAGGCTTTCTGAGATATACACGTATTTCTCAGCATTCGGTTTTCTTCTCCTATAAAATTGGGTGAAATATCGATTTTTCGATAATTTAGAAAATGGATGAATCAAAGTACCATGTTTCCTTGGTCCGTGCTGTTATTTCCTCACTTACATTTTTCTCGTTTTGGATGGGTGTTTATCTTGCACTCTCTCGTGTTGTTATTGGATCGTGGCAATTTCTAGACGCCTCTTATGGCTTTACGTAAGTGTTAATGACTATTGATTGGTTGGATCATGGGAATTTAATTAACGGAATGCTGTGAGCTGTGTCGAATAGAGATGCTAGCAATATTGTATTGGGGGCCAGCCTTATTCGGCCACTTTTAGCATTAGGATCAGCACTAAGTTAGGGTAGTTGATGTAACGTCTTCCTGATTACTTCAGTCAAGTTTATGCTGCGAAACAACACAATATATGGCTATGAACATCCTTCAACTTACTGATTATTCGAATGATCTTTTTTCATTCGTCGTTGTTAGTTTACGAGTTCCTGACCTTACACCAAATATGGGTCTCTTCTGGTATCTCTTTTTGGAAATGTTTGATCACTTTCGAGAATTTTTCGTGTTGGTCTTTCAACTGAACGCTTTCTTCTACGTCATTCCTCTTACGTCATTACTAAGGTAATACAGCTATCTGATTTTTCAGCGATAGTTTCTGTGGCTGAAGTGCTCTTGCAATAAAAAAAGTTTGCTTTTTCATTTAACTTATATCCAACATTTCTTATTTCGACAGAAACGATCCCGTGTTTTTATTCTATACATTGTCATCGGTTATTGCGATTTTCAAGTCTTATCCAGCTTTGGGGGATTTCTCCATTCCTTTTGCGTTGTTTGTCTCATGGAGTCATCTTTATCCATGTAAGTACTCAACTTTTCGTGGTGTTAGTCTTTTGGAGTCATCTTTATCCATGTAAGTACTCAACTTTTCGTTGTGTTAGTCTCTTAGAGACATCTTTATCCATGTATGTACTCAACTTTTCGTCGTGTTAGTCTCTTGGAGTCATCTTTATCCATGTTTGCTTAATGGTTTCTTTTTATAACATTTTTACAGATATGAAAAACATATTTTTTGTGGGGTGTATGTTTCTCTTCTCGTCGATATTGGCACCAATTTTCTGGCATTTGTGGATTTATGCCGGCAGTGCAAACGCCAATTTTTTTTATGCTGTAACATTGGCCTACTCTTCTGCACAGGTAAATTTATGCTGTGAGTTGGTTGTTTGTGTGTATTGACTTCAGAAGAAAGTCGTTGAAATTCAAGGAAAAACCTTATGGCAAAAATGACTAAAACGAAGCCAAGACAATTAAAATATTTTCAAATGTGTGATTCATCGTATAGATAAAACTCATGCGTTCTCTTGACCCATGCGTTCTTTAGATATTTCTTCTTGGTGACGTCATTTATGCTTTTCTCCGGCGAAACTTCGATCTAGAACATGGCATCACTCGGAAGAAAGTTAACGACGAAACCATGATAGTCTTGTTGAAATGAGTTGTATTTCAAAGCAATTCCAATTTGAATCATAATACATACTGATAAATGAAACGTAAAACCAACAGTTGAAGAAGAAGAAATTCAACCACTTTCATTTTCATTTGCTATTCTCACTTTTAGGTATTAGTAATATTTGTTGAAACTTATGGACAGATTTTTAGCTTTTACTGTAAAAATTGGTTTAATTCAACAATATTTGTATACTAGCTATCTAAAGTTTTTCTAGAATTTCACTTTTTTCCTTTGATTTCTTCTCATTTGCATTTGCTAAACTTTGTTTTTAAGCACCTTTAGTGGAATTGTTGAAGAAAGAATGCCATCGTTCATTTTAAAATACGCGTTCCAATACTTTGTTGTTTATCATTTCTTAAAAAATTTCGGTAATTTTTATTCCAACTATGCAAATATTTTTGCTTTCAAAAAATGGAAAAACAATGAATGGAGTTAATTGTGATTTATAAAATTTCACCATTTATGTGTAAACAAATGTATCAGACATTGACAACTGCTACATTATGTTGTCTGGCGAAGACGTCATTTCTGTCTGTAATTAATATTTTTTGCTACAATGATTTAATTTTGAAATTGAAATTCATTGCAACATATCAACTTTGTCATTCATTATATACATGATCATAATACCATATAATACATTAATAAGTATTTACAATTATTAATACTTATTATGAGTAATTATAAACTATTTTCGGCAATTTCTATTGGTCGATCAGAATTCACGATTACCCCGGCGTGCATCACTTTGAAGAAGAAGCGCCAAGTCAATGTAGGAAGGACAGACTGCGTTCTTTTGGTTGAAATAAACGCATTTCTTGGTGTTTGGCTGATTTAAATCGAACAACATAACACGTACGTCGCTTTGTAACGTTTGGTAAGAATATTTATTGTTTTATTATATGTTGTGGCTGAATTCTTCGTGAAAATTCTGTTTCTTGTTTGTGAAATGTTAGCAAAATGGCTTCCTTCTTAACTGTCGTTCACAAAACAGACCGGCATTCGTTTGTTAATCCGGTATATCGGTCATTCTCTTTGTCCAGGATATTAAACTTAGCAAACAAACAATCTTTTTCATTTTTGAGCAATATCTTTCGTATGGAATGACTTGTTGTAAAGTCCGCCGCCAATGTGCGAAGGTTGAAAATTTGGAAGTTCGAAGAACATTACAATATTTGTATGCAACGAATTACTACATTTACGAAAGTAGGGTCGAAACAAACAACAAGTTTCGATTGATATTACATTTCTATGAAATTGTGTAAACACTTCTTGTATTTGTGGAGATTGTAATACCGTATAAAAATCAATTTCCTTTTGGTTTAAGCTTGTTGTGTTGTCGGTTGTAAAATATTCACTTGAACCATCATCATTTGGACTTGAACAGGCTTGACGAAGTGTCATTCATCAGAAAAGAAAGGTACTGTCCATTTTCTTTCAACTGCAACGTGAGGTGAAAGGTTTATTTGACTGTTATTATTTGACTAGGCGTGCATGTTTAGCAAAAATTAACATCCTTGTTGTTTTTCTTTTGATGAATTTTGGCGGAAGGTGTTCTTCTATCTGAAGAACACGCTGAACTGACGAATACGCTCAAACTAAATTGTTTTGTCAGTTCTGGCTACCAGTTGTAACGCATAAAATGCTAATTGCGTTGATGTAAATTGAAAAAAATATAAGCTGTGTGAATTCTGCAGCTTTAATAATTGACCTGCCTAGTTCCTTGCTTGTCGCAGAAGGCGACTGAAAGAGACTAGTGTCGAAAAGAGATAGTGCCATAAAACTTTTACCTTCAATTATATGTAACGTTTCCAAAAACAGTGGCTGAAAACAGCCCGGAGTCTTCGTTGGTGACCCCAGCCTCCGACGACTAAAACAGTGGGAAAACCATAGGAAAAGTGCATAAATATGATGGGCTGTAATTGAAATGGAAACAAGATTTTCTATTTGGGATCGAAAGTAAGGAGAGGTGGGGAATAGATGAAAATGAGAAGCATTGGCTTGTGTTCAGAAAACTATTTGTACATGCAATAACACAGAGGCAAAACAGATGAACGCTTCAACTATAAGAAATATAGCGGGAATTATTATATTGCAAAGATGGAAGAATAATTTGATGAATGGAAAGAACCATTTTCATGTTAATTGCAATCGAAATAAAAGAAAGTCAATAAATTACAGCGATAATTTTGTCTTGTGGAGTCAGAGTTGAATGCAATAAGACAAAAAACATGTTCTCATGAATGATCTGGAAATATAACGAGGGAATTAATTTATGGAGTTTCAGGATTTAATATTCGGAGAAGCGGTAAATGCAGGCAGTAACCACGTGACTTTGGGCGACCTTCGTTTTCTTAGTACTTCTTGCGCTTCACTGAAAATTCAAACAAATAACACAACTCAAAATCAAATTTCTCTTGAATGTCATATAAAACAGTTGTTTTAATTTCCTCTTTACTTTACTACCCAGTGCCAATAACCCATTTCTATTTACAATTATGTAAGAAACATCGGAATGTAAAACGTATAACGAACAAGTAGTAAATTTTGTAACTATTCTCCTAAGCTGAATTAACTTTTGAAATTTTGTTCTACGGTGAATAAAAAATCCTTTTCTAGTTTTCTGGTTGTTTTCTATTAGTATTCCTAAAAAGGGCATTTAGAGATTAGCTAAAATCCATTTCCAATGCACAATAGCATATGGTTAGTGTTTTATGGTCATTTCTAAATGCCTCTACGTATAATAATTAGATGCGTCTTTTCAATAGACTATCTTCACAGAGATGAACTTGAATATCCACATTTGGACTTGATTGTATGTCCATATCAAGTTGATATTTCTTTGCGATCATGTAGATCAAAACTCGGTTCTTTAGGAGCCATATCAACTTCCTTACTTGACGTATGATCATAGATCTCTGGCAAGTCCATATAAACTCTTTGCCGCATCGTGATGTTTGATCTGCACAATGGGCATTTTTCTATATTGCGACTGCATGTGCTGCAGCAAACCCAATGTCCACAGGGTATAAGGACTGTATCGATCTTTGCATCCATGCAGATCTTACATAAGAAAGTATGATGAATGTTTTGCAGCTTCTGTTGTAATTCATCATTGCACTGTTTGTTTGTGCAAGCAGGAATATCCGTTTCGTCGCAAGCTGTTGTGTTTGGTAACTCTTTCAAATCTGATAAGGCTTGCTGTTGTTCTTTGTAAATAACCCGTCTCATGTGATCATGAACTTCTGTTACTGTCCTTTCTACATCAAATGTGTATAGTTTTTCTGATGTTTCTTCGGAGAAAAACGAAATAAGGGCTTCCTTAAAGTCTCTGGTGAATTGATTCTTTACAGTCGAGTTTACGGTCTCACATCCGAAGAATGAATGACATTCTGTAACTGATCGAAATAGCTGGATGCAGGCTTCTGGAGTGTTGAGACGCAGATCATATTCTTGCAACGAACCGTTGTCATTCATGATGACGAGCACAAAAGAACGATTATTTACCTTCCAAGCTTTGTTTAGAGCTGCATAGTTTACCCTGGAAAGTAAAAACAAGAATTTGACTAAGGAACATGGGAAAGCAAGTCATAGACATTATATGCTGATGTTATTTAAAACGCCATGGGTTGTTGATGGCCTCGTAACTCAAAGATAAACAGATGTGCAAATATTGACTTAACCTGAGACCCTGAATGTGCACAAGTGACGAATTTTAATGAGAAAAAAATATTCTATCGTAAAAAAGTTGTTTTTATTTTGAGATAACATTAAAAGGAGCAATTGCAACTTGAAATGCAACGCCATCAACTTATGATTGATGGAGAAAACAATGATATTGCAATTCGTGCAAATATCTGCCCTCTTGTAAAGACATATGGCTTCCTTTGCAATGTTCGCACGGTAGATTGAATCAAAATGCTATGTATAACTACTGAAAATTTATTGAAAACATCGAGGGTATATTACAGTGTGAAGGCTCAAATTAAGAATAGTGATTTCACGAAAAACAACAAAAAAGGAAGTTGAGTTTCACTTTGGTCGTAATCAAGAAACTAAATTAAATGGCAACAACGCTGGCACGCAATATACACCGTTTAATTGCGATTGTTTAGAGTTGTATCTGCAATCTTCAAATTATCCAATTTTGTTTATAAACGTATTTGCTGTTGAGGACAAGAAACATCGAAAACTTCGTTGTACATGATCGTTGAAATAAGGCGATTATCAGCAGAAAAACAATTACATCCGGTAATAGGTTTTTTGACGGTCGCTGAAGGCTACAAGACAATGCGTATATTCAAATGAGCTGGCAACTGCCATCTTTTTCAAGTGTTTTCTCGAAGAAGCGGTTTTCTTTACATTTATAAGAGATTTAAAAGTTCAAGGGCTTGGCAATACTTCAGAATTGGAAAAAGGTCAAGTTTTTCAAAGGAATTATTGGACTTGGGAAACATCAATTAACACATGCCGTTGCGACGTCATGACGTCAAGCTGTGTGTTCGTGATATATCAGACTTCCTATGGAAATTTTTTTGTATGCTTTCCAACAAATGTGCATTTTTAGTAATTAGATGATTCAAAGATACACAGAAAGTCCTACAATAGCCTGCTGTTGTTAATTTCGAGTTACAAGTCATTGCTATGCAAGGGTCACAAATCATCTCGACTCACTTAGGTCCTTAAATCCAACATTTCCGAGCAGATAGTTAAAATTTGAAGTGATGCAATCCGATAATTATATTTGCAATCTATGCCCCGTTTCACTAAACATCATTGTCAGGAAAACAGCTACATGTTTAATAATACCTTCTTATGACTGACCCACTTTCATCGCAAAATCTTATTCCGTTGCGGCCAACTCCGACATAATGAACAGTATTGTCCTCCGTTTTGACGTTATGATACTCATAACCAAATCCTTCCATGGAAAAGAAGATTTTTAGACAATTGTACTCGGCTGTGATGGCCTTCATTTTCTCATGTTTGGAATACAGTTCATCGACTGTCTTAGTGAATTCCGGCGACCATTTCAAGCGATGTGCATGCCGTAAAAGCCAATGTCGTCCAAAGTGATCTCCAGACGTTGCTCGCAATATGAGCGCATTTAGATTCGCTGCTTCTTCGTGATTAGATAATGATAGATCTTCTTCGAAGTCCTTTTTGCATGTGAGGAAGCAGTAATGCCTAAAATATCAAACGAATCTTCCGTAATGTGAAGGTCAAAGGGTTTTTTACTTTTCTGTAAATAGGCAAACAACTGCTGCATAAATACAATATAAACATGTCCCGAAAAAAAGATAGAGGGTTGACAAGCTTACCTTGTATTATCTTCGACGATGAGATGTGGTTGGACAAAAAATTTCATACGAAAACGCAAGCGATACGGTTGCGAACCTGTAAGCTGACGAACTATCTTATTTCTTCGATTCAACCATAACTTTTCCCCCTTTGGACCGTTGTATTGGAGGCCAAAGTAATCTTGTTCGATGACTTCGAGCTTATTACAAACCTTAATTTTTAGAGGAAAAACGAAACTCGATGAAAATTGTGTTTTTGACAAACACAACAGCTTAGAAAATGTTGAAACACTTACGGCATCGAGCAAATGTTGCCCTTTACATCTGTCAGCTAACTCAAACTCCAGAGTTGTTGAATCGGGTAATGTTACGACAAACCAAGTCATGCTGTCATTAAATGGCTTCAGCAGATTTTGTAGACTTTGAAACACAGCCTTTCGTCAGTAAAAATTCTCAAACCACGACTACTTTGCTGCGAAATGAATACAAACACACTCGCTTCGCTTTGACTTTCAGCTCGATTGCTTACTCAGACAAATAGTCAAGCATGTCAAATTCACGTGTTGCTATTTTGGGAACCAATCACGTAACGTTTGACAGGCTTAATAGCCAATCAGAGCCTAGTAACCTGTCGGGTTTTCTCTGCGAAGGTTAAAGTCCAATTGTTAAACTTCGACCTCTGGACATTCGTCATAAATACGAAACGAATTTATTTGTTTACGACGTCGTTCTTTAGTATATTCATAAATTTACGTTTCTCAGTGTTTGTATACCCCGTATATGACTTAATTATATTTTGCTTTATCTTCACATAAATTCGTTAGGCTTAAAGCGCATTTAGATATTTCAAAAAGTCAATGTCACGAGAGTGAGTCCTCCACGCTTTCGCGGTGTGACCTAAAGACAATGATATTTACATCATTGGACAAATTACGTGCAAACCTTCGTAGCTATCTAAGTCGTTTATATTGGGCAATTTTTCTTTTGGAGGCTTTAGTTTAACTAAATTTCCTTTTGCTCCTATAAACCTTTACACGAGTGCTTAAATTTAAAGCTGTATTGTTTGCAGCATCTTTACATTGTCACAAGCTTTTGTCTAGCTTCCTCTTCAGTTGAATGCAATTACTTTATTTAATGCTCATTTGCATTGCCCCTGGAAAAGTTCATCGAAGGTCGGTGTATCTGTGTGCGTCATTGAACTTAACTTGTCAATGACGATATTGTCCATGTTTCTTTGTGTCGAAAACACATTTAAAAGGAAATCACACTTACAATAGCAACTCATTGTTTTCAATGATGGAATTTTCAACGACACGCTAGCGTGTTTTGAAATGAAACGATGGCATATATAAGTTAGGAAGTGAAGCGTTTTAGGGCGAACTCTCATTTCATATGCGCGGATGCCAAATTTTGTTGCACGTTTTTAGTACAATCTTTATCATCACTTTAGTCAATATTTACAGTGTTCAAACATAGGCTAGACTTATAAGAAATAACAGTTGAGAGTTCCAACTAAATCACATGAGTAAACATGATTGCACTTTCCGACTTTATTTTGGTATTACAAAATTATTTTCAATTGAATGCTATTGAAACACGTCTTTCTCAGTCTAACTACGTGGGCGCTGCGACAAGACCAGCAGGACCTTGGCCAATTTTCTCACTTCCAACATTGCTTTCTAATGGTTGGAATCCAAGTTCTTCTACTGGAACACCGAATGCCTTTAATTTGGCTTCATAGGTTCGAATGAGATCATTGTGTGCCTAATTATGAAAATAACAGTATTTTTGAGTTCGATATTCGCTATGTGTCACATGCGAAAACGTTTTAAAAACAAAAACGGAAGTATAATCAGGAAATGATGTAAAGAGTTCGTTTTAAGTTCTATTTTTTCTTATTATGTGCATACTTGGGCAAAATCACTGGTTGTTATATTTGATGGGAAACTTTGTGAGTAATCATATTGCTACACAGTACACTTGTGATTATATTATTCTGTAGTACATTTTCTGAATAACGCGAACCATATCGTTAGTCCTTGCGCCCGTTTTTTACTATGGTTAATTTGAAAAAGGATAAAATTTGGTAAAAGAATATGTAATGCGCTGTGCTATAAATAGCTAATTCGTACCTTACACACTCGAGCGAGTTCGTATTGTAAATCCTTTATGGCGCTGTTCTTAGAATCCAGTACATCCTAAAATATAAGAGTTAACACGATTATCTTATTGCCTGTGTAGATGGCGTTTGTTAATGATTTTGGCTGGTGCATATACCTCTAATTTTCTTGTAACAACGGTCAATGCCGTAGGATCAAGATTTGATGCTGACAGAACTTCGTTCAATTGCGCCTCCTAAATGATTTGGACACAGAAATGCATGAGAACCAGAAAGCTGAATGTGTGGTTTGAACATTAGGAGCTCAGAGTTCATATGCAAAATTTTGATGCATTTGGATGGTCACCTTTTTCTCCAAAGTGTCAGTTAGAGCTGTTAATTTTTTCTCCAATAATAAGTTTTTAAAGTTGCTCTTCTGTTGAACCTCGTGAATGGCCTTGACGAATTTGTTATATAACTCATCCCGTTCACCTTGTGTCTATAAATACATATAATGGAGAAGTCATAATTAAAACATTTTTGCCTTGTAAAGGCAAGATAAAATTTGGTATATTCTATTGAATATACAACCGTTACATCGTACCATTGCGAATCTTTGCTGAAGCACCTCTTGTTCCCATTCTAATTTACTCAGACTATTTCCTTGCACTTTAAGTCTCGCTTTTGCACTCTGAACGTGATAGAATTTAATCAAGGAATGAGCATACCAATCTAAAATGTTTAACTTTTAAGCAAACTATGTGAAAGAGTGGTCTTTGATTTTCTGCATAAATTTACTGATTTTTCCACACTAGTTTCATATAGCAATTTTAAACATAAAGTTAAACCACATTTTGTCTGTACTTACAGCTAACGATGCCTTATCTTTTTCATAATTCGCCAACTATAAAATGTTAATGAAAATAATTAAAAAAACCCACTTGAATGTTGATGATAAATAATCTCACAAAGACTGGAGTAATTATTACAACAGTTTTCCAAAGTGAGTGGAAATGAAAAATTATCAAGACGCTCGTCTGGCAATCAAACAAGTGTATATTGAAACTACAGATTAGACTTCACCTGTTTCCGGAGTTTCTAGAAACTACTGATAACAGATAGTCTACAACTTCACCTGTTTCCAGAGTTTATAGAAACTACTGATAACAGATAGTCTACAACTTCACCTGTTTCCAGAGTTTATAGAAACTACTGATAACAGATATTCTACAACTTCACTGTTTCCAGAGTTTATAGAAACTACTGATAACAGATAGTCTACAACTTCACCTGTTTCCGGAGTTTATAGAAACTACTGATAACAGATAGTCTCACAACTACTGATAACAGATAGTCTACAACTTCAGAGTTTATAGAAACTACTGATAACAGATAGTCTACAACTTCACCTGTTTCCAGAGTTTATAGAAACTACTGATAACAGATATTCTACAACTTCATCTGTTTCCAGAGTTTATAGAAACTACTGATAACAGATAGTCTACAACTTCACCTGTTTCCAGAGTTTATAGAAACTACTGATAACAGATAGATATTCTACAACTTGTTTATAGAAACTACTGATAACAGATATTCTACAACTTCACCTGTTTCCGGAGTTTATAGAAACTACTGATAACAGATAGATAACAGATATTGATAACAGATATTCTACAACTTCACTGTTTCCAGAGTTTATAGAAACTACTGATAACAGATTCTTCAGAGTTTATAGAAACTACTGATAACAGATAGTCTACAACTTCACCTGTTTCCAGAGTTTATAGAAACTACTGATAACAGATAGTCTACAACTTCACCTGTTTCCAGAGTTTATAGAAACTACTGATAACAGATAGTCTACTCACAACTTCACCTGTTTCCAGAGTTATACTACTGAGATACTACTGTTTATAACAGATAGTCTACAACTTCACCTGTTTCCGGAGTTTATAGAAACTACTGATAACAGATAGGGAGTTTATAGAAACTACTGATAACAGATAGTCTACAACTTCATCTGTTTCCAGAGTTTATAGAAACTACTGATAACAGATAGTCTACAACTTCACCTGTTTCCAGAGTTTATAGAAACTACTGATAACAGATAGATAACTTCAGATAGTCTACAACTTCACCTGTTTCCAGAGTTTATAGAAACTACTGATAACAGATAGTCTACAACTTCACCTGTTTCCGAGAGAAACTACTGATAACAGATAGAAACCTGTTTCCGGAGTTTATAGAAACTAATAACAGATAGTCTACAACTTCACTACTAACAGATATTCTACAACTTCACCTGTTTCCGGAGTTCTTCAACTTGTTCTCGAGCTTTTTGTAGTGGTTCGGTTAATCTCTTGTTTTCTGCCGTAATTTCATTCATTTGTTTTTCCATCCTCTCTTCTTTTTTCTTCATGTCTTCCACTTGTTCCTAATAATTACAAAACAATTTTGGTTTATATACAACTTAAACATTCTTTGCATTCAGCTTGCGAGTCCAAGATACTGAAAGTTCTCTTTATACACTGAATAAAATGACGACAAGAATATTAGTTATCATCTATCTTAATAATTAGCATTGCAGTCTAATGTCGTGAAACGACAATCTAAGTTCTTCATGAGATCATTCTTAAAGCAGGCAACTTGATGGGAAACGGTGTACATTTGCATAATGTTCGTGCTTGTTTAAATACGAGTCCTCTGCACTTGGATTAACCTTGATACCTTTCTGTGACTTCTCTGATACGTTTCAAAATATTTCATCAATCTGGCTGTATGACCTAGAAACTAGTCGTACCTTAAGAGAGTTGATAAGCGCTAAGTTGTTCAAAGTAATGTCGTTGTAGTAGTTCTTGATGTCACTAAACGCCTTTTCGTGGTTCTTCATCAACGTGTTGATTTGGCTGTTTTTTCGCTGAAAAAATGAAAGAAAACACTTTGATTGTTGACGAGCTCTTTAAGTTGGTGGCTCAGTCAAGAGTCTTCACCCTGCTACTGATCTCAAAGTTCATGCTAGTATATGATGTAAAACGAACTCACCTCCTCGATTTCGTGCATTTCAGTCTTACGGCGAAGTTCTAGCTCTTCTCTTAAGGATCGCAACTTTCTTTCATACTTTGATTCAACCTCTGAGAAGATAAGCATATTGGATTTGATTAAATTTAATTTGTGTTTCCAATTTTCCTTTTACTTTGATTCAACCTCTCTGAAGATAAGCATATTGGATTTGAAAAAAACATAACCAGTTTTAATTTTTTCCTCATATTTTGAGTCAACCTTTGTGAAGATAAGCCGAATACATGTGACCAAATAAAATCTCTAGGTTTGCAGCTGTTGCGAAGCCATTCAATTTTTGTATTTACAATGCTATTTTATTTAAATGAACACGAAAATATTTGCATTGGGGGAGTAAAAATTGGTTTCCTGTTGGCGTGTGGTTAAAGAGCGACAATTTATTAAGACCTTTTACTTCTCGCTCGTAGTCTTGCCTGAGTTTCGTGATGTTCTCGTCTTGACCCTTAAGAAAATGGTTTTCAACATTAGTAAAGCACAGACAGTGTTCAGGCTGGCGCGTTCATTATTTCATTATATACACCACATTCATTGCAAACTGACAAACCACTTAGATAATCTCTTTACCCTTTTTAAATTTTTCACAATATCCTCATGAGCTAACTCTTGCTCTTTCAGCTCAACCTAAGAAAAAAAAAGAAGAAAAATAATGTATATGAGTAGCCTCGATTTCCATGTTGAACCACGACAAATCCACGCAACTGTCCCACCTTCAAAGCTCGTTTATCGGTACGAAGGTCCTTTTCGTTAGTTCTATGTTCATCTTGAGCTAGTTTCAACGACACAATTCCTGCAAAGAAAAAAAGATGACTTTGTTCAGTTGATTTAAACGCTCTGTTCTGTTTTCTTTCAATGTGAAACGATGTGTTCGTCCTAAAAACAAGTTCCTCCCTCTTTATAAGGGCTGTTGTAGTCACAAATTGAAACTAGGAGAAAGAAATTTGGTGCACTATAGCATTGCAGTATAATTGGTTGTCCTACAAATGTCAACACTGCCAACTTATATTATGTTGATAGATGATTGGTTGTTCTACAAATGTCGTCATTGCCAACTATCATTATGTTGATAGATGATTGGTTGTTCTACAAATGTCGTCATTGCCAACTATTATTACATTGACGTTGATATGAATTTGATTGATTCAACCTTAAAGATCGTGTGTTGAAGTGTTTATGAAAATAGTATTTTATATGAAATCGTTGCGTTTACTTTGAAGAAAATTACATACCGTCTGCTTTAAGTTCTGTCACGTTGTTCTGATGCTCGTAGAGCAAATGTTTTACTTTCTGTTTATAGACTTTTATTTCAACTTGATGTCGTTCTTCCGCTTCTTCAATTTCCCTGTCCCGATTTCGCAGTTCGGCTTTCTTTTCTTCAAACTGTTTTTTCGTGATCTCCCAGAACGTGTTGACTTTATCGCGTTCCAGTTGAAAATAGTTGCGTTCTTCGCGCTCACGATCGAGCTCCTCTCGCAAACGTCCCACATGTTCTTCGAGCTGATGAATCGAGATGAAAAGTCATGTTTACAAGGATAAACATTCAGTCAAGGGCTGATCTTTGAAAGAGGTGCTGAAAACAACAATTTTTTTCAAAGAATTGACCATCAAGCAGATGTAGCAATGCCTCGAGTCAGTCGAGTGTAAAAAATGTTTGTTGAAAAGCTAAACTAACAACTAAATTATTTGGCATTTGAAGAAAAAACGCCTCAAGATACCTTTTATGCAACGTTGTTTAACGAACGTAGCCATATACTTTGTTTGGCTATATCAGAGTTTGATAAGACTGACGTATGTAAACTATAAAGTTTATTTTTGTTGTTTACTATATAGTACACATCCATACTTGTTCCTTTGTCATCTCTTCAGTGCTGATGCCATCAATAACGACAGCGCTTTTGGGCTTGGCAGATTTCTTTCCTCCCTTTTTCTTCGCTTTTGGAGGCTAAATGTGGGCGAAGGCAAATTACTTTATTTACTTTGCTTATAAAGATCAACATAATTCATCGTTGTAGCATCGCTCGTTCGCTAAATGTTAGAGAAGATTTTAATCTTCCCTAGTCATAGTTTATAATAATAGAATACTGGTGTAAATGAAAACGACTGTCTTTAGCGTATAACACGAGGTAAAAAAAGGATTGAGTTTGAACCTGAAAAGTTGAAATATTTTGCTGAACTATGAACAGAGAAAATATTTAAATGGCCAATCCTGAAACGATAATATACTTGAGCAATCATGCTCCGGCTTGAATTCCTATCAAGATTTTACTGTGTTGTATAACTTTATTGCTCTTTTCGACAAAAAAGTGGCCAAAACTTACCATTTCGGTATTCTATGGGACAAAAAGTCGATGAAATTCTTTCATATACGTATTCAAAGCGATTTGTCTCGCGTTGTTTACAATTTGATCCGTTGCTTGGAAACAGAAATTAAAATGCACCTTATGACCAGTGCTTATGACGCAGATGGGCTGAGCTAACTACCTGACAGAGCTTCCAGCATCGCGAAAGATTAAATATGGTTTCAACTTACTTTCGAGTGTTTTTACCTTCATTGCTATCAGTGTTAGCAGTGTCTCAGGGGCAAGATGTTTTTCGTTTTGCGAAAATATACAGTGATCACATGGTTTTGGAACAAGCTCCCAAACGCGCAGTTGTTTGGGGTTACGGTGAAATAGGGAAGAAGGTTTTACTTCAGTTTTCTGGCCAATCATACGATTCGTTAATCACTGCTCATGAGCAAGGTAAATCTGTGTATGAAGAGTTTTGGTGCGCATGGACTTAGCGTTATATTTTCCTGATAATCTCGAATCAGGGGGAGAACACTTTGTATATAAATATACAATGTTGTTTGCGCACCGGAAGACATTTTTTCTGAGACCAAGGGGGGTGATTGGTGAAATAAATATACAATGCTATATGTGTCGCACAACGGAGCGCGATGATCAGGAAACAAACAAAATGAAAACAGCAAATTCCCATTGTGTAAAAGTCGTCATTTCACTGTTTACAGTGTAACGGACCAGACACTTCACTGTTGTTCGTTCGCGGCACCTGCATTTTCGTATGTTCTCGGTATCTACGTCCCCGATTTTCGGCATAAGCAGTTACATTAACTTGTTGTAGGAAATCAAAGTGTAGGATTGTGGCAAGTCCTACTGCTGCCAACAACATTTGGCGGACCATATCAAATTGTGGCGCATTCAACTGTAAAGGGGAAAGAAAAAACCATCAATTTGATGGATGTGATGTTCGGAGATGTTTGGATCTGTAGTGGACAAAGCAACATGGAGTTTACTGTTGTTCAAGTTTGTATGCGTTCAGTTCTTGGTAAATTAGTAGAATTATTTGATTGCTTTCATTGTGCCGCTTTTTATGTACATAACCGTATTGGAATAGCATCGATTTTAAGGTGTAAAGTAATGAAATTATTGATTCTATTTTAAATATCGCCGTGCAGTCAGACAATGCCGCAAAAGCTATCAATGAATCCATACATTATGACCAGATAAGAATATTTACAGCGGGCCGTGATTGTGAATCGAAACCTCAACACGAATTAAAAAGTGTTCTTCTACCTTGGTCCCGTCCTTCACCAGGTAATGTATTGAGATAATGAAATGTCTCCAGTGAAAAAAACTATCCAGCTTCATTAGTCATCCTGTGGGCTTTCTCCAGTGAAAAAACTATCCAGCTTCATTTGTCATCCTGTGGGCTTTCTCCAGTGAAAAAAACTATCCAGCTTCATTAGTCATCCTGTGGGCTTGACAGAATCATATTCACAAGTGTTACATTATGCGCATATTCTTGCATCAATAGAAACTGTTGGTGGAAAGCCGTGGCAGTATTTCTCTGCTGTTTGCTGGTATTATGGAGTGCAACTTTACGAGGAGTTGAAATACCCCATAGGCTTGATCGCTACTTCGTGGGGTGGTACTCCTATAGAAGCATGGTCGTCGCCTGACGCTCTTGCACAATGCGGAGGAGATGAGAGCATTTTGAAAACATCTAACAAAAGATTACAGTACGTTATATGTAAAATCAATTTCATGTTGGCATAAATGTCTTTTCCATAAAATCCACTATTCCGACTATAGACACACGTTTCAAAAATACAAGATCTAATTACAAAATTCGGACAATCAAATAGTTAGACATAGTACTGTTTATGTTGAACAGTGGCAATAAAATGGTTAGTTTTGAGTTTTGGGGGCATTTGAATATGATGCTAGTCAGAACGATTATTTTTGAAGGCACAAGGCATAACAGTAAATTTCAACCATTTTGTGTTACAAAAAAGCATAACGATCAAGGAAAAGCTTGAATATTGGCATGTTGTCGTGAAAATATTGTTAGGTAAAAAGAAATTTACTATCCAAAACGAATTAAAATTTTATGACAAAAAGGTTCAATTTAGACGATACAAATTACTCGACCTATTAAATGTTATCCTCGATAAAGCTATTACAAAAAAGTAGATAATCCTTTTTTCCAAGAAGCTCATGGATGCTTTCGTTCATGATGAGAGAGTTACAGTGGATAAGGAGGCTTTCGTTCATCATGAGAGAGTTATGAGAAAGTTACATTGCGAAAGACAGCAACGAAAAAACGTATAAACATGTTTAGAGTTGCTTTTAATTATAAGTCAAAAAGCCAGATGTTGTTTGAATCTTTGCAGTATTCTTGGATATTCTAGTTTCTAGTTACATGAGAAACGGTAAATGAGAGAGTTAAGTCAAAGATATAAACCAATGAAAATTGTATAAAACATGCTTAAGGTTCTCTTAAATTATAAGTTCCATAAAAAGGCACAGTGTCAGAAGAAGTTAATTTAAACATTGCTGGGTTTGTTTTATGAGAAAACAAAAAGATAAAATTCGAAAGCAAAAAACCCCGTTTTCGGTCCATGCTTCACGATACCTTCTTAAGCGCAAGGCACTAGAACAACGCATGTTAACGTTTCGGTAGGAGATTTCGGCCCCTCCACGCTATCCTACTTAGGGATGCCAATACGTAGCAAGCTTCCAAGCAAATGTAGTGCAAGTACATATAGTTAGTCGTTGCCATGATTATGAATAATTAGGCGAGTGTACTGCGTATGCTCGAGCACATGCGCAGATGATTTCTCTATTAAATTGTTATTAAGCATGCTATTTGCTTCAAAATTAGTGCTAGTAGATGCAGTTGGTCGTTGCCATGACCATGAACTTGGACAGCTGGTCAAGTCGACTGCGCATGCTCAAGTAGACTGCGCATGTGCAGATCATTTATTTGAAAATTTGTGATTGAGCGAGCTAACTACTGCTTAATCGATACTAGTACATACAGTTGGTCGTTGCCATGACCATGAGCTTGGAGAGTTTGTGGAGTTGACTACGCATGTTCAGATTAATTAACAATTAATTTGTGACGGAGCGTGCTCTGAAATTGGTACTTGTATTAGTTGTATGTATGCTTAGCAAGTTTTTACTCATATATTTTTGGCATGCTCTCTGTCTTCTTAAGCTTGTTTTGGCTAAGGCATATCAAACTCGTCAACACTTTCTTACGCCACTCGTAATATCCGTAACGACGTCAGAATTTGTTCAATTTTCTCTACAACTTTGCATGATGCATCCTCATACTGCATGTTATATCCAAGCTTTCCTTTGATTTGACGGTAAATGATTTTATTTACTCTTACACTTTCTGCCTTTATAATTAGGCGTTCTGCATTTCAAATATATTGTACACAAATGCCCCAAGAGCAACTCCTTTATATTTTCTTCTATGTCCGACCATTTGATTGACCGAATTTTGTAATTTAATCTCGCATTTTTGGCACGTGTGTTTACCGTCGGAAAGGTAACACGTGCTACTTTGAATATTTCACGTAGCATGTTCTGAATCTTGATGTCACGAATGACATGCGGACACCACTTCCACTGATCCTTCGACGTCAATTGTATTTTGTAATTTGCTGTAGCATTGGCGTTGGCAAAGATGAATTGCAGTTTGGAGGACCTCAGAAATTCAGTTGTCTTTGGAACGCTATGATTGTTCCTTTTCTAAACATGACGATCCATGGATCGATTTGGTATCAGGGTGAAGACAATGCCCAATATCATTACTTGTCGTATAACTGCTCATTTCCTGCCATGGTAGATGACTGGAGAGCCAAGTGGTATTCTTCCACTCGAGGCAACACAGATCCGGTTTTTCCTTTTGGTTTTGTTCAGGTACGGATGATTGCCAACGGGTCCTTCCTAGTTGCAGGTGCTGGTCTCAGGCATATGTTTATTATTATTAAATTGTTTATATTATAAAGATGTAAGATTAACGGCTGGTCTGTATTTTCTTGAATGAAAATATATGAAACGTTTGAAATATAGCTATCGTCTGTTGGTCACGACTTGAAGAGTACATCACAGAATTTTGCAACTTTGCGCTGGAACCAGACGGCACAATTCGGCTATGTACCAAATCCTCGACAGAAGAACACATTTATGGCCGTAGCGATGGATTTAGGCAACCCCAAATCCCCGTACGGCAGCATACATCCCACCGATAAAACCGATGTTGGGTTTCGGCTTGGTTTGGCCGGTCTATCCATTGCCTATGGTAAAGACAAATACTATACTGGCCCATTAGTATCCAAAATACAGAAATATGTACGCGGAAGTACTGTGTACCTTCAAGTCTTCTTCAAATCATTGAATAAGAAAATAGAACTCAGGAACAGCGATGGCTTTCAGGTATACGGTTGTATCCAAACACACTTTCTAAGAATGAGGTCGGTGTACAGCTGTGAGCGTTTTATTGAAAAGCAAATTCATAATTTCAATAATTTTAGAAAACAATCACTTTAGCAGTTACTCTTACTAGTTTGTTGCAATTTAGGTTCAATGCAAAAACGTTGACACTTGGAAAGATGCGCCAGTTGTTGACCTCGGTGGGAGCTTTGTCTATTTAAAGACAAACTCGTGTGAACCTGTAAGGGTTAGGTATGCTTGGTGTGATTATCCCTGCGTTAAACTGGAGTGTGCTGTGTACAGTGGAGGTCTCCCCTCTCCTCCTTTTTTAATGAATGGTCCATTCGACGAGATCAAAGCTAGGCAGACTAAAAACCATTTTGATTTTATTTATTCATGAGAAATGTCTTGCTTGAATAAACCACATTATCGTTACTCTTGACAATTGTATCAGCAAATACTATGAATTGGTGTTGAAAATTTACTTTCATATACTTTGTAATGAATATGTATTATGGTAAATTGTCTGTTAAATAAAAAATTAATTTTGCAGTTGGAATAAATTGCAGGATGTCTTAATCTTGCGAAACAATGGTTAACAGAAGGCATTATAAAAGGTTTACGGTTTTAAAGACGGTAAAAAATTTCCCGATAAAGTGATAATTGAGCTCGTTAAACGTAGTAAAACGAGTCAGATACTGCAGTGTTTTATGGTTATAATTCCGTATTCTATACAGACGACATTGATCCTTAATCTAATCTCTAATCAACTATACGTTGGCTATAGATTTGTACTATAAGAGTAAGGATTAGGGGTGCGGAAGATCATCATATTTGCGTATCTTTATAACACGACCTTATTGCCGTGTTCGATATTTACAAATCAATAGTACAGCTTCAATAGCAACGCCAATGTGTATTTCGTGCTTGACAAGAAAACATATCAACTGAGAAAATGAAAAACACAACTATTATTTCTGAGTGTAGTTCGAACTTTTAATAATAAAATATTGAATGTTTGTAATTCACGTGGAAATGTGTGGAAGGCAGTGCAAGAACGCATTTCTTGTTCGTGGTTTCCATCATAGCGACAGGGGGAATGCAATCATATTCAACAGGCCTTGGAAATTTTTTCAACTCATTAAGAATCATTTGGATTTCAGTCCTCTGCACCTTCTAGGACTGACTCGCTTATGGCCAAATCCCAGTAATGCTCAACACCGTAGGTTTTTAGATACTCCCTCGCCGACGCCTCGTTGGCGCATGTTTTTAACTTGAAGTCGGAAAAATGTCGCTTTTTTTCTGCACCCTGAAATATAAAGCATGTGGTTGAGGCTACTTCCAAACACGTAAATCCTCTACTACAAATCCCTTCAATTTGCAAACTTCACAAACAAGTCTGCATTACAAAATCCTTTCTAACTACAAGCCTCCCATACAGGCCACTATATATGAAATCCTTATTCCTACATACAAACCTCCCAAACAAGACGACAAAAATTTTGCGCCGTTTTCTCGCCTTCGTCATCCGAATTTGCGTTCTTTTTTGAGCCTTCGGCCCACTTTATTCGATGTAACATCAACCTGCGGTATTTTTTTTGCGCCTTCGGCCCACCTTCGACAATCACGAGATTCATGTCTCTTAACAACACAACACAACCTGAAAGGAATTTTTAGTATATAACATGTAGAGTAAGATCTTTATTAGGGATGCAACAATCAAATGCTCAAAAAATGAGATGTAGAGTAAGGTGTCTTTATCAGAGAAGTGGTCAAATGATTACAGAAATATTAGCTGTATCGTGAGTTTTCTTTATGAAGGATGGAGCGATCAAATGTTCAGCGAAATGATGTGTAGAGTTTCGTGTCTTCATTGAGGATGAAGTGATTAAATGCTCTCAAAAGAAATGGAATGTAGAGTTCGGTGCCTTCATTGAGGATGAAGTGGTTAAATGCTCTCAAAAGAAATGATATGTAAAGTTCGGAGTCTTCATTGAGGATGAAGTGGTTAAATATTCTCAAAGAAATGATGTGTAGAGTTTCGTGTCTTCATTGAGGATGAAGTGGTTAAATGCTCTCAAAAGAAATGGAATGTAGAGCTCGGAGTCTTCATTGAGGATGAAGTGGTTAAATGTTCTCAGAAAAATGGAATGTAGAGTTCGGAGTTTTCATTGAGGATGAAGTGGTTAAATGTTCTCAAAAAAATGGAATGTAGAGCTCGGAGTCTTCATTGAGGATTAAGTGGTTAAATGTTCTCAGAAGAATGGAATGTAGAGTTCGCAGTCTTCATTGAGGATGAAGTGGTTAAATGTTCTCAAAGAAATGGAATGTAGAGTTCGGTGCCTTCATTGAGGATGAAGTGGTTAAATGCTCTCAAAAGAAATGATATGTAGAGTTCGGTGTCTTCATTGAGGATGAAGTGGTTAAATGTTCTCAAAGAAATGGAATGTAGAGCTCGGAGTCTTCATTGAGGATGAATTGGTTAAATATTCTCAAAAAAATGGAATGTAGAGTTCGGAGTCTTCATTGAGGATGAAGTGGTTAAATGTTCACAGAAATGAAAGAAAAGTTATTATGTCTTCAGACTGATTGAGCAAGCTGGGTTCAAGGGAAACAAATGAAAGCTTAAATATCTTCATGATAGAGCAAACTAAGAATCCTGGCACCTGAAATAACATAATATATTTAACTAGAGCTGTTCTTTGGAGTGATGCAACAATAGCCTGTTTTCACACAAGAATTTTTTTTCCTATAAGAAAATTGCTTTTGTATTCGTGCGTTAAATCTGCAACGTCCACAAAAAGATCATTCTGCGATCCTTGCAATTACCTGTCATATACAACTGTCTCGCGTTTGTGTCGACCTTATATTGTTTTTGTGGATGGTGAAGGTCTTTGACTTGATATAAACTGACATGAACGCCAAAACTCGTGTCTTCGTTCAGTTTTTTTATATTTTTCTCCCGTCGTGCCGCTGGCGTTAGCTTCCTTGCTTCGTTTGCAGCCTCGTGAGCTCTGAAGAAGAAACATAGAAATAAATAAACGCCACAAGACAATACACATAAACAGCTGTTACTTCTGAGTTGACATTAATCGTTCATGATGCTGAACAAAATTTCCAACAACTGATCATTCCAAACCATATTTTTTAAAACGAGACGATTCGTCTTGTTTCAGACTTACCTCTGACGTTGAGCCATTTGAGCACGAACGTGAGCTTCCACTTTGGTTGGATCTTGAACTGCTTCACTGCCAAGAACTCGCATGAGATTCGAAATCTTAACTTTACAAAAACAGATGTAAAATGTTGAAACCCGTTCACAAATATTAATGAACTTTCTTTTTTCAAACAAAGGTGGTGTTGCTTATAACTATGTGTACAGCCCCCTATCTTACCATTAGAAGGTGATGGTGGTGGTTATGACTATGGGTATAGTCCACAATCTTACCTTTAGGAGGAGGTGGTGGTTCAAGACCAAGTCGTATTTTCTCTTGTTTTTCAGTCTCAACCTCACGACGTCGCTGAGTTCGTATCTTCTTGCGTTCCTTTTTAGTCAACATCATCGGTAGTATTGGAGTTTCTTTGGGTTCCGCTAAAAACGAGTGCGCATAATGAGAACATTGACAGAACTTCATGTAGACCATTTTATAAGTGTTCTTTACTGTCAACCACTTCCTTTCTCCCCCCTCGTAAAATATATTCGAGTTTATTCACTTTAGAGAGTGAGAAATCGCAAGCAAAGATGGCTACAAGTTTTTGTTCAATGGTCAAAGAATATTAGTCAACAATCATGTATGTTGTAAATGATACACACACTGAAGATATGATTTACCGCTGACACTCACCCGGGGGATGTCGCTGTATCGGATGCTCAATGTAGGAAGTTAATCCTTGAAGATATTTTGGTTTGTCTTGGTCAGCAATCATAAGGAATGCATCATATTTCATATTGGGCATGACGGCTGCATCCCACCACTCGACATCCGGGACGCTGTCTTGTTGCACGTCTTTGCTGGGGGTAATCAGTGCAAGCTTCGTTGCAGACGATATTCCAGTCTTCTTTGCTGCAGCGGCAATTTGAGCTTGTAGTTTTTCCAGTTGAGCCTAGAATTGAAACATTGCTGTCATCGAAAGACGAAGCACACCTACAGCAGAATGGATTGTACCAACCTTGGCACGAATTTTTTGAGCGATTTGCTGAAACTTTCCTTTCTCGTGGAACTTGAATGCGCGTTTGGATCTTGTGGACGATTTTGAACTGAACGGACAAAAGCTTGTTTTGAACAAAATGATGACTGCGTAATTCAACACATGCTGACAATAGCCTTCTAGCGCAATTAATATCCAAGAAAGACAAAGATATGAAAAGCAATGACGTCAAACGCAAGTTTTATCTGAGAAAGACTAAAATGAAAAAACTAAAGACGTCAAACGTAAGCTATATCTGAGAAAGACTAAAATGAAAAAACTAAAGACGTCAAACGTAAGTTATATCTGAGAAAGACTAAAATGAAAAAACTAAAGACGTCAAACGTAAGCTATATCTGAGAAAGACTAAAATGAAAAAACTAAAGACGTCAAACGTAAGCTATATCTGAGAAAGACTAAAATGAAAAAACTAAAGACGTCAAACGTAAGCTATATCTGAGAAAGACTAAAATGAAAAAACTAAAGACGTCAAACGTAAGCTATATCTGAGAAAGACTAAAATGAAAAAACTAAAGACGTCAAACGTAAACTATATCTGAGAAAGACTAAAATGAAAAAAGTAAAGACGTCACACGTAAGCTATATCTGAGAAAGACTAAGGTTTAGAGAGCAAGAGGTGAAACATTGTGAAAAGGTTTCATCAGAATAAAGCAATTTTGAAAAATATTGGTAAAACCCAAAAGTTGGATGCACAGTCCTCGTATTGAGGGTTTCACAGGAACATTTCAAAAAGGTAATCAACACACAATAATCTGAATCAACCAACCTAACTCTGTTGTCGAAGAAGGATTTATTTGCCATATCATCCGTCGGCTTTTCAACCTGCATGAAAGCCTCGCGTTTTTTCGCCCTGATGTTTGCTTTCAGAGTTGGCATTCTGCTCATCATGCTGAGAGCTTTCCCGCTCGAGTCAACAGCTCGTCCCTTGTCGTCAAGAATCAACGCCGATGGTTTGTCGTTTACCGCCGAAAGATTGACTGCAGCAGATCTGAATAGATTTCCAGCCACACTGCTCATCAACGGCAACTAGAAAGAAAGATTCACGTCCTTTTTATCACAAATTGAATATGATTCATAAAATGGTTGTTAGAAAAACACAGCTTGTACCTTTGCTTGAATTCTATTGTGCAAACTTGCTGCCTTTCTTGCTTTTTCTATAGCCTCATTCATCAATGCTTGTTGTTCTTCCAGCGATGGTGGTGGTCCACTGTCCTCTTCTTCATCCAGTGGTATTGGTGGTACGAATTCTGATACGGGTGGTTGGGGTACATGCTGGACCATTGCTTGTTGCTGTTTACGTAAGTTCTCAAGCTGTTCTCTCCTTTCTGCCAATTCCTTCTTCTTCTTTTCCAACATGGCCGAAATCTGCGAAGCATCCAGTGGGGCAGGAACCTCAACTGGTTCGAAGTCTGGAACTGGTGGAGGCAAGGGTTCATTGTCATCTTTTAAGGCTTCGAATCTAAAGAACACATATTTTATTCTATAGTGTATAGTATTGAATAGTGTATGGTACTTTCTACATCTTTATCAATACTGCATGAGCTGTGTTTAGTATTACTAAAGATGTTGTGCAAGGTTAAGTTATTAGCAATGTGAATATTAAAATTAGTTGCTGCAGATTAATAACATGTGTGGTGTGATATATTAATGAAAAAAACTAGCTATTACGATGCACAATTGATGAGACATGAAACCATATGGAAGGGTTTTGACTACATATATGTACTAGTATAGACAGCAAGTGTCGAATGGCTTTGGTATCTTTTCAAATTTATATTGTGGAATAATAAAATTTAGCTCTCATTTATGGGCATAGGAAGATCAATAATTGGGGGAAGATTTATGTATGCACATTATAATCTGTTGAAAACAATAGACTACAGGGAAACATAATATGAGGCATACATGTCTAAGAGCCCCATTATCAATCTCCCTATGCCCATGCCTCCATTACAAGTACTTTGTTGTATGGTAGTCTTCTGATTAAAGTCTCATGGTACAATACTACCATACAAACAAGGGAACAATGGAAGTTATGTCGTCATTTGGTTAGCCCCATGCTCAGGATATCGTGATGATATTTATATCAAGGCAAGCAAGAACAACCTAGTCTTTTTACGTTTTCTCAACGTTTCAGATTCATCTCTTGTCACATCGTCATGATCACGACTGTCACCAAACACATCTTCTAAAGTACGTTTCTTGTTCGTGTTATGTCGACTTGAAGACTTCGGTCTGCGGATCCGATCGAGTTTCGAGAACAGATCATCAACAAACGTCGGTGCTATATCGTCCAGTAGCGAAGTAAGTTCCTTGCAAGCCGAATCCTTGTCTAGATTGTTTTGTAAGCATTGTAAGGCAGCGTTTACAACAGACTTTTCAGAATAACCAAGTCGCTTTTTTACTGTGTCTTTTAACCATGGCTTTATTTCATCGACTTCTTTTCGACTCAAGGCCATTTCCTGATTCTTAAAATTATCTTCCACATATAAGGTTTACCTAAATACCCATCAAAACCATCATGTTTATGTAAAATGTCCAATTTTTAACTTTCTTCATTTCTATCAATTCTATGAAAAACGTACAACGTGCGTTTTTATATGGTGTTTCCATATGCAAACTTTCTTTAGTTCTCAAATAGCTGCAAAAGCAAAACTATCAAAGAAAGCACTGTAGTGTTGATTCAGAAAAGCCATAATAAACGCTATTCAGAATTTTTGAGGGCTTTCTCACTATTTATATGATCAAAAAATGTTTACTCAAAACGAATTCCGTGACAATTACACCTATTTTCTGTGTTGCGAAATTTTCCAAAGAAAGCGGAAACTGTATTTTCCCATTGGCGCATTCACTTTAAATTTCTACCGCTGAAATTTAGTAACGGGCTCGTTATATTGAGCGGGAAATTAAATTTTCATAGCCAGGAAATAGCGCGAGAAATACAAAATTCACCAGACATTTGTATGCTTGGTGGTTTTACGATAATCCAACGAAACCAGTCTATTAAAACTGTCCATTTGAACAATTTAAAGGTGCTAAAAGGATTTCTTTAAAAATGGGTATACATGGACTGACGAAGCTGCTCGGTGATTGTGCACCTACTTGTATGAAAGAAAATGAAATAAAGAATTACTTTGGTATTTGGATTTTTCTTCAATTATCTTACTTCTAAATGTATCATCTCTTGTCCTTTACCAATCAGCTAACGTGAAAAAGTTGTTTAGCGAGCTCGAAAAAGTTGAGACTTTGAGGAATGAAATGTGTTGGTATATAGGCATAGATTTCCAATGATTATGTCATAATATAGGGAACATAGATTAGGTCCGCTTTGTTGTGCAGCTTGCAGCTGAATCCATTTTATTAGATTATTGGCTGCCATAAGCCAGACTGGAAAGATTGTAAACTGTGCACCCAAAATTCGAAATGTTCACACATAAAAGTGTTGTTTTCTCAAAATTGCGCTCCCATATCTGGGCCATAATTCATTTCATCATTCCTTTTGGTTGCAAAATGCAATTAACTGGCTACCATTATGGTACTTGCTTGCTCAATAATGCCTGAAACAACAAATTCAATGGATTGGGACTACTATATGTTCTCTATACCGTGACAAAGCCTATATCGAAATTTTCATGTAAGATTTAGGTGTGGGGAGTATCCTTGTTTTCATCCCTTGCCATTGGGGTTGTCTGTTTTGTGACAGAGACGAAGGAAGAAAATCACAATTTGATTTTGGTAATATTTCAGGCAGAAAAGTTGCCATTGATGCCTCGATGAGCATTTATCAATTTTTGATTGCTGTAAGAAGTGATGGAAGTCAGCTAACAAATGAGGCAGGAGAGGTCACGAGGTAATTGATACGTTTTCATGTATTCTTTATTCAAAGATTCATGGTGATGTGAAGATTTTTCTCAAGCAGCAGATCAACACATTTCCTTTTCAAATTGAGAATGGAGACGTGAAATGTTAAACAGATTGAAAATCTTTCTAACTTTAAATGCACATGTTGATGGGCTTTCTTGAGGGAATGTGGTCACGTTCCAGAATGGAGAGTTTGTACTGCACACAAGGTCACAGGTGCACGATTTTTTGCTAAGAGCACGTGTTTGCATGCAACTTTTGAAAAAGTACATTATTTTGTTGAAAATACAGTGCAAAATTCACATTTTGGGTGCGCATAAACGAAAGCACCAAACTTTCTGTACAATTTGATCTCGGATTTGTAGTTTACAAACTTCCAGTTTGGGTCAAATGTATGTGTAATGTGTATGGTTGGTTGGTTTTAGTCACATTATGGGAATCTTTTATCGTACTATAAGAATGGTGGAAAATGGCATTAAACCAGTGTAAGTTAAATCAACCATAGTTTTTTTGGTGTTGTTGTTTTACTTAAGGGTCTATTTTATGGTTTTGCTTTTCTCATTGTGTGTACTTTAGTTATGTTTTTGATGGAAAGCCACCTAAACTCAAGTCTGGTGAGGTATACATGATTATCTCTTTTGATGTATGTAACTGCATGACTTTTGAGCACATGTTTTCATAGTATGTTATTTTTTAACATATATAGCTTGCAAAAAGAACAGAAAGAAGAGAACAGGCACAGAAAGACCTTCAAGCAGCCGAGGAAGCTGGTACAAATTCATTTGATGCACTTGATAGAAGAAAAATACACCATTGTTCTGATATTGTATTTTATTTTTGCACAACAGGAGATGCAGCAATGATTGACAAAAGTCAACGTAGATTGGTAGGGTAGTTGATGCAGTTCTACATATAACTATCATTTTAACTATTTATGTACTAACTGTCAGTTCAACTATCTATATACTGTCATTTCAACTATCTATATACTAACTGTCATTTCAACTATCTATATACTAACTGTCATTTCAACTATCTATATACTAACTGTCATTTCAACTATCTATATACTAACTGTCATTTCAACTATCTATATACTAACTGTCATTTCAACTATCTATATACTAACTGTCATTTCAACTATCTATATACTAACTGTCATTTCAACTATCTATGTACTAACTGTCATTTCAACTATCTATGTACTAACTGTCATTTCAACTGTCTATGTACTAACTGTCATTTCAACTATCTATATACTGTCATTTCAACTATCTATATACTGTCATTTCAACTATCTATATACTAACTGTCATTTCAACTATCTATATACTAACTGTCATTTCAACTATCTATATACTAACTGTCATTTCAACTATCTATATACTAACTGTCATTTCAACTATCTATGTACTAACTGTTATTTCAACTATCTATGTACTAACTGTCATTTCAACTATCTATATACTAACTGTCATTTCAACTATCTATGTACTAACTGTCATTTCAACTATCTATGTACTAACTCTCATTTCAACTATCTATATACTAACTGTCATTTCAACTATCTATATACTAACTGTCATTTCAACTATCTATATACTAACTGTCATTTCAACTATCTATATACTAACTGTCATTTCAACTGTCTATGTACTAACTGTCATTTCAACTATCTATATACTAACTGTCATTTCAACTATCTATATACTAACTGTCATTTCAACTATCTATATACTAACTGTCATTTCAACTATCTATGTACTAACTGTCATTTCAACTATCTATGTACTAACTGTCATTTCAACTGTCTATGTACTAACTGTCATTTCAACTATCTATATACTGTCATTTCAACTATCTATATACTGTCATTTCAACTATCTATATACTAACTGTCATTTCAACTATCTATATACTAACTGTCATTTCAACTATCTATATACTAACTGTCATTTCAACTATCTATATACTAACTGTCATTTCAACTATCTATGTACTAACTGTTATTTCAACTATCTATGTACTAACTGTCAGTTCAACTATCTATATACTAACTGTCATTTCAACTATCTATGTACTAACTGTCATTTCAACTATCTATGTACTAACTCTCATTTCAACTATCTATGTACTAACTGTCATTTCAACTATCTATATACTAACTGTCATTTCAACTATCTATATACTAACTGTCATTTCAACTATCTATATACTAACTGTCATTTCAACTATCTATGTACTGTCATTTCAACTATCTATATACTAACTGTCATTTCAACTATCTATATACTAACTGTCATTTCAACTATCTATGTACTAACCATCATTTCAATGACCACATGTAATTGTTATAGTTGTGTAAGAAAACACCAAATCTATTTACATTTTTTAATTAGAATTTTTAAATCATTTAACATTCCAGTGGAATGATTTAACATAAGAGTTAAACAAATTGCTGAACAGTTTTTATAGATGTATGACATGAAGATGATTAACATCTTGCTTCACTATTTGTATTTAGGCATGAAAATATTTTGGAGTTGATTTTGACAAACTAGTTTTCACTCAACTTAGGTCAAAGTTACCAAACAACATAATGAGGAATGTAAAAGTGTACTACAATTAATGGGAGTACCTTATCTGGATGTAAGTATGTTTTATGTCATGTGATGCAATCACGTAAGATCATGTGACCACTTAAGGTGTAATGGTCATCATGAAATCATGTGACATCTTCATGTACCCAGTGATGCCAATGTAATGTTTCCTATAGGTACTAAAAGTCTTTATTTATGTTCCTTGAAAATTACAGAGTTGTCAAACGGTGTGCAATTTATGTAAATCTAAAGGACATAAAAACCATGACCAGCCGACAATTTAAAGAAATATAGTATAAAGCAAATTTCAAATAAGCAAGACATCTTGAGATTGCAAAATATGCATAAAAACAAGACGAGAAGTGAACTGTAAATTTTCGACTTTATTTCAAAGTCATCCTCAGACAGAATCAATTTATGAATATTCTGGATCTCAAGATGTCTTGCTTTTTTTGGAGTCTGCTTTATAGTAAAGGACATTTTGGAGGTGTCTTGACCCCAAAGAATAAAATCCTGCATGTACCACAAAGTTTTTCAAGATTTTAGCATTGATCTGCTCTCAAGTTTTCCCAATGCTCTCATCGATTTGCATAAGCCTGTGCTAAAAAACTTTTACTTCTTGTATGAGTTAGGCTGGCAATAATGCAAAGCAGATAAATTTAAAACAAATGTTTCAATTTTTCCTCTAACATGCATTCACGACTGATTGAGCTCTTATCAGTTTGCACAAGCCAATGCAAACTCGGCTTTTGACCAATCAGTGCACGTGTTTCATTGTCGTTATTTTATATATATTATATTATATAAACCTTGTCTGGTAATCCACCTTTATCATCTGTTAATTATACATAATATTATTTTGTAGGCACCTTGTGAGGCTGAGGCACAATGTGCTTCCCTTGTTGCCAATGGAAAGGTATTGTTGCACCTCAATATGCAGGCTGCTCAACTCAGTGCAAATACTCTGTTGTTGTGCTTTTTGAAAGTTTCGTAGTTTTTACTAGCTGTTATATTGAGAACATAAGTTTAAGATGTTGGTCTCAGGGGCTGTTCACATGAGCCTGGTAACAGGGATTTAGCGAGGCGTGAAATGATTTTGAGTCATTGAAAGGAGCAAAAACTTTAAGCGCAAAACTTACAACCTTTTCTTAAGCGTCATATGTCATTTTAGTCGTAATTTTTAAATCATGCTAAATTATTTGTTTTCATTTTAAAGGTTTTGTGAATTTTCAAAATCAGAGCATAGAAAAATTGCTCAAATAAGTTTTTGGTTGTGAAGTATTTAATCTTTTCCATTTGCCAAAATGATTTAACGCTTTGCTGAATCCCGGCTATCGGGCTCATGTGAACAACCCCTTAAACAGTTAAACTGGTTAGAATTAATTCTAAATAGAATAAACCAAACCAACCCAGTCCTCGTGATGCCTCACCTCGTATAATTTATTTATAAATAAGGTTTATGCTACAGCTACGGAAGACATGGATAGTTTAACATTTGGATCATTGATTACCTTACGTCACATGACCTTCAGCGAGGCAAGGTTAGTTACGTATGAAATTAAAGGGGGGGGCGGGCATGTTTCATTTCAAGCTTTTCCAGGAACTTACATCATCGCGCGCGGTTTTCATAATGAATCGCATCTTTCCTTTACCTATGTTCCCATAGGAAATTGCCAATTCAAGAGTTTCACTTGAAAAAAATTTTGGAAGAACTTGGTTTCACGCAAGATGAGGTATGTAGTAGTTCGTGTATGTATGAGTATGTTTTCAGTGGAACATGTAAAAGCTTGGGGTAAGGTGTGGGCGAAGTTCTATATTTTCAATGAAACATGTAAACGTTTGGGGAAATTAGAGAGATTTAGTAAACACGACGTATCGTCAAAAACGCCGTGAAAATGGCGTAAAAATTGCGTGATATTCCCATATATGGTTGGGTCCACGCCATATTTACGGCCTCTTAGACGATACACGTCGTGTTTGCTAAATCTCTTTATTTTGTGTAATCTAACATTCCCACTTGAGATAGGTTTTGCAATATTCAACTTGGCAATTTTTGCTTGCGAATATCACTTAATGGAAAGTATAGGAAGAAAATTATAGTAAATTTACCAACTTGACACAGCTATATTTGTGAGACCGCAAAATTTCGTGATTCCACTTAAGTTTAGCATGCTGTCGTTTCTGCTGAAAATAACATTAAATTACCGGCTATCCTGTTGAATGATTTGTGAGAATAGTTCATCGCATAATGGTATTACAGAATTATAACTTACAGCATTTTGTGATTTTCGTTTTTTATGTTTGCAGTTTATCGACCTGTGTATTCTACTTGGATGTGATTATTGCGATTCGATAAAAGGTCTGACGTTTAACTTGAAACATTTGTCAGTTCACTAACGAGAAAATCCTGTCCTTTGATGAAAAAATGTGGGGTTTGGGATTCGTTTAAAATAAGTGAAAATTTCATGCGGTCAGTCAAAGTTGTGTAAAGAAACATTTTTATCGACATCATACGTGTAGGTATCGGGCCAAAGAGAGCTATCGAGCTTGTACGGCAACATCGTTCTATTGAGGGAATCTTGAAACACATTGACAGCAAGGTAAGCACAACCTCCAGTTACGCTCTAGACTAACGTTTTCTAATACGGAGAGCAGGGGCTTTGGAAGTTTTTAAAGGTGGGGGTGTTCCATGGACACAATGCCATCGCACACACTGCTCAAGTAATGAAACTGCTTGCTATTAGTTATTTTTGTTCAGTTTTCTTTCGAATACATCATGTCAGAGTGAAAGGCGTTTTTAACGATTTGAAAAGTTACTAGTGAGTACATCTGTAAAAACTTTACCTTCAATATATCATAAACGTTCAGGCAAAAAGTTAAAATCAAGGATGTCCGGACATCCAGACAGACACCCGTGGCTACCCAAGCCCCTGACTGACAGTATAGGGGCTACCCAAGCCCCTGACTGACAGTATAGGGGCTACCCAAGCCCCTGACTGACAGTATAGGGGCTACCCAAGCCCCTGACTGACAGTATAGGACAGAGTAATCAGTTAAATTTGTCTTAACAGAAATATCCAATACCTGAAGACTGGAAGTATAAGGTTCGAAACATAATCGTCAAGAGGTATACGTTTTCCTCTTTAATGAACACTTTCTTTTTGTTTGTATTAATGTACTTAACCAGGAAGCAAGAGCATTATTCAAAAATCCAGATGTTGCCGATCCCGAAAAAGTCGAGGTTCGTAATATGCTTGATATTTATTGGGGGCCAGCTGAACTTTAGCAGATTGGATAGCGAGACTCAACTAAAGACGAACATCCCTAAAATCGACCCTTTTGAAGTAAAAAAATCACAGATAAATTACTTTACAGCGTTTTTTTATTTATCTCGCTCTGTATGTGTTTCTTGAACTGCCGAACTGTTGAAATTCAATTGCTTGGATGTAAATCATATTTTTTTTTCAGTTGAAATGGTGTGATCCTGACGTTGATGGTCTTGTTCATTTCCTTGTTAAGGAAAAAGGATTCAGGTGAAGTTTGAAGGATTTTAAGGTGTTACTAAGCACAGCAAGTGCAACCGGTGGCATGCAAGTTGAACCGGTGGCATGCAAGTTAAACCGGTGGCATGCAAGTTGAACCGGTGGCATGCAAGTTGAACCGGTGGCATGCAAGTTGAACTGGTGGTATGCAAGTTGAACCAGTGGCATGCAAGTTGAACCGGTGGCATCCAAGTTGAACCGGTGGCATGCAAGTGCAACCGGTGGCATGCAAGTGCAACCGGTGGCATGCAAGTGTAATAGTAGTCGTGCAAGTTAAACTGGTGGCGTGCAAGTTGAACCGGTGGCATGCAAGTTGAACCGGTGGCATGCAAGTTGAACTGGTGGTATGCAAGTTGAACCGGTGGCATGCAAGTGTAACCGGTGGCATGCAAGTGTAACCGGTGGCATGCAAGTGCAACCGGTGGCAAGCAAGTTGAACCGGTGGCATGCAAGTTGAACCGGTGGCATGCAAGTGTAACCGGTGGCATGCAAGTGCAACCGGTGGCATGCAAGTTGAACCGGTGGCATGCAAGTGCAACCGGTGGCATGCAAGTGTAACCGGTGGCAAGCAAGTTGAACCGGTGGCATGCAAGTGTAATAGTAGTCGTGCAAGTTAAATTCATTGTCAAAGTTTGCAAGTTTAGTTGTACATTATAGGGTTCCATGAGTTTATTTCAAATTCAACTTAAGGGATATTTATCATAATCGTATTTTGTGTTTGAATAGCGAGGAAAGAATTCGCTCAGGAATTAGCAAACTGCAGAAGGCAAGAAAAACGTCTGTCCAGGGTCGTCTTGATGGTTTTTTCAAAGTTCTAGCGACAACGCCGAACGCGACAAACAAACGAAAAGCTGACAATAAGAAAACGAAAGGACCTGCTGCGAAAAAGGCCAAATCAGGTAATTTTGGTAAACGGCGATGAAACAACGTAGAATACTACAACTTGTTGTTTTCAATGGAAATTGAGTGAGTTGCAAATTTTGCGTTGGTTGAGGTTGAACTAGTTTTGATAAAATAAAAGTTTGTCATATATTTTCATTTGTAAATAAAAGAAGCTACATAGTTTTACTATACAAAACTATGTAATACCATAAATAAAATATTTTTTTACTTTTTACCATGTATTGCTCCTTGGATGTCTTAGGTAAGTTCGGTTTTTGACGAGGTGCACATTGAATGGAAGTTAGTTATGCCCTGTTCATATTACTTCAGCTTGGACATATCTATGCGGGGGGGGGGTATATCTTTGAAGCAACTTTAATGCATATTCGCAGGGGTGTGTGTATCTATGAACTAACTGTGATGCATATGCAGGGAGTATATCTATGAACTAACCATGATACTTATACAAGGGGGTGTATCTATGAACTAACTATGATACTTATACAAGGGGGGTGTATCCATGAACTAACCGTGATACTTATACAAGGGGGTGTATCTATGAACTAACTGTGAAGCATGTGCAGGGGTGTGTGTCTATCAACTGTGATATATATGTAAAGGGTGTATTTATGAGCTAACTGTGATACACATGCAGGGGAGGTGTATCTGTTAAACTAAACATGACAAACTTCAGTTATTGTCACATTATGTTTGCAAATGTAATTTTTGTCTAAATATATCAATTATTATCAGATATAGCAAATTTACTTCATATTGAAACAGTGTGACCATATACGCAAAGCTTTTTCATTGGATTTGGTTAGATGGGTTTAGACCCTCCCCCTTGCTCTGAACTCTTCAAGAGTGGATGAGTCTAAGCTTATCAGACCAATTCTAGTCAAAAGATTTGTTCATATGGCCTCACTATATTTGGAGGCATTTGAATTTGTGAAAATTCAAAGTTAGCAACAACTTATACATAAATAATATAGACATGAAACAGCTTTAAACAACAGCTGGCAACAATTTTAATGATATTGGCTCCTGTCCTTAACAATTTTACAATTAGTTTTTCATTTCTTTCACATCTTAATGTTTTTGAATGAATAAAAGTACTTGCATAACAATTATACCTGCCTATGACACTTCTACAATTCAGTACATATTTGCCTTTCAAGCAAAATTGCCATCAACGGATGCCACCCCTTAGCGCAAGAACCAAGTGTAGGACTGATCCTCCTTGGATTTTGTAGTCTAGTGCGGTTTTCTCGTCGTTCCTAAGATGAAATAAGTTTGTCTATCAATATCAAAATGAGGCAACTTTTTATGCAACATTTTTATTTGTTGTTCTTACATTTGTTTTCCACTAAAAATTAATCTAAAAAAGAAGAGTTTGTTTAGTAGAGTTTAAAATTTTCAAGAAGTGTCACATATCCTTTGATGTTTGAAGGTGAAAATGAGCTAGGATATGTAAAACCTTTGCTGCGGAGGTGGTATTCCCTCTTTTTCTTCAACTCTTTCTTTTATTCTTTCGACCTTGAAAATTATTTTTTAGTTGATTTTTATAGGCGTTTACACATTGAAAGAAAGTGCACATGAACATACATAGGAAATACTGTATTAAAACATATGGCTCTTGTTCTGATACCATAGGCAAAACTCTACTTTTAAATGGGTTATTCAAATACTGATGTGGAAAGCCTGAAATTTGGCCTTCTGTGCAAAATTACTTGGCAGGAACAAAAAATTTTCACTTGCATGCTGGCTTTCCCATAGTATTTAAGTTCAAATTTTATGGGGTGCCTCTGACAAATTACGAACTTTTAAAGGTGAAAGTGAAAATTATTATAGTTGATGTCATGTAGCCTTATCATGAGCTAAGAAAATTCAGCTTTGGAACTTGGGAGAATTTAACATGCAACTTGGGAGAAATTGATATTGTAACTTGCAACCTTCCTGTGTTAATAAAATTAGTTTACAGTTTGCAAATGATTTAATCGCCTAATTCTAACCCTTGAAAATATTGCTCAATTTAAGGAAAAGCAAGCAAGCTCAATGGAAACAGGAGAGGTTAAAGGTACAGGTAGTGCAGAATAGTTTAACAAACCTTGTCTGTTGGCTCAATGTCAATTTCAATCTGAAACAGGTTATAATCAGTTGAAGATATTACTTTTCTAAGATATATTAAAATTCGCACTTATTCATGGAGATTCATACCTCTTTTCCAGTCAACGTCTATGAAATGGAAAATGAGAAACCTTTTAATTCTTATGCCGAAAATTTTGAAATTCACGTGATTCTTTGTCCTACCTTCACCTTGATTAGCATTTTTTAGACTCTTGAGTATGTTCCCTCAGTCTGAAATAAACGACTCAATGTTTATACTTCGCAGAATATAGGGTTTTTGCAGTGCACATGAAGAAGAAATGCGGAATTCTAAAATTTCGGTGCTGTTGTGATTGCGGCTCAATTAACATGTTGTATACTTCATGCAATACTGATCTGAAATGATCATCGCACTTTATGTTAATTTCGCTTCGCGATTAATGATGCAATCAAAGAAGATCGCGTTAGGTTTGTGAAATTACAATCTAGCTCAGATGTAGTAGCGTTTTTTTAACTTTATCATGAAGAAAAACTACAAGACTGTAACGGACACCATCAATATGGAAAATTTTGAAATTTACCTGAAAGACGAAATATTCGTGGATTACTTCAACACATTTCTATCGTTGCCGGTACGATGCAGTTTTTAGTTGAGAGTATGGTATTTTCTTAAATTTTTTTGCAACAATACATGACTACGATATTTGTTATAGATTTTTCCTACTCGATTTCTATACCGTCCTCGGCGAAGAAGGTTTGAGTTCGATCCTCCATTGAAAAATTATCGAGTAAGTTTCAACTGTTTCGTTCTTTGTACGTTCACTGGGAATTTTTGGTTCACTCTTTCACTCATAAAGTAAATGGTTTGAATCCGAGAGTATCGTTACATGTTTTTAAATGTAGATCGTCCAGGTTGGTATAGTCCTGAGAAGGACTGTTTTTGTTGTTGTTGACTGACTGACATTGTTTTTGACTCTGAAGATGACTAAGGTTGTCGAAACGTCAGTCAACAACAACAAAAACAGTCCTTCTCAGGACTGTACCAACCTGGACGATCTACATCTACAAACATGTAAAACATATCGTTTTTAAATTTTAGATGCCAACTAAAAGCTTTTGCAAGGCCTTTATTCGTGAAATCATCTTTGACTCGTTTTAGGTGGAAAACAAGATAATGCTGACATGGATTATGACGGAACGTCTGCCGTCCTTTTGGAAAACGGATCTGTATCTTGATTACTTGCTCTGCAAACTGTTGATCTCTTCATCCGAAGATGAGTTACGTAATGGAAAAGGTTGAAAAGTTTCGTTGATTTTAACCAGTATGCAGTCAGGTTACATGTTTTGTTTTGAACTACATTCCAATGTCTGTAAATGTGGCTCGTTGCGTTGTGAACGCCGAGCCTGTTTTAAAGGAGGAAGAATAGTTTCTGTACATGTTTGTAGACAGTGGCGTAGCCAGCTCGCAAGTTTTGGTCGTGCTATGTAAACTTCAGATCATTAACAATATTCATTTCTTTAGAAATCTTTTGTTTTTACAGTGAGTGAACACAAAAAAATTAACATAGCAGGACCAAATTTGAGGGCTGGCTACGCCACTGTTTGTAGATGAAGATTTGACTCTGAATATGACTACCGCTAAGGTTGTCGAAACGTCAGTCAACAACAACAAAAACAGTCCTATACCAACCTGGACGATCTACATCTACAAACATGTAGCGATACTCCCGGGTTCAAACCATTTGCAATATTTTCTGTATCGACAATATGATCTTTGTATCTTTAAGTCACGCACATTAAATCTTTGTGGTATTATGCTTGGTACTGTTCCTATCGCAGGCAATTGAAATCCTTGATCCTTATCACTAATCCTTGATCCTTATCACTATTTTTGACGTATTTGTTTTCAACCTCCCTTCCAGTAAATGAGAAATCGTCGAGAAAATACATCGGAAGCCTGATTGGCATGCAAAATTTTCGCTACTACACCAAGGGTGCCGTTGGAGAACACCTTTTGAACTTCTGGTGCGAAGCCGAAAGATTCCGTCAAATGAAACCAGAATTGCGTCGATTTGCCTTCCGAGAAATCCAGTTCAAATTCCTCACTAAGGGATCAGCGTACGAGATACCAGATGCGATAAAGCAGTGCATCTACTACGGTGAATGTACTGGAGTGCAAATGATTTCAAAACATCTCGCCATTTTCACTGAAAATGTTTTTGTGGACGCGCAAAATTGCGTGATTGAGAAATTGTGCGGCTACTGGGTGCCCAAGTACGTTTTACACAAATGTTGCGGAATGTCGACGTTTTATCATCAGAGGGATTTGAGTGAACCCATCGAGACAAAAAGGAGCAGGAAGAACTCGATGGAGGATAATATGACGTACTCCGTTGAAAATTACGTGAAAAATAACAAAGGCAAGAATTGTTTATCATCAACGTAATTTAATGAATGACCGGCTTAAGTTGCTTTTAATAAAGTAAATAGATTCAATCTGGGAGTTATTGTCTAATGTTTATGGAAGTTGGTCGTCCAGTTTGTGGAAGTTCTAATGTTTATGGAAGTTGGTCGTCCCGTTTGTGGAAGTTCTAATGTTTATAGAAGTTGATCGTCCAGTTTGGGGAAGTTCTGATGTTTATGGATGTTACTCGTCCAGTTTGGGGAAGTTCTAATGTTTATGGAAGTTGATCGTCCAGTTTGTGGAAGTTCTAATGTTTATAGAAGTTGATCGTCCGGTTTGTGGCAGTTCTAATGTTTATAGAAGTTGATCGTCCAGTTTGGGAAGTTCTATTGTTTATGGAAGTTGATCGTCCAGTTTGTGGAAGTTCTAATGTTTATAGAAATTGATCATCCAGTTTGGGGAAGTTCTAATGTTTATGGAAGTTGATCGTCCAGTTTGTGGCAGTTCTAATGTTTATAGAAGTTGATCGTCCAGTTTGGGGAAGTTCTAATGTTTATGGAAGTTGATCGTCCAGTTTGTGGAAGTTCTAATGTTTATAGAAATTGATCATCCAGTTTGGGGAAGTTCTAAGATGATGATTATAGGTGGGCTGTTTCAATCTCTTTGTCTGTTTAGGTGGTCATTTGAACTGGACAATCAACTTTCGCATGTTTCTACCTACCTGTTTGGATTCCACGGCACGGGATTCGGATGATCGTAATCTGAAATCCTTATGTAGATTTAGAGCCATTTATCGCACAGTGAGATTTACAGTAGCCTGCTTGCAGCCTGAATTCCTTATTTCCGTTATTAAATAAGGCTAGATACACAGTTCTTTTTTCAATAGCTTTTCTGTAAGCGCCATTATCTCCTGTATTGTATAGATGAAACCACGAGTGAAATAGCCGAGATTATCGAAGAAGAAGACGACGAGTATGAAAAAGCGAAAAACCTTTACTTCCTGGAAAATCGCGTGTCGTCCACGGAGAGCGTCAATCGTGAGGGAGAGAAAGCGAGTAGGAGTGCGAGTCCGTTCCTTCCTGAGATTCAGAAAAGCACTGCCTCAATCTCGCCGAGTGGATTCGTCAAGGTAATATACAAACTGCTACATTTTGAGCTTGTATGTGACGAATCGCCTCGCTTCGTTTGAAATTAGAAATTTTTTAATCATCTCGCGATTTTCAGCGAGCAAATTTCCTCGAAGATTGCAAAAAATTTTTTTGGTGATATTTGTGGGGGAATTCATAAAGTATTTTCTTGATTAGGCGACAGAAAGGAATGAAACTCTGAAATTACCGTCCATATCTTCAAAAATGTCATCGACCGGCGTTCAAGAAGACTTTCATCTCGGCGAACAAGTACAAAAACAGTTTTCAAGACAGTTCGATGTTAAAGAATTTCTCAAACTTTCCACTCCGTTCGCAATGAGTGTCAGCAAGAACACGATAAATAACTCTGAAACGAGTCTTATATCCAAGACAAGTGATGGCGGTAAGTAAAAGAACACGATAAATAACTCTGAAACGAGTCTTATATCCAAGACAAGTGATGCCGGTAAATAATTTTTGACCGAGAATTCACTCGTGTGCCCTTTAGTTAACATTTTTCTTACATTATGTGATATCGTTGAAGCTCCTGACCTGTGTATGAAAACAACTTCCCCTTTTCCAACAATCCCCAATATGACAAAGTAAATATTTGAACCCGGGAGTATCGTTACATATTTGTAGATGTCCATCGTCCAGGTTAGTAGAGTCCTGAGAAGGACTGTTTTTGATGGTGTTGACTGGCATTTCGACAACCTTAGCGTTTCGACAACCTTCTCTGAAGATGACTACCGCTAAGGTTGTCGAAACGTCAGTCAACAACAACAAAAACAGTCCTTCTCAGGACTCTACTAACCTGGACGTCCTACATCTGCAAACATGTTATCCCCAGTGTGATAAAGACTGGTATAATGTCACTTAAACAGGGATGAAACTCACTAACTCGTGAACACCACAGTCTGTACAAACACTTCCTGTTTTGCAAACTACCTGTCAATGAAAACTTTATTAGACGTGATACATGAAATGCAACGTACAATACGTTATATTTTGTATGTTTTTTAGACAGAAACGAGGAGAAAATGAAAATGTTTGAAAAAATATCCCCGACAAACTTGGTTCAAGTCATTAAACCAAACTATCATTTAGAAATATCGAAAAAACCGCTGAGCGCTTATAACACTTCGTCGTCTATTTGGGGCTCACAAAGTAAGAGAAAATTTGGTTGTTTTATATATTTTATGTCGAGGAAAGGGGTTTTGGCTAGTTATGGTATGAATAATTATCGTAGAACGTTTTCACCAAAACAAATTTTCCCGGAATTTTATTCTTTTAAAGAGTATGACGATTCACAGCTATAGAATCAACTGTTCAAATTGAGTTTCGGACGATTACTGCGAGTCGACGTTTATATGGTATTTGAAACATATCTTGCTGTACGCTGGTTAATAGCGAATGTTGCAACTGTTCCGCCTAAATTCGAGCAAGAAAGGGAGAAAGCCTCAGTTTAATTCTTGCCACCGATGTACTTGCTCAATCGACAGTGACCACGCCTTGGTGGGGGATTTCCCTAGTTCTTAGGGGGATTAACCTTAAGTCATAAAAATCAAAATAGAACTGTTTACATTATAAAAACCCATGCCGACATCAAAGCGTAGTAATAAACGTAGTAATGCACCCATACACGCGCTGTTTCGTTGAATAAAGTACACTAACGAGGATGTAATGTCGGCTTCGCGTCATTCACATAACTTGGAGGAACCTTTGGTTGTTCAAATCGATATATCTGATGTACATTTATTGACGAAGTCTGGCAAAACGTCTTCGTCGAACTCAAAATTATGCGATCTCAA